CTAACGGTGCCACCAGCCTAGATCAGGTAGGGCGGACCGATGTTGAAGCAAAACATGGGCAATCAGACGACTTGAAATGCAGGTACGCGCTAGGCGCAATCTAGCTGCAGTTGAAATGCAATCAGGATACCCAACGGTTAGATGTTAGAACCAATAGTGAAGCAAGTTTGGTGTTGGTGACAGCATCGGTGTACTCTCCAGTGCTGCAACCTGGTTTTCGAGAAGTGTAGTGTTCAGGTGCATACCATCATCATGGTTCAAAATAATTTATTTCCCTCATATGAGTCAATGTTATTCCCGACATCTGGATTCCCATGCATTTTCCATGATTTTTTTATGATTTTTCGCAAAATGATTTTTCTTTTCTTTTCTTTTTTTTTTATTAAAATTTCTTTGTCGTATTTTACCTTTTTACCTGAACTATTAGCTCATTTAAGTCCATGGAGTCGTTGAAAAAACTCGAGTTATGTAAAAATGCAGTAACATGTAACATGTAAAATGTTAAATGCGAAAATGTTTAAACAAAATTTTGACAATTAGAAAAAATTAGTAAAAATGCGTGGGATGGTACCACACTATTCAAATGATCTCGGACCTCTTCGCATTTCGGTAAATTTAAACCTTTCTTTAGGCCGAATGTGCCGAGTACGGAGTACTTCAAATGTTAATCTTCAAGGGTTGAACCAAGGATTGGACAAGAAAAGAGAAAAGACATCTGAGTGCCCCGTGCTGAGTAGACTCGTTGATCTCATTTCCCTCGTGGCAGCCACTCTGTAAACTTTCTCCAAATGTGGTTCACGGGTACAAGCCCTACCTGAATAGGATGTGGCGAGCGGATCATCGACAGATGTGAACTTTCCTCAATGTTCAAATGTTCACCGTGATATGGCATCTCAAATCATTATGACCAATGGTTTCCCACTCTGTACGGAGTATTCCGTACGGAATACCTAGTGATCAGGTGGAATACACCTAGTGTACGAGTTCTCCATAGACAATGCTGATCGATGGCGAATCTCACTAGTGCTCCACGTACCACTCGGGCATGATCGGCAGGTCTAAGTATTTTTCATTTCCATTTCTCACTGAATATCGTGTGAGTACCCCGTCCGCCATCGGAGCATATTGTAACCGATATTGTGCCCTGACTAGTGTCCGTGATGAAAATAGTAGTCGATTAACTGGAGTAATGAGAGTGGAGATGTCCGGGAAGATTCCACTTGTGGATTCGAAGTTGGAGGATCTCATCGCCAGCGTCCGTCCATAATCCGTTATCCGTATTCCGTAGTGCTCAATTCTTTATTATACTCCGTGAAGAGGAACTCTTTCTCTTTCTCTCTCTCTCTCTCGATCTATGGTCAAACTATAGAAACACCGAGAATCGGATTAATATAGTTGTCTTGGAGCGTCGGGCAACTTGAAAATAATTAAAGATCTTGAAACGCCTTGGAGATACCTTTAGAACCTTCGCCGGATCAAGTAGTAGAGCCGTTCCTGTCTGAGGGTGAGACCGCCAGATCCAATATTATGGAGATCTGTGCTTTGGCCAAAGTCAGCAGGTCAAAGACCAGGTTTCAATCTTGGTAGGGCCTGCATTAGTGAATGACCAGGTTTATTGTGTTGAAACCAGGGTGATTATTCCAAATAGGCCTTGCAGAAGAGTTTTTTTCTCTTCCGTTTTTCGGCAGCTTCTGATGAATTGAAGGCTCGAGCAGGGATTACCCTTGCTGTCAATCTCCTCAGCTGGGGGAAATTCAATGCAGGGATGAAAATGTTGCATTTTGGTTCAAAGTCTGAGCCTCCGAAGTGTAGATCTAAGTGGTTAATATTGACCGATATAGGCGTTCAGGCACCGAATTCCAAATCCTGCAAAGCTTGAATCCATGGTTATCGATAGTCATCGAGTTTAATGACACGCCAATGATCACCGAGGATGAGAGAGGGGAAAGGCCTCAAGTGTAGGTATACGACAATATCCATGTCTATAACTCTGCAAGCGAAGTGTCAAAGTGTTGGCGAATAAGTTGATCTAAAATGTATCAAAATAAGCATTCTTAGAAACATGAACAAAAGAAATCCACCAAGATGGCTCTAGAGCCCTAAGGCTCGAGAGTCACAGTCTCGAACTACTCAGCTGTAAGGTTTCTCGACCACATGGCAAGAGTCCAACCTTGGAAGACTGCGCCGCCACCAACTATAGTTATAATTAAATTTATTGGGCCAAAGAAGAGCAATACAACGCCTGACTGGGGGTTTAAGACAAAGAGGCACACACAATGATCACCGAAGAAACGTGGAAAAACGTGGTCGAAGGGAGTTCCTGCGCAGAGTTCTCGGGTTTTGGGGGCTGGGGACCTGCAGGGAATCTCGAACTCAGGTTTGTCGAGCCGTGAATATGCACACCGCATTTCCAGGATGATACGGAGGACAGGGACCAGGGTCGTAGTAGATCTTGTTGATTGGGGACCTTACTTCGACATGAAAGGAAAAGATGCGGTTGAGCTAAGCTTGATTCGGAGGAAGCGTAAATATTCCTAGTAAGCGCGCCTGGTCGGGGATTGATTACTGGAAGCGGTTGAGGACACTCCTTACTATGATTAAGTGCAGAGAAATCAACCACTCCAGGCCCGCCGGATTCATCAACCACGCCAATGGAACTCCAATGATTTTAAAGTGGCGCCTCTAGATAGAGCCGATCAACGACAAGAAGAGGTCACGGTCCCGACTCCACTCTCAGCCTGTCAGGCCTCGCGTCGATCAGGAGGATCCCATCCGGGGCTCCACTAATTACGGCAGCACAGCCGAGATAGACGGGCAGTACTATCCATTACAGTTCGTATCATTGGAGCAAAAAGAAGGCAGACGTATCCTGACAGCTGCATACTACGAAGTGCCACCTGAGCACTATTCTCCATGAGACCTCTATTGTTATACCCTACGGCCGAAGCCGTCTGTTGCCTCGTCTCGCCTCAAATTACAAGGATTGCACGGTCTCAAGGTCTCAAAGACTATGAATATATTTCAAGGGATTGTTTTGCGCCTCTATGATTCCAACCATGGTTGATGTTGTAATAGAACGTTGCCCCGCGCTCGGGTCTACCACCCAATGCAGATATCCCGCGGGGCAAAAAAAGAAGAGAGGGGATTCAAATTATAGAACGAGTCATGGAGAATGACAGATCGTTATCATGCGAACCATGAGAGTGGAGCCTCCGATCGCCAGAGAGCGCTCAGGGACGAAAAATATCATTAGTGGTAATACGGTGGCTCTAGGAAATTTTGACGTTTACAATGTCATGCAGATGCAGTTCTAGCCTGACATGGCTTAATGCTAAATTGGTTGAATCCCTCTCGGCCCTTCGGCCTTAGGAGGTGACGCGACAGCCGAACAGTTCGTGAGTATCCCGACGAATGAAAGATCTTATGAAGCCCTCTGCCCTACTGAATTAGGAGATTTGAATCATCAAAGTGGATACATAGCTCCATGAATTGATGCTTGCTTTTCCTGACTGCCCTACGATACACTCCCTAGACCTTTTACCCTTAATCCCTATACCCGATCTCTGTTTACTAGTATAATTGCCATCTGGTCTATTCCATCTCCGGATATTGGGCAAGTGGTGGTTCCTAGGCGTCCATGGTCCCCTAGCGCCCGTTCTTGTCCTGTCAATGGCCAGTTCGCATCGAGGTGGCAGGGATTGAGAAATAATAGCGATTCATATTATTATAATTATTTTATTTCATTCTAATTCCTACATTCTAGTTTTCATCTATTTTTCTGATTTTTCTAATTATTTTCTTTTCTTATTTTTTTTCTTATTTTTTATTTTATTTTATTCTATTCTATCTTTCTCCATGAAACCTCTGGTTTGGTCTCTCCACTTTCTTGCCATGGTTTCTATTTTTTTTGTCTCTTGTTGCCCATCTTTAATACAAAGAGAACAGAATATAGAATAGCAAGAATGCAATGATAGGTCCTTCCGGGCCGTGTGCCCGTTGTGGGCTATGCAGAGAGCCTCTTGATCCAGATCAGGTCATAGAAATGTACGGAGTAGAATATCAAAGAATAGACAAATGAAAAAAAGAAGGGGGAGGAGACAGGGCAGACCAATGATAGAAGCAGAAGCCAGACATTTTACAGGACAAAGCCTGTCAATCTGCGACGGATTGGCCCCAAGATCGATTTAGATGTTATTTTCAAACCAATAGAATTAAAAAATAAAATCAAAATATCTTGATATAAAGGACGAAAATGGTCATATCTCCTTATAGTATACGGTACTGTTTAACTGTAAAATAATTAAAATAAAATAAATCCCCTGTTCACGCTAAAAGAAAGAGAATAAAATATAATAATATTTATTATTATTAAAAAATAAAATAAAATATTTATAAAAATCATAATTATAAATATTCTCAGGGCAAAAAATATTAATTATATTAAATATAAAATAATTAAATAATAATTAAATAAATCCAAAAACAATCTAATGTCCGAACTAGACCCAACGCCATTGGATTGTGATGCTCAAGCTTCGTCTCCATTACTATACTTCACCTACTTCTACTGCCCTCTCTACTCTTCATTTCAACCTCCACTTATTTATTCAGGCACATTCCCCAGTGGAAACCATTCTCTTTTCAAGTACTCTATTTTTTCTCTACTCATTGAACTTTGTCTAGACACTTCACCAAAGACATCCTCGTTCCCACTATCCAATTGAAGACATCCCGCTGTTTGTCTTACCCACTTCTTTTCCTGCAAGACGGTGTCTAGCATCCTCCTTTTGAAGAGAGACATTTCATATGCAATTTCGCTTGACATAAGGTCGGACAACTACGCACCTTGCCTTTCTTCTTCTTTCCTCCTTCTAGAAAGCATTTTCTTCTGGAATCTTTCCAGGTTTGCTTTCTATAGTCTTGGAAAGACTCGTCCTTGACTGTTCATCATCTTTGGTTTTCGTCCCAATTCATACTCAACCTTTCTTCTCACCGAGAAAATGACCGAGACTCCTCTTTTTACTTCTGTGGCTCTGGATTCAGAGTTTCCTCCTTCTCCTCCTAGCGAGGTTACTATTCAGCGATCTCTTCAAACAGGAGACTATCCGCCAGTTCCAGTGCATGGTCCTGTCAGTCACCATATTGCAATCAGTATGGAACCTGCCGACCATCAACACGAGGGAGCTTCCCAAAACTCTGTAATGCCATCTATGGTAAGTTCCGCGATATCCCCTCCAACCTCCACTTGGATCTCAAGCTGATCAAACTGCTTAGATCTATGAGTCAGCACCAAACATGCCCGCTGCCCCAGGTGGGTGGCATGCAACAATTCCTACCTCCTACCCAGTAAGTGCTTCTGTTACCCCTCCTTGTTTTTCTATTCCTGGATGAACTATTTGACTGACATGAGAAACTCTCAGATGACCATCCCTGGTCAACAAGTGAATACGCCTCCCGCCACAAACTATGATGATCCCAGTCGACCAGAATCAGCCTCTCCAAGATGGTCTCCTGCAACCAGTCGCCGCAGTCCACGGGCACGTGTCACTCGCTCTCCTCGCGAGCGACGAAGCCGCCCAAAGAAGAATGCAGGTTCTACTCGATCAAACCTGAGCAACATCCGAATTGATGCACCAATGAGTCAGACAACAGCTCACATGCTTGATATCCCTGTTAGGGATATGGAAGCATGGGCTCATCGCTCTTCTGAGGAACGCATTGCCCAAGCCGAAGACCGACGAAGCATCGCGCGTCCCATGAACGCCTTCATGATGTATCGATCTGCATACTCTGATCGTGCTAAGACTCTTCTCGGAAACAAGAACTACCAGATTGTGAACTCGGCCATTGCGAAGAGCTGGGGCATAGAATTGGATGAAGTCAAGACCTACTACAACGATATTGCTCGGATTGAGCGTGATAACCATCAACGCACTCACCCTGAATACAAGTTCCGGCCCAATAGAGGCCCAGCTGTTGCAGCTCGACCTGACCCGACGACGCCTCCCATGTCCGTCGTCAGTGGGCCTCTCCTGGATCGTGGCAGCCCTGTATGGAGCGATGTTGACTACACATCCCCGTCTCCATACCACCATCATGATCGGTCTCAGAGCTTTGACTTGGAAGTCTACCATAGTCGTGCAAACACTCCATTAAACTACTCTGTGCAATCCAACGGCTACATCAACACTCACTGGAACAGTTACCCTGCAGCTACCATTCCAACCATCCAACCTAGTGCTTTGCACGGTGGCATGGGATCCCAAGTGGAAGATGTTCACTACCCTCGTTCCAGTTTACCTGGAGACCTTCAATACGATATGTCCACTGGACTTGCCGCGCTTCCTGGAAGCAGCCATCATGATCTGCTACAGCCTCAACAAGGTCATCACCCTTTGCCAGGTCACGCTGTTGATGGAGGCAACTTGGACCCTCAAATGCTTGCCTACAGCGAAGGAGTAATGAACATGCCCAACGCATACCCTCCTGTGGCAAACCCCTACCCTGTTTGGGGAGATGAGGACCAGAACGGTCATGCCTACCTTTCTCAAGCTCCCGGATCAGCTACAGCAAGCCCGGCTCCTCACCACAACGGGATGCAGGCCACTTCCTACCCCATGCAGCAAAATCCCTCATGGGATGCTAACCAGCATGAGCTACATGACAGCACTGAAGCTTGGGTTGAGCTTTAAGTTAGTCGAGCTTGCAAGGGTAATGATGCTAATGGTAGAATACAAGGCATGAAACAAATGGGCGGTTCTGTTTCTTGGAGTGCCCGACTGGCTGCTTCACACTGCAGCTCAAGCGGGTGACCATGCTGATGGATTTTGTGGAACGAAATCCTGGAGGGATATGGAGTTTGGCACATTGGCGCCTTGGGAATCTAAGGATGGACAATTTCCTTATGTCTGACATTTTGTATGCACACTGATAATTTTTCATTTCTGACTTGGATTTAATTTGAGGGTGGCAATCTCTTTTTTGGTATTCTGATTTTTAAGAATTGGCTCCATAAATTGGGCTGGACAGAACTGTTCGGAGAACGGGCAATAAATGATTACATGTTTTGGTATTTTTGTCTACTTAGATTGAGTCTCTTGAATCAGTGCAAAATGCACATGCCCATGTTTTTGCAAATTTTAATCCAGATTGAGAAATGTGAATGTGCTGTCTAATACATCATGCATCTTGCCTTTTCCTAACCCTAAGTCGGGCCAAACGCCCTCACCGCCCGCAATCGCGTTTGTCCACCGCCTCATTCAATGCGGATTGAACTGACGTGAACATTTCCCTCTTCCATCTTATCGTAGTAAAATATCTACGCTATCAATTTCATTTCAGACCTTGGGTTTCCTCTGTGAGGATAAGCACAAACGACTGTCGGACATATCGCAATCACCCCACCAACCCATCCTTCCCCTCTACACACCCCGCTATCACAATGTCTATCCCTCCTGAGGCCCTGCAGAAGGTAAGGCAGAACAAACCGGATACCATCAAGCTCGCGATGAGATCCCAACCCAAAGAGCTCGTTTTCAAGAACAAATTTACTAACGCATCCAAACACACAGCTCCTGCAAGAAATCGAAACCCGCGCCCTTGCCTCCCAACAGCAGATTGGCATCACCAAGGCACAGCAGACCGCCAAGCAGCGCGAGATCCGCATGCTGCAGTTGACATCAAAGGAGCTATCAGAATTGCCATCAGACACAAATGTGTATGAGGGTGTGGGCAAGATGTGAGTACTTAGCTGGTACCTTCTTTCAAGGTTCAGTTCCTAACCAAGACTTAGGTTCGTGAATGTCCCCATCAACACCATCAATAAGCGCCTTACCCGCGAGAGCTCCGAGGCTACTTCCGAGATTGCCAACTTGGAGAAGAAGCTGCAATACCATGAGACAACGTTCAAGAATAGTCGCGAGAACTTCGAGCAGATCCTTAAGTCTGGCCGGGCGTGAAGTGGTAGATATTCGATATAGTATTCATAATGGAGGTGATACAGCGGGAAAAAAAGGTTCTGGGCTCGATAGGGATACTATCGAAAGAGACTGCAGGAATTGCCGTGCTCTTGCTTGACGGATGTCGGTATGTACGATGGAGCCTCGAGTGAAGACCACAGGATGGTGAAATTGGAGAAAGAAGAGAAGGGCGCCGGGCCCTTCTCTTTTGGGCATTGAACCTGACTCCAATCATGGATTCAATGCCATGGACCGGACTTAGATACCCATCATTATTTGCGTGAGGTTGAAGATATGGCAGGTGCTATAAACAAGGCTTGTCAGCTCTCATGCACGCATATCTGGCTAAAAACAAGATTATCTCATTGATATACTTCTGAACCCAGCTTAATTCCCTTGCTTGCTTCCATGTATTTTGACAATATGGCCAAAGGTAATCTGAGATATAGGACCGCGCCAACATTTTAACACCGATAGCACTTAAAAAAGGACTCGGATAAAGACTAGTAGTGGCTGGCAATTATCCTTGGACTAAGACAAGCCTTTCAATTATTTGGCTGGGCTAGATTTTCGAATGGGTGTTTGATTTACCGAGAAACGCGTTATCTTTCGTCAAGGCATTTATTTATGCCTATTCTCACACATCACTCGTCACTTCCTCCCTCGTACTCGTCACCTCCTGCAATCTGCACACTACTCACATCTCATCGGACACCATAACCCAATCCTGCGACACAATGGCTGCACCAGGATCTTTCGACAATGAGCCCGGCCCAAACCTCACAGAACAATTTGGCATAACTCACCGGTCAGGCGTCGTCATTAGAAAGCCGAAAGCAAACCTCGGTGAACTTCCTCTTGAAGTCCTGGAAATGATAACAAAACACATGGGCCGACTGGATATCGTCTGCCTGGCGCTCTGCAACCACTGGCTCTTCAGCTGTCTCTCCACCGTCTCCTTCCGCAACTTCTACTCCGGCCACGAGAGCAAATTCTTCACCGAATTACTCGACCGCTTAGACAGAAGCGAACCACGCGTCTTCATCTGTTACAGCTGCAATCGTCTCCACCGTGTGCAAGATGTCTCCCTCCCAGGCCCTGTCTTCACAGAACCAGGCTGCTTCTCTCCCCAGAAAACCAAATACCACTCCCGCTTCATGACCCAACCAATCCGCCTCATTGACTTCCCATGCTACGCAGACTACAAGTTCTATTTCGTACACCTCCAACTTGCTATGCGTGACTTCTACCGTGGTCGTGGATTTGGTATCCCCCTCGAATCCTTCTTCTATACTGAAGTATCGACCGGTCCCATCGGCAGAAAGGACTCCATATCGCATGAACAACAAATATCAAACAATTCTACTGAAAAACTCAAGTCCAAGGAGAAAACTCTTCTTTCCGTCGATGCCCGCATCTGCATTAATGAAGGATATCCATCACTCTGTCTCCGTATCCAACAACTAGCCCTCGTCGAATCACAAGACACGAACAAACTAATCCCACAATCCAGCGATCATATTCGCATATGCTGGCATATTCGCTCGGGATCAACAGAGATAGACGATCTAGTTCGTCAGATGGTACGACGGTTCCGAAGTGGCGAGCGTGGAAGCAGTCTAGTCGAACAGAACCGGTGTTCACAATGCAATACATCTTGGAAGATCCAAGTTCGAGAAGTCGAGGTTGAAGCACGACAGAAAAGCGTATGTCTTGTCATAACACGATGGATTGATCTAGGACCCGGGATAAGTCCCAAGGATCCGCGATGGAGATCGCTTATCGAGTCGAAACATACGTTGGAGAATGATCATATTGTTTCTGAGCCGCGAGCTCGCTTTGAGAGGAATTCAATGCAGGCGCTGGGACGTGAGATTGTGCTTTCTGAGGAGGCGATCTTTTGGAGAAATGTGGGCTTGCTTTGTGGGGAGAGATATCTGGATGTTATGGTGCAGATGGATTCTTCGAGATGGTATTTGAGTGCGGATGAGGATGGACCTTATGGGAAGGTTGAACGGATTGAGGGGGGTTTCCTCCTGCTGTGCTCTCGCTTGATGGATCAAAGTTATGGTTGAGATCCAGGTTTAAAAGTTCGGCGTGAGCCTTTTGAGCTGTATGACTAGGAATTTTTCAAGAAAATGAAATTGATATCTACTTCCTAACTCCTCGTATGACTTGAAGTATACATGGATAAGAGAACCCAGATTCGATGAAGAATTGCGCTCCTACCAGTTGACCACAATGTCAGGCATACGTCCACATATAGCACTTTAGATCGCTATATGTGTCTCTAGACTTCTAGTACGCGCTCAACTTTGAAATTCCCTGATTCTATTTTGATAATGCACCTAGCGGGGTTTCAATAACGAAGTCTAGATACTGCACCATCTAGCCCGACAGTACTCTACTTCGAGATCCCATGATCATCATGCAATGCAAGAATCTGCGCCCATGTGGATCACCACGAGCAGATTTCTGACCCTTATATTTCTCATGAAACACAAGTCAAACCTGGGATTTTCTATAGGCGATTCGCGGTGTTCACACTAGATATGCGGCTCCTAAGCCGGGCGCTTCGGGGGCCTATCGGAAATAGAGCAGGTGGGGTAGTATGTAGCATGAAGCAGATAACAAAATAATTTTCCACAAGCCTATCTCATTTGATGATTTATTTAAAATAAAATTGCTTTAACCTTGGAGGGGTATCAGTACTTCCATGACTGCCCAGGTGACACCACATAGCACTATCTAGAACCAACCCACCTGGGCACTCTTCCACTTACTTTCATCTTCATTCCAACAAAAAAAAAGAGACAAAAAGAATCCACTTTCTTGCATTACATTCGTATCTGCAGCTAACCAGAATACCCATTGCAGGTAAGCGCATAAGTCAAAGCCAAGCACGAATATCTACACCGCCACATGCAGACCCCTCCACCGTCCATTCATTATCTATTAATACCACCTCCCCGGTAAAACAAGTCAATTCCATAAGTGACTATCTTTGCTCCATGCTACTGGGAATCCTGGGATTGAAAACAATAACAAGGATTGAGTGAGTCTGTGCTGCACAGACGTCATAGTTAATATCGGGACCGATGATCGCCGCGTCACGCTGTCAGATGAGAGGTCACCACACGAACAGGTGGACGAGTCGGGAATTAGAGCGCATGACGACAATGGCGCTGACAAGCAGGGATTTTCAGCCCAATTGTCACACGTATATGAGCCTCGGCCTATTCGATTCCTCCTCGTGATCCTTGTCCTAGTAATTTCACGGTTTCGCAGGTAACAGGCTTATACATATGGTACAGATGAATGCTCTAGGCTTAATTCTACGTTATGCTTGGCTCTTGAAGGTTGTCAACACTGGCAGGAATGCTATGTAATAGATAACAACACTGGATATTCGAGACTTCCAAAGGCTACTTAGGTGCCACAGTCGTATCTGTTCATAAGTATTGTCTAGTTTAATTCATCCTATCGAAATTATGGGTCGCACTCCAAGACGTCTCGTCTCTGTGTCATATTCCTGGAGACAACTGGAGAACTCGATTTTGATGGAGCATTGGTCTTTCCTTGCAGGTGTGAGAATGGACAGCCCTGGAGCATAGTACCAATTCTCTGTTTGTCACTCTGCATTTCATCAATGCCTTTTCCTTCCAAAGACACAGGCCCTAGCTCTGAAATTTGGTACCCATTAGGACGGTATTCAGTAAGGTATTTTGAAGGCACAAAGCCTCCAGTTAACCATAACACCCATGAGTTGAAGTTCCATCTCCGTGTTAGGGTAGGTTTGATATACCATGGGTGGCCAATGTACTGCATAAAATGATATCTTCCCAAAGCATTCACATCTGATGTGAACCAGTGCGATCGAAGGGACTCAGGCCGAGGCAAGAAAATGTGTCTGATTAGGAACTTTCGTAAAATGACAACCATGTCTAGAGCCGTCTGGATCACCCACGTGGGCTCCTCTAGCCTGTAAATATCAGCATACGAGGTCAACCAGAAAACCAGTTATCAAGAAAACTTACATCATAGCTTGCTGAAGACGTTGATCAAGTAAGGCAGCGACAAATTTCATGCCGACGCTGTGAAGTATCCGAGGCACATTGGTCAAGCCGATCCGGAGGGTTGCAAGGGCCAAAGTTCTGTTGTGTTCATCTGGAACCGTATTCTCATTGCCGTATTGCTTGCTCCAGGCCTCAAGCTCCTCGAGCCAGTGGAGACCATCTTGCCATCCTGACTCAGCCGAGGGTAAGACCTCATATGGAATATCCATGACTTCACCCAGACTCTTCCAATAGACAGCTAAAGCACACCTTTCCACATCGGAGAGGGCTCGCCATTCGAATCGCTCTGTCCAGCGCACTGGTTCGAGAACAAAAAGGCTGAGTGTGTAGAGCATATCTTCATCCTTTATCTTCCCGGCTTTGCGATAACGATCATGAAGCCAGTTCATTCGAGCAATGGCATCCAGGTTTCGATCTGATCGTGGTTTATTCAACACGATCTCCGTGATGAGTACTCCAGTATCGGCAGCTCTTTTGGATGACGATGCTGGATCTGCAAGTTCCCCAGTCGCAACCAGCAACTTGGATATGGAGGGTATACCATAAGTCTATTATCATCAGTTTTTATATCCCTAAGAATGTTCTTCAATGCCGACAGGTGGATGCAAACCTTGAACAAGGCGAAGAAGACAGAAGTTGAGAATATGATAGGAAATTCTAGCTCGGCAAGCGACAGCTGGATCTCAAAAGCATCCTCCAAGGTCATGCGGGCAAAGGATTGGCGATCTTGATAGGGGTATTTTTGGGACAGAGAGTTCCTTCGTCGGAATCTCAATTTCTCGACAAGAACAACATAGCCAAAAACCGCCGCAATGGTCGCGAGAAGAAGCATGGCGTGACTCAACAAAATGTCCAGAGGAAAGAATTCAGAGGTTGATCGGTGATCTGTCAAGTCATTACTAGAGATCTATCTCTAAAGAATTGCAATCGAATTATGTGTTTGTCAGAGAATGAAGCAGTGTGATATTGAGGGGTGTCAACTAGGCTAGGTAACTTTCCAATGGAATGGGACCTTCGGATCTTGCCGCTCAGGTTGAGGTACTCCGTACAAGGCGGGGCGATGCCCAGGTCTAGGTGGGTCCATCTGATTCTGACTAATAGTGTAGATAGATGCCCAGGTGGATGCTGTAGCCGCCGGGGTGGAGCAGAGGGTTGGTCATATTCAGATCTAGTAACACTCAACTTCGATCCGCATATGACCAGTCTTGAGAAAATTCGCAGTGCCTAATGGAGGACTTCGTACGGAGTACTCCATACCTAGCGTGTCTCGAAACTAGTTGGCTTTTCAGGGGGCAGCTGTGAATCAGTTGTGACGGTTGAGCGGTTCGATTCTCAGCAAGCAATTCATTGATACCCGATGAACCTGATTCGAACAGAAGAGGAATTTCAGGATTATGACTGGATGGTGGGACTGCCCAAAGTCACCTGTGGTCACACGCCCCCTTCTGTGATCAATTCAAGGCCGTACATATCTATCAGCGGGAAAGACCGTCTTGGGCTCTTGGTGGATGATCGGCCCTGGCCCCACCATACTACAGGGTGATAAATATGCATTTTCTCAAAACCACTGGTTTCATGCGTACTTGAGAATTTCACTAGAGCCCGAGAAATGGGCCACTATTTACTACCTTGGATCTACTGACTGACATAATTTAGAGCAATCAATAATATTGTGGTTACCTCCAGGGCGCAGCCTGAGAGTGGTAGGTAACTATGGAGCATTCGCGAGCCATCTCTAGACAGGAACCTTGGAATCGGGACGAATTTAGGAAAATTTGAGAATTATAAAAAAAAAAAATTGAAATCACACTTCAAGTTGGACTAGGTTAGTTTGCGCATAGAGACGGGTCCTTCAACAATCAGGTATCGCACGGAAGATTCCACATGCAAGGTTCGGGCCCACAATTCCCCATGCGTTCGAATCATACACTCATGTCACCTATTAGAGAAGACAGGACATCCTCCTATAGATATCCTATATCGGGCCACTGGACTTCCAAATATGCTCTCTCAGGAAGACTCCTCAGGTTCACAAAAACTCCCACAATTAACACTAACCTCGCACAGAAGTATGTGATAGCAGGTATAAAAAACCAGAGGCATGTTGGCCACTTCAGCTTATAGCCACCTGCCGTATCCAAGCCTAGATTCTGATATTTCTCCCTGGAACATATAATGACTTCAGCAGTACCATAGGTAGCAAGTAGAACCCACATGATACAGCAGTTTATCCGCCAGATGATAACTTCAGCATCGGTTGCAAAGTCGAAGTGCCAGTCGGCAAAATGTATGAACGCAAAAGCTGCTGTGGTGATGCCGAGAGTAGCATGCTGACAAAATCCAAGGAGCTGTGGATCACGATCATTTGGTATACGGTCCATGCATTGCTTTTGAAAACCCATTTGACAGATAAAAGCAAGGACACGGCGAGACCATTTGCGGGATATATAGACTCGTGGCTCCACTTCTTCTAAAGTAGCAACATTGACACAGATATCTGAAAAGCCATCTAATTCTGATTCTGTGACTGTGAGGGATGACCGGCTCGCCTTTATTATGAATGGCTGTTGGACATCCATTGGTTTTCGAACCCAAAACGAAAGAGTTGTGAGAGATGTAAGAGCCAGTGCAGCACTGGCAAGCTCCAAAGGTGTCACTGGGAGATTTTCAATTGCGCGGGCAATTAGTCGAACCAGGAACCATGTTGTCTGACAAAATGCCAAAGCCTTTGTGCACATACCAGCCTTGCTCTTGTCACTGATATCTTTCTCCTTTATCTCAGGCAGCTTGGTATAGCCTTGTGCTATCAACCATGCTAATTGTTTAGCTGAAAGCGGAATGTAGTCTCCGTGCTGAAGTTGGAATACAATCCCCCCACTATCGGCAAAAAAGGCATGTGTCAGAGACCACTGGGTCTTATCGAAGCCCATACCGCGCATCTGAAGTACGGACCGATGTGCAGAAGACCATTGTCCACATGCAATAAGCATGAGAACTTCTGGAGCGAGGACGCCCAGCAGAACCCATCGCGCTTTCCTCCAAAAAATCATCCAGGAATCATCGGTGGGTGCGGGTAAGTTGAGGTGAAGCATTGCCCATAAACAGAGAAATATAGTAACAAAACAACTCCAAATAATATCCATGGTCCCGCGTTGATTGGGACTAGATTGCCAGCCATTTATAAGCGATGAGACAGTCATGACAGAAAAGACCAAAAATATTTGAGGTTCGAGGCGGCATAGAGTAAGAGCAAACTTGGATAGTATCTGGTGTACTTTGAATACGATCCTTTTTTTCTCTCTCGACGAAGAAATTCGGGGCTTGGAATCAATGATAAAGAAAATTTTCGTCTGTCGTATAAGATGAGACATACACTTGAATCGTCTCGGAAGCAGAATTTGTTTTCTTTCTTCTCAGTGATCCTGTCTCTCGTTGATTTTGCGACTATCCATGAAAGAGCGATGTCTTACATAATTATCTGGACTCCAACCTTGGAACCTTGGAAGAGAATGTTGATTAGTTGCAAGGTTCAAACATTCGAATGTTCCAGTGCAAGGTCAGCTCACATGTGCAGGATTGTGCCCAGATGATTGAGCCCTGGAGGCACATGGCCTGCATTGTATTATCTAGTAGGTTGGGGTCCACGGGTTGTATAGTGCTTACATACTTCAAGGTTGATCCAGCTTCGCTAAACCTTTCTTCTAACTTTAAGGTCACGGTGGAACTTGAACTTCAAGTCGAAAGAGAGATGCACATGTGCATGCCAGGTGTGGAACTAAAGCCCGGGATTTCAAGTTGTAGTCCACGGGTAGCGGTAGGAGCGTATGTATATATGTAGTATTATTATCTTAATTTCAAGTTTGTTGTGCTTCAATATTTCAGAGGGATGTCAAGTTTGATTGATAAAAATTGAACTTCAAGTTTCCAGTGTTCTTACTAGGTAGGTTGGTTCTCTCCATACCTATATACTAGTAATTTACAATATTCAATTTTTTTGTATGTGTATATCCAGATAGAGGATACTCCTCGTATATTCCTAGTAGCTGACATGTCTATGTATGCAGCACTCGAACCTTGAAAATAACCGATATCTATCTTTGGGAAAGATTGGCATAAAACTAAGCGCCCTGTCCTTAACAGAACTCTGGGGTTTTCCACCATGTATGTACAGCACATGCATGTGTGTAAATTGGGCATTTGATCCTGTATATGCTGCTATTGTTTTGATAGCATAACATCGCCAAGTACAGAGTAAAGATATAGCATATGCGGTGGACACTAGATGCAGGAATTGCAGCAAGAGAGCGGTTCCGCCGCCAATGGAATTCTCAGCCTCAAGAATCTTGCTATTTGACTGGTTCGATTAAAATATCCATGCAGTGATATAAGCGCCGGGTCGATGACCTGGAATATCCTAAGGTCAGATGTTAGTCCTTGGATTCAGCGACTAAAAATAGTTAAGGGGATCACTCACGAAGAACATCTGCCCAATATTTGAAGCGAATTCAAGCGTATGAAACGCCACTGTATGAGATGATTGGTGGGGCATGGGGTTTGTAACGTCCTAATGTTCCCATGGGTTGGCCAGGTGGGGCGGTGACGATGATGCCCATCCAAAACCTTGGAAGAGAATACACAAATCTATACCAGGTACAACCCTGGAAGTACAAATAAGAGGTAAAAAGTACTCATGATCAACGTTGAAGAATGCGGGAAAGATTATGAGACTGGTAAAGATGCTAATGAAGTCGTGTTGTTAGGTAGATGTAATCCTGGACCTCGGGTATAAAATGGGTGGATGCATGTTTCAACATGCAGAGAAAACAAGGAGCCTGATGGTCCCTGAGGCTGAAGAATGGAAGGGAAAAGAAGAATAAAACAATTTCACTCTATGTACTCCGTACACTCTGTATTGGTATAATGTAATTAAAAAGAGAAAAATGTGTGATGAGTCTATGACAATAAATACCCTCTGCCCCTCGGTCTTCTTTCTTACCCAATCCCAGCCCCTCTCCCCCTCAGCTGAGCGGCGATCCCGATAAGCCTCGTGTTCTGACGCACAAGTCTTTCGTATTTTCCCTCTCTTCTCTTTTTCCTCTTTCCATCTCTCCCTAATCATTCTCGAGGGCTTGGGCTCGGGCCTCTACCAGGGTCTACATACTCAAACCAGTTGACATTCATCTGGACAACTGAATTTCTGAAAATCAACTACCAGTTTGATCAACACCTTCAACTCAAAATGCCTGTCGATTACTACTCTTACTCCGATGATTCGGACATGTCCGAGACAGATGTCTCCATCCGTGGTCGTGACAAGCGCACCCATATCCGCCGTCGCTCCGTCTCCCGCCACCAGCAGCGACGCCAGGAACCTCCCAAGCCGGTATTCCTGGCTCCAGCAGCGCAAACCCGGGTATACCGATCCGCATCAACGGGTGGAAACCGTCCTCGTGAGCGAGACACTCCACCACAAGTGATAATCTACAACGACCAAGTAACCCGCGCACGCATGCACGCAAACAATGATAACGAAAACGACAACGACGCCGCAAACGCCAACTCCAATAAACCACGGAACCGCTTCTCCCAGCGCTCCCAAGCTCAAGCTCAAGCCTACGAGCCCGAGTCCGAGGAAGAGGAGGCACCTCGGGCGCGCAAGCGCAGTTCTCACCATCAGCGCGAGCGCGCTAGTAGTGGGATCTCAGCTAATGTTAACGTTGGCACTGTACCCGCTGAGGCTCGAGCTCCATCACCATATCACCATGAACACCATGATCACCGGGACTATGAACTGCTTATGGGTCAGCGGTTCCTAGAGCGCAGTGATATTCGTCGCGATATGGAGATGTGGAAGTTGCAGCAAGAAGTTGAGCGATTGCAACGCGAGCAGGATAAGCAGGATAAGTTAGAGAGAATAGAGAAACGTGAGAAGCATCGTGAGAAGACTGAACTTCTGATTGAGGCGCCTGCGGCGCCCCCCACCACCACCACCACAACGAGAATCGCGACACCATCGTGATGAGGAAGATGAGTGGTATGATGATGAGGTGCATGATCGCTTGCGCCGATTGGATCGCTATGAGCGTAAGGCTAAGGATGAGGAGGCGCAGAAGAAGGCTGAGAGAGCTATGCGGTTGCGGAAGCTTGAAGAAGCGGAGAAAGAAGCTGCTGAGAAGGAAGAGGTTCGGGAGAAGTTGAGACTGGCGAAGTTGGCGGAGATGGCTAGACAACTGGAGGAAGATGAGGAGAAGGAGAGGATTAAGAAGGAGATTCTGGAAGAAGAGCGCCAGAGGAACTTTGAGGCGGCGGAGAAAAAGAAGAAGGAGGATGCTCTCAGGGAGGCGGCGGTGGAGGAATGGAAGTTGGAGCAGGAACGTCTTCGTCAGAAGCAGATGGAGGAGATGGTCGCGAGAGATCGTCAATTCCGAGAGAGACTACGAGTTGATCTGGGTTACAGCGAAGAGGAGATCGCTGATATCCTGAACAAGAAGAAACGGGATGAAGAGAAGAAGCAGAAGAAAGAGAAGAAAGAGAAGGAAAAAGAGGAGAAGGAAAAAGAGGAGAAGGAGAAGGAGGAAAAGGAGAAGAAAGAGAAGGAGGAGAAGGAGAAGCTCGACTTTGAGGAGCGAAAGACTACTTGGATCAAGGTATGTCCATGATACATTCATCCATATAGAGATGATATAGACTAACCCTCACTAGGTCCACCGCAAGCATCTCCTCCCTGAGACTTTACTCGCCTATAATCTGCCTTGGGACTGGGATGAGGTATGTTCACTCCTACATCGATGTGTGCACCTACTCATATACTAACTTCCCTCTAGCATGACAGTAACTATATCATTATCAAGCGATGGGTCACCGAGGACTTCCAGGAGGAACTCTTTGCTCATACCAAGCGAATTCGCGAAGGAAAGGTCCTTGCTGAGACATCCCATTCGTCCACCGAGCTCCGAGTCAACGATCGAAAGGGTGATCGCATGTATCTTGTGCGCAAGAAGAGTCCCCAGCACAAGTTGCGCATCTTTGCTACATAAGTGGCTCTACCATTTACTCATGATGAAATCATGATCTCTTCGATATATTATTTGATTTATGCTCTGCACTGATTATGTTGGTTGCGTTCAGTTCTATTACGAGACCCGGAAATGCTTTGAAATTGCCTTGAGTTGAGATTCTTTTCGAAGCTGTCTACCATAAGTGGCGCAGTAACGAGACACGAGTTGATGACTTTTTCCCTTTAGTTCATGTTTTCTGTTTCAAATGTTTGTATCGTGCCAATCGCATCATACGCCCTCATGTTTTATGTATTCAGGTCCCAAGTTTATATTCTTACAACAAAGAATTCACCGCGCCTAGTATGTAGATCCCAGATCCACAATGCTGCAATATAGCCCTAGATAACTGCAGCACCCAATAGTAAAACACCATGAGCCCTATTGGGCTATGCGAAGTGCAAAACGTGCAGGTGAATAACATGATACATACATACCCGCTGCATTGTCTCAAATCTTAATAATACAAGATGGAACGAGTAAGGATAACCTTGGAAGTGGAATGAGAAATTAAGTACTCATGGTCACTTGGGGATTCGCGGCCCACCGCTTCTCAGCCCTGAGAATGAGCTCCTCATACACAGTCCAAGCGAGCGCAGAGCTTATCGCCTTGCGCGTCATACGGAGACCCAGTCCGCCGAATAAACTGCGCATTCCATCCTCATGAATCATCAAACGTACAGCACGAAGCATATTTCCATATTTAGCCGGCATGAGCTGCAACCGAGTTTTCACTGCATCGAAAGGATTCGTAATAGCAGTAGCCAGACCAGCTGCCATAGCTCCAGACACGAAGTGAATGGATGAGGAAGAGACGGCGGACTGTGGTATCGTATCGTTGGGGCTAGTTGTCATGGATGCAAATCGTCGCTTCAACTGTTCGTAAATGAGCACGTAAAGACCGGCGTACGGGGCATCACGAGCGGCCGTTGCGCCAAACCCGGCAAACAACCCGCGCACACCCTCTGTACGAACGATGTCTCGGCCTGCGCCGACCAGACTACGGTAGGCGTAGTAGTCTGATTCGTAGCGCACTTTGAGCACGGTTACGGGCATCATGACGAAGCCGGCAGCTACACGAGCAACGGCACCAGTGGCAAGGTTGGCGGTGTTGGAGAGTTTAGGGAGAGCGGAGGAGGATTGAGGTTGGTTCGTGAGGACGAGAGGAGCGTTGGCTTGGGCGATTGTCTGGCGGAGAGAATTCAGGCTGGTGAAGTAGAGAGCTGAGCCGAAACCTGTACGGAGAGCAGATGGGAGGGTGCCACGCCATAGTCCACGGATCGGATTTTCAGAGGAGAGAATTGTTTTCAGAGTTGGCAGGAGGGATTGTTGAGATTGTTGGACTCTGGTCTTCAGTAGATCGGCGGGTTGTAGGAGGATGGAAGACGTCAGGCCTGAGCAGAGGCCAGCAGTGAAGTGAAATATGGTTTTAGAGGCTATTGTATTAGTGTAATTAGTTTGGGCCCATGCAGATCGTAAGAGTGATAGGGTGGAGGCGCATACATTTTGATGTGCCTTGCTTGACATGCGGCACAACGTACGCGCCATTGTTTGACATGGCTTCGGCGCCTGCACCGTTTTGACCAACTGGATGTTATTCAATGAGGTTGATTGAGTGTCAGGTTTGTGTCAGGTCTAGCCCAATCTCATAGAATATCGTGGTTGACAGGGAATGACAAGGTTTCAGGCCAGCCGCATGCAGGCGGAAAAATGTAGGAAAAAAACGCCGGGAAAAGGATCAAGGAGGGTTATAGGTAACGGCGAGTAGACATCACTACCCAGTGACAGTAATGAAGGGGAGGAATAGGAAAATGATCCTATTAAGAGGATCAAAGAGGGATTGGAGTATTGTTTGAGAGAAAATATGTAAGAAGTGAAGTCATCGGAATCGGGCAAAGCCTCGGTATCGATAAGAATCGGGATGTTCATTGGATCTTCCAGCCTTATAGCCAACTGGTTAGCCGTTATTCTTTATTACATTCTTTTGAAATCTATATTTCTATAGAATAATAAAGAAACTTCTCTATAAATTAATTCAAATACCTCATACTCTATATGTATTTACTATCAACATTAAACTCATCACAAAAGTTCATGCAAACGGCGGAGTTCCACGGGCCCAATTAAATCCCGCGAAATGACCCACTATGATCGACGTCATGTGCGGAGTGGCAGAGTGTATCGCACTTGAGCTTTCTCACCTTTCACATCCTTCATGCCCCTCATATTTTTCTCATAATGCGGTGGCCTCTTCCCTCCTTTCCGTATCCGCCGTCCAAGGATGGATTTTGGAATCCTGTCACCTCTACCCTTAACTGGTGTGAAGAGGTATACTATGAATTGGGCCCCACTAATACCCCAGGTTCCCAGTTGACACTCTCTAGGACTACTATGCCACCATTTATTCTGCTGAAATTGTCAATACCTTGACGAATCTCCTGTTTATGGGGTTAGGCTTCAAGGGTATTATTAGCTGTCGCCAAAATCAGCATGATCAGATCTTCTTGGTGGCTTATCTGGGCTACCTGGTGGTGGGAACTGGTAGTTTCCTATTCCACTCGACGCTGAAATGTAAGTCTGATCCAAACAGGATGAAAATGGCTATCAGCTGGGGATTTTGGGGGGAAACTTCAAATCTCAAGCTAACCAAAATGTTCTAAACAGACCCAATGCAACTCGTGGACGAGCTCTCAATGATCTACACAACCTGCCTCATGGTCTACGCCAGTTTCTCATACACCCGCCCGGTGAATGTCCGCGTTATACTAGGCGTTTCGCTCGCCTTACTCTCTGTATTTATCACTTTGTACTATCACTACATTCAGGATCCCGTTTTCCACCAGGTTGTCTATGCGATCTTGACCACCGTGGTTGTCCTGCGTAGCATGCACACCATGGAGGTCACTTTACGGCCCCGGTGGCGCAAGTCCCGCGAAGAAGACCGGCTGGAACGGCAGAAGCAGGGACTACCAGTGCCTACCAAAGAGCGCCAACATTACGAGAATGTGCGTGACATGAAAACCCTCAAAACAATGTGGTTCATGGTGGCATACGGCCTGAGCATTTTCCTCGGTGGATTCGCCATCTGGAACCTAGATAACCAGTTCTGTTCTAGCATTCGTCGATGGAGACGGCAAGTGGGCCTGCCGTGGGGGATATTCCTGGAGGGTCATGGTTGGTGGTATGGCTTCCTTTCCTATCTATCCGGTGCTACACACTATGTCTTGAGTCCTACTTACTCCATTTCTAGGCATGTCATGACTGGTGTCGGTGCATACCTGTACATCATCTGGGGCATCTGGCTACGACACTGTCTTAATGGTCGTCAAGACGACTATCACCTGCGCTGGGCGCATTTCTGGCACTTCCCCGAAGTGATTCGTACTACACCTACATCCGACAATGGCGTTTCCCGAGCCAAGAAGTCTACCTAGAGTTTTAAACTAGATTGTGGGCCAGGGCGTTTCTGGGTCCACCTTATCCAATACTTACCCCGATCACCCTTTGCCATTCTTTTGAAGATATGGCAACTAGTGGCTGGAATAAAAGTAGAAAGCATTTTGATGTCTGACTCCTTTTATGTTGGAGTGTTCCTGGATTACTATTTCTTCCCACCCTTCAAATATGGATGAAACCTTCTGCCGCTCATTGTTGCACATGTCTCGTCCCGGTGACGGAAACTGAAATGAGCTGACCATAGATATACTTTTTGTTCTCTTGTGGGTTTCACTGGCTTGATAGGGAAATTGCGGCGTGTTGCTATATCCATGAATAGATGGAGTCAAGTTTATATTCTTACTGACATGTTGATTCTCTGCATATGCACTTAAGTGCTTTCAATTACTCACTTTGTTGTGAGACTATGAAAGACATGATATCCTAAGGTTGTGCCTATCCATGTTTTAGTACTTGTATATGGCCCAAGTCTCTTCCAAGTTGATTCAAGTTTTATAGTACCTACCTAGTACCTATGATAGTAGACACCCATGATACCAGCCATAGCCTTAGAATATTCCTCCATCCTCATACCTAAGCACCTGGGCAAGGATATGATAATTCATAGACTCCTAGTAGTAGTACTACTAGTAGTTGCCAATATAGTAGGGTGGATCTTCCTTAGAGTAGCATATTGGAATCACTGGCAGTCAGGAGCAGTTCATTTTTAAAAGGTATCAAGAGAAGGGCTGCCAGGAGGAGAAATAAAAAAAAAGAAACGGAGAAAGCAGGGGTCGAACCGGGGACTTCTAGATTTCGCGATGTTTTTCTCAAGTGAGGCATCAATATAAGCAAGACGATGAAAGCTTTGACTTTCAAAAAATCATAACAAATCTAATAAAATAGATAGAAATATGGAAGTAATATTAAAAGAAAGAACAAAAAGAAAAAGGCTCCGCAGAAGTCTTTCACATAGTCCGCTGCATGCTTTCTCACGGTGGTGTTCCACTTAGGCAAGTCTCACGCTCGCTGATGCTACTTGACAACCCTCAGTCCCAGCATTCTAGTCTTATGGTATCATAGTGTCAAATCACATCGGGACAGACACGATAGCCCGCTGAGCTACTACGATGCGGATGGTTATCCAGACTCCCAAATTTACCTCTATAACTGAGAAAAAGTTAAGGCCACAATTTGCAGGCACCATATCACCAGTTGACTTCTGCTACTAAATTTTGACTTTGCTCAATAAATGAATGTATAGAATTTCATAAATTGTATATGAGTCTTAAAAGCCTGTGGATTGAAAATTTATCTGTCAAAATAGTAGAGGTGGACTGATACTCCGTATTCAGGAAAAATTTAGGAGTGTAGATCAACCATTTTATACTCGCATTTGCCACGTGACCTGGCGTCAGCTCGCGCGGCGCGTCTTGATACAACTTATTTCTCCACCATTACAAATAGCAACAAAATCCCCCTCAGCCATGGCACAGCCAGAGGACCCCAAGCTCTTCGAGCAGTGTCGGGTCTGTATTGTTTGTACAGACTCACTCCCCTCGAGACCGCACAACAGGTATGTTCTACGCTAGTGACCCCGTCGCGCGACGCCGGACTTACAACCCTCTAGTTAGCAGCAGTTATCGAGGAATATGGCGGCGAGCCATTAATCCACCACTCCACCCCTACAAAGGAGGAAACGACTGGGTCAACTCACATTGTCTCCGGCACGATCAATTTCGAAACATACGACTTAGCTTGTAAAGCTTTGATCCCCGTTGTCAAGCCATCATGGGTACACACTTCTCTACAGAAGCGCAAGATTGCCAACCCCCGTCAGCATAGTCCTGACCCGCGCCTTTTCCTGAACGACGTTGTAGTTACATGTGGTGACATCCCAGAAGGAGACAAAGATGCGATCATTGGCGGGGTCTTGGCCAAAGGCGGGTTGTACAGCTCTCGCATGTCCGCTATGGTTACTCATTTGGTGGATTTGACAATCGAGTCAGACAAGGCACGTCTGGCACGTGCTAAGAATCCGCGTGCAAAGATTATTCTTCCTCATTGGTTTGTCTGGTCTATATATCTTTGGAAGTAAGACTATACTGACTAGATCTAGGTTTGATGACTGTTTGAAACTTGGTCAGCGTATCGACGAGCGCCCGTACATACTTCCCGATCCCGAGATTCTACGGGCCGGCCCTGATGATCCCATCAGAGGGAATGTAAATAAGAGTCTGGCGGGTGCGTCAACTCCTGAGCCCGCTGCCTTGCCTACTCCGAATGATGATGAGCGCATGACTCCTAGTGTCTTCGATGGGAAGACCATCATGCTGTCCCCAGACTTGGGTGTCGGTTCTCGTCTACTAGACTCAATAGAAACCGTGATCAAACAAGGTGGCGCAGATGTGACAGGTAACGTGAATGAGGCGGATTGGGTTATCTGTCGCTTCCGTGAGGGAGTTGTCTACCGCACTGCTTCGCGATTGAATAAAGAAGTTGGTAATCTTGCTTGGCTTTATTCTTTGATGACCTTCAATGAATATACTCGCCCTCTCAGCAGATTGCTCCATTACCCTGTTTCGCGCAGCCCTGTGCCTGGTTTCGAGGGGCTGAAGATCAGTTTATCCAACTACGTGGGTGAGGCTAGAATTTATCTCGAAAATTTGATTGCGGCAGCCGGAGCCGATTGCACAAAGACTTTGAAGCAGGAGAATACCCACTTAGTTACTGCACATGGAACGAGTGAGAAATGCACGGCTGCAAGGGAATGGGGTCTGCAGGTTGTCAACCACTTATGGCTAGAAGACAGTTACGCTGCCTGGAAACTGCAACCGGTTTCTGACCCGCGCTACAACCACTTTCCGTCGCGCACGAACCTTGGAGACATTGCGGGTCAGAAGATGCTGGACCGTGATGTTCTCGAGAAGAATTTCTTCTCATCTGAAGACACCAAGCCCTCAAGCCCTCAACCTGCGAAGGCAGAGAAAAGCAAAAACGCAACTACGATGCAGCCTCCTACTGAGAAGTCACGAAAGGCTGACAAGAAGGCCGCTGCGACTACAGATGGTACAATCGAGTCACCGCAGGCCAATGGCAAAGGCCGCAAGGTCGCAGAAAAGAAGATCCAGACTCCTATACGATCTCGGCTCGTGCCAGATGACAAGGAGAATGAGACGCCGTCATCAACTAGCAGTCGTAAATCCAAGGAGGCGGCCATCGCACATCTTCATGAGCTTGCGCCAGACATTGCTCTTTACGAGAAGGAGAGAAAACGAGTTGGCGGTGTCATCCACGGTGGCAGACGCAAGTCCGACGAAGACCGCGTGCGCGAGAATCCCAAGAAACGCCGCTCGGTTGATGCCGAGGGTGAGAGCGATACTGAACAAGCAAATGAGGCGAAGCGACCTAAGAAGTCTCGACCCACTATTTCAATGCATCTACTGATTACTGGTTATCAACCATGGGTGGGCAAAGGCAAGGAGAAGAAAGAGGATGCAGACAAGGTATGTGGATATTATATTGAATCTAATTCTATCAATGCAAAGGCCAACGCTCACATTTGCAACAGCGTCATCTTCGAGACCTAGGTATTATGGTAATCCAGGATGCGCGTCGATGCACCCATATGGCCGCGCCGTCAATTCTGCGCACTACCAAGTTTGTCAATGCATTGGCATATGCTCCCTTCATCGTCAGCACGGATTTCATTACTGAGTGTCTGAAGCAAGATGAGTTGCTTAACCCGGCAGATTTCCCATTGGTTGATAAGGCTGCTGAGAACAAGTTCGGGTTCTCTATGGTCAAGGCCATAGGCAATGCGAAGGACAACAAGAACAAACTTCTCAAGGGCTTCCGTATCTACTGCATTGATGATATCCGCGGTGGGTTTGATGCATTCAAGTCTATCGTGGAGGCGAACGGAGGAGAGTGTCTGGTTTTCCGCGGTCGCCTTGCATTGACAAACCCATCCCGACGTGAGGAGAGCGATGATGAAGACAGCGACATGGAAGACAACGAACCCGGCCGACATGATGTGTTCCTTTTGAGCAGTGCTGAGTCCAAGCATGCACGTCTTTGGCCTCGATTTCGCCAGGTTGCTGGCGATATCAAGCGGACACCTCGAATTGTTCGGGTCGACTGGTTACTCGATATGGCGATGTCACAGGAGTTGAAAGGAGTCGATGAGTATGAACTCACAGAGGAGATGATTGAGGATCTTGAGTAGAGAGATTGGGGTATTTCCTCTCCGCTAAATTTGGATTAAAGGCTTTGTAACCATGCAAATGTCGTGTACATGGTAGGCGCAATGGCCGGAGTTGGCCCGCACACATGGTGAATATCTGAGCGTTCTTTTTCTTCTTTCTTTCTCGTCACGAATAGCCATGTCTTCCTGTTTAGTAGAACTTGACACCTTCCTGTCCCTCGCTTCCAAATACTTGTGCCTTGCCACGCTTAGCCAGAACGCCCAGTGCTTTTAGCATTATGTCGTTATCCATGCCATGGAATTCTATAAACATTATTAGCATGATCGACAGCTTGCAAGAATATGAATAGGGTTATCCAACCTTGAGAAACGGTTCCCTCCCCTTGTACCAACTCATAAACTGTTAACACAGCACCCTTCTGTCCAGTTCCCTCCACCCAGTCTACTATGACATCCGCCCACTCCTCCGGTCTGCGCCACCAAATCCATGCCACAGACTTGGGACCTTGGTTCCCAGAGCTAGAAGAAGAATCTATCCACTCTGCTCGTCGTCCACCACCACCTTCCTCCTCACTCTTAACCATCCAATCTACCACGTCTCGTGCTTCGCGGAGATCTAGACGCTTACGCAGCGCGGTATTATGGAAGAGTGGACTATCGACTGCTTCGACCAGCGATAAGCGATATTGTTTGTGGTGTCGACACCAAGCTTGAATCAAGGAGGACCATTTCTGGAGTTGAGCCTGACGGGTATTTGTATTTGGCTGCGGGGTGAAGAAGGGGGGAAAGTTGTAGGTTGATGGGAACTGGAAAGGAGTTGATGTTGCCATAATGTATTATTCTGGTAGCAAAGACCAGAGAAGACGAATATTCAGACACAAGATAAAAGGAAGAAAAGTAGTTTAAAAGTCGAGAATGAAAACAAAACAACCTTAGAAGTGGTGAAGTCGAAGCTGTCATAAGGTGTAAACGGGTAAACCAATCGGAGTCGTGGTGGGGCTCCCGCAAATTATTCAATCTTCAATCGATTTCTACTTTTACTTCACTTTCAAGCTGGATATATCAAACTCTTTCACATTGATCCCGACACCTCAATTAAAATGCCAACTCCTCAACCCGTCAAGCGCCAGAAGCGCGAGGAGTATCGCCGAAAGCTCCAGGACCAACAAGCTGCCGATGGCGAGGTCAAGATGCCGCAGAAGAAATTCTTCCGGCAGCGCGCGCATGCGAATGTCTTCTCGGATCACCATCTTGAATAGTAAGTACACCTTCCTGTTCAATAAGCTTTCCGATCTCCTTATTTTGAGTCCGAAAGGCCACTTCAAGTCCGATCTTGGACACCACAACTGGACCACAACCCCTCCACACAGCAACCAGGCAGACAAAGCTAACAATCTCCATATAGTCCTACAAGTCCCGCACACATGGACTGGTCCTCGCACTACCCAGCCTTCGTAGACCCCGACCCAACCCACCAAACCCTCAGCGGCACCCGCAAGCTCCTCAAAGACGTCGAAATCGTCGACATCGGCTGTGGTTTCGGCGGTCTACTCGTGGGTCTAGCACCTCTGCTCCCGGAGACATTAATTGTAGGACTGGAGATCCGCACCTCAGTCCTGGACTACGTGCGATCACGGATTCACGCACTACGACTCCGTCAACAGCAATTAAAGCAGGGCGACGTTGCACCTGTCGAAGTCGAAGAAACAGATCGACCAGCTGATGCGCCTGCTCCGGAAGATGAAGTCGGAACCACAAATGCTCTTGTTCCAGGAAACTATGAGAATATTTCCGGAATCCGCGCAAACACAATGAAGTTCCTGCCCAATTTCTTTGCTCGACACCAACTCTCTAAGATCTTTATCTGTTTCCCTGATCCGCATTTCAAGGCCAGGAAGCATAAGGCAAGAATTGTTTCTGAGTCGTTGAATGCTGAGTATGCTTATGCTGTGCGACCTGGTGGAAAGTTGTATTCTATTACTGATGTTGAGGAGTATCATCATTGGATTCTGAGACATTTTACCCTGCAAGATGATGAGGATGTTTCGATGGGTTCGTCGAAGTTCCTTTGGGAACGGGTTGAAGGGGAGGAGTTGGAGAATGATCCCTGTGTGAAGGTTATGTCTTCTGAGACTGAGGAGTCGAAGAAGGTTACACGGAATAATGGAAACAAGTATGTGGCTGTATTTAGGAGGAAGGAGGATCCTGAGTGGGTTTAGATGATGGACTCGAAGATGGATTGGGGTTATCTGGAGTATCTATATATGGTTTTATCTCTTTACGCTGATTTTTGTACCCAAAATAAGATATCATTTGGTTTATCGTTTTATCTTCATCTCTACCATGCTTGACGCATAAACATTCAATCGTAACAATCTGCGCTCGCTATGACCGAAACCCCATCACAAAATCTAAGAAAATGGACAAAAAAAATACAAAGAATCCCGAACAAAGTAAATCATAAACATGAACATGAACATGAACATCACTCAATACCCGAAATCGAATCAATAAGTCGTTCAGATCATTAGCGTGGAAATGGGGTTAGTAGGATACGGGATAGATCTAGCACATCCCTGGTGCTTTAAGACGAATACCTTCACAGTTCTCACAGACAGCAAGCTGTACAGGTCCACCGATGATACGACCCTTAGCTGTACGCTTTGGCTCGCCCTCACGAACAAAGAAGCGGCCATCAGGTCCGAATCCATCGCCACATTCATGGCAGACGAAGCAGCGATCATGCCACTGTCCGCCAATGGCAGTAACAACGACATCGTCGAGAACATGCTGTTTGCAGCCCATACAGCGAGATGCAGTACGACGAGAATGGCAATCAAGACACCAAGCAAAGCCTTCTTTCTCCACAAATGGAGTGGTTGAGTTGAAGGGCTAAAGGGAGAGAATTAGTATATAATATTAGATATGTGAGAAGAGGGTTAACTTACATCTCCACACTCAGCGCAGAAGAAGTGGCCGACATGCCATTCTGCACCACAGGCAACAACCACCTCACCCTCAATCGGGGTCTTACAGCTCTTGCAGCGAGGACTGAACAATTCGTGGAAGTCTAGGTGACAGTAGAACCGGGGCAGACGGTCTTCATCTGGTGAGCTTGCTAGGCGTTCTTCGCGACTGGCAGCGGGCTCCTCGTAGAAGGCAACGCATTCCAGAGCCGTCTGGCAATGGAAGCAAACGAAACATTCCGGATGGAAGCGGCAGCCTCCAGCAGTAACAATCTTCCCTGAAATACCCAAGGAGCAGGATTCACAGCGGGCAGTTGGCACACCTGATCGAGTGTACGGTGTTGACCACCGGTCCTGTGGTTCCGAAGGCTGTCGTCGCAATGGTGTCTGCCTTGTTGTCCGGCTGTCTTGTTTGGTCGTAGAGGCCATTTCGGAAATAGTAGGCTCCTTGATATCCGGGACATTGATTACGGGAATCGAAGGCGGTGCTGATACTTCGATACTCGGGGTAACCTCAATGCTCGGAGTGACCTCAATGCTAGGCGCGACCTCAAAGGTAGGGATGGGAAGCGCAGGAGCGGAACTTGGCGAATCACGGCCTACAGTGGCCTGGCGATCAGGTTTTGGCTGACTTCCTGGTCGCCACTTCGGGTCGAAGCTTACAATCGGTCGCCCAACACGATCACTGACCGCCGAGGGCCTGGGGAGATTTTCACTTCGATCGTTGAGTCTCTTACTCGTAGCAGCTCGGATATCATCACCGCGGATCTCAATCCCATTCTTGGTACGGACTTCTTCTTTCTCAACAGGCTCCGGTGGAGGTGTCGGCTCGTTTCTGGTATAGCCTGCGTTCCGAGACTGAGTGGGCGGGTTCTTATGAATATCAAACTTGGAAATTTTGTCCCGCACAGAGCCATTGGAGTTTCGATCTCGCAACCAAGGGAGGGGCTTCGAGACTCGAGGAAGTGCATTGCGGGGTGTGTTTCGGAGTGCCGAGGAGTCGGACCTCGAGAATTCATGTCGACTGTCGGTTTCCTCCTTAATAACATTGGCGGGCTCTTCGTAGATGTGATCATTTGGGTTTTTGAAAACACCCTTGGAGGAATCACCACTGACAGTGCGGGGTTTGGGAGTGAGGACCGGTGGATCATCTGGCAAGGCGAAATTGACCCTCAAGTTCTTTCTCACATTTCCTGCAATAGACGACCTTCTACCGTTTGTAACCTCCGGGCTAGATGGATTACTCGAAGATGGACTCGATCCAATTGAATGGCGATTTTGTTGGAAGGGAGACTCGGGGCCCTTTTCGCACGGGACTTTCACTGCCTCGGTTGGAATCCGGGTTACGATACGGCGCAAAGGGGTTCTTGTTGGCCAATCCGGGGTTCTGGTGCATCCAGACCAGCTCAGTAGCCTCGTCTTGAGCTGCTTGGTGCAGAGCGTCGTCGTCATCTAAATCCAATCCTTGCAGTGCGTCACGCAAAGAACGCGCCTCTTCTTTTTCGTGGCGTCGCTGGCCGTTCTCTCGGTAGGAGAGAGCTGTCGACGCAGTGATGGGGACCGAACGAGAGAAGACCTGGGATGGGAAAACAGCTTTGCGGACAGAAACAGAGCGGGGTTCTTGTGTTAATGGACGACCAGCGGGGCCACTCTGGGGAGCATGGGAGGTGGTTCGACGATGTGACAACGCGCTACCAGCACGAGGTTGATCACGAGGTTGATCTTCGGCGAGGTCCTCGGATGAACGATACATTGAGAATGCCGAAGAAGCACGAGGGGGAAGCTCGTCCTTTAAATCAGAGGTAGAATCAGTTGCCGCTCTACCAGGGTAAGGACGAGAGCCTGTAGGGCGGTTTGGACGATTGGTTCGGAGGTCTTTCAGGTAGTTGGCTGTCGAGGCGCATTAATATAAGCTTTTCTCGGGTCTCGCGTAAAGCATGTTCAAGTATATTAAAACGGCTAGCATCGCGTCCTAGCCGTGATTTAAAGGATTGGGCGATGAGTCAGGGTCTCACTCACCGATCTGATCGCTAGACATGTAGCTTGGACCGGGAGGAGAGACCTTCCCTTGGTCACTTTGGCCACCATGGACAGTCTTGGAATGTTTATGCATGGTATTGAGAATAGCTGGACCTCGGGAGATTGAATCCAGCAATGTGACAAGGGTTGAAGACGCGACGTCAGGGATCGAAGGTATGGAACTTGAACTTAATTAAAGTCGAGCGGGTCACGATCTCCGCTTCGATTGTACCCAAGTGCGGGCCCAAACAAACACCTCCAGGGCAACCATAGCCTAATAGGGGTAGGGCTTAGGGCTATATGCTTATCTATATCTTATCTATTCAAATGTTATCTTATCATTGATGTCATATCAACACCACATCTGCATACCTCCGGTTCATTGGTAGAATTATATCATGATTTATATACTAGTAGTATTAGTTGCCAGTGCATGTGGGTTTTCGAGTTCAACTTTCTTCAAGTTCGACATTCAAGTTGAATTTGAAGTTGAACTTGATTCGCTGCGTACAGGGCTACTAGTAGTAGTACAGATACATATCAGACCTCGGGACCATTCATGGAACTAGATCTCCCATAAATTTGAGTGACAAGCTCCCCAGGTAACATCTCTGCCCTGCTGGCTTAGCGGCTTATGGCGGTCGGTGACCCAGACTCGACGGGGACAAAGGTACTGAAATTAGGTATGCCGGGCCTAGTTTCAGTGGCAGAGAAAATACCTGCGGGCGGGAGGGCATCTAGCTACGGCTAGGGATAATGACTTTTTTAATTTTTTTTTTTAATTTCTTACCCATTATATCTCTAGTCTTCCTCTTTCAATTCCAACTTTCAGATCCTCAAAATAAAAATAATTGATGGAGATAGAATGGATTATGTGCTGAGGATGGATGTATCAAGTGAGGCTTTTGAGGCTATCCGCGCATTTCTGATTTCGAAGGTCCTGGGTTCAATCCCTGACCTTCCCGGATTTATTTTATCTTTTTTTCTTCCAAGGTTGTAGTACTGACTTGAGCGTCAATCATCATACTATTTCAAGTTGAAGTTGAACCATGACGAGAGGTCTCTGAACTTCAGGCTTGCCGAGCCACTCGCAGCTGTTCAAGCTTCAGGGTTATAGATTTGAATACAAGAGAGCAAAGTACTTTAACCTCTGGGATAAGGCTGCTAGGCTCTTAGTAGGTCAGTCGCGATCAGATCACGTTATTTCTTCTTTTTATGAATCCCCCCTAAATATTGACTTTCCCATCTTGCTCATGCTCATACTCATGATGACTCTGATATAGTTCCAAGGTTATTATCCCCATCACGGCCCTATCCATACACCCATAGTCCTCTCCGCACCGGCTTCTCGGCACCATCAAACTCTCAAGTGCTCGGACTCCAGTATCCACTTCGACCCCGGGGCCCAAGGAACCACCCGTCTCCACTCCAAACCCCGGTTACATCTTCTCGACCCTAATTGCTTGATCGTGCAGCAAAGTCCATGGATAAATTCCGTCATTGGCTCGAAATCGCCGAAATCCTGCAATCAAGAAACGCTGAACCTGACCTCGGACTATGGCTGACCATTCTACTCGTACAGTGCGTTCAAACCCCGGATATTCACCCGGAAATGAGTGTCGGGTTCAAGTCCGACATCAAGAACCCCACAATCGCAGTTTTGGGACTAGGCGATCAGACTAAGATGTGTTCAATCAATTCATTTCATTTATGACTCCTTTTGTCTCTTTCCGAGTCGTTCTGTCCCGAGGTCTGAAATGCCATATTTTTCTATGCGACAAATAACTTGAGCCTCATACTAGATTCATCGCCACCAGCAAAAGCTTGAGCTAGAACTAGAACTGGCAAAAGCTTCACTGCCGCAGACTTATCACTGGATATGGCAGATAATCTGCCTATCGATGTCATCCAGTCTCACCAAGAAGACCAGGACTCGGTAACAAGCTCCAAACATACAGCAGAGATACCCACCTCACAAAACGCATCACGACCTGAAGCGAATGAGGACGTGGACGAGAAATACAAGCAGGATGTGCCTCCAGATGGTGGCTATGGCTGGGTCTGTGTCGCATGTGTGTTCTGGATCAATGCGCATACTTGGGGAATAAACAGCGTGAGTGACACATTTCAGAAGCATGGAGACAGTATAGATATGGAATAGATCTACCCTCGGCACATTCGAATAAATAGAACCAACTAACCAATAATCTTGAAATTCCAGAGCTACGGTGTCTTCCTCAGCTATTACCTCTCGAGTGACGTCTTTCCGAACACAAATGCCCTTGACTACGCTTTCACGGGTGGTCTTAGTATCTCATGTGCGCTTCTCGTCGCACCAATAGCAACATATCTCATCCATGTATATGGCACTCGCCTCGTTCTTAATATGGGGGTCTTTTTCGAGACCCTTTCCTTAATCGGTTCCTCCTTCGCCTCGCAAAAATGGCACATATTTCTCAGCCAGGGCGTCTGTTTCGGGTGGGGGATGGGATTTCTATTCGTTGGTAGTGTGGGAATCGCACCACAGTGGTTTCAAAAACGTCGAAGCGTCGCAATGGGAATCACAGCTGCTGGCTCTGGACTCGGTGGGCTAATATATTCTCTCGCTGTTGGCGCAATCATTCCACGCTACGGACTGGGTTGGGCATTCCGAATTCTCGGTATAGTCTCGTGCGTTGTGAATCTCGTCTGCGGGAACCTTCTCCGAGATCGGAATAAGCTCGTAGGAAGTCGATTTTCAGCGTTTCATGCGCCATTGTTACGGAAGCCGGAGTTCCTTCTTTTCCTGGGATGGGGATTCTTCAGTATGCTTGGATACGTGGCACTGCTGTTTAGTGTTGCGAATTTTGCGCTCTCTGTTGGCTTGAGCTCTCACCAGGGTAGTGTGGTCTCTGCGCTTCTGAATCTCGGACAGGGTCTCGGTCGTCCCTTTGTTGGAATGTTCAGTGATACATTTGGACGGATCAACATAGCGACATTTTTGACGTTCATATGTGGCTTATTTTGTCTGGTCATCTGGACGTTTGCCGATAGCATGGGTGTGGTTTGTTTCTTTGCTGTTCTGGTGGGAACTGTCTCGGGGACTTACTGGGCTACTGTTTCGCCAGTGCTGGCGGAAATAATTGGTCTGAGAGACCTTCCATCTGGTCTTAGTATCACTTGGCTGTGGCTTGTGGCGCCTTGCACTGTCTCAGAAGCCATTGCCTTGGAATTACGACGAAATACTGCCGATGGTGGCACTTCATATCTTCACGTACAAATCTTTACGGGAGTCATGTATATAGGTGCTTCTTTTTGTCTGTGGCTTGTTCGAGGCTGGAAGGTTGGAGAGCTGGAACTCGCTGAGCAACGAAGACAGTTGACAGTACGTCAAGGTCCCTTGACTGAACATGCAGGCAAAGAGGAAAAAGACGAGTCGCCTGCGACGATACCAGCTGCCGCTTCATCTGATGAAATTTCCGACACAGCCTTATGGACTCCATTCAGTATGGCGAGAAGAATGGTTGCTTTAAAGAGAGTGTAAGTATGATTCCTAGATAGACGTACCCACAATTTATGACAAACTGGGGTAAAAATTATAGATTTTCTGAATGAAGATGAAATGAAGAATAGAAAGAGAAATAAATTCGTAAAGTGGTTTATTTTAGCTGCGCCCGCCAGTACTCCTTTTAAAATTACATGACTATTTGGTGTTGTCGGTAGTTCCAGTAATGAGAATGCGCACTCTTCTCTTGCCAGCACCACGGCCTTCCTCCTTGACCGAGCTGACATTGACTTGGACTCTCTGGAAAAGCTCCACAACAACGTTTCGGTCAGCCTCGTGGCCCTTCTCTTCCACACGAAGCGTGTACTCCTCAGGATCAAATTCAGTTGAGCGATGAGCCGCAAGTTCTCTTCTCTCAGTGACAGACCAAGAGCTAGATTCACCAGGCAGCATAAAGTCCTCCAATCGAACGACACCTTCAATACCGAACCGAGGAACAAAAACAACGACACCGTTCTCGAAAACACGCATGACATAGCCTTCTTCATTAACTCCCTGGTCGGCGCCGCCAGCGGCCATCTTTTCTCCACGTGCCTTGAGGGCCTGGCCAACATAGTACTCAATACTGGCGCGGCCTGCGAACTGTGCGTTGCGGTGTCGGTAGTTAATATTGCGGCAAATGTCCTCCAACTTGCTGCGGGTGGAAATGCCCTCAACCTTGGCGTGACCATCTTCGCCTTCGTAGCCGATAGCGGAAGCCAGCTGTCGGTGGACGAGCAGATCGGCATATCGACGGATAGGTGAAGTAAAGTGGGTGTAGATGGGCGAGGCAAGACCGTAGTGGCGGAATTCAGACTCTGCATGGGCACCGGCACAGAAGTACTCAGCGGAGGTCATGCAACGAGTGGCGAGAATACGGACGAGCGTGTTGAAGAAGGGATTCTTGGGGTCGACACATTGGTCCAATGAGTTAGCAAGAGCGCCGGAGCTGGAAACATCCAGCCTCATATTGCGCTTCTTGGAAAGTTGGTTGATGAGATCTTCGAAGTTCTGTGGTGGGGGAGTGGCGTGTCGTCGTAACAAAGCAATTTGGGAGAAGGATTCATAAATCTTAGAGGCAACAGTAATATTGGCGAGAAGCATGAATTCTTCGACCAAACTGTTGGTTGCGAGCATCGCCTTAGTCTTGACATCCGCCAGAGGATCGCCAACTTCGTCCGCATCGGCTTCGATGCGAACCTCGGGAGATGCAAGGTTCAAAGCACCTGCATCGTAACGCTTTTGGCGAAGGATTTTCGAGAACTTGAGAAGTGTGCGCATGCTCTGGGTCAATTCATCAGTCTGACTGGGATCATCAATGCGAAGTTGAGCTCGTTCGTAACTGAAAGCTTCACGAGAGCGAATGACGGACTTAGTAAAGTCCGAAGAAACAATCTCTGCATCAGGCGTGACCTCCCAAATCACAGAGAAGGCGTAGCGTTCCACATATGGTTTCAGTGAGCAGAGATCCGTTCCAAGCAGGTGCGGAAGCATATCAATACGCTTGTCAACTAAGTAGACTGTGCTACCGCGAACACTAGCTTCAACGTCCATTGGGTTATTGGGCTTAACGAAATGTGATACGTCTGCAATGTGAACACCGACTTCAAAGTTGCCGTTCGGGAGGGGGCGTGCATGGAGAGCATCATCGATATCCTGACAGCCAGGGGGATCGATACTGCAAATGAGCAGATCACGAAGATCACGTCGGCCACTCCAGCCCTTGTCCTCCTTCGAAGCCGGAACCTTCCAATCATGCCCCTCCGCCGGTAAACAGTCCAAGATTGCCTTGGAGAACGGCTTGTACTGTACATCGTGCTCCAGAAGGAGAGCCTCTGTCTCCGCCTCCTTTGTTTCTAATTGTCCCAAGGAGCGGATGAAGTGACCGGATGGGTATCGTGAATCCCGGTCCCATGCGTCAATAGTAACAAGGATGCGCTCGCCAACCAAATCGCCAGCTTGTCGAGTACGCAGGCGAATCTTGGGTACTTTCTTGTCCATAGGCAGTACAAACACAGTCTGCAGTCGCCGGCCTGAGGCAGCCAGTGAACCAGTTGAAGTTGAATCCACATGTCCTACGTACTGTCGCCAGTTGCGCTTGATCACACCCACAACTCTGGCTGTGGGCTGCGGCTTTCCTTCCGCGTTCTTGCCGTGAGCGTGAGCGATCTTGACCTCTTCTTGGAGAGCTTTACGTTCCCGGTCTGTGACAACAGCTTCCGTATCTTCAGCGTCCGCGTTTTCATTTCGAGTCGCTGCTTCTTCATCCATGATCTTGGTTGAAGGAGACTTCCACTGGTCTTTTGGTAGAACCTCAACCACAACAGTATCACCTGAAATTGCACGGTTGCTGTTGTCGCGACCCAAAATCAGGAGAGACTTGTCAAAGGCTGGCACATGGACAGAGCCCTCCTGGTAGTTGTAAGGCGACACATTGAATATACCCTGGTGAAGATTGCCCGCTCGCAGGCCAGTTTGGAGCTTTGACATAGAGTAATACTCGGGGTAAAACAATTCTCCACGCACAGAGCCCTTTGCATCTCGTGCCTCTCTAGCTTCACTGATCATATCAAGCAGTTTTGCGGAATCTTCCAGACCATCGACGTAGCTTGTCAAAGACAAGGCGGTGACATCCTCTGCCTTAGCCTTTCGCAGATTCTCCTTATCGTCCGTGATGACAACAATGGTAGGAATTGTCTTCTCCTTCTTGCCCTTCTTGACGGTGGCTTTGAGATGCTCATCGTACCATTTTGCGACGGCGCGCACAGCTCGGTCATTGCGGTCATTGATTGACTCGTCTGGCTCTCTTCGCACATGTGTCTCGAGGCGGAACTCGTTGAAGAAAAGGTAGAAGCGCTTCTCATCTGTTTTGATCAGAGCGATGAGGCGGTTGTAGAGGGGCAAAGACTGGTTTCGGAGTTCTTCAAGGACGGTCTGGAGAATGATAACATCGTAGAATGCGCCAGTATGCTCGAAAAGATCCATTCCATTCAACAAGGCATTTGTGTCGGGTATGAGATAGTGGCCGCGCGGGAAAGCTTTGGTACCGGCGGGACGATCGGAGAGAATAAATGGAGTAACTATAGTGTGTCAGTTTCTTTCTTGCAGTCAATATACAGGTATCTCATACTGTTTCCATTGGCGTCTGCTGGGGCGATCGAAGGACAGTGTGAGCAGAGCTTCGATGAGCAGGGAATATCTTGGCGTAGGTAGAGCTCGCGGACAATCTTCTGCACCTTCCCGCTTTTCGTGGATCTCACAAAAACTTTGCTGGCAACATTAGCAGCTTGTGGATTGGAGGAAAACTCCCTCCTTAAGCTCTTCATGGTGATGGGGGCGATCTGACTGGATATTTGACAGGTCAAGTCCAAGTTGGGCAAAGTGAGAGAAATTGATCTTTGCGGGCGGCGTTATCGCGATAGCTGAGTAAGCCACTACAAGTCCACCTGGGCAGGACTCACGCCGCGACCCTGTAGCAGCGAGTATTTGAAATTGGAAATTTATGTCCTCAGCATGTGAGAGCTTGGCTAGGAAGCTCGGTTAAATGGATACACTCTATCAACCTAATCAAGTTTAACTCAGGGGTGTTCATATTCTCTCAGAAAGTCATATCTATACACTTAAGTACTCACTAAGTAGTACCTACAGGTGACAGGTGATCCACTCCTCTATATATGTAAGTACCTACAGGGGTAGCTAAAAGGGTACCAAAAAGGGTAGCGAAAGGGGTAGCTAGAGGAGTAACGAAAGGAGAAGGCTAGAGGCTATGTGAGTTACATACAGGCAACTGATAGGCAACTGGTATGAAGCTGTAGGCTGATTCTGCCCCTCTCATCCGATATTCTGCCAGGCGGTCAAAGAACCACTGGGACCCATAGTAAAGGAGGCTAGTAGAGAAGGCCTAAGGCCGAAAGGATCCACTAAGAGGGGGAATTGGTGTGAGGTATTCGGATTATTGCGCCATGAACATCACTCTTTTCAATTGACAAGGGATAATTTGAATACCTGGGACACCATGGTACTTGCAGTAAGTTATTATGAAGTTGAATGGTCTATTGTTACATGTCACTCACACATCGATCTTATATTGATACAGGCAGTAGGACAGTTATGCGCAACAGCGAGCATTGCTTCTAATTTAGCCCAATGTGAGACTCTGATCCAGAAAGCAGTGAAGGCAGGAGCCAAGGTAAGTCTTATCAAATGCCATATTTTCATACTGACTTTCCGTTTTACTGATACTCTACTAGGTCCTCTTTCTGCCAGAAGCTTCGGACTATATAGCCTCGTCTGCCGACGAATCCCTGGCCCTGGCACGTTCACCCGACCAGAGCAACTTTGTGGACGCTTTGAAAAAGGCAGCTAAGCTTCAGAAGATACATATCAATGTTGGCATCCACGAGGTTGCCTCGGAGCAGAGACTCAAGAACTCCCTCATTTGGATTGATGATAAGGGCGTTATCACCCAGAACTATCACAAAATCCATCTCTTTGACGTTGATATTAAGGATGGACCGGTCCTCAAGGAGAGCGCGTAAGTGATATGTCAAAGCTTACCAGCCCTGGAAGGTTATGTTTCCTTCATCTAGAGCAGCATGTGCTGACGAGTGAGAATAGGAGTGTGCAACCCGGACAAGAGATTATCCCACCCTTTGAAACGCCCGTAGGCCGTGTCGGTCTCGCAATATGTTTTGATGTGAGCTCAATTTCAAGTTTTCACTGAAACCTCAAAATCCAACTGACAGACTCGCTTCTTTAGTTACGCTTTCCAGAAATCAGTCTGGCGTTGAAACGTCAGAAGGCCGATATCATCACTTACCCATCTGCATTCACGGTTCCAACAGGCAAAGTTCATTGGGAGTCATTGCTTCGGGCCAGAGCTATTGAGACACAGTCTTATGTGGTAGCCGCTGCTCAGGGTGGTCCACATAACGAGAAAAGAAGAAGCTATGGTCACTCAATGATTGTTAGCCCCTGGGGGGAAGTCGTGGCAGAGCTTGAAGAAGAGTATGAAGAGCCACAAATAGCTACCGCTGATATTGATCTAGACTTGGTAGCGAGGATTAGGCGAGAGATGCCTCTTCTTAGAAGAACGGATCTTTACCCCGAGGTATAGAACTGGTGTGCCCCAGCTTATATTAGTCTTACTTTTGCCATCTCTCACTTCAGTCATCTCTTACTTCAACTATCTCTCACTTCAGCCATCTCTTACTTATCTCTTATATGACTTGAATACTTGTATATATAGCAGCCTAGGCCTCTTTTACTACTTGGGTTCCTGCACTGTTACTAACCGCCTGATATAAGATCTAGCTGTATAGCAGCTGGCCTCCAAGTTCCCTTCTAGGTAACCCCGTGGGCCGTAGGTACTTATACAGAGAGGGGTATGTCACCAGTCACCTGTAGATACTACTGATTGAGTACTTAAGTGTGTGAATCAGCAATTGTGGGCATATGTCCTCGTCCTGGTATTTCGAAGACAAGATCACACTGTCCGAGTACTCCGAACCCGATCGCACGGTAGCCAACCAAAGCGAGCTTTTTCTGACTAACTTGGAGCTGCATAAAAGAAGAGGTGGTACTCGTGAAGGATTCAGGAATTAGGAATTTGGAATTTCTCCAGAATACTGTCAGGCGAAATGGTAGTATCTCGTGATATCTATATCACAACCCAAGTCAATCTGATTAAGATAATACAGACTGATGTGTCCGTTTAAGCAGGTTTCCAAGGTTTCCGGCCAAGCACTCAAGTACTGGGGACGTACCTTTCCAAATTTTGCTGCTACAACGCCGCACGAAGCGCGGCTTGAGGACTTGTAGATGGTCACAGCAGTTGAGATATCATAGGTGAATATGCATTGTTGCATGGCCATATTAGTATGCAGCGCCTAAAAAAAAGCTAGGCTGTTTGTTAAATGTGTCAAGGAAAGGGGTCTTAGTTTCATTGTGGTCAGAGATGAGTCAGGATGTATCTCCGGAGGTCAGACTTGAAAGGCTAGATTTGAAATGACTGATCTCAGCGTAGTATTTTAGTCCACCTTTATTGATGATTGAAGGTAACAAGATATCGAAGTAGTACAGCAGGTAAGCAGGCGGAAATGAAAATGGAACATGCGAAAAACCCCCATCTAACAAAAGGATCGGAACATCATATCTGCCATGGCAGGTGGTACAGGCGTCAACCGAAACAGTCGCTTTCCGATCTCTATGTACAGTGTACAGATTAAGCTCAAAAGCGAGCAGTTTATTTCTTGGTTTCCTCCAGGATACCCTCAGCCTCAAGTCTTCGGCGGGCCTCCTCAAGAGCCCAGGTCTGTATGCTATATGTAAGAGTCAGCATCCAATGGTCCTATCCGATTGTTCAGCTCACCGCGCCCCAATGGGTGGGCTAGGTGGTTCAACAAATGCAAGATATGGATGACACGTACGAGGTATCAGGCTTGAAAACATATGCGACACCGGCAACCAGGAAGCTGCCAATGAATCCATAGTACCAGATGTTCTCCCAACCTTCCTTCACGTACTTCTGGCCGGGCTTGACGCCAAACAGCCAGCCAGTGGGAGGGTCGTAGTGGTCACCATGGTCGGCAGCATGGAGGTTGCTGCGGGTGGAAAAGCCTTGGACGTTCTGCGGCTTGCGGAGGAGGCAGCGCGAGCGAAGGAGTTGCGACACTGGTCGAGCAGGCATCTTGGAAACGGGGGTAGATGTGATGTGACTAGTCGGAAGAAAGCCAACGGAGGATGGCTTGTGTATATTGAAGGACAAGGTGGGCGTTTGCCTTGAATAGCGTGACTTGACAATGTCAATTGGTTGGTTTTGGTAGTCGAGTCAAAGAGAGGGGTTTAATTTGGATGGTTGATGTCGAAGCCGCAAAAGGCCGATGGGGAGCTGGCTGGTCATTGCACTAGTCCCACTTGGGTAATTTTCCCTTCGCCGCCTTTCATGCCTTAATGCCTTATTTATGCCTTACTAACAAGGCAATTTGGGTCTAACGTAATTCCCAAGCGAGTGGCCACCCCCCAAAACACATAGTTAAGATGGTAAATTACAACTTGATATCTCAACAACTACATGTTCGTTTTATTTGATTATTTGTCGATAGCTATTGATAAGGCTTGTGAGCACTCCACATATCTTTCAAGAAAATCTTACAAGTTATTTTGTCACGATACCAAAAGTTACGTTGTTGTGAGCTACAAATATATATTTCTGAATCAACAACGAATAGATATTCTCTAAACTTTCCAAAGAGGCTAACTTGTATCACCTTATTATCATTGAGACAAAAGGAAAAGTCCATAGACTACGGTTGTTGAGATATCAAGTTGTAATTTACCATCTTAACTATGTGTTTTGGGGGTGGCCACTCGCTTGGGAATTACGTTAATTAATGTGATTCCCAAGCGAGCCGCCACCCCAAAACACCATACTAAATGTGGTAAATGACAACTTGATATCTCAGCAACCACATCTTTATTTTAGTTGATTATTTGTCGATGGTTGTTGATAAGACTTCTCAGCATCCTGTATCATTTTTTAGAGAAATCCAAGTGCTGCATTGTCACAGTATCGAAAATTACAGTCTGGAGAGTCAGATATATACGTTTTCATGATCACTTGTAAGTAGAAATTATCTGGACTTTCAAAAAAGGAAAGATATCCTCTAATTATCATAGGTCTACAATGAAAAGTTTGTTTACACTACTGTTGTTAAGATATCAAGTTGTCATTTACCACATTTAGTATGGTGTTTTGGGGTGGCGGCTTGCTTGGGATGGCGGCTCGCTTGGGAATCACGTTAGTTAACGTGATTCCCAAGCGAGTGGGCCACCCAAGCGAGTGGGCCACCCAACCAAAAAATCGCGTCGCGACCGCGTTCTTTTATCTTCAACCACCCATCATGCCACCAAAACGTACTGTTTCGGCCAAAAAAAATGGTAATCAAGAGGGTCGAATCCTACTTGCTATACAGGCTATTAAAGCTGAACAAATAAGCTCTATCCGTGAAGCTGCACGCTGTTTTGATATACCTCGTACTACACTACAGCGTCGGCTCACTGGCTATACCAATCGCTCTGAGACTCGCGCCAACAGCCATAAATTAACTGAGAATGAAGAGAAATCACTTCTTCAGTGGGTGATCTCTATGGATACACGTGGAGCTGCCCCCCGGCCTGCTACTGTTCAAGAAATGGCCAATATTCTCCTCTTAGCACGTGGCCAGACCCCTTCTCAAACTGTTGGCAAAAATTGGGTCACAAACTTTGTTAAACGACATTCAGAGCTTACTACACGTTTCTCTCGACGATATAATTATGAACGTGCGAAGATGGAGGATCCAAAAGTTGTTCAAGAATGGTTTAATCTTGTTTTTCAAACAATTCAAGAGAATGGTATTCTATCAGAGGATATCTATAACTTTGATGAGACTGGATTTGCAATGGGACTTACAGCAACTGCTAAGGTTGTTACTCGTTCTCGATATTATGGTCGACGATCACTTTTACAGCCTGGAAATCGTGAATGGGTAACTGCTATTGAAACAATTAATGTATCTGGATGGGCCCTTCCACCAGTGATTATTTTCAAAGGCAAAGTTTTAATTGAAGGATGGTTTACAAACCTTCCACTTGACTGGCGATTTGAAACTAGTCCAAATGGATGGACAACTGATGAAATTGGACTTCGATGGCTTCAAAAACACTTTATTCCAGCAACAACTGAACGTACGCTTGGAAAATATCGACTTTTGATTCTTGATGGTCATGGGAGTCATTTAACTCCCCAATTTGATCAGATTTGCAAAGAGAATAATATTATTCCAATTTGCATGCCAGCTCATTCTTCACATCTTCATCAGCCACTTGATGTTGGATGTTTTGGGCCTTTAAAACGGGCCTATGGTCGGCTTGTTGAGAATCAAATGCGGCTTGGTTTTAACCATGTTGATAAATTTGATTTTCTTGAAGCCTACCCAATCGCTCGTAAAGAGGCTTTTCAAACCCAAACTATTCAAAACAGCTTTACGGCAGCTGGTTTAGTACCATTTGACCCAGATCGAGTACTTTCTAAGTTAAATATTCTTCTTCGAACACCTACACCCCCAGCTAGCCGCCCTACTAGTCGATCAAGCCAATTTTCACCTAAAACACCTCAGAATCTTATTCAGCTTCAACGGCAAGCTAGTTCAATCAAAGCTCTTCTAAAACAATGTTCAAAGAGCCCTCCAAGTCCACTCAAACAGCAAATCGATCAAGTTCTCAAGGCCTGCGAAATTCAGATGCATTCAACAGCTTTATTAGAGGTTGAAACACGCAAATTACGCGCTGCACATGAAAAGCAAAAGCAAAAGCGCAAGCGGTCTACTAGGCAGATACCTAACGAGGGTGGTATGACTGTTCAGGAGGGCCAGGAGGCTATACAGCGTGCTATACAGGTGGTTGAGGCGCCAGTGATCCCTCCCGTACCACGGCCTAGGGCGCCTTATTTACCCCCTCAGCCAGCTAGGAGAAAGCTACCGACATGTAAGAAGTGTGGAGAAGAAGGCCATCGATCAGATCACTGTGATATTTAGTTAATTATTTTAATAAATTGGCGTTCTGGTGGTAATATTTATGATTAAAACTGTAGGGTAGGCGGTGGGTGGCCCACTCGCTTGGGTGGCCCACTCGCTTGGGAATCACGTTAGTTAAAGTACTCCTTACTAGTGCCTGACAAAAGAGGCAACAACCCGACGCGTCTCGTGTCCCCCGCGCGTTTCATGATTCTAATTAATCAGATCATCGGTTTATCAACAGACCTCTACTTAGACGCATTGGGCAGTTTTAGATCCTTTTGCTGATTCACAGCAATTCAGTGTCCATATTGTTTGGGAACTGGTATGTTCCTGAGAATCCCCTTAATTGGACATGTATGTTCCATTGCTAACATTGTTGACCCGCAAGTTCCAGAATGCATTGATACCCTTTTCTGAACAAAAAGCATATAAGATCAGATCGGATCGCCACTATGGCCTCCAAAAACAATACAAACCCTGTGTCCTCAAATTCACGCAAAAAATTAAATGCTTTTCGGTTCCAAGACGACGAGGTGGCTTCGAACAAAACATCCTCAAAACATGGGACTAAAAAGGTCCATCGCAACAAGGAGAACCAAAGCTCGTGGTTAAATGGAGTGGTGGAACCGATGCCCAAATCAGCTGATGAATTAGACAAGAAGGAAAAGGTCGAGCCAGTCGGTCAACCGGTAACAGAAGCCCCTGCGACGGATTCCAAACCAGCCAAAGATTGTCCTCACACTCCCGGAAACCGCATACCTCTTGCAGACCTTATCAGCAATGCTGAAGACTCTCTCAACCCCGCTCCAGGCCCAGAAGTGACGCCAGTTGACCACGTTATCTGGCAACACATCCCGGCTAGTTCGAATCCTGATTCATCGCAAACCCCAGCAGGTCGCAGGAGGAAGCGACGCCACAGTTCCTCGCCTCCCGGATCTCCCTCGAAAACAAACTCGAAGAAAGCATCGAAGGAGCCACTCGACTTGCAATCGATTCAAGCAATTTTCAAGACGCCCCAGCATGATCTAGCGACGGAATTGTGGAACAACTACAAGGACAAGAACATGATGGACAACTCTGACGATCTTCCGCCCCCTCGACTCGCCAATCTCCTCTCCTCCTCACCACAAACCCCGGGCTCAGGACGAACAAGTCGCGATTCCTCAGGTTTAAGACGGTCTATTAGTTGCGCGGCAGAATGGCCTACTTCTCGCGCAAAGAGAAGACGAGTCAACAACCAAGACCTCAACGAGGGACGCGCAACATTCTCACGCGCAAATAGCAATGTTTTGGACTCTGGAAAGGGTAAATCTTCAAGAATCAACTTTCTCCTTGAAAAAATTGAAAGGAGTCTCAAACCTGCCCAGTCAGCGGACACGGGTCCACCTAATTCCTCGCCTTTGCGCCATCGCATTGATGCCGAACGTTGCCGTTCATCCTCTCCTATTGCAGACAGGAAGGGTGCAGTGCATGCTGTCACTGGCAAAGAAGTTCATTCCGCACTCGGAATCAATACTCGCACCATCCCAGCGCCCATTCTTGAAGAGTCTTCATCTGAATTCGGAGATGATGATCTCGACCAAGAATTCATGGACCTGGCTGCCTCTGAGGATCCATTTGTTGTTGCGCCCTCGGCTAGCCGAGGCAGCAATAATGAATTTGGATCTTTGGGGTCTTCTGGTTGGTCAAATGTTGTTGCAGAGAAACCACAAAGCCATCAACTGCCCATCCCTGTTAAAAACCCACCTGCGGTGCATCACGTAGCCAATGTCGATTCCAAACCTGATGACTTGGAAGATTTTGATGATGACTTTGGTGATTTTGATGATATCCTTGCTGAATGCGACAAGAAACACGCAAATCCCATCTTATCTAAGCCAAATACACATGAACAACAGACTGAAAGGAGGCTGGACCCATTTGCTGTTGCTCCTGTGATCCCAGCAGACCCAGCAATGACAAAGGGCGCCGTTGGCACGGTTGATGAATTCTCAGATGATGAATTCGACGATGATTTTGATCTGGATGCCATCGAACAGACTATGAAGAAGACAGGTGCAGATGGACCCCACGTTTGTCGCTCTTAGTGATTTGATTTGATAGTATGTTTGCTAAGAAAATAATATGATAGAATCTCAGAGATCGTCAGGCTATCAAACGGTATTCAATCGTGGACATTGCTGAAGGTACATATGTCAATTCGAAAGGCCGTACCCAACCTGAGCAGGTCTGTTCTCTTAGAACTCTTGCTTCTTTCAAATCACCGGTCGCTGACAACAAAGCAGGTTCTGTCAGTTGAGGATGAAAAAACCAGAGCTCGCAAGGTCATTGTTCTGCGTGAAACTTGGTTTGACACACCGTGCAGTAAAGACTCTTTTGTTCATTTGGTTGGAGATTTCAATCCCTCTGGTATTTGCATTGTCGACAATACCAATCATATGATCATTCTTCATCCTGATCATCTCATATCAGCAACGGTCGTTGCGGATTCAATTGACTGTCAACGACGAGCTGTTTTACAAGATCGCATTAAAGCGTTTTCTCACCTTGAGCGACCCCAAGTGTTCGGAATCATCTTTCACGAGGTCTTTCAAGAAGCCTTGAAGGCCAACCTTTGGGATTTAAAATCACTCAGATCTTTGGTAGATGCCGTTCTTCAACGCCATATTGAGGATCTGTATGCAATTCAAATGAGTGTACTGGAAGCTACCGAGGACGTGATGAGCAAGATCCCTACTGTGCAGGCATGGGCAGAGGTCTTTCTTCACGCTAAGCCAAAGGTATGTATGGTCAAAAAGTGGGCATATGCAACCGTTGCTAACTACCTGCATAGGCCAATTCGATGGTGGAGGATCGCCATAATACGAAACTCAACTTGAGTATTAGGAAACTGCTCGAGGTAGAGGAACGCGTTTGGTCCCCGATGTATGGATTAAAAGGTAACATCGATGCTACGGTCCAAGTTGTCTGCCGCAGCGAGGAAGGAGAAAGGAATCTTGTAGTCCCACTGGAGCTTAAAACAGGGAAACGAGACACGAATCAGGGCCACAGGGCTCAAACAGCCCTATACACGCTCCTGCTCTCGGATCGTTATGGTTCGTCTTCTACAACATTGCCATTAACTTGAGATTTTACTAACATTAATAGATGTCGATGTGACATTTGGGCTACTATACTACTTGGAGCTCAACAAAACCTTCAGCGTTCGAGGTGTACGGCATGAGCTGCTTCAAATGGTTCAATTCCGGAATCGACTATCAGTCTTTATCCGAGAGAAAGTACAGCTTCCTCCGATGCTCAAGAAGGCCCGCATGTGCAACCGATGCTATGCGAAAACGCCTTGTCTGATCTATCATAAGCTTTTAGAAGGTGGTGATGGCGAGACGAGTGCCCTTGGTGATGATTTCGATGCAGCTACTGGCCATTTGACCCGGAAAGACCGCGAGTTCTTCACAAAATGGGATGACTTGCTAAACAAGGAGGAGGGCAATCTGGCAAAGTTTAGACGTGAACTATGGACTCTTCTAAGCAGTGAACGCGAGTCCCTGGGTCGTTGCTTTGGTGACGTCGTTATCCAGCCTGAATCGGCATTTGAGGACATTCACGGCTCTAGGATCAATCGCTTTCGTTATACCTTTGTTAAAAAGCAAGCACCTCCCACTTTTACCTTTGCAGAGTCACAGCTTGTTGTTGGCGAGCCAGTTGTCGTCTCAGACGAAAAGGGTCACTTTGCCCTCTCCAATGGTTACGTGCTAAGCGTGAGCAGGTCATCTATCACCGTTGGTATAGATCGCAGATTGCTGAACACCAGAGCACGAACTGCTGGATTCAATCCAGTCACAAACCAATCATTTACAGGCATCATGGAGGTTGAAAAGGATGGAAATATGGCTCTCGAGAACCCTCTCGATGAACAAGTCATCTATCGCATCGACAAAGACGAATTCAGTAACGGAATGGCCAATATCCGGAACAATCTTGTGTGCATGATGGACAAGGAAATCTATCAAGCAAAACACCTTAGGCGACTCATAATCGAGGGACAGCCACCTGTCTTCAAGCCCTCGTCATCTGCATACACCATATCTGATCCGGAAAGTCTCAACGTCGACCAAAGGCACGCAGTTGAGAAAGTAATGACAGCAAAAGACTATGCTCTCATCCTCGGAATGCCCGGAACGGGCAAAACAACCACCATTGCCCATCTGATCAGGGCACTTGTGGCACAGGGCAAGAGCGTGCTTTTGACATCCTACACACATACGGCAGTAGACAACATTCTGCTCAAGATCCGAGACGATGATATTCGCATTCTTCGTCTTGGTGCGGCTACGAAAGTGCATCCAGACGTACGAGACTTTGCCGATTTGGCGGCAAACCCGAAGACCACCATCGAGGAACTCAAAGACTCCTACGAAAAGCCTCAGGTTGTGGCAGCTACTTGCTTGGGTGTCAACCATCAGATATTCAATCAACGCATTTTCGACTACTGTATTGTTGATGAAGCCTCGCAGATCACACTTCCTGTCTGTCTTGGCCCTATTCGCATGGCAAGGTCGTTCATCCTTGTTGGTGACCATTACCAACTTCCACCGCTGGTTCAGAGCAGAGCTGCACAGGAAGGAGGTCTTGATATCAGCCTTTTCAAGTTGCTTTCAGACAATCAGCCAGACTCTGTTGTTAATTTGGAGCACCAGTATCGTATGTGCGAAGACGTCATGTTGCTCTCTAACACGCTCATCTACTCTGGTCGACTCAAATGTGGTACACCTGAAGTTGCAGCACGTTCTCTGGCGATCCCTAACATCTCCGCACTCCAAAGCTTCCACTCGGATAGTTCCGATGTTTCTCACGGCGGCAATCAAGAAGAACAATGCCGCCGTTCCAGCCATGACCGCTGCTGGTTACAAGACCTCTTGGCGCCATCTGCGAAGACATTACTGGTTAATACTGATCCTCTGGGCACGACAGCTCTTGAGACTGTGCAAGGTCAACGAGTAGTCAATTCCGTGGAGATCACGTTGTGCTCTCAGCTTGTCGAGGCATTCATCGCCTGCGGTATCCCAGCCCGCGATATCGGTGTAATAACTTTCTACCGCAGCCAGCTTGCTCTACTCCGTCATAGTCTCCGTCGCTATGCTCCAGACCTTGAGATGCACACCACCGATAAATTTCAAGGTCGCGATAAAGAGATCGTGATCCTGAGCTGCGTTCGCAGCAATTCCGAGAACCAAGTCGGCGAGCTAATGCGTGACTGGCGCCGTGTAAATGTCGCATTCACTCGTGCTCGTACAAAACTGCTTGTCATTGGCAGCAGATCAACTATGCGTGATGGCAATGACCTTCTTCGCAAATATGTCGATCTTGTTGACAGCAAAAAATGGGTGTACAACCTGCCCCTGAATGCTGCCGAGAATCATGTCTTCCAATCTTCTGATTTAGATTCGTTGCCTTCACCTCAACCTGCCAAGGCACCTGGCTCAACAAAAGGCAAAAAGGATAATGCTGTGAACAATGAGCCTCGGGCTCGTGATCCGCTTAGTCCTCTTGGCTCTCGACAGTTTAATTCTGGTCTTCGCCAGCCTGCTAAGAGAGGTTCAAAGGTGTTGAATGGGAATAAAGTCCTCGGGAACAGGCCAATTCTCCAGGATATTGTGAATGACTTGGCCGGTTAGGATTTAGATGTTTCCTTTTGTTCATTACACATGTGCATCATCATGATCATGACATATTTGGCGCGATGGGTATGGAATGAGAAAACGAATTATATCAAATAATGATAATCACGAACTTCAGATCTCCAATAAGTACTAGTCTTCAATGTTTAGGCCTGGGTTTCCCCAAGTTGGGGTTCAAGCTGTGACTAGTAATAGTACCTAGGTATATTGCAAATAAGATAAAACGTACCCTGCTACCATTCCAAATACGAACTTAAAGACCAAATACTTCAAGTTTCTCTTCGCTGAGTGGATGGCCAGAAGGTAGATGCAGAAGCAGGGTGGGTGAACGGTCGTATGGAATGCTATTATAGACATCTGGATAGGTATACACATATTTCAGCTTCAATCTTGGAAATTTTCAATGTTTAATTCAAGTTTGAAGTCCCGTTCTAGCCGGCTGTCATAGACTCATAGCCGTTATCAGTCTGAGATCGCGTGAGGGGTAGCATGATTTTAAATAAAAATTACGATAGCCCCGGGATTAATGGTGCAAATAACACTATTCCAAGCTAGGAAGATAAATGAGTATTGATTACATGCATAAATCTGGTCATTTGCTCACATTTTTGAATGTCCGGTTGTCCGGCGGATGTGGTATCTCGCATCTTTAAGTGCGGGGATGATATGATTTAGCTTCATTCCCCTGAATTTACCCCTGTTAAAGACCTGCCCACATCATAGCGTGAGATTTCTTCGGCTTTGAAGGAATCATCAGCATTATCTTACTTATCAGTGACCATTCATAGACAGAGACTTAAGTTAGTGCATGATCCCGTGCCCTCCAGCCCCGCAACTTGAAGATGCAATCTCGGACCCCGACGGGCGTGCCATACACGCACTATACTAGCTTGCTCGCCTGCTCAAGACGACATTATTCTCCCACGGTGAATCCCGAAGACCAGTCATTATTGCTCTTCATTGCGTATTTAGTCCATCTTGCCGATGAAAAGTGATTAATGTAAATACTGAACTCAGTCCGACGAAGAGATGTCGTGTTTGATAAGCTTCACTATAGGTATTATTAGATAGTCTTATTAGATCCATATCATACTACTCTATAAGACGAAAGCATCAAGGCCTAATATCTAATCTCCCTGGCTCATTAAACTTTTGGACCTGATCATGCAGCCTAAGCGAACTAAGATAACCACTAGTTTAGTTGCAGAAGAGGCGTAGACGAGTCCTGCAGACCTTTATAAGAAGCACGGCAATTCTGCACAAAAAAGTGACTTTTAAGTTCTTATCTCAAGTTCTCAATTGCCGCAATGTATATGCTATCTAGCATTGCTTTGTCTTTACTCGCTGCACCCTCGGTGCTGGCGGTAGGACCGAAGATACCTGCTCCACCTGCGACTGGCTCTTCATCAAAGGATAGTATCCAGGCGTCAACATTCGAGCAACTTCTTGATCATAGTGATCCAAGCCTTGGAACTTTCTCCCAAAGATATTGGTGGAATTCTGAGTGGTGGGCTGGAGAGGGATCACCTGTAATGCACTCTAATTATCATCTTATAACCATTTTGATCGGAATCAATCTAACTTGGGATTAATGTCAATAGGTTGTACTTTTTACGCCTGGTGAGGTGGCAGCTGATGAATATACCGGATATCTGGATAATGAGACGATCACTGGTCTCTACGCGCAGGAGATCAACGGTGCTGTGATTCTACTTGAGCGTACGTAACATTGAAATCTCTAGATTTGGATCAAACCTGAGGTTGGAGACCAGAGCTAACTTTCTAAAGACCGCTACTGGGGAGAATCTTCTCCTTATGATGTGTTGAACACTGAGAACCTGCGATACCTGACATTGGAAAATGCCGTTCAGGATCTTGTGTACTTCGCGAAGAACGTGGACCTGGAATTCGACACTGATAGCAGCAGCAACGCTCAGAATGCTGTATGTTTCGTCCAGTCCTAATTTTTCAGAACATTCTGCTAATAAATGAGCTTTACAGCCTTGGGTTCTCAGCGGAGGATCCTACAGTGGAGCCCTCACAGCCTGGACCGAGTCAGTCTCTCCAGGTACATTCTGGGCATACCACGCATCCAGTGCTCCTGTGGAGGCCATCTATGACTACGTGAGTGCAGAAGCTCTTTTAAAATTCGTTTGGTTGTTACCTAACTTGAATACAGTGGCAATACTTCAAGCCTATCCAGGAGGGAATGGCCAAGAACTGCAGTGCAGATGTCTCCAGAGTTGTCGACTACGTTGACGAAATTGCCAACTCCGGCACAAAGGAGGAGCAGCAGACTCTGAAGGAGCTGTTTGGTCTCGGTGACTTGGAGCATTTCGATGACTTTGCTGCGTAAGCGGAAATTCTCTATCTGGAGTTGACGTGAGCTAATCCATGATAGTGCGCTTGAGAATGGTCCTTGGCTGTGGCAGGAAAATGCTTTCTACACCGGATACTCCGAGTTCTTTGAATTCTGCGACTATGTTGAGGTAAGTCCATTCTATTTTCTTTTTGGGAAGACCTCCAAAATTGACGTGCATTTAGAATGTCGATGCCGGTGCGAGCGTAGTGCCCGGCGCAGATGGCGTCGGTCTTAAGAAGGCGCTTCAAGGATACGCGAAGTGGTTTACGACTGTTTACTTCCCCGGATGTGAGTCTATATCGACACCATTGAGTCTTGGAACTTGAAGAGTCTGACTCTCATTTTATTCAGCATGCGCCAGCTACGGATATTGGTCCGACGAGAACAGCACAGCTTGCTACGACACTTACAACGCCTCCAGCCCTATTTTCACCGATATGTCTGTAGACAACGAAATTGACAGACAATGGCAGTGGCTTCTCTGCAATGAGCCTTTCTTCTACTGGCAAGAGTAAGTTGAACCAATACAAGCTTGACGGAAATTATACAGGAATCCCGATTACTGACTCTTTTTAATAGCGGCGCTCCCTCTGATGTTCAGACCATCGTCTCCCGAAGTGTGGACGCAGAGTACTGGCAGCGACAATGCCCTCTGTACTTCCCTACTGTTAACGGCTATACCTATGCTAGTGCGAAGGGCAAGACCGCTGCGGATGTTAACTCCTGGACTAAGGGCTGGGATCTGACTGATACTACTCGTTTGACCTGGACTAATGGGTATGTTTTTCGAGTCTCTCATTCTCAATAATTCCAAAATGCTAACAACGATTTTAGTCAATATGACCCTTGGAGAGAGTCCGGCGTTTCATCAGATTACCGTCCTGGTGGTCCTCTTGCGTCCCGTGCTTCAGCCCCTGTCAACATCATTCCTGGTGGCTTTCACTGCTCTGATCTCCTTTTGGATAACGCTGCTGTGAATTCGGGTGTTCAAAAGGTGGTTGAGATTGAAGTTGCTCAGATCAAGGCTTGGGTAGCGGAGTACTACAAGTAAGGGACTTTGACTTATGCCCAGGTGGGTCTATTGACAATGTGGTCATTATTGTTGATGAATCAGATAAACTGTACATGAAATTTTATCAGATATTGGGTAGCCGGTAAAAGCAAATATTGGCTATATCTATACAAATACTGCAATCGTCTCTCGTATGTTGGGCCAATTGTGGCAAATTTCCTCGCTTCAAGCTCCATGGGCACATAATGTTTAATTTGCACTAAAACATTTTATGCAGCGCCTTTTGACCGATTGGTAGAGTTACAAAAAATGTGAATCATTGCAAGATATGGATACAGCTCTTCTTGATCATAAAAATCGCTGGATAGAAATACTAATGGAAATCCTGGATGATAGAAGCCAGCTAAAACATGAGTGGGAGAGGGAACATTTCAAATTAAACTTACCTTCCTTTCAAATTAAATGTCATTCAGTTGCTCTAGGTTAACTGGAAATCCAGAGATCAACGCACAGGACTGTTCATCTATGGACTTGATCTTGTTTCGAGGAGTTCTATAGTCAGGCTGGCCGGCACTTCAAACTCTTTATCCAGGCAAGGGTGTAGCGTCCATGACGAAGGGAAAATGAAGATGATGTCAAATTTCTGATGATGAGGTCTGAAGTAGAATCTTGGAGCGAGTATAGAAGTGAGGTGAACACTGTTGACCGGAGTCCAAGGGTGCCCATACGTCCACATCCTCTCAGACAGGGACTCGCACATGTGCAGTGTTCACATACTTAAGTACTCAGTCAGTAGTATCTGCAGGTGACTGGTAACCTACCTCTCTTTTTATGTATGTAAACACCTACGGGGCTAGCTATATGTTCAAGTTTTCCTGCGGAGTTACCTAGAAGGCAACCTTGGAAGGAGGGTATATAGGTAGTTGGACTAAATTGATCCTACAATTCCTACCCTCTCTCTATGCCGGGTGGTGGCAGTGAAAGAACTTGAAACCCACAGACAGCGCTGAGTAGTAAAGAGGGCCTATAAAGAAGGCCTACATCCATTGAAAGGTAAGAATACTAGTGTTTCCAAATTTCAAAGTGGGGGAAGATAAACAATTTCCAGTAACGGAAAATCAAGAAAAATCAAATACCAAATTTACAACTGATTGAACCTTGAACTCAATATCACGAAAGAAGAACATTGGAAACAACGACCCAGGAAGAAAAGACTTGAAACGCAACTTGAACTGAATGCCTTCCTGAAAGACATAGAAATATAAAAATAAGCCAAAAGACCGGCTGGATACAGTCAAGCTCCCAACTTAAAATTTTCAACCATTCCTGACACATTGTCTCTTGGCCGCCGGAGCATTCAGATACTGTCTTTTTCCATTACTATCCACTTGCCATCGGCCATGGTTGTTTGGGTTTGCAACAAACCCTTCCGGGACGGTCGCGTTAACAAATTCAAATACGCGTTTGGGCGCAGCTGGCTGCGGATGTGCTTGCTGAGGAGGCAGTGCACGAGGCCCACTGTAGGGCTGTTGCTGCGGTTGCGGCTGCGGCGGCTGCTGTTGCGGATACATTGGATATGGCATGGGCCGCATGGTTTGCGAATGATATTGAAACTGAGGTGGAAACTGGGCCATGGAAGTCTGCGGCGGGAAAGGCGCGAAAGGCAGTATGTTGTATCCCATGGGATGAGGTGCGGTGGCCATCATCGGCGGCGAAAATGGAGGCGCCGCGCCTGGCGGGTAAAATGACTGGGCGTAAATGGGGTGATGATGATGATAGTATTGCTGAGCGAAATAATTCTGGCGATACGCCTGCTGATGCCATGACTGTTGCGATGGCGGAGGTGTTGGGTATGGCACCTCGGAAATGTAAGAATTTCGGTCCATAGACTGGGATTCACTGCTGACGGGAATCGGATATGTATCAAACACAGCTGGAGACGCATGACCCTCAAGTGAAGATGACTGCGATGCAGTGACAGAAGTTGGTGGCGTATGAATCAAAACCGTTGGAGATTCTTCATTATTAACTGAGGAAGAGGAAGACTTTGGACATTTTTTAGTCCTAAGAGAGGAAGACTGCGAGTCGGTGAATTCAGGCCTTTCCATCTTCTCTGATAGCGGAGAGGACTCGCGAGAACTTTCATCAGATGTGATGTCGGAAAGTATGGCATCATGCATCTCCGTATCCTCCGTTTTATCTGGAGAAATTACCAGCAAGGAGGGATCGATCGTAGGCAGAGGCTCGCACGCAGAAGGATTGGTTATTTCCGAAACCTCAGCAAAGTAATCCCAGTTCTCGTTCGTGTAGGCAGTCAGAAGTTCAGCCATTATCATGTCATCAACGTGAGGTTGCTGGGCAATGTGATGCATTGCATCGGGCATGAAGTCGCCTTCGGCATATGAAAAAGAGGGCATAGACATAGTAGAGTTCATTTCGGGAATATGAGTGAGCATTTTGGCGGTATGAGTGGGCCAAGAGCGAAACGAGTTCAAACGATGGTGAGAAGGAATAATATGAAGATGAGAAGAAAGTGGAAGCAAGTAAAGTAAAATTGTACGGTGAAGAAGAAGAAGAAGAAGAAGAAGAAGAAGAAGAAGAAGAAGAAGAAGTGAATGGGGAAGGGGGAAAGAGGAAGGAGCGAAGTTGGGGGACTTTATGCCCTTCACTCCACACCTTCACAATAGGGTCCGAAGTTGAAAAGGTCGCCGACGTGGATACCCCCCCAGTTTCATTTGTGGTAGTCCCTAAAAGCTCCCAGCGAATAGCATGATACTTGGTGGATTCGAAGTTGGGGGATTCCATCTTGTGGAATTATTGTCCCTTCACTGCATACCCATGGATTCTGAGGTTGAAAAAGGTTGCCGATGTGGAACAGAGCCTTCAAATGTTAAGTTTCTTTCAGTGTTTGTGGTTGGCTTGAAAGGCTCCTGGCAAATAGTATAATACCTAGTAGATTCGAAGTTAGGGGATTTTATGAAATGATTGTCTCTTCACTGTACATACCCTTACTATAGAACCCAAGGTTAAAAAGGTCACCAATGTAGATACCCTTTAGTTTCATCCATGGTAGTCCCTGAAAGCTCGTAGCAAAGAGCATGATACCTGGGGGATTCGAAGTTGGGGATTGTATAATATAAAATCATCTTCCCTTCACTGCATACCCATGGATTCCAAGGTTGAAAAAGGTCGCCGGCGTGGATACCCTCAAGCTTCATTTGTGGTAGCCCCTAAAAACTGCCAGCAAATAGCATGATACTTGGTGGATTCCTCGTTACGGTCGTTACCCTCTGTCTTGTCAGAGCAGATATTTGGAGCAGCCACAATTGTATAGCCATCTCTGCCTTCAACAGCTTGTTTGCCCAGTGCAGCTGCAGAGATAATGAACCATGAGTTACACTTTCCAACTTGAGATCTAGTAAAAACACCCAATTTACGTATGGTTAGCAAAGACGGTACTATAGTAAGTGAAAAATACAAGATGTGAAACCGTGGAACTCACAACATAGCTGAGAATAAGCTTATTGTCCATTGTGGGGAAATTAAGCCGTGCCATTTCAAGCTAACCAAGTCATCGGAATTTGATTTCTCGGATCTGGGGATACTGTAACGGCACAGATATGGGTCGACCTCATCCTCCGCAGACAAACGGGGCGACCGCATTTGAGCCAGAGCAATCCACTCAGAGACGGAACCACAGGCTTCTTGTAAGTCGACCTCGGGCATGTCCTTCGAGACTAGGCCCAATAGCGGCGGTACCAGAATTTGGCTCAGATGATCTGCAGCCGGAGCCGAATCGATCCACCGCGGATGATGTTTTTGAATCGGCTTTGCGTCTAAGTATTCTATTAGTGAGATTTCTTTCTTTTCATGACCAACAATACAGTCTTATACCATTCGTCTGTTCTGAGCCAGAATTCAGGTCACAGAACAACCAAGCTATTGACTGGTTAAGGACGTTTTGAAATGCCCATACGATCCTGTCAAACCCTTTCTTTCCATGTAACATCGACGGGAGGCGAAGATTCAGCTCGATTACTGTTTTGTCAGTCAAAACCTGGTATTTTGAGTCCGTTTTAGGTACGTACCAAATCTTTCTTTACCGTGCTTCCGCCCACCACTGCGGATCGGCTTGCCAACCAGACCCGTACGTTCATAGATCTCTTTTCCTAGCTCAATCTTGAGCAAGCCTATATATAGCACCAGTCAAAGTCAATTCGCTGACTCATGATGGAGGGGTTGGAATCTCGGCGGCGATACTGACCATCTCGTAGGCTGAACACGGTATCCGAGCCTGAGCGGCCTTCGGATATCATGAGAATATTGCCTGGTTGAAGTTGTCAGAGCTTGATCTGGTTGGAGTGATGAAATGACAGCTGATGTGCTAGAGAGACAGAGGCTGATTCCAAACCCCAGTAAAGGCGTTATGGATGTCGCTCACCAATTTTGATGTATGTGTTGAAAAAGTCATTCTCGAGCAAATCCGATGCACGCATGAAGGCTCGGGCACATTGAATCTTCTCAAGCTTGGCCTCCAGTAGTGCTTGGATACTCGAGTAGGCATTTTCTGTTAATATCACTTCAATCTGTCATTCTTTGTCAGCACTGGCCTGAAATCTGAATGGATATTCAAGTTGACAAGATCCATCAATACGAAAAGGAAAAGGCTGACATACCGTGTGAATGAATGGATGGTCTAGAATCGCAGAGAAAGGCGACTTTTTAGTTGGAATCTGCTTTGGGTCGACAAACGCGGGGAGCTGGGTGACCGTTGTAAAGCATTTCTCGCGTCGCGACGCGTCATCATCAAAGTCGAGCATTGTGCAAGATCCTTAATTGTGTGCCAGTAAGTGGAATTGTGGATGAGTTTTTAATTTCAAGCTCGACAGTTTGTGGACGACAGGGCTGAAAATTGTGTAGGTGAATAGGACAAAAAGATCGAAAAAAATTGATGTTCGATTAAGCTCGGCTTATCGATAATGAGCTCAATATCACGCCCACAAGTCCAGTTTTAGGTATTAACAGGTGGAACCAAGGATGAACAGGGCTAATAACTGGAATAATAGGGCTCATTTGTATTTTCAAGTTTTGAGCTTGATCGCATGCTTCGTGATTCTGATATTGTTTTATTTTATTCTAATATACAGGAGTTTACGGGAGGAGAAACACACTCTCTCAAGTGCTGGATCAGAAGGTCAAACAACCTGTCTATATGTTGATACCCATCCAAGGCTCAAATTTCGTCGAAGAACTCGGAGCTACAGTCTCCAGGGCTGTGTCTAGGTAGGGTCAGCCCCAGCTTTCCTTCCTATCAAATGTCCACATGGGTACCTAGGCTTAAGTACCATGATGGAGGTTAAAATACCTACAAGAGTACCTACAGGGGCAGCTAAAGATGTAGATAAAGAGGTAGCTAAAGGGGAAGGCTAGATGCTATATGAGTTGCATACAGGCAACTGGTACACACAGCCCTGAGCACTTGAGACTGGTAGCTCCATGTCTTGGCTGATTCTGCCCCTCTTAGATATACGGTATTCTGCAGGTGGTCAGAAAACCACTGGTACTCGAGTACTAGTAGTAAAAGGAGGCCTCCAGAGCTGTACTATTACTAGTCATCATCAAAGGTCCTGCTTGTAAATCTCCTAGCCACTACATAGTAGTATATGTAGCAATTTGAACCGGGAGTCCGGGACATTCTACTCACTGGCATAGTCGTGAGTATATGCAAGAGCCTGAAACTCTTGATCTCCAGCAACTTTGTAATTCTTAAGAGATCGAAATTCTTCAGACCAAAAAAATCTTAGTAAATCAATCTCCACCTTTTCACTCTGAATCACCTCTTCATCTACTCCATATACCTAGACATATTACGCAAGAATGGTTTTTCCGACTCCCGATCCCGGTTCCGGTCCGAGTCGAAGCTCATGGAGGTCTGGCTTCCCCACCGCAAATGAGCTACAGCTTCCAGACACAAATGAGCAACACCAGTTGCTAACCAGACCACCAAACCCGCTTTCTCCTACTCCAGAGGCCACCCCCGGGAAGAGGAACAGGGGAAAGAAGCATCACCAGAAGCGTAATAACACATCTCAAAACCAGCCATCAGAAGACATGGCGCCCGCTCCGCGTCGGGACATCCTCGCCAAGGAACATTTTGCACATGCCTTTGGCAGCGCCAAGACGCAGACATACCTAGATCCCGCTGCGAAGGGACCAGGATCTCATACGTGAGTTGGATCTGACAGTCAAGCTAGAGCTACGAAGTTGGAATTGACCCAAACTTTCGTCTATTGATTCTAGTATCCGAACTCTGGCATGGAACCCGGCTGGTTCGCTCATTGCGACAGGCTCCGCCGATAAGACTCTGCGAATTTGGAACCCTGAGCGCGCGCATGTCCGATACTCTACTGAGCTGCGTGGTCACTCCGCCGCTGTTGAGAATGTTCTCTTCAATCCTATTCGCGACGCCGAGCTGGCCAGTTGCTCTGCTGATGGTACCGTACGCATCTGGGATGTGCGATCGAAGACATGCGTGAGTCGTCTTGATGTTGGTGGCGAGGCATTTACGCTCTCCTGGTCTGCTGATGGAGATACTATGCTGGTTGGAAGAAAGGTAAATAGTCACTTCTCTCATTCCTGCCTTGCCTCGGGTCAATTCATCCTTACCTCTATCTAGGACGATACCTTGATCCCTATTTCCGTTCAATCACCTTCAACCCCAACTATACTGTCGAATGAAACTGGTACATCGAGTGTACCAGACGCATCAATCTACTCTGCGCTCCCCGCAAGACCTCAAGACGTTCAAACGAATGCCACGGCTTTCTCATGGAAAATCCCTAACCCCGAGTCACCAAATCTCCGTTGCTTCCTTACTACCGGTGAAGGGCGCGTCAAGATCGTTGACTATCCTTCCTTCGAAACGCTCCATACCCTGAACGCGCACACCGCAGCCTGCATTTCCCTCGCTCTGGCTCCGCACGGTCGCTACCTGGCCGTTGGTGGTGGCGACGCCCTGATTTCGCTTTGGGATACTACAGAATGGATGTGTCTGCGCACTTGCTCGAGTGAGAATGGTGGTGCTATCCGTGGTGTGAGCTGGAGTTTCGACGGAAGGTACATTTGTGGTGCTTCGGATGAACCTGATTGCCCGTCGAATGGCTTGGAGATCTTCCATGCGGAGACGGGTGATAGTGTTTACACTGTTCCCACTGGTCCTCGTGCTACCATTCCGGCCGTTGCGTGGCACCCATCGCGCTACTGGCTGGCGTACTCGACTACCAATGATGGCCATGGCAGCAGTGGCTCGGGGTTGAAGATTGTTGGTCCAGGCAGTGGTAACCTGTGATTTTCTTTTTCTTTCTCTTTATTTATGATACCCAGTATCTTTGAGATCTTTGTTCGTTTCCACGGTACTTGGGCTACCGTTCTGGCTAATGTATGGCATCTCTTGGTCTGCCTTACTCGACGGCTAATGATTGCCCTGGCTGTGTTTCGGGTTTGAAGATTTTTGGCGCTGGTGGTGGCCAGTGATTTTTACTTTTCCTTTTCCTTTTACTTTTTTTTATTTTTGCCTTTTAGCGATACCCGGCATCTATCGAGATCTTGAGGACTGCACTAAAAGTTACTAGTATCGAGGAGTACATGAATGAATGCAATGTCTGTCATGAGAAGAGTGTATCACTGCTAGCTGCTATCCATTCTAGAATATTGAAGCCACTGCAGAAATGAGTCCAAAAATAGGAGTTAAGAGTAGAGATATACATAATTGAAATCGAGGCCGTTCGTTTATCATAAGATCATTTCAATAAGGGCCAAAAGAAAACGCCTAGGAAACCAAGTGCCACAATCTTCGTCATGGCGCCAATCGCCTAAAGCCCAGCCATCCAAAGTCCATGGTATTTCCCATCACCAGAATGTACTCCATTAGTTGATATAGGGTCGATGAGGGGAGTGAAAGAGCCCCCCCAGATGTATTTGTAAATGATGCGGGTAGATCCGCATAAAGGTGCAAACCGAAGTCGAGTGATAAAAGGTGTGAAAATATCCAAGATAGTCATCTAAATTGCCATTGAACTCTCACATGTGCCAAAAATGACTTTATCCAGAGCTCCAAGGAATCGACCAAGGACCCGATGTATCCAAGACAGATTGATTGCCTTGGTTTGGGATTATGAACCATGCTGATATTTTCATGATGGGCGCCAGTTGTCCCATCCAGTGGCATTCCCCTGATTGTTCAAGATCTGGGCCCATTGGGCTTCACTCAAGGAGTCGACATTCACATTCAAGTCCAAATTGCTCAAGTCAGGGTTGGGCGTTGACATATCCCATCCAGCAGGGATAGAGAACGCACTACCTGGACCAGTAGTCCCTGTGGGGACACCAGGCATTGTGCTCATGTCAGGCATCTGTGGTGAGTCTGTGTTTGTCGGGGAGATGAAGGTAGATTGAATCTTCTCGAAGGATGTGCTGGAGCTTAAGCCTGACTGGGCTGTTCCTATTTTCTGATGCTTCCTGCCAGGTGAGGGATTGTCATTTCCTGACATTGAGTATGATGTGTTTGATGATGAATTTAATGTTGACGGTGTCGGATGATCAGAAGGTGGGTTTCGCTCCCCAATACCGAAGTCAGGCGAGTATTCCATGTCAACATCGATGGCAATTCCATGAGCAGATGGTTCTGCATTTCCATTGGCCTGCCGTATAGACTGGTAGTATTGAAGTGGGTCGACACCACCAGAGGAACGATCAACGTCGAAATTTGACGATTCCCTGTGTCGACTTGGGAGCGATGTAGTTATACCAGCTTGAGCTCTGTTCTGACCACTCGCAGGTGCATGATCTTGTGATCCTGTATTGGGAATTTCATCATTCTGTCGAAGGTTATAGATGGGCGTACATTCGATGCTATCAGCGCAATATGTTTGCTAAAATGATTGAAGTTAGTACTTAATGTGATAAGCAAGGAAAAGAAAGAGATTTGACAACTAACCATCGCTTGATGAACATATGATGAACCCGATTTTGAAAATTCAGCGCGAAGGCCAGTTCCTTCAAGGTCAACATCCAGCTGGACAAGGAACGATTCGGTCAAAGGATTCTTGGCCTTCATCGCGTTCAAGGCTCCAACAACGAATTGCAATGATGAATAAACAGTAGAGTCATCGGGTCTCGACTTCATATACTGGACGAAAACCCTTGCTGATATATACAGACAAAATGACATAAAAGGATTCAACTATTGGCAGTCAGCAGAGATTCTCAAGCGAAGGCATCATAGAGAGACATACAATGGAGAGATCCACGTGGCTAACCATCTTCATGATGCTGGAAATTTGGTTCGCCGCAACAAGACATCTGCGCTTGCTCTCGGTAATGATCTGGTTGGGCATTCTGTTCTTCTCAGCCTTGAATATCGCAGCCTGGTGCAGACAAATTGTGGAAGTATGAATGCTCATGTTGGCGAAGATGACATTCACATCATCCGTCCCGCTAGGAAGTCGAAGATGCTCGGGCAATGAGAGTGCAATATGAAGTAGAATGTTGTCATGGCTTCGATGTCTCTTCCAAAAGTCGCCATTGAGATCATGGTCGTTGTCTGATGGCTGAGGACGGTGAATGTGAGTCAGGTTCCTGCCAAAGAGGTTTGCCAGAACCACCACACAGGCAAATGGTGCCAATGTAGACACACCCTCACCACCAATTATATCAGAAATACGGAGTGTTCTTTGTGGTTTGCTCTTCAAAAATGATTCCTCGGAGGCGGGAAGATTCGTCATGATCTAGTATGTGTTAGCCTCAGCAACTCCAACTCCACTCGCTTTCAAATAACTGACATCACTTTCATCAATGACCAGAGGCCATCCGGTGCCAATACTTGCGTATCGATCTGTACAAAAAGCCATCCAGAAAACTCTGCGGCGTTCTTCACGTTCTGTCCAATCCTTGGGCGGTAGCATGGATTGCTTTACATCAATTCCTGATCCGTCAAGACGATTGAGGCCCATCATCAATGCCAATCTCGTCGCTTTTCCAACGCTCAACCATGCACGCGGAAAGTAAATCATTCGGAACTCATAGGCGCCGATAAGAATCCACGTTTGGCAATGTCCCAGAGTAACGATTGACTCTCCAAACCCCTTCATTTCATCTGTCTCGGCGTACTTGCGAGCTCGTTGGTAGAAATGATTGTGTAGGAAATAGTATTTATCAGAGACTGAGGCCGCATGACACCACATCATGTAACGCAAGCATATGGGCGGTCGTGCATTAGGACCTAGAGTCAGACTTGCGTAATATCGAGGACGATGGATGATCGGCATCATGGGATAAATTTTCTCGAAAAAGATGTTGTCCCTGTGGAAATCATTGTCAGCAGGAAAGACTAGACATGTCGGAAATCAGACTCGCTTACAATTCTTCGATTGCATCTGGAGCCGGGAGGGGCTCTTCCAGACCCAAGCTGATGAGGTCCCATTGAGGGTCATTTAAAGTGTTGTTAACTTCTGAAAAGAAAATCTGACCCGTCTGTGAAGCATCTATCCCACTCGTTGTCGGGGAAGTGTACCCATATCATTTCCAAGTGCGCTGATATCTGGCAAGCCCAGTACAGAGTCATCTTGGAAGGCACCTGCGAAGTTTTGCTCTGGCGGTTGATGGGGAGAAGTACGTTGCCCATTATCTGAGTCTTGTCCTTTAAGGAGAGTTTCAACTTGAGCTAATAGTAGCACATTTCTAGTCAGCGCCTACTTTTAAGACGGACGTCATGACTCATGCGTTCGCAATAAATCAGAGCTTCATACCTAGTCGCGCTTCCAGCTGCTTCACATATCCCCGCTTCGGTCCACTCTTCTTGCGCACTTCATCGTATGCGCATTCATGACCTAAGCGCGAACATGTTCCACAGCTTGGTCGCCTTCCATCGCATCTAAGTTTCCTCCGCCGGCAGACCACGCATGCGATGCGCTTGGGACGAGGGACGTGGCCACTATCACCAGCCCCGGTAGTGTCAATACACGCATCATTGTCTATGGTTGAGGAATCTAGTCGAGATGATGTAGGCGTTGGGTAGAGCGGATCTTGCGAGAATGCGGAGGGTGGGAAGCTCTCCATGTCGGGTCTAGTGGTCAGGCGGACCACGATCTTCGAGAATGGGAATGTAGTAATTCCGACCGATAAGAAATGGCAGCCCACGGCTAATCCCTAAATTTTCCGTAACAATACGGTGGGTGTAGGCATATAGATCATATACAAATCGGACACGGAGAGGTCATCATCCGCGGAGACTGGTTGATTTGGCGGGGATTTGACAGGAACAAAAATATCCCTAAGAAAGAGAACGGTAAGGAATACAGTGCTTATCAAAGGAGTTGGAGCCTTGAGATTAAAGCCTTTTTATCAACCAGGAATACTAGGAAGCCCCTTTTTTAAAAAAAAGTTCGAATATGTTCGAATGGGATCTACGGAAATAAGATTTTTCTTATTCTTCTTTAATCTAAAGATTCGGAGTTTTCATGTTGTTCTTGTCAATGTGATCTGCAATGAGGGTCCAAGCAACCTTTTTACTTACGCACATCTTGCGCTGCCTAGAGAAGGCTTGGCACGCCACGTTACTATCATGTAAGGCAACCCATACACCACTATACACATAGGAGACTCTACTGGGGATGCACAACATTTAAAGTCATTGTCAAATCGGATAAATTAGATATACTTTCATCTACTCTTTCGAGGAATGTTGGAAATTTATCTATTTGTATCATTGCGTGCGAATGACATTGGATCATCATACTATACAGCACCTGATTCCCCAAGCTCCAACCAAAGACAAATAAAACGCTGTCAAATGGAGAAGACACGGCGAATGCAAAAGAGAAAAGAAACGAGACAAGGTATGGTACAGTCGTCCCATATGCAGGTAGAACGAGGTATAAAATAGAAACAGGAGACATGTCTCGAGAGAGATGGGAAGAGAAACAGGCAGCTGCTGTGTCTGCCATGAGAGGGGGAAAGGCCAAGTGCATACGTTCTCTAATTGTAACCACGACGGCGACGACCTTGGTTGCGAGGTCTGGGGGTAACAACTGCCTTGTTGATCTTCCACTTGGGGCGGGTCTTGTAACCGGATTTGGTCTGAAGAAACAACAATTAGTATATGGTTCATGTAGAATGCGGGGGAAAGGCAGCCCCCGCGAAGACGATAAGAATGTAAAGTGAGTACATACCGGAATACCCCATGGACTCTTGGGGTCCACGTTACCCTTGGACTTACCACGACCACCACCGTGAGGGTGATCCATGGCGTTCATGGCCAGACCACGAACAGTGGGACGAATGTTGAGCCAACGCGAACGACCAGCCTTACCCAGCTGGGTGTAGTGGTAGTTAGGGTTGCTAGCAACACCAATGGTAGCACAGCACTCCCGGTGGATAAGACGGACCTCTCCACTAGACAAGCGGACGGTGATATATTGAGCGAGGCGCTCTTGCTTCTGACGCTCACGAAGCGACACAGGCTTCTTCTCGGCATCGGGATTCTCACTCTCAACTTCTGTTTGACGAGAGTTGGTACCCTTAGCAACAACTGTAGCATGGGTTCCAGCACTACGGCATAATTGACCACCCTTGCCCGCTCTTAATCCAACGTTGAAGATGGGAGTTCCAACGGGAATCATGTGAAGTGGGAGACAGTTGCCTCGCCAGGCAGTTCGTGCAGCCAGAACACCAGGATCAACAGTTCCACCCATGCTCTTCCAGAGGTCCTCCGGAATACCAGACATGTAGCTCTGCACTGTCTCACCGGCTCGCATGCCATCGGCAGCGAGGATATAGCTCAACTTCTTTGTCTCTTTGCTGCGGACCAGCGCAATATGAGCAGTACGACCCGGGTCGTATTCAATACGCTCCACTAGATGAGGACCGGCGTCCATTCGCAAAAAGTCGACGGTACGGATTCGACGCTTATGACCACCACCCATGTGACGCATAGTGACTCGACCGGAGTTGTTACGACCACCCTTGGCGTGTCCCTTCTTGGGGAAAGTCAATCGGTGAACTGGGCGACCCTTCCATAGATGATCGTTGACTGGTCGGCGTAAGTGTCGCACACCGGGGGTACGGGGAGTGTAGGTACGCAGAACGACACCCGCAGAGTCACGGGTTGGGGGAGGTGCAAATGCAGCACTGGGGTCAATTGAAGAAGTAGAGGGAGTTTCCGCGAGTTTCTCGACTTCATTCACGACGGAAGCAAAACGGCGAATCGGAACGGGGGATATGACCGGTAAACACCTGAATGGCAACCGAATGCCCCGGAGGGCAATTCGGGGTTGAAACATGGTTGGAGAGAGACGGGGAATCGAACAAAGTTCTCTCAATCACAGTAGAGTGAAGAGGAACAGTGAGTATAGAATGGAGGAAGGATTAAGCCCAATGCTCGATATTCCAAGTCCTCTCTCTAAGCTCGATCTCCGCTTGCTTCATCCAATCTTGACTTAATCACGAAAAAGTTCTGGGATTAAACACACGTGACCTTGTAATCACCGCCCTCCCAATAAAGAAAAAAGTAGTTTACACCGTCTAGAAGTAATATGACCGGCAGAATATGACAACTGGACCCGAAATAAAACCGATGACATAATCACAAAACTCAAACGCCCTTTCCCCGTTGCCCCCGCAACTTGGTGTTGTTTACCCACCGCGACTCACGTTTTGTCCGCGACGTGTATCCACCGTTACCAATACCGTCCCTGCCACTCCAATCTTGTCTCCTTCATTTTTGGATCGACCCGCCCCAACTGATCCATAAAGATTCCATTTACCTATTCTGTTTGCAATTCTCAATCACCTCATACCCAGCATACCCTACTTTCTTGTATTGTCAAGTAGGAAAAACCTCGAATATCAATTCGCAACCCTCGCAGAGTGGGGCGTCATTCAGGTTTGACCGGTTTTCCACGCTAACACAATAGGGCCAAACATCGCTTGGCCCTCGACTTCTTCCTCTTTTCTCCATCATTCCAGTTCAAGATACCCTTCAACAACCGCCAACCACCATTCCACCCCGGATCAATCCTCCGGTAAAGATTGCACGTGTGATCTGAATAACTCTGTATCCTTTAATCCTCGATTCTCGCGCGTTTGATTTTCGACGTGTTCAAGAGTTAGGCCTGTACCACGGATCGCCACTACATCGATACCGTCGTCCTATGTTTTGAGATTCCCCACGCATAACACCAACTCTCGTCCAAACAAACCTTGGAACCATCATAATCCTCTGGCAAGTGCAGCTTCTTTCGATTGAACTGCATTTTCATACTTGGTACGTGCACCGCGACTTGAACCCTGTGGTATTTCGGGTTCCCCACTGAGGTGATGCCTACCGGAATGCTAACCTAAGCGGAGTAGGACCAGGAGGATCATCTTGCTCTCTCCCCTTTTATTTCTTCCTCCACGTCCCCCCTCTACCTTTTCCCTCTCTTGATTCTAGCACGATGGCACCGGTAAGCAAACTTGACCCGTCACCTGATCGCGTGTTGTTTGAAGTGGGATGCCACATTATTGTGTTTATATGAACATTTAACGCGTCCATTGCACTATTTCACTACGTGTGTCTAACTTTCATACATACAGGCCCGTACCCGCTCTCGTGGAACCATGAATGAGAACGACGAAAACGGTCCTTCGACGCGTCTGACGCGGGCTAAGGCTGCTCTGGGCACCGATGGCCCTGCCGATGCAATTAAGAAGCCTATCCAGCAAGCCAAGCGTGCCACGTCAACCACGAATGGAACTACGCGTCGTCGTGCCGCTCTGGGGGATGTCAGTAACGTCAACAATGGCGATGAGATCAAGGATGGTAAGAAGGCCATCGCTGGTAAGGCCGGCCTTGCTTCCAAGGCTACAATACAGTCTGGCGCCATTCAGAAGCTTAACAACCACGGCAACACAACACGGGCTGCGCCTCCCAAGCCTCGCAGCGGAAGTACAAAGAAGGCGATCCCCAAACGCCCTCAGCCCCCAATTAAAGAACCTGAGCAAGAGCCCCCTCTCAAGCGACACAACATCCAGAAGCAGGGAGTGATCACAAAGAAAGAAGAGCCCATCGCCAAGGAAGACCCTGTCAAGAATAAGGGCAAGGTTGAGGATTCTGGGGAGCAAGAATGGGATAATCTCGATGAGGAGGACCTGGACGATCCATTGATGGCTGCCGAATATGTCGTCGAAATCTTCGAGTACCTGCAACAGCTTGAGCTCTCGACCCTTCCTAACCCCCAGTACATTGACCATCAACCGGATCTGGAGTGGAAGATGCGTGGCATCCTTGTTGACTGGTTGATTGAAGTTCACACCCGTTTCCGTCTGCTTCCCGAGACTCTGTTCCTCGCTGTTAACATCATCGACCGCTTCCTGTCCGCTGAGCAAGTTGCACTGGATCGTCTGCAGCTTGTTGGTGTCACTGCCATGTTTATCGCTTCCAAGTACGAGGAGGTTCTGTCCCCCCCCACGTTGCCAACTTCAGTCACGTCGCCGATGAGACCTTCACCGACAAGGAGATTCTCGATGCCGAGCGACACGTCCTTGCTATCCTCGGCTACAACATGAGCTTCCCCAACCCCATGAACTTCCTCCGTCGCATTTCCAAGGCCGACAACTACGACATCCAGACTCGCACCTTGGGCAAGTACCTGATGGAGATCAGTCTTCTCGACCACCGCTTCATGAGCTACCCCCAGAGTCAGATCGCTGCTGCCGCCATGTACCTTGCACGTCTGATCCTGGAGCGCGGCCCCTGGGATGCCACTTTGGCTCACTACGCTGGTTACACCGAGGAGGAGATTGACCCCGTTTTCCGTTTGATGATCGATTATCTCCACCGCCCTGTGTCCCACGAAGCCTTCTTCAAGAAGTACGCTAGCAAGAAGTTCATGAAGGGTTCGTATCTTCTCCGTCTCCCCATAATTCCTTTACACGCTAACATGTTCCTCCAGCTTCCATCTTGACCCGTCAATGGGCCAAGAAGTATCACCACATGTACATCGACAGCTCTCTGGCGGAGCCCTACACTTATCTCAAGGATAGCGAACAGTAATCATGCCATTTATGATGTTATGCTAGCCCTGTGTCGCCCATGTCGTTATCCTTCATGACGATCCCAAGGCCAACGGCTCGACCAGGGGAAACTCGAATCCTCAATCTTTTGGCATTTCATTGTGCTGGTATTCAATTACCTTTTTTTGCATTGTTACGATGAGTTCATTTCTGCGCGTCCGCATTTTGTTTCCTGTGTGGGGGTGGTGGTGTTCGGCGCTCAGTCAGGGGTTTTTATTTTTGGCTTCGGCTTTACTCTTTTTTTCATTTCTCTCTTGTGCATGGGGTGCCTTGTCTCTCGCCTACCCTGATACCTTTTCTAAACATTCTTTGTGTGTGACTGGCGTCTGGCCTTATTATTTTTTCTCTTCTCTTCTTCAGATCGGAATTTTATTTCATTGCTGCAGTTGATTTATCTTCTTTTTGGTTCATTGACCTCCCTGCCGGAGCTCATGGAAACATGCTTGTTTTCAATTTGTGCATTTTGCATGATGGCTGTTACTATGGCACCGCACATAGGGATTTAAAAAAGGGTCCTGGTGAAGACCAGGGTTGTTGACTGTGGTTACTAGGTGGATGCGTTCGGGTATGGATATTGGGATGGGCAGCAGTAATGAGATTCAGGTCATAGTGATTCGGTTCAATAACGTCTTATCTTTTTCTATTAGAATAGTTGACTTCTGCGCTGGGTGTATTGCGTGGTTACTTGATCCAATTCTGATATTTTCAATCCTATTCTTCTCGCATCTGTATGTTAGTCTATGTACAAAATGGGCATCATATTCCTTGTCCACCTTCTCGTTCCCTTTGATCCTGGCATCTTACTGCGTAAGTGGTTCAATTGTGTGTTGTGGTTCAGGTTCCAGGTGCCTTACAGTATATACTGTCTCACTACTAACTTTGAGCCGAGGTTGGTCTCTGACTGCGCCCCGCGTCCATGCCAGTGAGCCGCAACACCAACACCTGGCATTGGTCAACCTGGAACATGGATCCATAGGAATAGCTATATCAAGAACTCCCTTTTCTACCTACCCATGCCATTTATTTCACCTTCCTCTGGACCAGACTCGGACTTCCTATACCTTGAGATAACAAGATCTTGGCAACTTGAAAGAACCAGAGTCTTATTCCCCTGCCTCTACGGAGTAATACATCTGAAGTCTATTCAATATCTGATCTATTTCTCCAATCTCCAATCCGATTCATCCCTTATTTCCCCTGGAAATAGTTAATTGACTATCAAATGGCCGAGCCCTGTCCATTCTGCAATATCGCAGCCACAAACCCACCAACCCCTTTCAACGATCCCGGTCCCAAATCAACCACGGACTCTGTTTCCGACGATGCCAAAACAGCTCATATGATCTTATCCACCGAGCATGTAATCGCATTCATGGATATCATGCCTCTCACTCCGGGTCATGTACTCGTAGTCTCAAGACATCATTATGAGAAGTTGGGAGATATGGGTGTTCTGGCTAGCCAGGAGGTACGTGATACTACGCTAGTAGATACCTTTCCCCTTGCATGTCGGCAATTTTTAATTCAGGTACCCGTTTGGATGCATACAGATCGGAAAATGGCTTCCCGTACTATCCAGGGTTGTTACAAAGGTTATTTTTGGTGATGATCCTGATAGGCATTGGAATGTGGTACAGAATAACGGTATGTCTTTCAATCTTTACAACGTACTCCGTACCGATGTACGGAGTATAATTCATGGTTCCTTTTGGATATTTGGAATCTTAATTAAGTTGAAATCTCGGACATTGTTAATTGACTGGGGATCTAGGCGCGCGCGCTGCACAAGTTGTGCCTCATGTCCACTTCCATCTAATTCCGCGCCCGATAACAGATGGCGTGCATAAGCCTAGCTTTGCTATGTTTGGGCGTGGTCAGCGCTCGGAACTTGATGATGAGGAGGGTGAGGAGCTATCTCATGCTATGAGGGTTGAGTTGGCACGAGAAGTTCAGCGGATTAAAATTGAGGAGGGTATTGATCTTTCAATCGACTCTGCAGGTCGGGGTAAATTGTGATTTTTGTGTATATTTAGATGCTCAAGTGCTGCTACCAGTTGTTTCATTTGGGTTTTCATTGCGGGTATTTTGAATGTTCATTTTCTATAACTTTTGCAGGGTATATAGGGAGCCCCGGAGATACAGTAACCAGGTCTCTGTAGTTCATGACTTGTTTGATGCTGGATATCCATGCTGAGAATATTGTTCAATTTCACAGTGTGGTCGTTGGAGTCGAATCTTCGTCGGTTTGAAATCCGTTGAAATACTACATTAATTAAACTTGTGAGCCTTTTGCCTAGACAGCGATAGTGCGCAGTGCATATGGATGACGTACCTTTCGTCGGAATGTATTCAGCTCACTGGCCGAAACACCACGATCATCTTCAACGGCTCTTCCCTTTGAGATATCAGAGAGCTCACCCTCTGGTAGACGGCGGTAAGTAATAAGTTGACGAGCCCCTATAATCAACATCAATGTATTAGTTTTTGTCACATCGTACACTGCGGGAATCGATATTGAAATAGCACTTACAGTTGCCAAAAGATTGCACTGACACACTAACAACTTCCAAGTTCTCGTGCATAGGCAGCGGCAAATCAACATCTTCAAGAGCTGTCGGCATCCACATCACAAGACGCCCATTGATAACAAGAGCGCGGGCTGCAAAGTCGAGGATATCTTTCTGCATAGCCTCAAATCCGTAAGGCCGCTTAGGTGGAATATATCCGGGTCGGTAGTAGTTAAGGACTCCGTCGATAACAACAGGCTCAATCTGCTTTCCGTCCCTAGCTCCAAGCACCCGAAGGCCCTCGCGTACACCGTAGGGCGGATCACAGACAATACCGTCAAGGAAATGATTTCTTCGCAAAGGTGTATTGGTGAGATCAGATCCAAACGTGTCAATATACTTGCTCACTATTCCGTATTGATGGAAGTTCCGCATCAATGCAAGGTCATGCTTATGCTGGCGATCTTCATCCTTTCCACGGAAACTGCGAGGATCAATATCCGAGCCCAAAGTCAATGCTCCGAAATGTGCAGCAGCAACGAGGAAACTTCCAGTTCCAACGAAGGGATCGTAGAAAAGCTTTCCAGGTCCTGCGAGTGCCATATTCGCCGTCACAAGACTCAACTCTGCGTCCATCGAGGTTGTGCTGATGTATTTACGTTTCTTCAGATCGTACTTGATAATCGAACCGCGATCACTTTTTGCGAGATACCGACCCAAGTAGATCTTCTGTGGCTCGGGATTCTTCTCTTGTTCGTTGACAGGTACTTCCCACTGGGAGACGTATTTCTCCATAATCAACCATGACTGATCAGGATTCTTCAATCTGATAGGACCTTCAAATCCTAGGTAGCTGAATGAAAGGATGATCTCTTTCTTAGTGGTTTGACTGCGTTTCCCTGAGTAGCTATCCACGTCAAAGCCGAATGCGACATTAAGATATTTGGGCCAGAGGTGAGGGGTCCTCTTCTTGACGTCGGCATGAAGCTCTTCGTAGTTTGTTCCTTGGCCCCATAGCTCAAAGATATCCTTGGCTAGAATGCTTCGCGCGATGAGTGCGCGTGCGGCAGCTTCATCGGGCAATTTGACGATGCAGTATGGTGACTGTGGGGTTGATTAGCAGAGATCTAAGATTGATGGAAGAACACAAGTGTTTCGATATTAATTCAATACTCCAGGACTGAGTATTATCATGATCTCTTCATATCTGCAAGGCAAGACCTCGGGAGTCACATACAAAGTCATCATAGAAAATAATCTCAAGATCAATTCCCAGATAAGTAGCCACGGCCTGGAGTTCCGGGACACGGAAACTCTGGTGCCACTGGGCAAGTCGGACCAGATATTCCATGGTAAATGGAATTTCTCCAGGTATATCTTTTCTTTTCGTGTAGTTTTGTGGGATGTTGTTTAATTAGAGCGAGACAAGCATGTAGTGGGGTTGCGGGATTGATTTTTTTTTTTTTTTATCTTTTCTCCGATGTTGAACGGGTATCCGCTGAAATATGTAACCACATATTAAACCTTGGAAGGGCATGAAGAACTAGTATTACTACTACTACTAGTAATAGTACCTAGTACTTTAGGTTCCTTCTAATCATAGGTATGTATTAATTATACATAAGTTTCAACTTGAAGTTAGCATTGGATCTTATTTTTTAAATGCCAGCTGGTCCCAAATTCCAAGGTTTGAAATTGAATACTTGAACTCGAGCGAATTGAAGCCATTTACATTGAATGGCCAACTTGAATGTCCCTGGAAACTTGGAAAGATCCTTGGAATCAAGCTTGAAATCAAAAACAATCTATCTATTAACTGCTCACAGGAGCAAGGAGCAAATATGAAGCATCATCCTCCCATGATATGTTCATGTACTGAAAACCAGACGCCGTCCCTCAAGAGAAGCCATTGCACAAACTCCACCGCTATGCGCCAACCACTTTAAACACATGTCGTGACTCATATCCCTCCACGGGAGTAATATCAACTTTCTCATCCGCAGGAATCATATGGTGCTCCAAGTTCCAGCCAGCTCGGCGACAGAGCTCCGAGACCACCACATCACTGTCACCTAGAAGATCGATATCGAAATCGGTGTGCGACACCGGCTAGATATTTTGTTAATACATGTTGTTAAAGAGTTGGCAACTGTCATAGATAGTGAGAAACATACTGTACGCGATATGTAGATCTGTGGGACGTTGCGCGGTAGAATGCCTGGCACTTCGGCGACAGGGGCTACCTTGAGCGAAGTTCCAATGACAATGACCAAGTCTGCCAATTCCCGGTCATGGTGAATCAAGCGTTGGCCAAACTCATCAGGAAGATCTTCACCAAAAAAAGTGATGTCGGGCTGGGGATTCCTAAGTCAGTACAAGACGTTGTGGTTTTCAAGCCCGAAAGTGTCAACTCACCTTCATGATACCAGGAGTCGGGATGTCGTAGTCATCCTCATCAGAGCTGTCTTCATACTCCTTACGGTCCTTCTGATTGCCAGTTGAACTCCGCTTGCGCTTCAGCCCTTGTGGTTTTAAAGTTGCAATACTCTCGAGACAAGCGCTGCATTCAGGCACCTTCCCTTCTCTGATATCATCGAAGATTGCATCTCCAGGGACCTTGAAATCGCATTTGACACAAGTGGCGGTTGCAAAGGACCCGTGGCATTGCACCATTTTTTCCGCGCGGACGCCAGCATTCGCCTCGATGTTGTCAATGTTTTGAGTGTAGTTAGTCAGAAGTTTCCCTTTGTCTTGAAGAAGTTTGATGAATCCATGGGTTGGTGAGTACTTCTTCTCAGTAGGAAGAATATCCTTCGCAATGGAGAAGAAAATACTTGGATCTTCTCTAAAGATCTGGATATCAAACACTTCCTGTGGATCACTCAACCCAAGATGCGCCAGCTTTGAATAAAGACCAGTATCCTTTGAACGGAAATCAGGGATACCAAGACTTGTCGAAATCTAAATATTTGAAAAAAGTAATTAGCAACTGAGCCTAGAGAGTCAAGAAACAGGAAAAACGTACACCAGCTCCAGTTAACACGATGATGTTCTTAGCCTCTTGAAGCAACTTCACGGCATCATCAATAGTGTTGTACTGAGAAAGCTTTGGTCTCCGTGAGAACTCCCGGGAAATAGCGATGGCTAAAAGCGGATGGTAGGCCTCATCTGGTGCGCCGTCCAGAAACTCTGGCAGTTTGATGCCGAAAGCCGTACATAGCTTCTTCGCCGTCACAGTCTCGCGCACGAGAGTCTCCTCGACAAAAGCGGCTTTTCCAATATCATGAAGTCGCTTCCGGTATGCCATAGCCTCCTTCAGCGTACAGGCACCGGGAACTATACCACAGAAGCCAAGTTAGCATTTTGTGTTTCAAGGAGTGGATTCCGGATAGCGGGGATGGTCCGGGGTAGGAGGCGCGACACATCCACGCGATATCAATATAGAAAATAGAATAAAATAAAAAGTTTACCATCTTGCAACTGGTCATCGCGCATAAACTGAACAATGTCTCCATCTTCAGATAGCGCGTCGTCACCATCTGAGTCGTCGCTGTCGCTCCCAAATTCAGATGCCGCCTCCTCCAGGGTGACTGTCTCCGCGTTGACCTGCTCCGCGACATCCACAGCCTCCACCTCGACCATGGGCGTCTTAACCGGGATCTCCCCACTTGGCGCTGGTACCAAGTCCATCCTGCACGAATTATTTGGAATATTTCGACGACTGGTTCGCGCCGAGTTGACAAAAAACCATTTGCATAAACGGAACGAGGTTTATCCGGGACCGATGGGGCTTAAGTGGCAAAGATGAACTTTGGTTAAGGGAAAGAAGATCCGTTCTTATACTACGGAGTACAGATGTCATATATGTAAGGTTATCAACAAAGAGGAATTCATCAATATCTCTTGACAAAGAACAATGTATAAACATGCGTTAGATCATCATTTCACTGTAGTTTTTCTTTCAAATCTATTTCATTTATGAATCGGCCATTTCCTGGTCCTCATCATCCGATTCCACCTCAATCTCTCCATCTTCGTAGTCTTCACCCTCTCCCTCGTCGCTATCATCATCCATATCTTCTCCAATTTCCTGAACCATTCCCTGAATAAGTTCTAAGGCATGGTCTCGGAGACGCTCATCCTCATATTGCAATACGTCGAATAGTTTCAAGCTCTGCTTAAGCCATTCGCGACTGGCAATAAGGGAAGCATGTCGCGGCGACTCAGTTTCATCATCTTGGATGTCCTTTGGTGCCTGTTGCTTTTCCGCCAGCAGGTAGAGACACCAGCCACCGAGGTACCATGCCTCCACACTCTGGTCGTCCTCAAGGATCAATCGCTCAAGGACTTCCAGAGCCTCAAACTCTAATGTGACTTCCATGAGAAGTCGCGCAAGACTGATTCTTGTCGCAAAGTCCGGAACTTTGGGGTCCTCTGGGCTAAGATCCTTCCACAGACTGACACTCTTCTTCAGCGCGGCTTGCGCATCTTCGGTTCGCAATTGTGAGATCCGGATGGATGCGAGAGTCTGCAGGACTTCGGGGGCTTCGGGTGTAACAGTGATAGCCTCAGTAATAAGCGCCTCACATCGAGCCTCTGCATCCTCTGCCCAACTAGATTTAATAAATTCCGTTAGTAATGGAACAAATGTTTCAGTAGTTTCTGACAAGACAACTCACGAAAGATCAGTCATATAGATTTCAGAAACAGCACAGAGTGCGTTTGACAGCTTGGCCTTCTTCTCAACGGAGTTGGCGACATCCTCCGCACCAGTCTTGCCTTCTAACGACTGTATGGTCTGTCGCAGAGAAACAACACCCTTTTCGAACCACTGGACACTATCCACTCCACCTTGCTCGCTCAATTGGGCAAGCCACATAAATTTCTCCGCGCCACCACCCTCGGACTCAGGAATTGAGCCATTGGGGTCTAGCTTAACAGCACGTAAAAGGTATTCTCTAGCAGTCTCGATCTCACCCAGCTCAACATTGATCTCACCAAGTAGATTCAATGCCGGTAGCTGTGCATTGCCGTTGCCGGCTGTAAGGTCTAGAGCCTGCTGTGCATTTCCCAGAGCTTCTTCAACACGTCCTGTTTGGAGGAGGATCGTGGCTTGATCGAGTAATTCGGAGGGACTTTGAGCCATTTTTTGTTTCGAGATTGAGCCACCAGGGCCGAGGACGGACTTTGCGCGGGACTTGGATGACTTCTTTTTTTGCGGTCTAGGTTTTCCCATGGCAGGTCTATTCAAGAAATAGATATAAACAAAAAGAAATGAATATTTGAGTATTGAAAAAGTGAGAGAAAAGATGAAGTTGTGGTAAAATGCGGGACACCAGGATAAAAAAAGTGAAGCTCCCAAAACCCAAAATTTGGAGTTGTTTGACCGGTTTGCATGCGGGACTCGCAAGATTGGCTTTCATCCACTACATTTTGCGACAGCGGTACGATCTTCTCTATTGATTAATTGTCTCGAATACCACGACTTATACAACCTCCTCACTTTGATCGAGGTTTGTTGTATTTGGCTATTTAATCTCAGCCATCTCTTTTCAACTCCCCGCACACTTATCTTAACCGACACCCCTCCAAATCCGCGGGACGGACCAGACAAAATGGGCCGTGAAGATCAAGTCGAGGAGCGAGAGGTTCTCGACTCAATTTTCCCCGATGAGATTATTGGTAAGTTAAGAGACTGTCGCATAGAATAGTTTTCACTCTTCAGGGAATTTCTCGTACTGACTTGAACCTCTCCGCCACCAGATATATCTGAGACCGCATACAAAGTATCGATAACTCTCGAAACCCCCGAACATGACCCCGAAGAATCCGAGCAGCCCGTGATATACCTGGAAGTGTCATACCCAGAAGAATACCCCGATGAGGCTCCAAAACTCAACATTTCATCTCCGCCCAACGCCCCCAGGTACCCACGGATAGATATCCAAGAGGACAAAGAACAACTGCTTGAATCTCTCCAGGAGACGATCGAAGAGAATATGGGCATGGCGATGGTGTTTACGCTCGTGAGCGCACTGAAGGAAAGCGCAGAGAATATCATGGCCGAGCGTGCGAATGCCGTACAGGCTGAGATACGGAAAGCAGCTGCCAAAGCAGAGGCTGAAGAAAATGCTAAATTCCAGGGTACACCTGTGAACCGGGAGACATTTTTGGAGTGGATGGAACGGTTTCAAAAGGAGGTACAGGAGGAGGAGCTGCGGCAAAAGGAGGAGAAGGAAGCAGAGGACAAGAAGAAAAAGTCTGGGAAAGAAGAGAAGAAGCTTACTGGGCGACAACTGTGGGAGAGAGGATTGGCTGGTAAGGCTGATTATGATGAGGAAGATGGTGAGGATGCTATGCCTGCAGTTGATAAGCTCAAGGTCACAGCTTAAGTTAATAGATGGATATGGTGACATGAGCTACTGGTAGTTAACTAGCACATATGGGATTATTGGTTTCAAGACTAGATGGTCATTTCTTTTCAAGTTCTTCATTGCAAATAAAAGAGAAGCAACATTTTATGCAAAATTCGGGGGTATCATTTCGCGATGTAAACAAAATAATGATAAAAAAATTCCTGGACAAGGGCAAGTAGCCCATATGCCGCTAGACAAGAGTTGAGTGTAGGAGAATAAATCTCCATTTTAAGAAGATTTTCCCTCTGCTTGTTTCTGCTTCTCCTCCTCAGCCAGCTTGCGCTCCTGAAGCACAATATTCCACATTTTCTCTGCCATCTCTCGATTTTGTTGATCAGTTTCCACGATCTTTGCCCGAACGTAATCCAGGGACGTTTTGACTGCTTCACTCCACGTGCCTGACTCTCGTTCAGACTTCACACCTATGATCCTATCCCAGGCTTCTTCATCCTTAGCGAATAGAAGATCCGTCTGAAGACGTTCTCTCAACACAATGCGATTCCAGCGCTTCTCCAATTTTGCTCGAATGACACCGCTGAGATTCTTCGGCTGCGGCTTTTTTAGACGTAAGAAAGGTATACCACGCGCGTTGACCAAAACCGGGACATGTCGCTCCCCGCTTAGTTCTATATTGGGTCGCGATAATATGGACGGTGTATTCGGATGTCGTCGCTGGGTCTGTTTTTCGAAGAGGAGAGTTTCTTGCTTTCGCGCAGCTCGGGGAGATAGCGGGATTGGAGGCTTCGAGTTATTGACCTCTCTTTGCATTGCGGTATAGGCCTCTTTCCTAGATCTTGCCTCTGCAAGGGTCTTTATTATTCGGTGTTCATCTTGCTTGTTTCCTTTATTTGCGGAATCAAGTAAATCCAGGGCCTGTCGGCGAACCGGCATGTTAGTATTCATAGTGATCGGTGTGACATGCTGCCTTGATAATTCATACTTTGTAACCAGCTTTTAGAGAAGATGCGGCCTGAGAAGGGCTCTGGAGCCCCTTATATCGGTGGAACCTTTGTTGGACGAGGAATCTGGTCTCGGTCAGCCATGGCGCATTGCCGTTCGACGGAGAACATTGTCGGAGAAGTGCTCGGTACAGCGCTAGACCTGGAGGTAAAGTGTTAGTGCCAGTAGCCGAAAGAATGATAATTTTGTCTCACAAGCAAAGCGATGCACCCCAGAATTCTTTGGTACGACCACTTTATGCATTCCGAGGAATCAGAAAGTGCGAGAAATTGTTGTCGTCCGGAGAAGCTCCGTCGTTGCTCCGACGCATAATTTGACACGTGACCGCATTGCCATCAACGTATCAATCGTCGACGAATGAGATACCTAGGTATTCATATCAATGCAGGTAATTGCGTAAAGGATATTATTAGATTATAAAACAGTATATTGATTTCTAGCACAATTGACCAATCGAGACATTGCGTTGATGTTGCACATAATGCATGAGTTGGCTCAATTATAATTGGCTCCAAAAGTACTATAGTTCCGTCATTATTATCATCTATGAGATTTAAAGATGATAAAGCAGTCATAGGAAAGTGTTTTAACTTGACCCAATTTGTACTGGAAAATGCTCCTGTATGAACTTTGGGCTGTTGGTTTACGATAGACCGTCTAGAGAAAGACACTTCAGCTACGAGGAATGGAAATAGGTTGGGCTTCGAAGAAACCGCGCCGGCACTGCCATGCAAAGACTATTCACGCTCGAAGATAATAGTCACAGGAACATACAATATGGAAGAAGCAAAAACCGCAAGCAAAATGACCTCGTTACTCCGGATTCCTGGTGGACCCTAGTGATATGCAGATTTAAAAAGTCGAACCCTCCAGTGGCTGAGGCAGTTTCTTGTGCTGAGGAAGGGCCATGTATCTGAGTAAAATCAAGAAGTCAGAGACAGAACAGAACAGAACATAAGATCATAGCCATGAACTATATAACAACTCACCGGCGAAGCTCAATCAGGACGGTCTCCATTGTGTAGTCGCGCTTCCACTGGGCAAGACAGGGGAGCTTGGTTGGGTCCACCTAATGTAAATCCTCAATTTAGTTGTCGTTTCCCCATAGAATAGTCCTTGGCGTCAGCATACCTTTCCGTTTTGCTGGTTGACACAAGGGGCATTGACCTGCGAGACGAATTGGATGGTTGGGGGGTTATCGGGATAGTCGGGACCGCAATGGATGTTCACACTGTAAATTCGATTCTCGTGTACGCTCTAAATGACTATGACGTTAGTAATTGGATACATGAAAGGCACGCGACGGAAGATAAAGTCAAAGCGGGGTAGACGAACGTGAGGAGGGCCCAGGATTGTGCCATTCCAGTTGCTCATCATCATGTCTTCTCCATCAGCAAGACCATAAGAGCAAGCCTCTATAGTAGTTCCAAACAAAATAGTCAGTAAACCGATTCCTAGCTTTCCTAGAAGAATCAAGATCATACCGGCACCAAGTCCCTTCTCTCCCTTCTCCAACTCTTCAAGAAGCCTAAAGTTTCGTGGAACCTTGGCAGCCATGGTGGGAATATCTTATCAAGATAATAAACCCACGAAACACAAAAGTCGGGAACCCGTCGTTAAGGATTTCGTGATGAAGAGAGAGGGGCACTTTAACCGGCAACGCGGGCTAATGACGGCTAGATCACGTGCGATAAGACCTTTATCGGCATGGCTTGGCACTTATGGAGAAGCCACGGGGGATTTGTTGTCCTACATCTTGATTCCCAGCAAGATACACGAAACAAAGGTGATTGGAACTTGAGATTTCGCATGATTTCAGTATTTTGAAGTATATGTGACTCATATTGACTTCAAGCATACCCCAAGAGCCCTAGTCGAAAAGCTCCCTGTCTCGTTGACTCGGGGAGCACCCAGAAGTACCGCCGGCACTGGCTATGCGTTGATGTAACGGGCTGGTATTGGAAATGTCCTCCCAATTTTTACAGACAGAGCTTGCAAACCTCATTCAAGAGTCTAGACGGAAGAATTCAGATCTGCGCAGTGTTCGTTCAAGCCTCATGAATTGCCAATCTTCCGGGATAACAAGGCTGACTAACAACTACAGGCAGCAGAGCAGTCGCTAAATGAATTGAAAGCACTACCCTCAACTTCAGAGGCTCAAATAGCTGCAGGTATATATTGTCAATCCCATGGCTAAAGCCAAGCACATAATTAAATGATTCTATAGATCTTGTGCGCAAGCCGACCTTTGTTGAGCCATTCATTATCGCATGCCATACGCGGCATGCAAAGCTTGCTGGCATTGGCGTGATATGCCTACAAAGACTCATTGCGTCAAGGGCACTCCCTTCATTTCGTTTGAAAGATGTTCTTACCGGCTTGCGAGAAACGACAAACTTAAGTAAGTGAAATGTGGCATCTTACTGGATCAAAGGAAATCCATTAACGGAGAACAGGCCTTGATATCCAGTTGAAAATATTGCAGTCATTGCCTTCCCTGCTGCAATACTACTCTAATGAGCTTAGTGGAAATTTACTCGCAAACACTCTAGAGATATGTGCTACTCTACAAGCAAGTAAAACCATTGCAGTCAGTAGCACAGCCGCTGCTACTCTTCAACAGCTAGTGGTCTCCACTTTTGAGAGGGTCTCTAGTGAGGACAGGGTGCCAAATGATGAAAAAACCACAAAGACTGTCAAGGTGGATGGCCAGTTTGTTGAAATTGGACAATTTGCATATGATGCTTTGCAGGTCAGTCCCTATCCACACGCGGCATCACTCTTTCATACTAAGTCTTCTCTTTCGCAAGGTCTTGGATGATCTTTGCCGTCTCATTGATGGAGAACAGTTACAATTTCTCAGGACAAGGACTCTGGCACCGCCCTTCGTCCTCGAACTCATTGAGGGCATTATAACGAACAGTGGCCGCCTCTTTGTAGGCCACCCAGAATTGTCTCAGGTCTTACGAATTCGCTTGATACCTTTGATTATTCGATGTCTGTCTGAGAAGACCTCATTTTCACAGACAGTTCGAGTCACTAGGATTCTGCTTGTGCTCTTAAAGCGTCACATGTCTCTCCTAACCTCGGAATGCGAGATGGTTCTTGGGCTTTTGACCCATTTACTGGAACCAGACGGGACAGCACCCTGGAAGAGAGTGCTTTGCATGGAACTTTTCCGGGGTCTTTATTCTGAACCCGGAGTTGTGAGACAAATATACTCGCTTTATGATGGAGAAGAAGACAGAAAGAACATTCTTCGAGACCACATGGCTTCATTTGTTCGACTGGCTTCCGAGAAACCTTCCCTGATCGGCGTCAGTAACCAGTCAACAATTCCACTACGCGCTGACAGTTCCCGGTCTGCTACGGAAGACCAGATAGCTCTCGAAACTGGTGGCGTCGCGGGTGTTATTGGGACATCGGTTCCTCCAACTGAGTTAAGGGTTGCCGGGATTAGCAGCCAGTGGAGTGTTGTGCGGACACCCTATATTGAGCTCCTTGACAAGACAGAGCCATCGCTTCCGCCCGAGACTTATATATACAGTTTGGTTCTCAACTGTATTAGCTCTTTTGCCGAAGGACTTGCCAAGTTCATTCTTCCACTGACGGTGCCGGATTTGAAACAAAAGCGCAGGAGCCGTCTTGTCAGTAGTCCTGATCAAGGCCCAGACTCGGCAAGATCTTCTCAAGATCTCCAATTCCTAGAAGCCACGAGAGCTCAGTCGGCTGTATCGGGGAAGAGGCCGCCAGTCCCAGTAAATCCGCTGGACCTCCAGTCTCACATTCAATTTTCTGCAATAAAAACATGCGCAGGCATTGTTGAGAATTGCTGGCCTGCGGTGCTTGCAACCTGCTCTACTTTTTTGCATGCCTCCCTTGATGATGAGTTTTACCACAATCTTGTTCGTGCATTCCAGAAACTAGCTCATGTTGCAGGTCTTCTTAGACTGTCAGTGCCACGCGATGCTTTCCTTACGACACTGGGAAAAGCTGCCATGCCTGCAACCTCTGGCCGTTCCAAAGCGCAGACCCCTGCAGGACCGGCTGCCGCGGGAGCCCAGGCAAATGATGATTCTTTCAAAAGACGGAAGAGCACCGACGTCTCACGAATCAATTCACTGTCTATGGAGTCCGGCGGCTCAACTGCCGTTGAGGGCGTCACAGCATCCCTTAGTACCAGAAACCTGCTTTGCCTTCGAGCTTTAATCAATCTTGGAATTGCACTAGGGCCAACATTAAACCAGCCAGCTTGGTCTATTCTCCTGGAGACACTGCAGTATACAGGCCTGGCGATTGGCATGTCATCAAGTGCAATGGTCAAATCAGCAAATGGTGTCGTAGAAACTCCAGGTAACTCGGGATATGATGTTCCTACCGCCAACCTGGGTGCGGAAGTAATTGCTGTGCAAACAGCATCTTCTAAGCTCTTCGAAAGTACCAGCGATTATCCTATTGATTCTTTCCTGGATATCCTCCATGCTTTGTTGAATCTAACTGCGTTCACCGCGGAGAGTGAAGAGCAAGAGCAAGCTCAAAAGGTGTCTGATACCCCCAGCTCACCGCAGTCAACAAGACGTTCAGGTCGCCTGCACCAAAATGCACAAAGGGTATCACATACTGTGGGCAAATTGAGGATGCAAGATGAGGAGCTGAAATTCGTGCTAGAAAAAGGCAATGAACTTGCTAAAGCTAACCTTGGTCGTTTGTCATCCTTGGATGAAGCAGATGGCAAAGCCTGGCAGTTACTGACCAGTAGTCTCATCTCAATATCCGCAAACATCACAATTAGCCCGAATCTCCGCCTGCAGGCCAGCGGGGTTCTGAACTCATTAGTGTTTCTGACAATGAAACCAAAGGACAGTGATGACGAAGAGATACAAGATAAGATCCAAACAAGGAATCTTGGGACTCTCAAAGACCAAGTTGCTTCTCTCTATGAGTCTGATCTGGTGACGTCCAAGTCTCTTCCAATCACAGTAGTGGAAATACATGAGCAAAGCCTAGAATCCCTTCAAACCATTTTGGAGCAGTACGCTGAAACGTTCAAAAATGGTTGGAATCTCGCTTTCGATTTGATATCCGGCGTTTTTCAAGCCGTCAAGAATGTGGAATGTGGCGACCAGCTTTCCACGACGAACGAACGCAGATCATCTGGTCTTCCGTCTGGACCGCGACTAGTTCGCGCTGCCTACAAATCGCTACATCTAGTTGCGTCTGACTTCCTTTCTCTTCTCCCCGCACCCTGCCTATTGAGCCTGGTTGACTTATTATCGAGCTTTGCCTCTCAAAAACAAGATTTCAATATTTCACTCACTAGCACATCCTTTTTCTGGACAATTTCAGATTTTCTTCAAGGGCAGATCGATGAATTCTCTATCGAGAGTCATGTTGATGCTTCCGTTAGTGAAGATGCTCTGAGTGACCTTGCTCGATCGGAGGATCTGTCTGTTTCAAGGAATTCGCTCTGGCTTTTGCTGTTGCTCCGCAATGTGGACATCACCACGGACAGCAGATCGGAAATTCGGAATAGTGCCATCCATACCCTTCTCAGAATTTTCGATGCCTATGGACGGCAGCTTTCCCCCAAAGCTTGGCGATTGTGCTTGAACAGAGTGCTCTTTTTGATGGTGGAGCAGATTGAAACCACATTGAAGGAGTCGAAAACTGTGAAGAATGATCTCAGATCTTGGATTGATACAACGGTCGTCATGATTAAGGGCGTTTGTAACCTGATCACGACATTTTTCGATGCAATTGTGAGCGATGAGGAATTTGACCAGTCTTGGACACGACTCGTGAAACACCTGCAGGCCCTAGTGGGTCTCGATCATCTTGAATTTAGTGAAGCCACCTTTGCCAGCCTATCTGATATTCTTGTCCGGGCAAAGCCGTCGAGTGGGCTGAGCAAATCTGCACTTCACTGCACCTGGAACCTCTGGGTTGATGGCCATCCTGCCGACGACGAATCCAAATTGGACCTGACGCGGGCCAATCAGGATGCTGCACTGGCCTACCTACACACATTCCAGCAAGTTTATCGTCTATACAAAGACGATTTGACTATGGAGCAGATCGAAAAGGTCTTGCATCATCTACGTCTCCTTGCCTGGAACTCGGTTTCTCTGTCATATTCCCCAGACATTGAGCGCCCTTCAGCAGTCCAAGCACTGGTCATTGATTGCGTCAAAACTCTTTGCATGGAGAAGAAAGAATCACAAGCAGCGATTCTTCTATGTGCCGCTGATTTATCTGCTTCGGCCATATCTAAATGGATTCCAGGAAGCGACTCAAGGAGACCTACTTTTGTGGCATTCTCCAAAAATGCAACGGATCTTATCAGCTGGTATATCACAGAGTTCGGTATCCACCAAGACATTTTCGCCAATGGTGCACTGAAAACAACGCTTGATCGTCTCAGCCTACCAATTGTGCAGAAATACACATGGCAAGGAAAGGACCGCGAGACTTTTCTGTGGCAGAAAGCCACAACCGTACTGTTGAACGTACTTCAAGTCGCAGTCCCCTATGTGGAAAAGCAATATACCGAAGAGAATGCGTCTGAGATAGCCCGTTTCTGGCAATGCGTTGTGACTGCCACTGACGGTATCGTATCTGCTCGCGGCTTCCAAATTCAACAGCTATCAAATACACGAATCCTAACGGATGAGACCTTCGATATTGCTGCATTTACTCGCTTGAAAACGTTGGTTCTTCCATCACTTGGCGCGTCTGCGATTGCAAGCCCTATTCGCCGTGAATTTGCCTATGCCCTCTTCAACTCTTCATTCATCTATCCACCTCAACGGTTAGACTTGCCAGCCACATCGAACGAGAAGAATGCTCTTCAAGATTTCTACAAAATCCGAACTGGACGCACTTTCGACCCTCCCCCAAACCTGAGACGCAAAATGGCCTACGCACTAATTGACACTTTGTTCGAGTTTGCGGAAAATACAGACTTGGACAATGCCTCGACTTCTCCGCGGACTTTGCTCGCTCAGTCCGTTTCCCCTTACCTTCTTCTTCGCTGTGGCATGTCCCTGAAAGCATACATCGCCGATCAACCTCTGCGCGGTCTGATGCCTCAGCCTACTCTCGCACGCAAGGCCTTGCTTCATCTCCTGACTCATATGGTTAAGCTTAAGAGTGAGCCTTCCGCTTTCCCCGATCCACCTTCATTGAGAACCATTCCTGCAACGAGCAACGGAGAAGATGACCCGCGTCATCATAGCAAGCATTTGGAGTGGTTATACCCCCCTGGTTGTTAAAGCTATCCAGGTAGCAGGCAAAGAGCGTGATGATGGACAGGTCCTTCAGGCTTTGGGGCATGTATTACAGGCGACTGGTCGTTTTGACTAGAATAGCCAGAGACTTGGTGAGCTGGTATTACACTCATGTGTGGATTAATCCACTTTCACCCTTTCCATGTATCTTAGATTGTCTTAAAGACAGAAAGCCGGCGTAACGAATGGGGGGACTATCTAAGAATTGAATTGCGAATTATGATCAAATTGAATTATTGGCATTGAAAGTGTGTAGGGAAAATGATAGACGAGAACGATAGACTACAGTGATATCATGGTAGGACCGTAAGAGAGGAATCAAGGAATCTACCTCGGAGAATTGCATGAAACGGAGAGAATTGTAGACGGTTAAGAGAGCAGGTCTTGTATGTAAAGAGCATTCAGAGGGAGATGGGTATAGGAAGGATCGCTGGAAGAATAGCTCTAATCTCTTGGAAATTCAAATGATTGCTAGACGGAAACGATCAATTCATACCGTTATCGGCTTGCTGCACGGGGTACTCCTTTGCCGTTGCTGATGGAGACTTGTCCTCACGTCTTGGACCGATACTCGCAGAGCCGGGAGGAAGAGCTTGCTGGTTTTGCTGGAGGAGGACTTGCTGTTGGATTTGTTGCTGCTGCGCGATCTGTGGCGTTGCGGCAATTTTGGGTGCCTGTCGGTAGAGGGCGATCTCGGATTGCTTGAAGTAACGGCGAGCATCTGTAAAATACGCATGATTCGTTAGTACAAGCGAAACCAATTTGAGACGGTAGACCGGGTGCCCTAGAGCTAGTGATCTAGTGTAAACGAATCCGTGGAGACACGCCCAGTTCGGTTTAGTGTGGGGGTGGGCAAGAATCGCCATGGAATTTCCCAGTCGGGCCGGTCGTTTCGGTTTCAAAACCCGTCGGTTATGTAAAATACCCAACCGGTTAATCCGCGGGATTCCACGGCTTAACGACCATTTTGGACCATGACCTCACAAACGTATGCAGGTGACCTTGGAGCTGGGGTGGGGAACATATGTACCTTCGTCAATCAGCACCAGGCTGAGGTAGTATCTTGTTGAGTACTTCTTGTTAACGTCGCGGAATGTCGGAGTTAGATCGAATCCGCCAAGGAATAGACGGATGGGAATCGTTTCACCTGCATCAGTTAGTAATCTGGATGAGTCGTGTCGAAGCAATACTGCGAATCTAGAACTAACCTCTTGAAGGTGAGCCATCCATGATCTAGATTGGAGTTAGTAAGTCACGAGACCAGACGCTTTCTTGAGCTAGGCTGATGCACTTACCTCAAAACGGACCAACGTTTCGCTTTCATTGTACTGATTGGGGGGAGAGCCAGTTGTCTCTCGACGGATGATGGACAATTCCATATGCTTGATCTTGAGCCGCACAAGCAAGAAATAGATGCGCCCAACAATCACGTCCTTGAGATGGTACTTGGATTTGGAGTATTCGAACTCAATGTGAAGACAATCCTCAATTCCGACATCCATCTTGATCGGGCTATTAGTCTCTGGCGGCATGCGGTACGAGTATACCCAGAGGTCTTTCTCGCGAACGACGTCAGCCATGCGCCGTGAGACGGTCACGCGCACGAAGTAACGTAGTTTCACATTGATGCCATTGTAGGATTCGTATTGCTTCTCGACATTTTTGAAGTTGAAAGGGAAGGACTGTGGGTGAAGAAGCTCGCCTGGAGCAGCAAGCTCTTGAACAAGCGATAGGAATTCGTAGTGGTTGCCTCGATCGTAGAACATCTCTGGATAGGCACACATAGCCTCGGTCAGCCACAACCCCAAATAGACACAGAGAAAAAGAAACTTACCAATTGTTCCAATAAATTGCACTTTGATTCCCGTATGTTCCAATCGTTTGCCATCCTTTGGTCGGACTGTCACCGCGCCCTTGACCGACTCCCCGTCCATGTACAGGGGGACCCGCTCACGGCGGTTCTTATCAAGCTTCGCATCGACTGTTGGGCGGTCATCGAGGTCGTCTCAGGACGACGTCGATATCGACCGGAGAAGAAAAGAAGAGCGACGCCATTGTGTGTAGGTTAGCAATGCTTGGAGTGAGCTTGCGCGGAGATCCAGAACGTGGCCTTGGTGCTTAGGTAATACCCCGCAGGCAGCTATCAAAGTGGCCAGGTGAGAACTACGTCAAGCTCGCTTCTTTCCTTTCTCAAAATTTGATTTGGTATATATTTTCAATCAAGTTTGAATATATCTAATCCTAGCACCTCATTGAAACACATGGCCTACTGGGTCCTCCCTTGAATATTCTCCAACCCTGCCAAATCCAACACTAGCTAGGATTTCGGCCCCCTTAATCATCGGCACGGCTTGTACGGAGTAGCCATGGTCAGTATACCCCACACACTGCAGGAACTGGCATACTGTCGACCCTAATGCAGTATTGTGCAACTTCCCTTTAAAAAAAAAACTCCCAGTTTGCGGATATTTTTGACTTGAGTTATATGATTGGATTGAGTCAGATCATAATGCAAGATAGATATGTTCACATACTTAAGTACAGGACTCAGTCTGAGTCAGTAGCATCTACAGGTCACTACTAGTAATGACCGACACCTCTTTGGATGTAAGTACCTACATGGTTATCTACATGGTTATCTACATGGTTACCTACTGGGTTACCTACTGGGTTAACTACTGGGTTACCTATATGACTAGTACCTAGAGGGGAAGGCTAGCTGTTATATAGGTAGTTACTAGTAGATATAGGCAACTATCAACTCTACCATGCGGGAGGTCTGGGGGTTTTCAAAATGCCCCCAAAATAGTGTAAAAATAATTTTGAGAATTAAATATTAGTTAGATAGTTTTTTAATGAAAAATCATGTTTTTGTATTTTACTAGGTAGGATATTTCTTTATAAAATATATCTTGGAATTATTAACTTATATTATAATAAAAAACTATCTTTTGTAATAGAATATGTTGGAAGAGTAGAATACTATGTTGATCTCTAGGGCTCTAATATGATGGTTGATACATGTAGTCTATATTAAAGTCTGGACTGGTTGTAGTCTGTATTGTAGTCTGTGTTGTAGTCTATGTTATAGTCTATGTTGTTACCTGTGGAATTGCCTATGTTGAATTGCCTGTGTTGAATTGTCTGTGGAATTTCTTCTTGTGGAATATGTGGTCTGTGTAAGATGTGACTTGGTGTGTGAAGCTGTTAAAATAATGTAGATGGTGTAGTTGGTAAACTGTAGTTGTAGTGTTGTAAAATGTAGCTTGTAAAGCCTTTTAAATTGTAAGTTGTAGCCTAGAAACTGTAGATTGTAGGTCCTGAGTTCAATACCCCTGTAGATCAAAAGAAAAAGAAGAAGATGTACTGTAAAGCACCTGAATAAGGAAGGAAGGTATGAAGTATGAAGCTATACAGATGAAAGTTACCAGACTGAAAGTTAGCCTGTATGAGGGGGTACTGTTTTTTTTTCTCAAAACGTTTTGCGATCCAAAACGTTTTCTCATCCAAAATATTTTAACCCTGCAATTATATTAGACCGCTAAAATTATTTCAAATCCAAGATCATAAGACTGATATTTCCATTTTTAAAATAATAATTTTTCTGAATAATATCTACATTGTGTTGGGGGTATTTTGAGAACCCCTAGACCTCCCGCATGGTACAGATACCTAAAGTGAGAGAATTCTAAAGTAAGAGAGAGAATTCTCAAGTGAGAGATAGGTAAAGTGAGATATACGCTCAGATATTACCCCACATCTTGCCTTGTCTTAGACTCAGCCCTCTCAAGAGAGGCCATTGGATGTTGCCAGAACGCCTCTTTAGGATGTGAACATATCTAGCCAAGCACTCATGTGCTGAGGATATACCTCTCCTAATTTCAAATGCGCGCTGCTTCACTGGCAGTGCCGCGCGAAGCACGGTGTGAGGTCTTGTATGGATGATACTGAGTGTCGCGAGATACTGGATTCCACGGTTATAAGGTTTATTCGATGGGAATCTACTTCCCGATCTAGTAATTTTCAGGCAGCTTGAAGTACTATCACAGCTCAACCCTTCGAAGTTGTTGATATTCCTGCCATCCTTATCAAACATTTGAAACCCCACATTATGGAAATCCCCAGGCTTTCTTTTTCATAACGTCAACTGGTACAGGGATTTGTACGGGAAAACCTTGGGACGGAGTGATTTCCACAGCATCGGCTGATCTTCCATGTGCCATGAATCAAGTTTAGCCGGGTATAAGGCGGAGTAGTAAATGCACTGTTGATTCGTTCCATGCATATACATGTATATCTTCTACAAAATTTGGGTTTAAAACTTGAAGTGAAATTCAAATATAGATGCCGTGAACCCTATCCGAAATTTCCGCCCACCACTGCATGTGGGCACTGGGCAGTCCAAGATTTTTTTCAAGGCGTGTTTGCTTATCCATGGAAGCCAAGAAGACGCGTGGGGGTGCATGTTTCAGCCGCTAAATGGAAGTATTTTAACTCATCGAGTCTGGTATCTGAGGTGTATTTTGAATGAAAATAGGCTGGATCTCAAATAATACAGCCCAAAAAGCTCATTGACGTATCTTTTCCCTACTTAGTCAAGAGTGATCATCGTGGTCGAAGAGGCATACCTGGACTTGATAGACCAAACTGGCGGTGTCGGTAGCGTGGGGGTATTTTACACTGTAATTTACATACAAATGACATCATACGTGGATTTCTTGCGTCGGAATTCAAACCTCATCATATGCTGACTTCAAGGTCAATTGGTCTGTATCTATCCTACAGCAACTGAGTTACTTACCGATAAGCATAATTCAAATTTGGGTTGGATGACACCGGTAGGAGGTGTGCGACTCCTGACCCTTGTTGACGATCGATCTCCCGACTCAATGGAGACTCATCCCACTCCTCCACTCGGGTAATGAGTCGTGCCAATCACGAACGTATGTGACTCCCCCCACTCGGCTTCTGGTTTCTTCTGTTCCCCGACTCCACCGTCATACTTAAAAAAGTAGGGGAGATCTCCCCGAGTCGCGCGACTCTCCCGTTTTTTCCTTTCCTGCTGTTGATCCTTGAATTTCTTGATCGGCGCAGCATTCAATCCCTTCGCGAAATATCCAACGCCCATTTCATATTGATCCGAAAGAAAAGTCACCCCACGCCCGTTCCGTGGAACATTGCTTCACCCCGTCATCCACTCAGCCCGGTTCAGTTCCAAATTGCGATTGGGCTCTTCCTCACATAGATCTTTTACCATAAAATTTCACCATCATGCTCTCCGCCGGGGAACGTCCTCAACTACCGGTGCCGTCTGCCCTTGTAAACTCCTCATCCACCGTACCTGTTAATAGGGTGCACGCCATGCCTGATCTTGAGCCCAACGGTACTTCTGCTCCCGCCGGAATCATTCCTCAGAAGGGCAATACAGTGGCAGATATCCAGCACATCTGGGTGGTGACCGGCCCCGCTGGATGTGGGAAAAGCACAGTCGGTCAAGTCCTGCGGAATAAGCTAGATGTTCCATTTCTAGAAGGCGATGATGTATGTGACCTGTCCCCATGGATTTTGCGGCTCAGCGCAGCCCCCCAGATTCATGCCACAAATATGGTATCAAGAAAGGATAGCAAATACTGACAAAATCTCCGCGCAACAGTATCATCCCAAAGCCAACAAAGAAAAGATGGGCAACGGCATCCCCCTTACAGACGCTGACCGCTGGGACTGGCTTATCTCCCTCCGCCAAGCAGCCACCGATGCTCTCTCCCCTCCGAATCCAACAACTTTCAACCACCTGCCGGTGTTGTTGTCGCCTGTTCCGCTTTGAAGAAGAAATACCGTGACGTTATGCGCGTCGCTACATACGGCGAGCCGTCTGTTCAGATTCATTTTGTCTATTTGAAACTCACCGAGGCTGTTCTCATGCAGCGCGTTACTCAACGCCAGGCGCACTATATGAAGAGCGACATGGTTAAGTCTCAATTAGCCGCGCTCGAGGAGCCCCGCGAGAATGAGTGGGATGCTATCACGATTAATGTGGAGGGCGCGCAAGAGCAGGTGCAACAGAATGTACTGGATGCTGTTGCCAAGAAGCTTGCCGAGTACTCCTGATGAACGTCGGAGATTTTTTGCATACGAGGATTCTGGAATCATGACTTAAACTTCCTCGGTTAGGTGTCATTGGAGTTTTGCCCTTTGTACTGTGTTTATATTGGCTCGTTCGATGCCAAGAACAGTTGTACATTGTGACATTGGGATATGTCATTGGGCCTTTTTTTATTTGTTTATTATCCATATTTCTTTTGTTTCCAGCCTGATGTCCTGATTAGCTTGCCTAGCATGGCTTTTTGATACCCCACGCTATGGGGCGAACGGCGAAGATATGTCTATATTGCATAGACCAAGCCCAAGTACATTGGTACTTTTGATGCAGTCTTTCCAATCTCTGAAAATACACTTATCATATTCTATCACTTTTGTTACCTGTAATTTCATACTGACCAGACCAACCAAGAAGGCTACTACATCATTACAAATGTTCAATCCGAAAGTGTCGACCGAATGTCGCTTTTTTATGACGTTTCCAACTTGGCTGACCCGCGACGCCCAACGATGTAATAGGGTTCACTGCTATACTTTATCTCAGCCCAACATCACTTAATTCAGAAATCTGCCATATTCACCAGCCAGCCACTCTTGGATCCACTTATTCTCGGGATGAATTATCTGATTTTAAATTCATCCAGTCCAGTCAAGGGTTTCCATCTTAACAGACCACGCCAGCCTTTCAGCCACTGCAAGCCCCAACATTATGGTGTAGCTGAAGATGCATGTGTGGAATTATCTCGAATAAAATCAGAAATCCACCCCACCTTCTGGCAGCATATCGCTCAAAATTGATGTGACTCTTGTGGAGACGAACATGTTCGCGATGGCGCAGCCCGTCAAGTGGAACCTGTCACGGCAGTTCCGTGCCTGCCGTATATTAGAGGAGATCTTTGCCGACGCTACCAGAAAATACGATTGGATGGCAGTCACAATTAATTGCTGTCATATCAACATGAAGATCCATCTCTAGAGCCAGAAATTGTGGTATTAAAATGAGATGTTTTCCTCGAGTCTTGACCCGTTCTCTCGCACGTTAATTGAGATTTGAGTACTGTACTCAAAAAATCATTCTGTGACCAGCAATCGACCCCGCAATTTCAAGTTCAAGATCCTCCAGGGCTCAAGTTTAAAGTATAACCTGTTTTATTGAAAAATTGATACAATAATATTGCCAATATGTTCGGCCTCGGGGGACCCGATATCAATTGTCATGAGAACCAAAACTCCGATCCGGAAGTTAAGGTATACCCCAAAGTATCAGACGAAGATGCACCCTACTCAATCGAGGAGACCTCTCTACGCTCAGCCATATTTATCCCAAGCGACTTCAAGTTTGGCCATCACGGAAAAACGCCCGTTATTCTTGTCCCAGGAACAGGCACATACGGCGGCGAGGCCTTTGAGCCCAACTTTGCCAAACTGCTGAAGGCAAGCACATTCGGAGACCCAGTCTGGCTCAATATTCCCGGTCGAATGTGCGACGAGGCCCCGAAGAATGCACAATATGTCGCCTATGCCATCAATTACATTTCATGTCGTGCTCAGAAGAGCGTTGCTGTTGTCGGTTGGTCACAGGGCAATTTATCCATACAGTGGACGCTGAAGTACTGGCCCAGCACCAGAGAGAAGGTGAACAATTTTATCTGCCTCTCTGCAGACTTTGCCGGCACTATCAACGCATGGGGACTTGTTCCATTCAGTGGCACTCAGCCTGGAACACCGGCTGTGTGGCATCAGACTCGTAACTCGAGCTTCATAGCTATGCTTCGCTCCAATGGTGGTGACTCTGCATACGTGCCAACAACTTCGATCTATTCAGCCACAGACGAGGTTGTCCAGCCGCAGTCAGGACGAAAAGCATCAGCTTTCATGAAAGATGAGAGGAATGTTGGAGTGACGAATTGTGAACTGCAAGTGGAGGCCCGTTTCAAGCCTGCAGGCTTGATCTACACACACGAAACAGTGATGTACAATCCTCTTTCCTGGGCCTTGGCCGAGGATGCAATCAAGAATGGGGGCCCTGGGAGATTTGATCGGATTGATATGCATAGTGTTTGCATGCATACTATGGCGCCGGGGCTTAATATTTTGGATGCGACAAAGACACAGGCACTGGCTGCGTGGGCCTTGAAAACTATTCTACTATTTATGCCCAAGCCTTGGCATGAGCCGGCTCTTCCTTTGTTTGTTTCTCAGGAGAAGAAGACATATGTGCCAGAGCCTGTGGATGAGACTGCTCCTAAGACCGCGGTTGCTGTTTCGGCGGTGGAGATGACGGCATAGCTCTTGTTTGACATAGTAGCAGCTTGAGTTTAGATGTCATTAATATGCTTCAATCTTATAAATTGCTGGAATGGGACAGAAAGTACTAATTCTATGTAGACAAAATTCACGAAATATAGCACCATGTCGCATTTTGGTCAATTGTATTACTTATACTGCTCAATAATCGATATTGGAGGACGAGCAACAAGAGTCTGGACCCGTGTCTGGTAGTGTCCAATAATGAAATATGACTCGATATGAAACCATGTCTTATCATATTCCAATTCAATAAACCCTATCCCTTAATAACAATGACATCAAGCAAGATCTCTTATTGTATACCGCGGCAATGCGGGGGAAATCACGTGGCTATCGTCGGTTACCGTCGGCGCAATAGGAAACCAAGTAAGATAGATAAAGACTTACCTTCCTTAAAACATCAGACAAATCCTAATGAGAACCCAGACCTTTTCACATATTTCACCGGGTAATCCAATACCATGAACGTCTTACGCGGCGGGGGAGTATCCTCCGCAGTCTGCGATCCTCTCGACCCCAGAGTCTACTCCGCATTCAAGGCCCCATTGCGCCCGCGCCGAGCCGCAGCTTTCACGCTGGCCCCGCGTTATGGGGAATCAAGTCACAGATTCTGAAAGATGTTGGAGAAGGTGAGCTTCCAGGCTCAGAAAATATTCGGCAAATTAATCGGCCAATTGATCACTAATTCCAACAACTAGGTATCACCGAGGTCCAGATCATTCAGTGGTATGTTGAGGAAGGGGCACATATCGAGGAGTGGAAGCCTTTATGCCAGTACCAATCTGATAAGGCCGTTGATGATGTATGTATAGAGCAGATTCAATGGGACAAATTTGCAGAACAGAGAGCTGACAAACCCAGATCACATCACGATACGAGGGCGTGATAAAGAGACTCCATTTCGAAGCGGATGATACCGTTCCAACTGGACGAGTGCGTTAACTGAAATATTTACGTTGAGTGATCCTGCTGATTGTCAATTTACTAGGCCCTTTGTGACATCGAAGTCGAAGACGGCAAATACCCAGACGATAACCCACCTCATGAATCTCAAGCTGCTCCTGTCCCAGCTACACCAGCCGAGTCCGAGGCCGCGGCAGCAATTCAGGCTGCCGAATCCTCCACAACCAACCCTCCTCCCGCACTTTCCTCTACTACCATTCCCGAAGTCCCAACATCAAAGCACGCATCCCTTGCAACACCTGCTGTCCGCGGGCTTCTCAAGACACATAATATCGATATCCTTGAGATTACCGGAACCGGCAAAGACGGACGAGTCATGAAAGAAGATGTTCTCAAGTTTGTTGAAAGAGGAGATGCCCCCGGAGATTCCCTCATAAGCTCAACACCAAGATCCACGGTACCGATCGGCCAGCAAACAGAGACGGAAACCAAACTCACTCCGATCCAATCGGCTATGTTCAAGACAATGACCAAATCCCTCAATACCCCACATCTTCTCTTCACCGATGAGCTCACAGTCAACGATCTTACATCTATCCGCAAGAAACTAGCCAGTAGTACCCGGGATCCTAAGAAAATCACACTCTTGCCTTTTATAGTGAAGGCAGTGTCCCTGGCTCTGAACGAATACCCTATACTCAACGCGCGAGTAGACACAACAATATCAGAAAAGCCCAAGCTGATAATGCGTTCTCAACACAACATCGGCATTGCTATGGATACGCCAACAGGTCTTGTCGTCCCCAACATCAAGGACGTATCAAGCCGGTCCATCTTTGACATCGCCACCGAGATATCGCGACTCAGTGCATTGGGAAAGAGCGGAAAGCTGACACTAGCTGACCTTAGCGGTGGAACCATCACTGTCTCAAATATTGGCAATATTGGTGGAACATACGTTGCGCCGGTGATTGTGCCAACGGAGGTTGCTATCCTAGGTATCGGAAGAACGAGAACCCTACCTGTCTTCGATGAAGCAGGCCTGGTAACCAAGGGCGAGCAGGTAAATTTCAGCTGGAGTGCTGATCATCGGGTCATTGATGGGGCTACTATGGCGCGCATGGGTAATCGGGTGAGGGAGTTGATTGAGTCACCCGAGCTTATGCTGTTGAATTTGAGGTAGATAGAGGGTGAATGAACATAGATAATAGTTTAGGTCCAGAATTATGACCTACATGCATAATTATGATGCAATTGATGAATAAATGCATTTATTATGAGAATTATGTGTCATGCCCATGTATCGCGTTTGATATCTCTAGTACTAGGAGGACTGGTTCTTTAGCAAATTCATTTATTTGACTCTAGTCCGATATTTACTAGGTTCTAATTTACTCGCTAGCACCCAACATAGAGGCAAGCGACTGGCTGTTGGACTCATACTCTCCCTGATCATTGGTAGGGATCTTCTGCGAAGCAAAAGCCAAGAAAACAGCCTCCCAGTGTCCATCATCAAACTTGAACAGCATTGCACCGTCCTCGTAGATACCATTGGAGTAGCTGGGCGCGCTACCCTGGTTCATGTGGATATCATGGATACCAGTTCCATAGGAAGATCCCCAGATGTAAGCGGTAGCCTTCTGGTTGATGGCATCGGTCAGGATGGGGTCGACATCGTCCAGGATATCCTGCTCAGTAGGGACAACCTGTCCAGACTGAATGTCCACAAGGTCCTTGGTCCGGATGAAGTCCAATCCTTGGAGGGTAGACTCTTCACGACGGACATGACCGTGACGGCTAGAGTGGTGGTGGCTATGGTGACCATGGTTGTGGGTATCGCGCTCTGAATAGCTTGAGCCTGAGCCTGAACTCTGTGATTGAGCAAGGTGGAAACCGAGGTCCAGCTTCTCGAGTTGTTCGGTGATGGGGTGGGTGAAGTTGCGGTTCAGCCAGAAGACAAGACGGCTGTCCTTGTCGGTTGACTTGGCATTGATTGCAGCCTCAAGCTTCTTGTTGGAGGAGGAAGAGGAAGAGTCGTCGGTGAAATAGAGGTAGATGTGGGGAGACTTGGAGTCTTGCTTCAATGTCTGAGCTTCGTAGCTGGTGGGGGTGCAGGCCCACACTCCGTAATGAGAGATAGTCATATTTTCTGGAGAAGAGAGATAAATTGAAGTTATTATTGAGATGAGAAGGTATTCAGGATTGAAGATCACCAGGACACGAAAGACATGATCTATTTAAGTCTTGGAACAGGCCGATATCGCCTTGGCGTCATAGAAATTGATCGAGACATGATCTGGCCACTTTCTGCGTGAATTCTTATCAGCTCGCAAAGGAAATTGCTTATGAGCCACACGTGCTAGAATGGTGCCAGAGGCGAGACTGCTTATCGGGTCCATGATGTAGCTTGTTCTGCAGCTAAAGCTTAGCGTCGAGATCTTCATCCACTTATCCTCAGAGGAGAGTGGTAAATCAGAGCTCAATGTCGTGGCCGGCTTGAATTTCCCAGTTCCGCGTAACATTGTGGCGCTATGCAGCAGGTTTCAGCTCATCCATCCCATACGCCACAGAATTTGAAGTCTTTCCAATGGTCATCACGGACAGGGTATATAAGCTGTTGTGATGCTCAGTGGGGTATCATCCACCGGGAAGCCCCACAGAGGGGTACGGCTGAACAGGTTGGCAAAACATGGGAATCGAAGAGAAAGCCCCGGAGGGAATCTTACATTACCGTATTATCCATCGTCATTGGTGATGGATGGATTATTGCTTCTGGTCTTGAATGTTTGGGCCTAAGAAAGGAGAAGTACATGTACTCATACTGCAACATCTACCTGGGCATCATGCCTTGCCATTCAATCATGATATGCTACAAATTCGAGGATTTAAACATCAACTATGTATTGATCATTATCAAATTTTACCGGGGCAAAAGTATTTGAATGTAGTCATTTCACTACTAACACTTGAACTAGCACTTTAGTAGTAGTAGTCTGATGAAAGCCTTTGGGCCTTGGCTGCATGTAAACCACAGCTACCCGCATGTGCGCCAATCTAGCATATCTATTAATGGCAACTAGCAAACCAAACTTCATAGTGATCAGAACTTAATTATAGCTAACTCATCATCTAAAATGAGACACTGGCAGTCAAACTTGAATTCTAGAACTCAAGGGTAAGATTATGGGGGGCCTATAACGGCCATTCAGCCAAACCTCCTAGTGTATGGCTAGCAGAAAAAAAAAGAGAAACGGAAGAAAAAGGCTGCATACATCCCTCTTATTTCAGCTATCCTTCAATTTAGCTTTAGTTATCTCTTACTTTGGATATCTCTCGACTGTACGTTCACAGCTTACAAAATTTCGGATGGTGATCCACGTCCACTTCAAAAATGTTCGATATTATCTAGGTAATCAACCCTGACTGTTCCAATAACCTTGAGAATTACTCTGTAGACTGACTTAAGTTCAATTAGATTAAGTCGCTCAGTACATGATGGGTAATGAATTGAAGTATGGTGTTCTCAGTACCTATCATGATACGATCTTCTTAAGGCAGCGTGTTGTTAATCAGAAATGGCATCTTGACTTTTCCCCGTCGTAAGTCGGTCGTGAAGAATGCTTTGACCTGGGAATTCAGGCCTCACAATTGGCTACAGTTAGAAACTTAAAGGCATTCTGGCATATTGCGAAGCTGCCAAGGCAGCGGGGGATATCCCAATGGGGGCAAAAGACTCCTTGAGTGAACGAGTGTGGACTGCAGTTCAATGAATGCAGACCTGAAGAATGACTGTCATGTTCTTAGCTATTGGGTAGTACTGAACTTCTTTTCTCCTTCTACTAAATTGTGATGACTATACATATGATCATTGAAGTTCAATATCGATATCTTTGGAATTAGGAGCATGCACATGTGCTTTGAATTCAACACTGTCAGTTGAATACCTCCCAAATGTGCAACTATTCAACTTTAACTTACTACCTAGTAGCCTCGCTGAATACATGTAGCATTGATATATTCAAATCACAATGTCAGAGCTTCTCTGTTGTCTTCTTGAGATTTCTTTGCAATCGTTGCCATGACTGAATACCTCTCTGAGCAGAGTCTTCCGGTCCATTGGCTTCGTCACGCATTCGGTGGTCAAAGGTTTCAAGAGAAACCCATCCTTCATATCCTTTATCCACAAACCAGGCTTTGGCAATCTCGGTCATGGGCATGTAAGCTCCCAAGTCCTTCTCTAATGGAAATGGCCTGGCATGTCTTGACCATGTAAATTGTGTTGCTTCGCCTTCCAAGTACCATGGATGAGCCTTCGAGAATGGAGGATCAAACTTCTCTCCATCTGAAAGCTGAATGAAAAAGATCTTCTCCATAGGACATTCCATTACAAATCTGCGAAGTGTTTCCGCAAGTCGTAGGTCGGCATCGGGGAACTTGCCAGACAAAGCACAGGCGTCGCCCCATACTTTTGTCACAACGTGGAAATTGTCAATGCATAATCCAAAATTATCTCGGTCGACTGCATTGACGACTTTCAAAGAATCTTCCCATGTGGAACAATGAGTTCCCCAAGAGAGGGCCTCGTACGCAATTGAGACCAGTGGCTGTCTTGAACTGCCAAGCTCGGATAGCTGTCGTAACTCTGACACGATCACAGTTTCATCTCCAATGGGATCAGTTCCGTAATGAGAAGGAACCTGGAGATAGGGTGCATGAAGTCTTCGGGCAACTTCAATCCAGAGAGCAGCCGTCTGCAGTCGATCATTCAAGGGGGACCTGTCTCCCTCATAGTTCTCAAAGGGCGCGTATGAAATGATCTCAAGCCCCTTCTGGCTGCACAGGGATTTGATTCTATCCGCACCCTCCAAGATAGAAAGATTGTTAGATGTAGAGTAAAAATCTAAATCAGAGAAAACAATTTCTATGCCTTGGAATCCAGCTTGGGATGCAGCCAGGATTTTGCGGTCGAGGGAATGAGATGGATGTTGGCCAAGGGAAACCGAGGCAATGGCCAACTTGTTGAAAAACATTTTTATTTCGTATATGCTGTAGGCAACGAATGATAACTGAAGATAATAGGACTGTTTTATCCCATAGTACATGCTCTGTTATGCTTTTCACCGGGATTGGAATTCCGGGTTCCCCGCATCGGATTTCTATCTACGAGGATCGGAGATGTTTATTGTATATGATCTACTAAGAACTTGTAAGTGTTTCCCGGTAACTTCAAGTTCAATTCTAATGTTCTCATTCGATTTCTAGAATTGTCAGTGTCTTCAAGTTCCATAGACATCATCGGATATCAACGATATACCCCACATTTCTCCCATAGCAATACCCTTGATATTCCCCCTTGCAGCCATTCACATATAATGAATTGACATGTGAAAATACTATGAAATTTTTCAATTGATTATGGATAAATCAAAACACCAAAAGCCAAGGAACCTCGGGGTCTCAATCTTTGCGACCTTCAAATCATCTTTGATCGCCAAGCGACCAAGGTCCACGATAAGCGATCACCTGCAGATCCCATGATCGAGGGGTAAACTTCTTCCAGCTTCAACTTCAACTTCCCCTGAGATACTCAATTCACCAATCCATTCATTTGGCCCGAATTGCTCTCGTATTGAGCTCTTCAAACTACTACCGAGATCTCAAGTCGTCCATCCCATCACCTCGTTCATCATGGTAGCCGAGTTCCTCACCATCCGCAACAACACAAACAACCCCATTATCCTGAAGCGTATTGAGCGCTTCGCAGCACCAGAGCAACGCAGAAGCGATGATATCACCACCTTCGCAAGGAATTTTACTCGGGTTCTCACCAACCAGACCCGTGCAAATGCCACTGTCCTCGCCATTACCGATCAAACACAGCCATTCGAGGAGCTGAAAGGACTCGATATTCGCGTGGAGCCCTTCACAACCAAGAAGACCGAGCGACGAGCCTTCAAAAACTCCGACAAGGAACGTATGCGTCTTACCTTTGAAGTCGATGGCGAACGACACCAGATTCAAACACCTGTCCCAACCACTGAGTCGGCGACTATGAAGGCACTGGCCGAGCACCCAAAATTTCAGTTGACTGGAATCTACATCACCCCAGAGTCTTATTTGACTGTTTTCTCTTCTGCGAACCTCAATGCATGGATGCACGAGCTTCGAGACGATACCTTACTCTCTGCGCTCTCGATTCCGGGGACCCACAATTCCCCAACATGTCATGTCGCGCCGCCTTCTGTACGCTGCCAGGCCGTTAGTCCACGCGAGCAACTGAAAAACGGAGTGCGATTCTTCGATATCCGCGTTCAACCTCAGTACCCGGATAACCCATCTAAGGATGAACTAATCCTTGTGCATAGCGTGTTCCCCATTTCACTGACTGGCAACAAGTACTTCCGTGACTTGATGAAGGAGGTCAATGATTTCCTCGAGCATAACCCCTCGGAGACCTTGATCATCTCTCTTAAGCGGGAGGGGCCCGGAAACGCAAAAGACGAGCAGCTTGCTCAGATCCTACACCAGCACTATGCGCGTGAAGGTAGTCGCTGGTGGGTCCGTCCTAAGATCCCAACACTGGGTGAAGCCCGGGGTAAGGTGGTTCTCGTTCGTCGCTTTAACCTGAACGAGGAACTGAAGAAAGAGCATGGAGGAAATGGGTGGGGTATTGATGCAGCTGCTTGGGCTGATAATACGCCCAATGCCACATGTCCCAGTGGGCAACTGTGTATTCAGGATTTCTATGAAGTCCAGGAAAGTACCAACATTGAGAAGAAGATCAAGTTTGTCAAGGAGCAGATTGATCGTGCGTCGCATTGCCACTATCCGTTTGGTGTGCTGCCCAATGCGCAAGAGGCGCGTAAATACCCCTTCTTCATCAACTTTCTCAGTGCGAGCAACTTTTGGAAGACGGATACTTGGCCTGAGAAAATCGCTGCGAAGGTTAACCCTGCTGCTGTCGACTATATCTGTCGTCGTCATAAGAATGATGACGGAGATTGTTCGACTGGTATCTTAGTGACTGACTGGGTTGGTCTTGATGGAGACTGGGATCTGGTGCGCTGTATTGTTGGCATGAATGCTAAACTGCGTATGAGACAAAATTAGGAATTGGACTTGTATCACTCATGACCTCGGAGGGGCTTTGATATGAATTAGGTATTGTTATCTATGAAGCATCAATTGATCGAGTTCAAGTGCCACAATTACTATGAAGCAAGTATCTCATAGTCTAGAAATTGGTAAAAAAAAATCCCTGTGGATGTGAATTGCTGAAAAGTATACACCTATGCGACCAAATTGAAAGATGGGTTAGGGTGAAACACCCCGCCTATATGACATATTATACAAGATTTGAGAATGCCCCCAATGTAATTAGGAAGACTCCTTCTTCTCTCCCTCGCCCTTCTGCTCATCCTCCAAGACACTTCTCCGGCTCTCCATGGTGAGGTAGAGGCTCTTGCTAGCGCCCTCAAGGGTGTTGGTAACAGTGGAGCCCATGCTCTGCAAGGCGATAACAAGTTGAGAGCGGAGACCGTCCATGCCACCCTCAATGCTTCCAATCCACTTGGTCTCGTTGAGGTCGAAGGTCTTACCATCGACACGAGCAGCAAGGAGGTTGAGCTTTTGCAGACCGGTCTGCACAACGGGGTCATGGTAGTCCGGGTTGGCGCGGCGGGTAGGAGCGGGGAAGCCAGCTTCCTTGGGAGTCAGGATAGACAAAGCAGCCTTCATGTGTTCGGGAGAAACGGTGGGGATGGAAAGGACGGCGATGGGGCCAACGAGGATGTCGGAGAGTTCATGACGACCCTTGAGGTGCTTCACGGCGGCGTACGCAGTCCGAGACAGGTCGTGAGTGAGTAAAGGATCATCCCTTGAGCCAGACAGTAAGGGGAGTTCCACAGAGGTCTGAGTGACAGGGTCGACGGCGCTTGGGGCCTTTCCTGAAGCCAATGAGGCCTCGTTGGGTCGGAAGTGCTCAACAATCCGCAGAGCAACCTCGAAGATGCTGGTCTGGACAGTCTGCACCTTAATATAGGGGGGCCAGGGCTGGAGCTGTCCGTCCCTCAGCCGCAATCTTCTCGTCAACTTTTTGGAGCGCCTTGGTCAATTCTCGTCGAATGCCAGCCCATTCCATAGACTTGAGGTTGTTGTGTTGGAAAAGCACCATCAACGGAGATGTACGAAGGATCGAGGTGTATTGTCGGAGAAGCTGTGACCGGCGGTATTCTGGATTGCGGTGTGACGGCAGCTGGGTACGAGGAGTGCGTGAGATAGGTACTGGTGAGCGAGTCATCTGCTCAATGGATGCTGCAGGTGTTACAGCCGGAGCGGCAGCACTGCTTGCACTCCGCGCGATTCGAAGTTCATATGGACACCGCAGGGTTTGTCGGCCCAATGATGAAATGTGTAACCGCGGAGGCATGATGTGCGGTGATTGAATACAAGGTATCCTCATAAATTGACTGATGAAAGGAGTGGATCAAGAGAGCCCCCGGCAGGTCTATGCAAAGAGCATTTTCGGGTGATATTTTTTGCTTCCTAAAGTAGTAAAGCGTCATGCAAGGCGGTCTACTATATTGCCGGTAATCCGCATGGCGGTGAAAGTGGCATTTTTGAGTCATGTTGTTTCCATTCTTTATTGACGCGCGCATCACTTCCCATTGAAAGAAAACTTTTGTATGTTTAAAGCCGTCATTTTTGCTGCATAACTACCAGAATGACTGCTATTGAGAACGATGTGGGTGGTAAGCCCGAGACGGTTTCCATCTCACCTTTGCTGAACCGCCTGGCCTACCCCGCTACCGGGGGTACCAGAGCCAATGCTGATGATATCGCGTCGGCCTTTGCTCTGATATTTGAAAACCGCCTTTCCGATATCCAAACTGCTGCCCTTTTAACCCTTCTTCACTCTACTGGTCAAGACCGGAATGCCGACGTCATCGCGAAATGCTCCCGCCGCATGAGAGAAGCAGCTTGCCCCATTGAGAAGAAGAGCCTGCAGAGTGCCGTGAAGAAGCGCGGTCAGAGCCATGGAAACTACCATGGTGGATTGGTAAAGCCCTCCTTTTGTCCAATATATGGTCGAAATACATATGTCGTCTCATTGTACTGATTCATTGCTCTTACATATAGTGCGACATTGTCGGAACCGGCGGTGATGCACACTCGACCTACAACGTGTCTACAACGGCATCTATCATTGCCTCTGCCTTTCTCGTCACCGCAAAGCATGGAAACCGTGCCCAGACCTCCTTCTCCGGTTCCGCCGATCTTCTCAGGTCCATTGCGCCGATTGCGCCCAACATTGATGCTGTCACCGCTGAGAACATCGCCCAGGTCTACGAGAAGACAAACTACTCGTTCCTGTACGCCCCCAACTTCCACCCTGCTATGGCTTATGCAAGCGCTGTTCGTCGCGGCCTCGGTCTTCGAACAATCTTCAACCTAATGGGTCCATTGGCGAACCCCATTGAGTGGGGCATTGAGGCGCGAGTTGTCGGCGTGGCTTACCAAGCCCTGGGCCCCGTCTTCGTTGATGCCCTTAAACAAGCTGGTTCTAAGAAAGCCTTGGTGGTGTGTGGCGAGGAAGATATGGATGAAATCAGTTGTGCTGGACCCACAAACTGCTGGAGAATTACATCACGCCCCAACCCAGACTACAATTCTTCTGAGGATGACGACGAGTCAAGCGAGGATGAAGAGAACCCCCCGAACCATCGTTGAAATTGATACTTTCCAGTTGCATCCTCGTGACTTCGGTCTGCCCACCCACCCTCTCACAGAGGTTCATGGGCGCAAGATGCCCGAGGAAAACGCTCGCAAGCTAATGACCATTCTTCGCAACGAGCTGCCTAGCGACAGCCCTCTTCTGGAGTTTGTGCTGATGAACGTTGCCGCTCTGCTTGTGACCTCCGGCATTTGTGAGTCCGATAACTCCAACATGGGTCCTGGTGATGACGGAAAGGTTATCACCGAGCGTGGTCCGGGCGGCGGACGTTGGAAGGAGGGTCTGCGCCGAGCTCGATGGGCGATCGAGAGTGGCAAGGCTCTTGAACGGTTGGAGCAGTTCATTGAAGTTACAAACAAGCTGTAAGAAGCTTTTCTCTCTCTGTTCATTCCCGGGTTCATTTTTCAGTGTTCTGAACTCTTTATCTTTTTTATGTTGACTTTTGTGTCACCTTGAGGCCTGTTAAGCCGAACTGTTTTACATCGATGTTATGTTTGTAACAAAAATCTTTGACGGAGATACGTCCAATTCTACTTCAAGATGCAAAGCGGCATGATGACCAGACAAAGACGTAGAGTGAAGTAGAAATTGTTCATACCGTGATAGAGAAACATTTTGGTCTTTATTTTGTAAGCCGCCCAATCCGGGCGAGTGTCAAAACCTCATATTAGATATGAAATTTATGAATAGTATTCCCAGGCGCCAAGTAATGCATCATTCGTCAAAATGGTCAAAAAAGTAATAAAAAGACAGTATATCGCAGGCTTATTTCTTCCCTCGTTCCTTCAACTCCGCAATACCAATAGACAATATTTGCAGTTATTGGTTTTCGAAGATTTTCAGATCGACTGTGATTGCTCATCGGGCTTCGAACTGGACCATGCTATAAAACAGAAAGGAGTTTGTCAGCAATGTGATGCGCTGGTAATAAAACTTCAGGAAGGATGAAAGAGAATCTCACCGCTTGGTGCGCTCCTTGTACAGAACACGGTGACCGCAGTCCTTGCAGCGGATCTGGTCACCACGCTTCAGAGCCACGCGGGCAGAGCACTCGCCGCAGAGGTAGACAACGGAGGGAGTATCGATGGCCATGGAGTTGCTGTATCCGGCATCGTTGCTGAAGGCATTCTGGCCGCCCATGGAGGGGACTTGGTAGGCTTCGCGAGACATTTTGAGTATGGGAGGAGGTTTCGAGAGTAAAGAGGCGTATGTAGTCTTGGTTGTCTAATGCGACGAAATCTGGGTCTGGAGAAAATAGTTGAAAGATAAGCCTGACGGAAATTCTTCTGCGCCGAAATTGTTGATTACTTAAGCGGGCCTCGGCGGCCGCCTGCATTCTCAACTGGTCAGTTCCGCGATTATTTTGCGGGGATCAGGAGTATGTATCCAGCAAACAACTTAAATTCCTCATAGTGGACAAGCTTTCTATTTACACTAGTAAATTTTAACATTGAAGCATACTCTGGCACTTATTCTGTGTTCCGAGGTCTCCAAATTCTCTCTGTCAGAGGCATAATGAGATTTGTATAGTCCGTCTTAGACATATCAAATCCATCATGCGTTACAGCGTTGTTCACTGGGCGTAATGAAGAATTCTTTTAGGAGATCAGATGATCCATGATGCTATTAAATTTTTTAGGTCCTCTTCCACTAGAATGGTTACCTATGAATAAGCAAGTCGTAAAATCTCATGCCTGCAAGTCCAAAAACACCTCAGATCCTTTTTATTCATCGCGGTCCATTTCATCCCGGCCACGCTTTTTCGAGAAACCACCTCTGGTCCTGGTTCCCCTCCCTCCCTTCCCTTCTTCGTTTTGCGCTTTCAAAATAGAGATGGCTTCTCTTTGTGCCTCATGCACACGATTGGCAAAGACCATCACTTCGTCCTTGTCTGCTTTCTGCTCGTCGATTTTCTTCCCAAGAGCTCCTTCGATCCTAAGCCAGACCTCGACGTCATATTGTGTTACAAGCGAAAAGGCGCATCCTGATTTACCAGCTCGGGCTGTTCGTCCAACTCGATGAATGTAGGTCTTGCTGTCTTGCGGGAGGTCGGAATTAACAACGAAATCCACAGCGGGAATATCCAATCCACGAGCGGCGACATCGGTGGCGATCAGCAAGTTTCTAGATTTTGATTTGAATCGGGAGAGAGATGCAATTCGAGAGCTTTGAGAAAGCTGTCCGTGAATTGGGATAGCAGAAAATCCGAGGCTTCTGAGGAGCAAGGCAAGACGGTTCGTTTCGACGACAGTTCGGGCAAAGATGATTCCGGTCTGGCCAGCCCTCTCATTAAGAAGATGGATCAGATAGACATCCTTTAGTTTATGCGGGACAAACATATAAGATTGAATAAGGTTTGTGGCTGTCTGGTTCTTGGTGGAAACTGAAACTTTGACTGGGTTTGATAATGATGCCCGTTGGAGAGATTCAACCTTGCTACTGATGGTTGCTGAGAACAGGTAGGTACGTCTCGGTGGTAACATTTGAAGGATCGATGTGAGGATTGGGCCAAAGTCAAGATCCAATAAACGATCGGCCTCGTCAAGCACCAGCTGCTTCAAATTTCTCAATGAGAAGCCTTTTGTGTTCTGGGCATGATCTAAGAGTCGTCCCGGAGTAGCCACAATAACGTGAGGCTTCTTGCCCAGGGCAATAGCCTGCGGAACCATGTCCATACCACCAATCAAAAGTGTACATCGTACGGAGATTGTGGCTCCTAAAGCCTCGACGTTCTGGGCGATTTGCTGAGCTAATTCACGTGTCGGCGCAAGGATAAGAGAGTGAAACGGTTGAGGATTTTCCATAAGGTTTTGGAGGATAGGGAGTGTAAATGCTGCAGTTTTTCCACTGCCGGTTTCCGCAAGACCAATAAGATCTCTTCCTTGCAGAGCAACAGGAATACATTGCGCTTGAATGGGTGTTGGCGTTTTGTAGCCCAAAGTATCACATGCTTCGCAAAGTTCTTCGATCACACCCAGTTCCTTGAATGTCTGGGGTGGCTTGGTTTCCACGGGAGTGGTAGAGGCTTCATCCTCGCTTGAAGACATTGTGAACAGATAGCTCTGATAAATCGAAACAAGAGTGAGGTGACAAGAGACCAAAATTTTGTGCCAAGACGACTCTCCGAAATAAAAAATAAAGTGGAGACTTGTACGGAGTAAACTTGAGTGTTCCGGGCTATTATTAATCCGCTGATTAGATACCTACCTAGACACTGTTGACCGCTTCCAAGGTTTCTAATTGGCTTTTCAGAAGTTTACCTAGGTATTTTTGATGTTGACCTTGGCAATTCATATTAATATTTAGCTACCTAGGTAGTACCGAGGTACCTACCTAGGTAGTCAACTGGGCATATAGCTATTTTATCTCTTGATTCAAGAGATGTCAGTGGGAGTGACATTCGAAAAAAAAAAGTTATACCTATATTTTGACTTGGAAAGTTTAACTTAGTACAAAATTGACGTCAATAGAAAACCTGGGATTCTGATGAGTGGTAGCCTGGCAACGATATAGAGAAATGGCTTTATTCTCTTACATCAAGCCTGCCTTCTTACTATGTAGGCTTTAAGTTTCTCTGCTGCTTTGAATTCACTACTGGTGAAAAAGGAGGCCAATAATATGGTCTAGACACGATGGGGATCTACAAATTAGTGTTTCAAGATTCCAATTTACGACTCGGAATTTTACATTGATCTTGGGTCTCGATCACCGCACATGTGCAGGCTACTATGTTTAGGACTCGGATCCATCCCCGGTTCCCGGGCCGTTCCCCATTCTCCACTGTATGTATTGGATCCCCCTCAAGTAGGGCGATCAACCTGGCTGATGAGGCTTTGTTTACAGAATATGAGCTCATTTGTGACAGACATCGAGTACCAAGCCCCGAATGGTCTGCTCTGGGCGGAGAGACGATCTCTCCATAAGATACTCATGTTCACGGGTGAGTCTTACGTATTTACTTTGCATGGCATACCTAGTCGGTTTCTTTTTTCTACACCAAAGTCCTATACGGAGTACTAACTCGCTTCCTAGAATCCCAGTTGGAGCTGTACCCCTAGGTACGAGTGCACTCGACTGAGAAACCTTTTGGGCTTGGCTTTATTGGTCGTCGGTTCGAGAATAATAATATACTACAGGTAATGACTTTGTATGAGAAGTTATTTTATCATTACTTATAATATAAAAACTTTAATAATATCTAAGGTCAAAGTAAGAGATATTTAAAGTGAGAGAAGACTACAGTAAGAGATACTTCCAAGGTTAAAGTAAGAGATAAGTAGTACATAAGAGATAAACAAGAGATATCTAAAGTGTACATGTGAGAGATTACTTCAAGTTACCAAGTAAGAGCTAGCTGAATTAAGAGGGATATATACAGTTTTCTTTTCTTCTACCAGCCATATAGAAACCTTCAGCTTTCCCAGGGCGTTTTAAGCACTCTTGTAAGCCAACATTGAAATTCTTGACATTATGTAAGTTGGTCTGGAGATCTGTGATCTCATCCTCACTTAATAAGTCGGAGGAGTCGCAAAATTGGCAGTGGACTTTGTTAACTTTCTTGCCCGCGTGGCAATTAGCACAGTCTGTAAAGTACGGGCAGTCGTGAATTCGGACGCAGAAAGGGTAAGGGCCTTGCTCCCCTTGACAATTCATGCAGGCGTTTTCGCCTTCTTGAATGGATGTTTTGGCTGTATGGCTATTATAGGCCCCTGTAAGTTAGTTGTCCAACTTGAAGTCGTTAAGCAGTCACGGAAAATGTCAGCTCAACATTGCCCTAGTAAGATTGAATCTATATAAGCGAGCTGTTACGCCGGGGTACATTGCCCTGGCCCCCACGGAGAGATCTGTGCACTGCCCAGGCGGATAGCTCGGACCCTGGATTTGACGAGCTCCAGTGTCCATGTACGGAATACAGTAAGTGCTGGTTTCTCAATAAACACGATCTTACTATGTACTCTGTATCTCTAACTCAGTGAATAGTGTATTAAAGCACACATCATGAGAATCAAGGCCGCATAAAGATACATGTAAAATGATATTTAGAGGACAACACATGCCCAGGTGGATTGAGACATAGAACTTAATCGGAATCAAAAATCAAGATTCTGCCAAGATCTTCTGCCAAGCTAACTGGCACTAAGTATGAAAGCTTGACCAAAATGGGAGATTTTAGTGTCAGAAAACGGTAGCGATATCGGTCTAGTACTTAGTAGATCATATGCGCCGACGGTGGCTGCCTCCAGGGCTCCTAACTAGTGTATCTTTTGATTACCAGTATATGTATACCCAGGTAACATACCGTCCAGGGAATCAAAGTACCTACTACTAGTAAACATTGGCTGATAGTCGCAAAAGATTGAATTAAGGATTCTCTTACGTACTAGTACAACTTGCAAATTGAGTCAGACCTGAACTAATGATTCCCGAGGTCTACAGAGCGATCACAAGTCCCGCCCCAACAATTCCAGCCATGATATTTTTGGAGTTGGCGGTCGGAGCAGCCGCCACTCCCATGCTAGTTGAAGTTGAACTAGCAGTCAAGGCACTTGAGGTGGACTTGGCAGGAAACACCCAAACTCCCGTCGGACTCACAGCAGCGGTTGGAACAGTCGCTACTGCAGTAGCGGTTTCAAAGACGCCGGAGATAGAAGTGGCTCCACTGCCAATTTCCAAAACTTGTCCCTCACTCTCATCGAAATTGGTCGGCGCCATAGATATCTCATTGTTGGATAAGTCGTAAACCACATAGGCATTACGCAAGAAATTGCTCCCTAGCACTGATGGCACGCCAAAATTTGGCACAATATTGAAGTCGCAATCTCCACTGTTCCCGGGACCGATGAAATCACTAACTGGGCTGCTGATGCTGAAGTTGATAAACGTGAACTTTATATTGTAATCTTTCTGTTTCGTAGTGCAGTCGATGACTCCCACTTGGGAATCGCTATCCCACCAAATACCCAAGTCTTGGTAAAGTCCCTCAACAATATCGTTTGGGAGGAAGGTCTGCGAGACCATTGAATCCAAAACCATATATTCAGGTAGGCCAGATGTTTGACTGTTCGAGGTCCCATTTTGAAGAGTAATCTCTGTCACTAGCACTACAGGGAGGTAGTGAATACCATTGGATGCCGGGATAGACATAGTATGTAGGTCCCCAGAATACTTAGCCGTGTCCACACCACCAAAAAGAATAGCTCCTTCTGTCCCCGTGTCCGTCGATCCGTCCACCCATAGACTATATGCAGCGGAATTGATATGCCCGCCGTTGACCAAAGCCTGAAGGATCGTCGCAGGTGCCTCTGAAGTCTTTCCTGAAATATAACCCAAGCCAAGAATACTGTTTGGCATTGGGCCGTAATTCACTGCCAGGTCCATGGCCGATAGTGTAACACCATCTATGACCACAACGTCATCTCCAAAGTCTCCAGTGAAAACGTCATTCAAGGTAAAGTATGTAACATTGAAATTCCCGTTGGCGAACTTGTAAGTTGAAGAGGCATTGACATCGAAAAACCCGCTTGCACAGCTTGAATACGTACACCATGTCGCATTGGTGGCTGTCGTCTGTAGATAGCCACTACTTGTATCCAACCCAAATTGAATTGTTTGAGGTGGCGTACCAATAGTCAAGTTGGAATAGTACAGGGGGTCATAGACGGGTAACTACAAAATTCAGTGCTGACTTTCCAAAAGCTTTAGCAAAGAAGCCATACCTCTACTTCGAAGAAGGTCGAGACATTCGAAGTCCTTTTTTCCAATCGAGTTGGATTATCGGTTCTGCGTGTAATCGGAAGCTTGACCACAGCAGGTACATCGCGCTGATGGAGTGACAATGCCCTCACCTCATCCCACGCTAGGCAGGCGAGCAAAAGGAGTAATTTGAAAGGCATGGGAAACGTTCGATCTGAGAGTGTTCAAGAAATACGAAATATCTGAGCCCAGGGCAACGAATGAAGATTGCCATCAAACGAGAGAGTAATGAATCGTGTAAAGTTCCTGCCTAGGTGGATGTATAGTGAAGACCCGCGAGGAAGAGGAGATGATCAGGACTCAGAAGGCTCAAGTCATGGATTTTTCAGGGGGAACTTGACAGACAGCTTAAGCGACTTAAAGAAAAGGATTGTAAAATAGATGAGGCAAAATGGGTCTTTCTCACTTCATGCAGTACTAGTCAATACATCGCTCAAATTTTCCACTCGACTAGTGTCCGTCGGCAGAGGGTCTTTGGATTAGTTATGGCTGTATGGGGTATGGCTCCACCTACCTAGGTGTGGAGACTGAGTTAAGTGCCCTAGGTTACAGTGGCCTTTAACAGCCATATAGCTAATATCCCCCTAACCCTAGCCATTTTAGTCATCTCTTACTTTAGAGCTATCTCTCACTTTATTCTCAGTATCTATATATAATACCTAGGATTGACCGTGGACTACCAGGTAACTTGGGGTAATTCTAGGTAGTGTAAATAAACTACCTAATTAGGTAGGTACCTAGGTAGTAATAACTTGAAGTGGCTGACTATATTATAGCTGGAATTGCTGGGCAGAGTAATCGGGTATTAAATATTATTGGAGTTTTTACATCGTGATTACAAAGTGACTGGTGGTCGTTCCAAACTTGGAAGGTTATAGACCTCTCACCTGGATACCAAACCATCTTCCAAGGTCCTACTTCTAGTATTTCCCTCTTCCAAGAAGATTCTAACCCATCCGAGTCACGATATATCAAAATTCACCCAACAATCTTGGAAATCTTTCTCTTACTAGCTGCGAGCTCCTCCAGAGCATTTTCTTACTTTCACCAAACAAGCAATGGAAGCCACACGTTCCTGGTTCAGCCAAGGACCGTTCAAAGGGAAATACGTACGAGATACCATCATTTCTATCCAGGATCCCGTTCCTTGTCAATGGAAAATCATTCGAGTGAGAAATGAGCGCGGCAAGCAGATTACCAAGGGGTATGGTCAGCAAGGCCTTGTTTCCCTTGCCGCAATCAGATTGGAATGTCGTCGCCAGAATATACGTGGGAGTCGATTACGGCTGCCTAAAATAGAAATACGTGTGTATGTGCAAGTTCCGTATACCAATACGGAACTTGAAGCTCCAGACATACGTGCTGAGCAAGCCGCGGATTTTCAGCCTGACGAGCTTAAGGCCTACAAAATGATGACTGCCGATGAGTTTGTTTCCAAATTTACACCGAAGTTACTTGGTTACGAGGAAGGAAAACAGGGGAACTTAGACCTGGTCCCAGGTGGCTTTCACATCACAGTTGCATGGGGGCATCTTCCAGGAATACGCCTTGGGGGACCATGTAGAACCCCAAATGATCCATTCTGGAAGTTTAAGAGATTCCAGCGCGACGGAATTCGCGAGCAGTTCAAAGACCGGTTTATGTGAGTATCTACTATAGAGATTTGAAGATACTATATAGATTAATTCTACCAGGGAAATGATTAGGCTACGTGTTTTCCCATGGGCCACAAACTCAACCAACCTTCTGTTTGACAAACAAAGTGGGAGACTGTAAGAAAATCTACTACCTAACATGATTTCCTGCACAAAGACTCGAAACTTATCGCTAATGATTAATAAAGTTACTGGATTGATTTCAATGATGCGGTGTCTGGGGAAAATGTGACCTGGGATGATGGTTGGTTTATTTGCTTTGATTTGGCAAACCCTCCAGAGGGTGACACGAGTTGAGCAGACCCAAATTGGTTGGAAGATACTTCTACATGGACGTTTTAAACTACTTGCCCCAGTTAGCTTTGATGGTGAGGATCCATGGATATTATAGATGGCGTTTTCTTATACTAGTTATTGGCTCCCTTTATTGGATTTACATATGTCTATGGATCATAGAAAATGGTTAATTGCCCAGGTGCTGAATGATCTGTTTTCCTTCACCGTATAAAGTATACTACTAGCACTTGAGTATCAGCTATCTCTCACTTCCACTTTAAATCTCCCCCACTTTTAATTTAGATATCTATTACTTTAGCTTTATATATTATAAAGGTTTTTTGAGGAGTAGGTAGGGATGTAACGATGAGTGCCTTCAAGGTTGATTGAGCTTGAAGAAATAGAACCTAAATCTGACGCAGAATCTCCCTTTCCCAAGTACTATTAATCGAGGACTCCATTTGTTGAGTTGCAGACGATTGATGAGCTCTTTCAGTAACCAAAGCTTCCTGTTCAGACTCCGGAGAGTCAGGGCACTGGCCTTGAGAGATCAAAAGATTTATTTTAACGGAAGTACTCCATGCCTTCTTCCCAGTTAAGAAGTAATCATCAATCTGCTCCAGCGTGAGTCTTGAAGTCTCCGGGACAAACAAGAACACCAGAATCAAGATAACAACCGTAACTCCGAAGTAAAAGTACCCAACATTGGACCCCATATTCCCATAATGAACATTCAACATGTAAGGTGTCCAGAACGTTGCCCCAAAGCTAAAAACCTCATATATGAATGTGGTATTAGCCTGTCCATATGTTCGCATTCGAACACTGTGCATTTCAGCAGACGAAATCCAAACACGAGGACCAATAAAACCGCCAAATACAAAGGCCCAGATACAGAGAAACACAACAACAACAGTTTGAGATGTTGGATTCTCGATCCCAACGTCTTCGAGGAAGAGTGCTGCGAAAGGCGCCACAAATTGGATACCCGTAATAGCGAGGCCGCCGAGGATGAGTGCTGAAATAGATGTCCGTCGAAGACTAGGACCACGATAATCTCCGTCCAGGATGAACAAGCGTCAAGTGTTCGCTCGAAGTCCAGATGTCGCTTTATGTCATTCACCTGTGCCGTAATTTCAAGGGATTGCGGGTCTGAATCCTGGAGCGTAGCAAATTATTTCCTGGCTTGGTCCTCCTTTCCCTCGAGTAGTAACCAACGGGGTGACTCTGGAAATAGCATCACTCCAAGACCGAGAATAACGCCTAACGGAATCTGGCAGATGATAGGCGTTTTCCATTGCCAATCACTGTCCGGCGAAAGAGTGGCTGAACCCGCACATACAGCTCCAGCTGTAACATTGCCCATAGCGAGTCCAATATTGAAAATTCCGAGTAAGAGACCGCGTTTGCTCGCGATAACACATTCAGATCCGTAAACGATACTCGAGGCGATAAGCTGTCCTATTCCAACTCCATTGATGCGTTTGCAAATCATATAGTTTAAAAAGTTGCCAGATCTACCCAACATCCCAGCAGCTTCAATAATACAGAATAGACAAGCGATCTGTAGGGTTGCTCTGCGGCCGAGCATGGCGCCAAATAGCCCAGCCAAGGCGCCTCCAACCGCCATGAATAATATACCAAGACCAACAAGCGACTGCTGGAGTGTGGTCAAAACACATGATTCTATTGTGGCGCCAGTCGCTGGATCGGGCACATGGCTACAGTGACCAAATGCCTTTTGATACGAGGGCATGATCAACACAGTACCCGCATACCCATTATCAAAATCGGCTATCCATGCAGCGGATGAAACACATATTGTGAGAAAGAACATTTTGGCTGTTACTTTCTGAGGCTGTGGACAGCCATCGGGATAACTGGACGGCATGTCCATTTTTAGGCTGGAACTTGAAGAGCACTGGAAGATGAAGAGGGGACGTGAAGAGGGGAGATGAAGAGGGAAACTCGATATTGTAGGTGAACGTGGTAATATTTTTGAATTTCAAAAAGCAAGGGGTTCAAGGTTCCAATATGTGCAGGTATAATGTAGTATAATCATTGTCTATACCTAGTTCTTTTTTCCAGGTGCCGATCCAAGTTGAACCAATGGGTGAAATTCGAGGGAATCGGACGGGTTCGTCAAGACTTCAATCTAGATTACAGCACCACTCCGGGGTTGCATTGAGGGTGGGTATGATACCCAACTTAAAGTAAACAACTCTCTTAACCTTAGAAATTAGTTCTCTTCCATTCTAGCTATCTCTCACTTCACCTACCTAGCCTTCAACTTGAAATATTATATAAGATACTCAAGAATCGTGAGTGTCGAGATCCATAGTATAAACGACCTTAGGAAATTTTGGTATCAGCATGTAGAATACCCACATATTTAGGGTGAAATGCCTCACTATGAGGTTTAATTAAATTTAGCTTAAGAGGATTCCAGTAGCCTAGAGGCGTTGGATTGGTCGGTAAACTACCACTGCCAGTTGTGTAGGTTATGGAAATCACTGTATGGGGATGAGGTATGGTCCGTATGGACATGGGTACACCTGGCATAGTACGGAGTACATACTCCGAGCTCCGTATATAGTACAAGTACGAAGGCCAAGTGGCGACTAGAGGCCGGGGGTGGTAAGGAAGGCTTGTTGTTATACTTCAATTTTCTTTTCTTATTTTCCTTTTCTTTTTTTTCCCAGCCAGCCATATAGGGGGGTTGGCCGCATGGCCGTGATAGGCCCCCCCGTAGAACAACATTTGAACGGACCAACTTGAATCAACATGGTGCAATCAAATGTTCCAAGGTTCCATAGAAGGGTCAGAATGTTCTAACCAAGTTCCAGGCTGATGATATGGAGAAGTGGAAAAATAACAAGATACAGAATATACAATTTTATCCTCGGCTTATCAAAAAAGTTGGCTGAGTCTCAGAACAGAAGTATCTCTGCAAGTTCTCGCAAATTGAAAAATCTTTTCTTTTTTTATTTTAAAAGACTATATGATGCGAATCAAGACCTGTGATGCAAGACACTGTTCTTCCGACTGCCCCAGTTTTTCCTGGGGAAGACAAACAGAGTGAATACCACCATGTAAGGCGTTAGATATCGACAACTGAAATCAAAGATGGCGCTGGGGGTCATGATTCAGAAAACGTCGCGCTGATATGCTGAATGAGAATTCGTGGCCAGATCAAACATTCTAGATGTCCAGACGGCTTGGTAAATGCTGAGAATAAAGGTGATGCAAGCCCCGCCCGCACTCACGTATCTATCTCCAGTATGTCCAGATAGCCGAGTGAAAAGTCAAAGGAAAAGGAAAAGAAACAGAACTCGGGCTATCTAACTGCCCTGGAAAGCGTTGAAAGCTTTGTAGGTGTAACCGATGAAAGGCAAACTCATCTCGGCTTCCTGGGATTCCGGCATGGCACGAGCCTGAGCACGATGGATGGCGCTCGTATCCTCCTGAGGAATCTCATCGATAGGGAAATAAGACACATCAATGTTCGAGCTCAGACGGGGCTCGAAGGGAGCACGAATGCTCCTCAGTTGCTCCCAAACCACACCCCGGAAGAAGGGATGATTCTTGATCTGAGTAGCGCCACCATGCTGTCCACCTTCACTTCCAATACGATGCTCAGGATCACACAAGAAGCTCCGAATCAATGACTCAGACTCACGCGAGAGAACCAGCTCATCAGGGAAGTAAAGACATTCGCGCCAATTCACAATCTTACGGTAAGTATCGTTAGTGTCCTCAGCACAGAAGGGAGGCCAGCCCACAAGACACTCGAACATGATAGCACCAACGGACCACCAATCGCACAGGTATGTGTAACCTTGGCCGTTGAAAATTTCGGGGGCAATATAGTCGGGAGTGCCGACTGTTGAGTACGCCATGGCACGGCGGGATTTACGCCAAGTGTTGATCTGGCCACGGTTCGAGACAGTCAAGTTGATAGCATCGTTGAAGTAACCGGAGTTACGGTTCCGATCCTTTGATGTGGAGTTCTTGAGAAGGTTCTGGTAATAGGCATTGTCGTGTGTTTTCTTACCGCCTGTTGAAAGACCGAAATCAGTGAGCTTGACGTGACCACCACGGTCAAGGAGAATGTTATCTGGCTTGATGTCACTATAGGAATGATGTGTTAGTTTTTCATATCTTCCTCTACGCTTCCTCTATGCCATCTTGGCGGGCAATGGCACATACCGGTGAAGGAAGCCAAGCTTGTGAACCGCTTCAATGGCCATGACAACCTCAGCCATGTAGAAGCGAGTGATGTCTTCCGAGAAAATCTCATATTTAATGAGCATTGTCATTAAATCACCACCAGGCAAGAATTCCATGAGCAGGTAAAGATAAGCCGAGTCCTGGAATGAGGCATGCAGCTTGACCAACCAAGGGTTATCCTTCGAGTCTGCCAGAATATCACGCTCAGCACGAACATGGGCAAGCTGATCCTTCTTGAACATCTCTGTCTTAATCAAAGACTTGAGAGCATAGATCTTGCCATCGGTCTTCCGCTGCACCAGTTTGACTTCACCGAAAGCACCCTTTCCAATAATTTTAATCGTTTGGAAGTTTTGTGGGGTTTCCTTCGTTCGGAGGAATCGAAGGAAGTCGGATTCTCTCTTTGAGATCACTTCAGCATCCTGGCGCTTCTTGTCGGCGACAACACTGGGGTCCCGAAGAGTCTTATCGAGATCGACGGAACTATTCAGAACATCGTATTAGTCCAAATTTCTCCACACCCCCATCAGGTAGAATATTCAAAACTTACCGCATGTTACGATCGCGGGCACGTTCAATGTTTTCGTGAAAGAAGACTGTCACCAATTCCTTGGCTGCTTTACCCCGCTTGTGCACATTTTCAGAATAACGGTCGGGGAAGCGCTGCAGCTCCTCATTCTCCGCCGGTGGGCGAGGACTGCGAGGGACTGGAGGGGCTAAGTGCGCAGCCTGGGCCTGGCCCTGAGCCGGAGAGCCACCAGCGGTCCGAGGGCGCTGAGCGGGGGAGTTTGCGCGACCGAAGAATCCTCCACGGTTGGCGTTAAGATCCTGGTTGGAGAACTGCTGGATCAACCCATTTGTACCATCATTGGCATATCCCACGCGGTTCTGGAAGGCAGCCTGCGGGGACTGCAGAGCCTGTTGCTGTTGCTGCGCGTATTGTTGCTGTTGAGCATACTGAGGCTGGGCCTGGGGCGGATAGTGGTTGGCCATGAAATATCCGGGAGCATATGCAGGGTTGGAAGGGTCGACATAGTCCTGGGCCCCCCTGAGTCTGGTAGATGGGTTGAGGGAAGGCAGATGGGGTAGTGGGATAGGCGCGGCTGTTAGCCGCATTGTAGTTGCGGTCGTTGTACCCGTAATTCATGTTCATTCGATTGTTGTTGGGATCCATCGCGTCAACTTGACCCCGACTCACAGGGAATTCGAGACGAGAGGATGGGGGTGTTTTTTTTAATGCTGAAGGGGGGGTTTGAAATGGGTGAAAGGAGAAGGCGGGGAGGACGAGAAGGAGCGGTGGCTCTCAGGAGGCAAAAGAATCCACCCCCGAATTGATTCGTTTTATGACTTGTTGCCCTCTAACCCCCTTTTAAGAGGTCTTGTGTCAGAATTTAATCCAGTCTGAAACGTTGTCACTGTGCTTTGTGCCCAATCTCTCCCCAACTATAACATCTTTATATCCTATTTTTCGACCTACAAATGGGAACCAGCCGAGCTTCGGGGAACTAATATCCATTTTCTGGTTTACCCAAGGCTTAGATCCCGAGATCGAGACCTCAGGTTACTGGACCGAACTATTATAAGTTGAGGTATGTAAAACCTCTTCATGGATTATAGAACGACGTCTCAAATCCAGGGGGAGGGATAATTATCAAGTGAATAAGGTGACAGAGCATTCCAGTTGTGTTCATAACAGGGGTGCCACAGGGGTTGAGTGAGTCTGATCGCAGAGTCTCCAGACTCCGCGGAACCCACATGGACGCCATATAGGGACCAGAGTACGGAGTATGCGGCCACACCTGTATATTGGGGTATATCAGGATACATATTATCAGTAGCATGGATTTTTTGTGGATGTTTAAGAGAAATCAATTGAGTAATGATCATATATAAAGGAAATTAGAAGAGAATAAAGGTTAAAAATGTATCTGTATAGACCGCACGTGATGCGGATCAATTTAAGCCCCGGTCTTCGACTTTTTCTCCAACTGTCAACCCCAGTTTACCAGATCAACAATGGCAGACTCATCGAGTTCAACGGCTCCTGCAGCGGCTGCAAAGCCCCAGGTGGCTCCTAAGCCACCTAATCCAGTTTTCAAAATGATGGGTAAATTGACATGACTTCCATTGATGTAACGCGGCAAATGCACTGGCATAAACTAACATCCAATATCAATGACCAGGCCTGCCCAACATTCGATTCAAACTTCCTTCCCGTAATTGGATGATCTTTTTGACTATCACTGGTTCATTCGCCAGTGCCATGATCTATGATCGACGAGAGAAGCGCCGGGCGCAGCAAAAATGGTCCGAGCTGGTGGCCCATCTGGCAAAGGAGCCGTTACCGGTTGAGCAGATGCGCCGGAGATTGACGGTCTACCTGGCCGCTCCTCCAGGAGATGGTCTGCGTGTGGCTCGGGATCACTTCAAAGAGTATGTGAAGCCGATCCTGACCGCAGCCGCACTGGATTATACTGTGGTTGAGGGTCGTCGGGAGGGTGACATTCGCGCTGGCGCGGCAGAGAAGATCCGCAAGTCGAGGCGCAAGGCTGGAGAGTTGAGCGCTACAACTCCGGAGCCTGGCGTCGAGGAGGTTGTGCTGGCGACACGAGAGCAGATCGGTATTCAGGACGAGCCCGGTCCCAAGGGCGACTTGGTGATCGGCCGGCATGCCTGGAAGGAATATGTTCGGGGCTTACACGAGGGCTGGCTTGGTCCCATGGATGCTCCGGCACCTCCAGTAGATCTCTCCGCACCGGTAGCTGATGCGCCTGAGGAGCCTTTGAAGGACACTGCAGTTGGCGATGTGCCAGCGGAAATTTCCAAGCCCGCCGAGACTAGCGAGTCCAGTGTGAGCAGCGAGGTTCCCGCTGTCCCCGAGACTCCCGAGAAGAAACCTGAAGAGGAGAAGAAGGAAGAAGAAAAATCAGCTAAGCCTACTGGTCCTGTCGCCGCCTATATCACCACTGCCGAATATCCCTCCGCCCAACCCGCTCCCTCTCTCCCTCAGTCCTTTGACAGCTCCGTCCCTATCGAGTTCCCTCACATTCTCGGCTTCCTCAACACCCCAATCCGCATGTACCGCTACATGAACCAGCGTCATCTTGCTGAAGACATTGGACGCGAAGTCGCCGCTCTTGTCCTCGCTAACAGCTCTCGCCCTTACCGCGACGAGTCCTTCAGCTCCGAGTTCAGCGCCGATTCCTCCGCTACAGATCTTCCACGCAGTAACTGCGAGCTGCAGAGCATTCTAGAAATTGAAGAGAAGGAGTGGCACAAGTCCGTGCATAAGCGTGAAGATGACGAGAAGGAACGCGAATGGCTGGATGATATCGTTCTGGACCCACGTATCGCCTCGCGCATGAGCCGGGCTGAGCTTTCCTCCGAGGATGAGGCCCGCTCTCAGCGACTTGCTGAGCAAAAAGAATATATTCTGGGTGAAGAGCGCCCGAAGCCTATTTCTTTCTGGCAGAGTATGTGGATCAAGTATGGCAATGGAGAGGATGAAGAAACCATTCGACGCAAACCGATTATTGAAAAGTTCGATGCCGAGTCTAATGCCTAAAATTTGCATTTGGCATTCAAAGGGTTCTTGTGAAGCCCTTGTGTTATTATAATAGAAGGTGGTGTTTTGTTCTCATCTTCTGGACATGTTGTGTTTTTCCCGTCTGCATATCCACTCTCCTCGGCTTGTATATTATTAGAGGCGCTTTTTGGTCTTCATTTTCTGGGAATATACATGCAACACCTGTACCACGAATTTAGATTATTCGATCAATACTTTTGTCTTGTAATGTCTCTACTCTCTACCAACTTGAAGGCTTCAACTTACCATACTATCAAGCTCCAGGACTTTGTAAAATGTACTACCTAATAGTACATAGTAGTTAGAGCCTATTCCAAGGTTAGTACTTGTGTATCCTCCGTTGCAGATTCCAAGGTTGTCAGTAGGTATTTGTAGCATCTGGGGGCCCTACGGGAGGTCTAGGATTTTTCAGCATGCCCCTAACATACTAGTCTAAACACAGTTTAAAATGTATTATATGTTGAAAAATTAAAGAGCTGCGGCAGAGATCTTAGTTCAAATGTTTGGAAAATGGTAAGTTAATGATAGTATGTCAAAATACTATAATCTGGTGGTTTTAGCTGATTTACTAGAATATTTACCATGTTTTTTTAGAGAAAACATTTCCAGGGAGAATACTACTATATTTTATATTCTAAATTTTTGACCAAAAGAAAATTATATAAAAAGAAATCTAGTACTATATCATGGGAAATAAGAGAGAAATAAGAGAGAAATAAGAGAGAAATAAGAGAGAAATAAGAGAGAAATAAGAGAGACATAAGAGAGAAGTAAATATTTTAGTTACTAACCTTGGAAGTGATTTCTAGTCAATAACTAGTATAGTTCTTGAGGAAGGTTCTTAGGGTATATCAGATAAGTTATAAGTACCATTATATTAGAGGAGGATAAAGGAATCTCTTTAACTGGCTCAAAAGCTATACTACTATAATACATAGGTATTCCTAATATAGTGATAATAGACCAAAGATCTTTACTCCTTCTTATCATTAAGCTTAAGGCCCTATAGGTTGATAATTATTCTCTATTAGAAGCTGACTGGACATTTTAGATGGGTATCAACAATCATCTTTGTCTCTTTTTAGGTATTTATCCTATTCCAAAAGACCTTCAGAATTTATCCATAGACTGACTTATCCTTGATTAGGACAAATCGCTAAGTATATGTCTGACAACAGACTGAAGTACAGTGTCATTATTACGTACGACGAGAGTTTTCCTGAGACAGGGGATTGCAAACCGGAAATGGAATCTCGAGTATTCTCCGGTTATAAGTCATTTAAATGACTTTGATCTGGGCTCTGTTCAGGCCTCACAATCGGTGACATCATGACAAGCATTTTGGCACGTCGCAGGTTTAGCGATGACACGGAAGAACTTCGAAATGGGAAATATTCCCCAAGCAAACAAGGTGTGGACTCGTTACAAGTGCTAGGAGCAATTGACTATTATGCCGTGGCATTCCTTCCCATTTCTTATATCTGAACTTGATCTTTTTACATGAGACTTTCCTAAATCCACGCTGCCCAGACCTAGTTTGCCAAGGCTTTGAAAGAACTTGCAAAATAAATTTCATCAGATTAAACCTGGAGATACTACTAGTAGGTACCTAGGTAGTATTCCAAGGTTACTATAGTTGTACTGATATATAGCATCAACTTCTAGATCTTACTAGACACTTCTACAAGCCTGAGTCCATACGTCATTGGAATAAGCTTAAACTGAATTTTGATACATTTAAGAATGTGTAGCTTTGTTTTTTCTGTTTTATTGGGTTGGAGGAGGTTGACGGCATAGATGTAGTGAGAAATCTCCACCGGTTTCAAGTTCCACTTGCTTCAGATCAACTGAACACAGTTTAGTTCAGCTTGAACAGGGAAGACTCAGGCCACTTCTTGAGTGCCTTTTCAGCATACGCAGCCTTGTCACTGCCCCAGTTGCTAAGCAGGTCGAGGCCAGCCATAGCTTCGCTCATCATGATATCAACGGAGTCAAGAGTGGCCAGCAGTTCCTTCTCGTTTTGGGTTGCTGAGTCCTTGTTCAGGAATTGACGACCAGATAGGGCTGCTTGCACGTGCAAGGCGCTGTTCTTGTTGGCGGTCAGGAAAGAGTCGTTGAACTCCTCAAGCTTCTGAGACTTGGGGAACAGCTTCTCAAATTCGGCATCAACGACTTCGGCAATCTTGGGGTCAAGGGGCTCGGAGAGGGTATCAAGGGCCTTGCGGAATTGCAGCAACTGCAGGTGGAGGGTAGGGTTGGAGGGGTCGATAGCGTGAGCGGCTGAGAGGCATTTCACAGCCAGAACATGCTTGTCTGTGATATATCATGTCAGTAGGAATCTTCAAAAGGGCAGATGATGTAAACTCACTTCTGCGGAAGTAAACTTCAAAGCCAAGGGTTTGGGCTTCGATGTTCTGAGAATCGAGGTTGAGCAAGGGGGTCAGGAACTTCATCGCATCCTTGAGCGGGTCCTTGGTCTGCACAAGGGTGTTGCCCAAAGGATCGGGGTCTTCCTTCTTCACCTCTCCATCAATGCTCTTGGCATTAGCAGCGGCGGCCTTTCTAGCCTCGCGCTTATCAGCCTCGATCTTTTCAAGGCGTTGTTGCTCCCTCTTAGCCTTCTTGAGTGCCTTCTTACGCTCCTCCTCATTCATGGTATCGGCACCATCAGCGATAAGCATAGGGCCGTGTGCAAGGTCGGGCTGATCGTGAAGGAGCAGGTATGCCTTGATAGCAGAGACCGCCATCCGAGTGTAGAAGGGGTGTTCGCGAAGGCGGTCCTCCCAACGAACCATATCCACATAGGCGCGGATCATGCCCTTTCGCAGGGAAAAACTGTGGAAGTCGAACTGGTCCTCTTGCCAGGTATCAAAGATGTTGAACACGCCGTGGAAGCGCTTCAGGGCCAGAGCAAGTTTCTTCTGGCGCAGGTATGCCTCACCATCCTCAGTAAGATACCACACACATTGCATCTCATGAAGATCACCCATTGCGCCGCCGACTGTCTCATTTCGGGTGAACTTGCTCATGTTTTCCAAGCCCTTCTCATTCTGGTTGTTACGGAGTTGGTACTTGGCAGCCTTGGTATTGATGTAACGATCCTTTTCATCCAAAAGACGGGCCTTCTCCATCTCATTGGCGGCCTTGATCGTATTTCCGTAGTGCTTCCAGGTGCGCGCCTTGGTCAGCTGGTATTCCACAGACTTCGGTGACAGCTCAATTGCCTTGTCAACGTACTCCATGGCCTTTGTGAGGTCACGGCTAAGCTCGTAGTTGTAGTGTTGGGCCAAGAAATAGTAGGAAGAAACGAGGAACTCGTTCTCCTTAGACTCAGAAGAGCCGTTTGCCTGTGCAGCATTGCCAGAGACATATCCCTCAACCAATGCCTGGACCACATCGCGCTTGGAGGGGTTACTGTACAGAGACTTGATGTTGGCGAAAAGCGAGGGCACTCCTTTCTTCAGCATCCGCTGGAGGTAAGTATCAACAGCTTGCTTGAAGTCTTCGCCCTCTAAGAAATCGAGCGGGATGCGACGAGCGGAGTCACCACGAGGGTTCTTCTCTACCCACTCGTCGTAAAGAGCCTTCAATGATTTGTGGTCATCTTCCGCCACACCCTTCGCCTTAATCAAGCCATCATAGTAAATGGAGTTCTCCGGGTTTCGCTCCAGCAGTGCAGTGTAAGCCTGCTCAGCCTCGGACTTGCGATCAAGTCGCAAGAGGTAGTCAGCCTTCATCTCCATAACCGCCAGCACATCAGTACACCTGTATCCATATTTCTCCAGGTGTTCAAGAGCTCGTTCGAGGTTGCCAGTTTCTGCGATGATGGTATTCTTGTACAGGATGGCTTCAGAATGTTCCATATTTGAGACTGACGGGGTTCCCTTCAATGTTTCTTCGTATGTGGTAAGGACCTTCTCTGCTTCCTCCAAGTCTCCAGACAAGTGATGGGCAATTGCCAACGCTGTCCAGTTCTGTCGAAGGCCCGGGTGTGCTTGTAGCATCACAGTACGGCTCTGAATGTAACCCTGGAAATCACGCATCTGCACCTGAAGCAGAGCAAGATCCCGCTGGATAGGAGCAGACTCAGGCTCAATTCGCAATGCGAATCGGTACGCCTTGATTGCCTCTTCGTAGTTCTTTTCCTGTCGGTAAAGAAGACCATAAACGTGCCAGGTAATGTGCGACTTCATGTCATTCCGTAAAGCTTCCTTGCCGAGTGCAAAGGCCTCCTCTGATTGTCCCAGATGGCTCAAAATCAGCGCCTTCATTGCCTGCGTATCGCCATGGTTGGGGTTCTTCTTGAGAACCTGGTCGGCCGTCTTGATGCCTATCAAAGTGAAAATTGACTATTAGCTGCGGTCTGACCATTGAGTCAAGATAATAGAACTGACCTTTCTTATATTGCTTGAGCTCAAAGTTACGAACCACTTGACGGAACAAGGACTGGTCCTTGGGATTCAATGGTTGCGGCATGATGGGCGATCGCTTGGGGGGGTTGACGTGTGCGAAGGAGGAATCAAAGTGTGCGGGGAGCAACTACTCCGAGTCTTATGGCAGAATCACTGACCCGTTCCCACCGATAAGATGCGGTAGAGCGGGCGGTGAAATATTAGTCATTCTCAGGTACGCACCTGGGCAGCCCACCATGGGCAGGTGAAGGCATATAGAAAATTGGTTTCTAGGCTACTACAGTATGAGACAAATTTTCTCATACTTTCCTAATAATTCCCTAATATATTGGCTCAAATGTTCAAAGTACTGTGTTAGAAATCAAGAGCCTTCCAAATAGTTTGAGCTGACTTGGAGCAGTTTATGCCCTAGCCAATTCTAGCTCACATATTCCGAGCCTAGGAAGAATTTGAATTATTGAAATGGGATAAATCTCCATATGCACCATGACTAGATAGTAATGAAAACCATGCTAAGCTCCATGCAGCGTGAGTGACCAAAATTTGAACATGGGAGCTTACTAGCCTGAGAATAAACTGCATTTATCTACTTATCCCAGCTACGTCATGGGATAAGAATAACTATGAGATGAACCCACGGGGTCTTCGAGATGAATAATTTCTAGTTAATCATGTCTCACATAAAGATATCAAATCAAACGCTCCCTGTATGAAGTATAATGTACATCCATCTCCATGAGCGGGGGCGGGGCTCAGAGTGGAATATTCTGAATCAGTCAACACAGCTATTTGTAAGGATCATTCTTCATCGATGATGCTTCTTTCGCCAGCTATTCAAAGCATCCTCCCAGGACGAGGAAGAGCCACCGCATCTCTCAGAAACCAATCCCCATGTCCGAGCCCGAATAATCTCTTCCACAGTACGCTGATTTCGGACCAAATTGGCCAGTGATTCAGTCCGAGCTTCTTTCGGGAAGAATCGAGCGGAGTATGGATCCAGGCGTTCATCCACAACCCGTTCTCGGTCTCGCGCGGATTCGGTCTCTCGTAAAATCAAATCGGGATCCTCAGGATCAGGGCTGGTAGCTACTCCAGCACAGTAGTTCAAGACATCGGAGCGGGCTTGCCATGATGGGAACAAAATGTTTTCTTTGAAACCTTGGCAGGCATTGGAATCGATCACTTTATGTTCTCTAGAATCAGTTTGTCGTACTGCTGTAGACGATGGATCAAAGCCTTGGCGAGCAGGCATAAGCAAAGCATTCAGATTTTGGGCAATAGAATCGTCGATTGTTGATCGGGAGAGACGGAGGAAATCTGACGGCAAAACGCGATTAGCTGGAAGTGACGCCTAGAGCCCAGACAGCTCTCAACCAACCTTGAAGAATTTTTTCATTAAAACAGAATTGAGGAGTGAGGACTGGAGCCTCTGTCGACGGAGGGTTTGCCATCTTTTTGCTGGCAATTTCTTCGGAACCTCGATCTCTGTTGCTAGCCCAGAACCACTCCAGCTTGGCTAATGTGGGTACCGGAAGAGCGGAGCTGAAATCGAATGACAATTAAGCGTAGTAACACAGTAGTCTGTGGGGATAGGGCGTTGAATGAAGATGATTTCAGGTCTTTGTGATCTGATACATCTTGGAGCTTGTTGATAAAAGAGGAAACTGGGCTTGAATGGTGTTGTGCTGCACTGCAGTGTGATGCTATGAAGTGATTCTGTGATCGCATGTCATGGTTTCCCGATGAGGCATAGTCGCTAGCCCGCAAATGGGGATTCGCTGCACGTGATTTCGCGTCTCGCGTCGAAGCGCGAGGCGCGTTAACATATCTTAACATAACAGCCAGAGGAACAACCCTTTGGATTTCAAAAATTATACTGCTTCTAGGGCCAAGTGACCTCCCTCAATTTCAAAATGCCCGAACACTCTGAAGTTGCGCGAATAGTCCACTTCATCCGCAAACATTTAGTCGGCAAGACTCTTTCCAAGGTCCAAGCACAGCACGATGATATTGTCTACGGCAAGGTTGGCACCAGTGCTGCCGAATTTCAAAAGGCAATGCAAGGAAAGAAGGTGGTAGGCGCTGGACAACAAGGCAAATATTTCTGGATCACGATGTCCTCGCCTCCTCATCCAGTGATGTATTTTGGCATGGCAGGGTGGTTGAAAATCAAGGATGCCGACACATATTACTATCGTACAGACAAACCAGCCGACAAGGAGTGGCCACCGAAATATTGGAAGTTCTTGCTGGAGACAAGCGATGAGCCCAAGACAGAAGCCGCATTTGTGGATCCCCGCCGGTTGAGCCGTATCCGACTGGTGGATTGTCCCATCGACGAAATTCGAGAGCATACGCCTCTGAAGGAGAATGGGCCTGACCCGATCGCAGATAAGGATATTGTCACCGACTCTTGGTTAATAGAGAAGTTGAGAAGTAAGCGAGTGCCAGTGAAGGCCCTGCTGCTTGACCAAGCAAATATCAGCGGGATTGGAAACTGGATGGGGTAAGTTCATTCCTCGGTTCCCTGAATCTAAACCCATGGCTGACGTGAAGCATTAGAGATGAGATCCTATACCACGCCAAGATTCACCCGGAGCAATACAGTAACACACTTTCTGATGATCAGATCAAAGAGCTTCATACTGCGATGTATTATGTCTTCACAACTGCCTTGGATGTCCTGGCGGACTCGGAGAAGTTCCCTGAGCATTGGCTCTTCAAACATAGATGGGGCAAAGGAAAAAAGAACCAACCTTCTGCTCTTCCAAATGGAGACAGAATTACATTCATAACTGTGGGTGGCAGAACAAGTGCTGTGGTTCCTGCAGTGCAGAAGAAGACTGGTACGGTGGCCAAAGATATTGACCAGAAAGAGAATGGGGCCTCGGCTTCGAAGAGAAAACGTGCCATCAAGGAAGAGAGTGACTCTGAGGCTGAAACAAGCCCGGAAGCCAAAGAATCCAAAGGCCGAGTACCCAAGAGAAAAAGCGCTCCAGCTGTTAAGAAGGAAGAACCCGAAGATAAGAAAGTAGATACCACGGGTATTGTGAGACGTCGGTCCACTCGGTCCAGGAAATAGGACTTGTTATTCCGCCTCACCTCTATTACAAATCATTTCGTTCAAATGTTGTGTCTAATCATGTATCATAGTGAATATTTCTCCAAGATACTTTTATCTAGCCAGTACCTACAGGTTCATAATACTACCTAGGTCCAACTAACACTCCAAATTGTGGCACATTAGGCACTGGCGCAACGGGCCACCAGCATCATGATGTAGACCTCTTTCAAATGTTATGTTTACAGTTAGTTGATACTTCTGTTCTCCTTCCTTATCCACACTGGTATGTTCAACTATCCAAAGTTATACAGCAGTTAGCCTATGCCTTTAGGTACCCCTCTTTGTATCATCTAGTCCTCTAGGTACTCTTGTAGGTACTTGCATACATTGAGTAGTACCTAGGTAACCATTCGCCTATAGACATGACTAACAATCCAGCTGAGCGTGTAAATTTGAGTTCTAGGACTTTATATCATGATGTAGATAGGGGATGCAGCCAATCAGCGGGGTACTAATGAAAGCCTAAGGCGGTGAGTCCTTATCGCCGATATCGCCACTGATGACAAAGCCAACACGCTCGTTGGCTCTCTCTCTGGAACTGTTTTTGAATCTTCAGGTCGAACCTTTTGTCCAGATTTCTCTTTCTCGCTGGCATTTCGCATTATTCTCTTTTCTTGATTCAGTGATTTCAAAACATCCAGGAGTTCCTGAATAGCCAACCTGCGTCCGTGAGTCTGTGACTATCTGCGACTGCTGCGGGGCTCTTTTTACCCAAAGCGGCAACTTGCCACAATGAGCGCAATCTTGTCTGCAGACGATCTGAATGATTTCATTTCGCCAGGCGTTGCTTGCATCAAGCCAGTTGAAACACTGCCGCAGAAATCCAAAGATACTGAGGTTTGTGTCCCATGTCTGTGCTTGGATTTGTCTCTTTTGCTAATTTCTTAGAACCCATATGAAGTAACAACCGAAGATAAGGTCGAGCCGGAAAACCTTCCCCCGGCGCAAATCTCGTTAACGGATTGTCTCGCCTGCTCGGGTTGTGTCACGAGTGCGGAGGCAGTCTTAATATCGCTTCAATCCCATACCGAAGTCCTCAATACACTGGACGCGTTTCCCGAAATCCCATTAATCCAGTCGCAAAGCGGGGTAGCCATTGAGAATGCTGCAGAGCTTGGCGATGCAAAGATATTCGTTGCCAGCGTCAGTCCGCAGGTTAGGGCAGGATTGGCAGCCACATACGGTATCTCGGAGCAAGAAGCGGGGTACATGATCGATCAGTTCCTGCGTGGTCCCCAGGGATTGCGATCTGGAGGAAAGCAAGGCAATGGCTTTACATGGGTTGTGGACACAAATGCGATGCGGGAGGCTGTATTGGTTCTCACTGCTGATGAAGTCGCCGAGTCTTTGGTAGAAAACACAGCACACCAGGCCCAGAATGCCCCACCGAAACGGCCAATATTGTCATCGGCATGCCCTGGCTGGATCTGTTATGCTGAGAAGACACATCCTTTCATACTTCCTCACTTGTCTAAGCTCAAGTCTCCCCAGGCGTTGTCAGGAACTTTCCTCAAGACCGTTCTTAGCAAATCGCTTGGCATTCCACCATCTCAGATTTGGCATTTGGCGGTAATGCCCTGCTTCGACAAAAAGCTGGAGGCCAGCCGTGAGGAACTCACCGATGTCTCTTGGCAACAGAAAATGACTGAATCTCATCAGCCCGTTCGCGATGTGGACTGTGTGATTACTACACGTGAAATAATTTCTTTGGCTTCGTCTCGAGGTCTTTCGCTCCCTGACCTACCTCTGAAGCTGCTTTCTCCCTCTGATACCTTCCCATTCCCTGAAAAGGACTTCAACTCATTCGTATCATTCAAAGCCTCCAAGGCGGATCAGTCTGTCTCAACGGGCACTTCCGGGGGCTATCTACAGCATGTCCTAACAACTTTCCAAGCTCGTAACCCTGGAAGCAGCCTGACCATAAATCGTGGTCGTAACACGGACGTTGCGGAATACGTCCTCATGTCTGGTGAGGGTCAGCCTATTATGAAAGCAGCCCGTTATTATGGGTTCAGAAACATCCAGAACCTTGTTCGAAAATTGAAACCGGCGCAAGCATCCCGAATGCCTGGAGCGAAGCCCATCGCTGGTCGACGCCAGCCAATGTCACGCAATGCTGCATCGGGGGCTAATTCACGATCCGATTATGCCTATGTGGAAGTAATGGCTTGTCCGGGAGGTTGTACAAACGGCGGAGGGCAAATTCGAGTCGAAGACGCGCGAGAAGTGACAGGTATTTCTCAACCAGCAGATACCGGTGCAAGTGAAGCCACGAAGCCAACATCACATGAGCAGAGAGCATGGCTCGCTCGCGTGGACGAGGCGTATTTCTCGATGGAAGGAGATTCTGAGCCGGAATCCGAAGCTCCGTCTCAAGCCCTCTCCGTGGTAGACAAAGAAACTCGAATTCATGAGAGCTTACAGCGCTGGTCTCGATTCATGGGGATCCCACTATCAAGTCTAGCATACACGACCTATCGCCAGGTAGAAAGTGATGTTGGCAAAGAAAAGACTCCCGCGGAGGAAACCAACCGGGTTATTGAACTTGCCGGGAAGATCGGGGGTGGCTGGTAGAGTTGTTTCCTACCTGGAAAATCATACTGCATGGCGTCGGAAAGGTTTTTTGCATTGTTATGGGCATATAGGGCATATACCACTTGTTCTTTCTTTTCTCTCCTGTATCTCTAAAAACTATCGACTGAGATGTATTTTAGTCAGAATAAAAAAAATAAGAGAAAAAAGTTATTATTATCATTATGGAATTCAAAATACCGTACTCATAGTCCTAGCCCTGAAACACCAGTATCACCGCTAGCATCCACACATATAAACACTGACATATGGAGGTCGTTCGGATTCAGCAATCTAGACCTCGAATATCGTAATATAGTTGGTACTCAATAGCCAGCCACTCAATGTAATGTCAACTATGAAGCTTCATTGAGGATGGATTCTTTGGGTGTCAACTGGTCGAGTGCCCATTTGGTCCATGCATGGTTGCTGTGCCAACGACGGATGAGCGGAGACCGTCAACATTTCGAACCACCCACCAAAAACTACTATACCTACCGTCGCTAACTGTCCTGCCTGGAAGACTTCTTTGGTATCCCCTTTACCAAGAAAGGGGCTTATACTTATCGACCGGAAAGCCCCAAGAGACCTTTTATCACCCTTCCTCACCTATACCGCGGAAACCATGGCACGACTCAACACAGCAAAATCGGAGCCCATGCAAGGCTCTCCTCGAAAGTCAAGATTAAACGACAAGATCCATGAGTCATACGAAACTTCAACCACCGATCGACTGCCGAAAGTCCGCTACCCCCAGGTCACCACGCAGAAACAGAAAAAGGGATCGGGCGCCATATTCGATATCTTCGCCGATGCCGACCAGTTCGATAGCACAAACCTGGACACGGATCAAAGCTCACCATCCACTTCACCTACAAAGCTGAAGAGAACAAGAACCCTGAAATCGGCCAAAACCAATTCTTTACTCCTTCCTCTGAACCAGCGACCCAGCCATAGGACCAATTTCAAGGTCGAGACAGACGACTATGACAAGGAAAATGATCTCACGGAATATGGAACCGACTCCTATTCAGCCGTAGGAAGCCCTGCTTCGTACCGCTCGATGGTCAGCCAAAATGCAACCAGGACACCTACCAGAAGCCGAACGATGGATACATCTTTCAACCACCAAAGCCCCGAAGTTGAGGATACGGAGAACTTTGGTGACAATAGCTTCAATTCCTTAGACGACTTCATTGTCAGGGATGATGAGGATCTCAGCTACCAACAGACCTCTGAACCTGAGGTAGAGATAGAGATACAGAGAAAGGCAACACCGTCTCCTCCCAAGCCAAGTCGGCGGCGGCTTATGAGAGGGCGGCGGCCGGGCTCCCAAAAGGAGCACACAGACCAAGATTTGTTTACCGGAGAATCATTGGCTTTGGAGGTGAAACTTCCTGAGTCAGTGAAAATTCCTTCAAGTACCAGCCAGGTGTTTCAGGATGCCCATGACCTTTCGATCAAGCTGGGAGGCCTTAACATCGATGAAGACAGCAAAAAACAGCCTCGGACAGGCACAAAAGACACCCGGCCTAAGTTGGACACTACATCCAAAGCTGTCAAGTCTTCACCTATCAACGAAAGGCCAATCATTAATGTTGATTCCTCTCCACCATCTATGAAGACTGATGATGCTCCGACCTTCCAATTAAAGTCTCCAACAAAAAAGAGATTCCACATTCCACCCACTCCACACCGTGAAAGCAGCGACGCATTCTGGGACCAGGAGGTCACCAACACTTGGATTGAGCAACATTCTCCGCGAAAGGTTCACAGCATTGAGCGCTCTACAATTGAGTTATTACGTGACTTTGACGACTCAGAAAACGAAGGCAGCAGCCAGGACTCCAGTCTTAGTTTCTCTTCGATTGGATCTTCAAGAGATAGCTCCGAGTCAAAAACCCCAAGCAAAACTGCTCTCCGAAAGGCCGAAGCTGCGGCAAGGAAGAAGGCCAAGGAAGACGAAAAGAATCAAAAATCTGCCTGGGATAATAGCAAGGACGCTCTTGCGAAAGACCTCCTTCATGAACTAGATCAACTGGTCACCGATGGCGAGTTCTCCAGACTTACCAAAGATTCTGGCGGTGTCAAGATCATCTGGAGCAAAACTTTGGTTTCAACTGCTGGTCGGGCCAACTACAAACACGGTCCCAAGCAGCCCGGTGGTCCCCGTATCCATACTGGTTCGATCGAGCTGGCGGAGCACATCATCACCGATGAGTACCGACTGATCAACACTCTTACTCATGAGTTCTGTCACTTGCTCAACTATATCATCTCCCGTGTTACCGACAACCCCCACGGTGAAAGTTTCAAGAAATGGGGCCAACGTTGCGAAGAAGCTATGCGAGACCACCCAATCTATGGTGGCCGGATCCACGTCACGACAAAACACAGCTACAAGATTGACTTCAAGTATGTGTGGACCTGTGTTGGTTGTGGTCAGACCTATGGTCGCAAATCCAAGAGCATTGACCCAGCTCGTGTACGTTGTGGTCAATGCAAGGGTTGTCTAGAGCAGACTAAGCCCAAGCCGCGAAACGTGTCTCCCAAGAAGAAGAACCCTACTGTTCGCGCTGCTAGCAGCTCAGACAGCCAAAGTGATGACTGATTTATGAATTGAGCTCTGAAGGATCGGGCTCAGCTGTGAATTTGCAATGTTATTTTAGCGATCATGTCTCGGAGTTTAATGAATCATTTACCATATTTTGTTCGATCTAACTCCCATCTATCAAGCCCTGGCATATTTTTTCAATCTTGATGTGGCTTCATTCAAGTTCCTCATCTTACGCACGCGGCTAGAGCACCTGCTAGAGGGCTTCATCTTCCAAGGTCCTGATATACGCTCAAATGTCCTGCTCGGGCTCAGAAGTAATAACGAGAAAACCTTGGAAATAGTTTCAAGTCCAATCATCGGATTGGCATTAACCGCATACAAGCTATTTCTTTTCACTGATAATTTTGGGTCGATAGCAAATGTAGCGCTTTTAAACAAACAGTCCCCAATCCCTGATTTCGAATTTCTCTTCCAGTGCCTTCAGTAAGTCCTCCCCGAAGTTTTCTTCCTTCGATAGCCCTGGTGCATTTCCCTCCTTATCGAATTCCTCATGGGGGACATTAAAGAATACCAACAGATCCGTCTCCTGCGCTACCAATCGAATAAGGAGATAATGGCAGGTCAAGTTCTTCGTAGCAGGACCACTAGACGAGCCTCCATTCATAGCAGCACCTGAAACTGCTGCACCGGATTCCGCGGCAGGAAAATCCTGACCTCTTTGGCGCACAGCTGTCGTAAACTCGACAATGCCCCTGTATGCGTTGGTGGTTGACCCGGGCGGTGCATTAGAGGTCAGGCGGTTCATAGTTACACGCTGAGGGGACAAAACCACTCGCATGCTGTCGCCATTATCGCAGAGATCGTGTAGATGGTACAGAGCGGCGGCCTGGTCAATAGTTTGGAGTGTTGCGGTTGCGGCGCCACCGCTTCCTGCTGCCAGTGAAGGCTGTTGCTGGCTAAGAGTGGTGAAAGTGCTAAGGGCATCTCTGTCGGATACACGGTTATTGATTTCAATAATCATGTTGGACAAGGTGTCCGGTGACAAGAAGAGTTCCTGGTGGTCTGGGATCTCACGTAGGTTGCTTTGATTATGGTTAGTTCCTGGTTCTATAAGACTCACAATATATATTCTTGCTCAAAAATTGGAAATTTTGGTAGAAGGATTTTGTTGAAGATGGGTTATGAGTTTCGTGCTGGGGATTTGAAAAGTATGGAACTAACCTGGCATCAATCCATTTCTGCGGCACCACACCTCGGATTGCCCCGCCGAAGAAATCTTGCTCTTGGACTTGTGACATATTGGGTGTTAAAGTTTCAGCGTATTGCGTGCTGAGGGGTTTTGCTTTGTTTCGTCTGCTGATACTTCTGGTGGAGCTTGAGCTTGAAAGAGGATGATGTTCGGGCTTGAATATTCGATATAGAATTTCAATGCCAAGACCCCGCGTCAAGGTTGATCTTTCTGTCTGCTTGGATTTGGTTGTTCAGTATATCGAGCTGAAGTTCAAGAATGACTTGAAGAAAATCGATGATAGAAAGAAAAAAGTAGAAAGAGGATTGAAGTAGATGGAATGTTTGATTTTCGAGTTTTAGTGCGTGGTTTTATAGCGTTATGTAGAGTAAAAGGAAGGCAACAGTTGCGGGAAGGAGTCTTCCGCCCAATGCTGTTTGCTGGACCAGTTGACTGCCTTCGTCATGGAGATCCGGGTTATAATCTGTCGCGAGAATGACTATTTCTCAAAGAACTTGGAGCTTTTACAGTAAATAGATGTGGAAACCTTTCACTTGATGTCAATATGATCAATTTCATAGTATAACTTGTATTTCCACGTGGGCAGCCTTGTTTGCAATGATCGCTATGCCGGTCACGTGCATATCTATCTGAGGCCTTGGTTTTAAGGCATGATATATGAACAGCGTCGTTGCACAATTATCCATCAGTGCTGTCGGATAAGTTGATTCTCTGCAAACCGAAATATTGATATCCTGTGTCGGCATACTGTCATGTGGGGGATTGATCCAGCATATTGCCCAACATCCATCAAAACGATACTCGCTTTATGCGCCCCCCTTGCCTGCAGATCCCTGCAAGTTCTTATCTTTGAGTCAGGATTAGGACTAGGCTAAGAATATCCATCGTACGCCGGACTCCGTATCCATCCTGGCTTGATTAGTTATTAGGAATCCCAAATCACGACATCTAATAATGCGCATGCATGATGCATCCATCTCCTTATCAAATCGAGTCGCACCCTATTCAACCGCGACAGCCGACCCCCTATGACCAGGGCCATATGACTAGTGCATGTCTCACGCACTGGCAGTTCTCCGCTCAAATTCCCGTCTTATCCCGGCTGATCTTTTATAGTTAAAAAAAGACCAACCGTGCCTCAGTGCTCAGGAAAGTCTTCAATCGTCTCCACCATGCGGGGACCTCCGATTTTCGGCCCACTTCCGAAGGTTTGAATCAACTTTTATCAGATAATCTCGGATTTCGAGACAAGAACTATTCGCCCATCACAACCCTTCCACATCAAACCTGTTGATTTCCCTTGCTGGCTTATTTTATTCTGTCGCCTCCGGCTCAAAGAAGTGCGACTTATCTCCAGGGGGCGGGGCTGCGCATAGACATCACTGATAGCGTGATCACTGCTCAAGTGGTGTCACCAGCGTGATGGTGAACAGCATTCCCAAAAATCCAGATGACTCTGATCCAGAGACACAGCATCTATTAGCAGGGCACAAAAACCCAGATGACTGCGATCTAGAGACCCAGCAAATCTTAGCAGGGAATGCGCATTTCCATCGTCTCGGATGGAAGCGCCTCACTATCATCACGATCGTTGAGGCGATCGCGCTCGGCAGTCTTGGGCTTCCGTCTGCCTTCGCAGCTGTCGGAATGGTTCCAGGTGTCATCTTGACAGTTGGTATCGGCTTAGTTGCCATGTACGCTGGATATATCATCGGCCAAGTGAAACTTAGATATCCTCAAGTTGCCCACTATGCAGATGTCGGGCGACTGTTAATGGGCAGTTGGGGATCTAAAATCTTCGTAGGCAGCTTTGTTGCCTTGCTTGTGTGCGTTATTGGATCGCATACCTTGACAGGTGCCATTGCGTTCAGGACCATCGCGCAGAGCGAATCTTGCTCGCTTATATTCAGCATTGTATCTGCTGCGATTCTGATGTTACTCGCTGTTCCGCCTTCATTTTCGGAAATTGCCATTCTCGGTTATATCGACTTTGCTTCTATTGTGTTGGCTATAGGTTTTACTATGGTTGTGACTGGAATTCAAGGCTCGGGTACCTCAGATTGGTCTGCCTGGCCAAAACCCGGTCTTTCTTTCACTGCGGCTATTGTGGCTGCCAATAATATCGTCTTCGCGTATTCGTTTGCTGGCTGTTTGCCTTCTTTTATGGAAGAGATGCATACTCCTAAGGATTATACCAAGGCGATGTGGTGGCTCGGAGGAGTTCAAATCGTCATTTATACTCTTACTGGATCGCTGATTTATGCCTTTGTCGGACAAGATGTGCAATCTCCAGCTTTGCTATCGGCAGGACCCCTGTTTTCAAGAGTGGTGTTTGGCATCGCGCTCCCAGTGATCTTCATCTCAGGATCTATCAACACTACTGTGGTTTGTCGGTATATTCATGGAAAGGTGTATCAGAAATCAGTTGTTCGCTTCATCAACACCCCTAAGGGATGGGTTACATGGCTCAGCCTTGTGCTTTTCGTTACAGTGATAGCGTGGGTTATTGCCGAGGCTATCCCCATTTTCTCCTACTTGTTGTCCATCATTTCGTCTCTGTTCGTTTCTGGACTATCATTCTATCTTCCGCCAATCATGTGGTATGTCCTCTTGCGAGAAGGCGAATGGTATGAGAAACACAATTTGAAGACTGCCATGTGCAATGCGGTAGTGTTTGTGATTGGTATGATTATTTTTGGATGCGGTACATACGCCAGCATGGCTGAGTTGGTAAGTCTATATTATTCTTCGCTCATTTGCCTGTCCTAGTACTAACTCACATCTCAAGATTCATGAATTTCAGTCCGGATCAATAAGCAAGCCTTTCACATGTGCGGCCTAGACTTATACAGAATACCCGGCAAAGAAGTTGCCACAATAAAATCGCTTGTTAGAGTATAGATAAGATATACTCGATGCTTTTCATCTCTTTTTCTTGTCTTATTTTGCTGCTTTCTCAAGATCTGCTGCCCACAGAGAAGCACCAACAGTATTTGTAAAAGAGAAAACAATAGAGGCAAATGGTATCATCTCTAGAGCAAATGCAGCAATACCGAGTCTGTATTTGTGTTCATCAGCACCTTGCCAAAGAATCCATTAGTCCCTATTGATATGCACTCACCCGGTATAGGACGCTCGATTCTTTTCAACCCATTCATCTCGCTGCTTCGAATTCCAACCCTTGAGTTGAAAGTACCTTGAATGTAGCACTGGTCCAATTTTCTTACCCTGGACTGCTACATAAATCACCGTTCCAACAACCGGTATCAAATTCAGGGGTAGATACAGCAATGACCGTATGAGCACCTCTGGTTTGAAACTCGAGAACGGTCGAGAAAATACCTTCCCCAGTCTTGCAATAGCATCCATTCCTCCAGACCGAGGCTTAACTTGACGACCCTGCGCGACCAGAGATTCCTGATCGCGCGCAACAAGCGTACCATCAAAAGTATCGATGAGGGCATCCTCGACTAAGAATGATCGAGATAAAATATTTGTAATGGTGGCACTCTCACTGAGAACCAGTAATCCTGCAGATATGGCAGCCAGAGGACCACTGGTAAATGCTATGACGGCCATTTGCGGTACATAAGTGAAAAAGAACATGAAAGACGTCACGCCCAGGCCGAGACTGACTGTTCGTCCAGCCCGAGCAAGAAAGGGGCCCCAGAGATCTTTGTGAGTTGCAAAGAAGATTATACCCTGTATGGATAGGCTATCAATGAAGAGTTTTCTAAGGTTTGGTGATGTGCTCTCCGAGTCGTTGGGCTCACCTTGAAGGGATATAAGTACGCGCCAGATTTAAGCACACCTTTGGAGGCTTCTTGAACGCTTTTGGCCTCGGCCATTGCGGCGTCTTTGATATGACTGGACATAATGAGATGTGTAAGCCGGAGCTCACTTCTAATGTGATAGGGATTACTACGTAGAAGAGTAGGTATGAACTGGTGAGAATCAAGGTCCTGTGGGAAAGCACCAATGCTGTGGTGACGTCATCGGGTAATTGAGATTCAATGGTTCACTCAAGACTCGGAGTTATTGAGGATCAAATCCAAGAGTTTTCCTACCAATATGAATTAAAAACCATATGCTAATAATCTCATATGAATGCCAGTGAGTCCGTAGCTTACATATAAAATATCTCCAAATCTCTAGGAAAAAATCAAGACACATTCTCCTTAGATAGATACATGGGAACAAAAAGCGAGAGTAAAGTAAGAGAGAAGGATAACACTAAAACCAATTGAATTCTCATACTAAGGACCCTGGAGAGCTCTTGCTATTTACTAGGTATGATAGTATCGATCCGAGTCATATATAATTAAGTCTCTACACCCACAATGCATTAACCCCCACCAAGAGACTCGAGACATGACTGTCTTGTTCCAATTATCCAGATTTCACTTTTCTGAGTGGAAAATCAGCATTCCATAGTTATTTGAGAAAAAATTGGAAGGTTTATTCTTACTATTTCTCCACTGCCCTCGCACTAGGTTGGCCGGCATATCGACCCGGTTGGAAGTTGTATTCGTCTTCCCAATTTTCCTTGGCAAACATAAGAGGTCCCCATTTCTTCTGGGTTTTCTCCCAGCGTTTCCTCATTCGTGATACGGTGAACATTTTCTGTGTCTCTAGGGAGGGCGCATCGAGACTCTGAATGCTGGCATCGGTAGAGCCTGAGGTTCTTGAGGTTCTTGAGGTTGAGGAACTCATATTGTGACGTGGGAAGGTACTAAGACCTAAGGAAATTTCAATGTTTGAATTTTGATTGTGAGAATCTCTAGCCACTTTGAAATTGATCTAATTACCCAGGGAAACTCAGCCCTTATATGCCTAAATGTATACCACTATAAATATTCTGCATAATCTTGACCGAGCCATACCCGAGATATCGCCGCCATACTTTTTGCACTTTTTGCCTCGCGGGAAGTGCCGGAGATAATGCAATAATCATTGAACCAATAGATGCAAGAGTTTTGAAAATCTTGCGATATGAAAACATCAAAATATTACTTCTAGACTGTCCATCTCATTTCCAAGACGTCATGAAAATGGTGGAAAGCCAGATCATTGATATCAATCGTGGTGGAGATCGAGAACAGTCGCCCGATAAGATCGAGACGATCGACAGTATTCATAAAATCACGGAATTCCCCCAGCATAATGCTGGCACTGGCAGCTGGAAACCAAGGGTATAATGTGCACGGTTCACGAATCATTAGTGAATTATAATATTTTGAGGTAGTACATGATTCAAGGTTTGATATCCTTTTTCCGAAAAACCGATGGGAAAGATCAAGGGGATCTAGTATCCGTCATGGTCACCGAATAAGACTGTTTCACAGTGATGTGATAAAAGTCTTCGTCATTTCGTTGGTCATTCGCCAAAATAGCAGCCTTATCGCTGGCTGAATCGTGAGACTTCAAGTTAATGGCTCCTTGATCGCGTGTGATGTAACTCTTTGATACTTCATGGCTATTCATCTCATAGGAGTAACCATGGGGCTGATTTCGGAAAATCTTCCTATAGAATGGTCGCAAAATGGGAGCCGATGCGGCGATGTTCAAAAGAACAGCTTCGGCACTAAATGAAGTTAGCGAATTGTTTGAGAGTGTTGCAGGTAGGATCACTTACAGAATCCATGTGAATAGAGCCACTGTGTTGTCTGTGAAGTAATTTAGTATATGATCTAGGCCATATTGCGGGGCAAATTAGATAGTACTAACAAGTATAGTCTCCACGATCGGCAAGTGCCCGAAGCTTGACAATCTTCATTATAACAGCGATGAATGCCCTGGTAGGTCAGTCAAGGTTAGCGATAGTCATCTGAGATTGGAATCAATGCATGAGTCGTACAGAATACTTAGTCCAAGGAGAACCGCGACACCAACTTTTGTTCGTCGGTTCATCTGTAAGTTTCTAATCATGTATGCCGGGAAGAACGTCAAGAAGAGATCTGTTACGCCGTTGAATGCCGAATGTGCATATCCAAAGTACTGCATCAGTCAGTACGTACTTGTGGACCACTCTCAAGTTTAGCCCATTCGCTTTTTGTCTTACAGTTTGCACATCTGCATTCCAACATGAGCCAGAAACTCCATCCGTGTCCCAAAGTAGGACAATGTTGGTACACTGAGCATATAAACATATCACAACAGCGCCGTTGGTGATGAGTTGAGCAGCGCACAATGTCCATAAGCCGCGTCGCAGCTTTTTTGTTATGCCGAAGAGAGTGAACATGGTCACAATTGTTGATAGGCGGCCAAAAGTGGAACCCAAGACTCCAAATGACTGGGAAATTGCATTGTATTTGAGAGCCTCAATACGCTGATGGACTGTAAGCGTGGACTGGTGTCGGCCCCAGCCATAATGAAATTGTACAGTAATCAGGGATGCAAATGTAATGATGATACACTGCAAAGGTGCTTGGTCAGCCGGCGAAATAGTATACAGGCACTAAGAGGAGATAAGACTTACAGTTGATAGAGCCAACAGTGCATCGCTCAGACCAAGTTGATGAGTGATTCGCGCCTGAGTATACAATCTCGCAAACATCACAGTCAAGGCAATTGCCGAGAATGCCCAGCATACACCGAGAGCCGGTGCTCCTGAGGAATAATTAGTCGGATAATCCGCAAATTGAGTCATATCTCTTGTTTACAGTACCGATATTTCCATCGACGGAGTGCATGGCCTAAAGAGAGGGTTTCCAGGGGTCTGGATGGCAAGAGGAAAAGATCAATGGCATTTATTTAAAAAGTTCAAAGCATAGCACTCTGCTAATGAGAGCGAAGCACAAGGCTCTAGACTAAGTTTTACCTAGGGAAACAAATTAAATCCATCTGCACGATAAAACTTTCTCCTTAAACAACGCCACGCTCTAGTTGCCCCTCCAAGAAGAATACTCATCTTCCGTAATCCGTACTCGGGGAGAATTTGGCCGATGGCGAGTCATCCACTTCAGGTGTCAATGCCGAGTACGAGTATAGTCTTGACACACGCAGAACCACCACTATTTTTTTTTCAAAGAGAATCGCTTACACGTGTGCGCGTTTAACTATGAATTATGGGGATAAAATATCCCGTAATAGCAATTGGTGAGTGAATTAATCGCTTAAAGGAATGGGCTTAGAGAAAGTCCGCGGACTTTGCTTCTGGATTAGGAACCTGCATCGATGGTGGAACTGACTAACCGGATTCACTTGGCTTAAAAACGCCACAAGGCGTCGACGGTTGTTTCTAACACTTGTCATGTTTCTCCTTTTTTTCATCTTCAGGTCAATTTTCAGGTACATAATATCTGAATAGCCCCATACCCTTGCAACCAGGAATTTTGATAAAGATACCATCGTCTTTTACTTTTGACTGCTAACAATAGGATTGTCCAGGTCTTTGATAATATCCACAGTGGGGATCTGACAAGCATGGATCGAACAAAGGGTCAACTATGCGCTCCCGGAAGCTACCAGCCGTGTGAGTGGATCTCAATCTCCATATTTATCGGCTACACCGGATTTATCATGTGGGATGGGGGATTTTAGCCGTTGAACTCGGTGTTCCTACGGAGTATCCGCAAGGTATCCGCAAATTTCGCCATGTCAATAAACAACTTTTGAGTGTTGTGCTCAATTTTCTTGGCGAAAAAGGATTCACATTGGGCTGGAAATGGTTGACTGTGTGGAGAGATCAGGATCTTATGTTTCCCTGTTATCGATCCTTCGCCGACACATAAGCATATGCGCGTTCTTCTTGAAGTCACTGGAGAACACTTGAATACTTTGAGCCCGTGAAAATTTGCACGATGTTTTGGTCAAGCCACTTTAGTCCGGCCGAGTACAAGCGACGACTAGTACTCCATAGCGTGCTAACCAGTCCAGGACTCTATCCACCGGTATCCCTGGCGTATATATTCAGCTCCGCCTCTTCGATTTCCCACGTGGTAGAAAGCCCTGAAAATACTCTTTCCAGTACTAGTACACGCTAGAATGGCTTCTATCTTCTCTTTAGCCTCTCTGGCTATCTGCTCTCTTCTGAGCGGCGCCTTGGCACTTCCTTCCCATCAAGCCAGGGCTCTGTCTGCTCGCAGCCAAAACTCTTCCGTTGATGTGAACGTTCTGTACAGCTTTGGTGACGGTACTTGGGCTGAGAACCTTGCCGTGCGTGCCAATGGTCAGATTCTTCTCTCCCGGTTAGACACCCCTGAGGTCTTGCAGCTCGACCCCAGGGGCATACGTGATCCCATCACTATCGCTTCCTGGAATGCATCAACCTACATGGGTTGTCTCGGAATCTCCGAGACCACCCCGGATATGTTCTACGTTGTGACCTCGGGCTTTGTCAATGACAGCTTTGTGCTCACATCCGGTGTGAACAGTATCTGGGAGATTGATATGTCCACCTTTGCTATTTCGAACACAACTGGTCAAGTCCTCTCCAACGCCACTGTTTCCAAGCTTGTTGATGTGAGAACTTCGGACTTCCTGAACGGCATGACTACTCTGTCGAACAATACCATCCTTGTCGCTGATGCCTACAACGGCTGGGTGTACCGTGTCAACACCCACACCGGTGCTTACTCTGTTGCTGTCAATGATACCAAGATGAAATTCGACTCCATTCCTAACCCTCCCACCAACCTTGGTGTCAATGGTATCAAGCTGCACGATGAACACCTTTACTGGACCAACACTGCCGTTGGTACCTTGAACCGCGTCCGTATCTCAAGCAATGGAACCCGTGTTGGCACTTCTGAAGTTGTGGTCGACAATGTCCCCAAGGCGGATGACTTCATCTTCAAGAATGACAACGTTGCTTTCATCGCCCAGAACCAGATGGATGAGCTCAGTGTTCTCTATCCTTGGGCCAATGAAGCCAAGGTCATCGCTGGCAGCAACATTTCTACCACTCTGGCTGGTGTTTCTGCTGGAAAGTTCGGTCGTCTGCCTAGTGACAGCCACATTCTCTACCTGACTACTAGTGGAGGTAAGCCATTTTCAACTCTCATCCTACTTTAAAGCATTTAAACTAATGAAAATATAGCCGAGGGCCTGCCTATCAACGGTACGGTTACTGTTCCCGCGACCCTGTCTTGGATCGATACGTCGAGGTTTTGATATTGTGCTATGAAATAGTATTAATTTAGTATGGTGGAATGAAGTAATATGTGAGCGCAGAGCTATATGTACCATAGTCTATGTAGTGTATCATAGGTTTCAGATTGAAGGTTCTGGTCCTATACCAGATAATATAAGGAACATTGACGTACCTTTGATTACTATAGTATGCCGCTATTCAAATATCCAACCTTATAAAAATGAAGCTCGATAGACATCTAGAGATTCAAGTATTCATACCTCGTGCCACCATTACTGGTCACTGGCAAGCTATGTTTCAAAAATTCTTTTATATGCTAATGTTAACAAGTTTGAGATGACCTTCTACATGTAGTCCTCAAGTGCTGAGAGCCTTGGAAGCCTAAACTAGAAAGGTACCACCATATTGTTTCACAAAGACATCATACTCTCCAAATGTCGAGAACTGATTTCCCCGTTGTTCAATGTTCCACCTATCGAAAACTAACCGTAAGTCACGGTGGCACATCCATGGATGTTTATCAATAAGAGAATTTGAATTGAATACACCCCAATACAACCTTGAAATACTTCCATGAGCCCAGAGCATATATCAGGCAGTTAGGTGATATCAAAAACATCGCTAGCTCTGCCCAGCTGTCAAAGCGTATCCAATTTCAGGCCCAATATTGAGCACTTGAGAGAGGTAGTGCTCTGAATACTGAAAAAATGATCGATACACCAACCCTACCGCCACAGAATCTATGTGGGAAGACAGCCATTGTAACAGGATCTTCCAGGTTAGTTAATTTAACGGCTTTTCTTGACAAGGTTGGATATAGCTAATAATTTTCATCTATAGAGGTATTGGTGCGGGAATCGCAGTTGATTTGGCGAGACGAGGAGCATCTGTGATCATCAACTATGTCTCCACAAAGAGCAGACAGGCTGCCGAAGGAGTACTGCAAAATATCACAAGTAACGGAGGAAGTGCTTTGCTTGTTCAAGCCGATATCTCATCTATTGGAGGGATTCAACACCTGGTTGAAGAGAGTGTCAAATTCAGTCTCAGCAAGAAGATTGATATTGTTGTCCATAATGCTGCATTTGGCGACGATTGTTATCTTGAAGATATAACGCCGGAGTTCTACTATAAGCAGACTGACACTAATCTCAAAGGTATTCTTATTCCCAGAACAACTCTCCAAGAAATGAACTAAGATGAAAACACAATAGGTCCGATCTTCCTCACCCAAGCAATTCTGCCTCACCTTCCCTCACACGGAGGACGCATAGTCCTTGTTTCCTCTATATCCGCTCGCATGGCCTTTGCATCTCAGACAGTTTATGCAGCTACGAAGGCAGGATGCGAAGCTCTTTGCCGTTGTTGGGCAGCTGCACTAGGCAAGAAATATGGTGCTACGGTGAATTGTGTCAATCCAGGACCAGTTGCAACTGAGATGTACTGGGAGAGTGACCCTGAATTCCTCAAGTCGATGGAGCCTATTATTGATGCTACACCCGCTGCACCTCGTGTTGGGCAGGTGGCCGATATAGTTCCTCTTGTGGCGTGAGTACCTCTGCACTTGTGCATTCCTCTTCAAATCTGTACTTACAGCCATTTAGATTCCTTTGCTCAGAGGAGTCGCATTGGACAACTGGATCTGTCCTCAATGCTAATGGCGGAATGCTTATTATTTGAACAATGATTTGGCAGCTATCTGGACAACTAAAAAATACATCAATAACACCAGCAGTAGCTGCCTTTCCTTAAATCAATAGCTCTGGTCCTCCGAGTCATTTCTAATTTCTCATATTCCCTGTGCGTTATTTCACTACCTACCACGATGCCCATTCAATAGGGGCTTCGGTGGATAATCGGTGCATTCTATATCATCCCAATTGTATCCGAGTCCTCGGTGAGTAGATAAGAGAAATTTATTCAGGCTCGGTAGCCAAGGCTTCATATATTTGCTTCCTTGTGAGACGTCAATGACGTCCTTCGACCAAAATTAAGATTGCACTCCTCTTGAATGAACTTTGATGGATATGTGAGAGGGCAAGCTCCTTCTCTTCTTCAATCGCTTCTACCTTTTTCTTGTTCCTCAAAACACAGCCACCTCACCTCAGTGCTCAAGCTCAACAGATCAGTCTCAGGCCTAAACAGTGTTGAAATGACAACAGCGGACGCATATACCTGGACGCATGAAGGCGGGTTGCAGAAAGGCGGACTAACGTGTGAGGGAGTCATATCTCCACCTGAGAAGTATCGTGCACCACAGGACAACATTTACGATGTCATCGTGATTGGAGCTGGATATGCCGGTCTCACTGCAGCCCGTGATCTAGCAAATATGAGTATGCTCTTGCTGATGGTTTCCACTCAAACTAAATTTTATTCAATTCATCTGACCCGAGAACTGCAGAACATCGTGTCCTAATGCTAGAGGGCCGAGACAGAATTGGAGGTAGAACTTTCAGTCTCGATATAGAAGGTAAAAATGTCCACAGATCTCCTCTCAGTATCGCTAATTTTGGTTACAGGCTTTAGATATGAAATGGGCGGTACTTGGGTGTCGCATTATCAGCCACATATTCTTGCCGAATTGAGAAGATACGGGCTTGAGAAGCGTCTGGTTGCTACTAGACAACATGGCTATCAATTTGATTACTATACACTCACTACCAAAGGTCAGCATTGACAAATTCAGTATTAAACCCGATCCTCACCGTACCTTTTACAGATCAACAAAAACAGATTACACATGAAGAAGCCGCTTCGATCTTTCAGAGCGCATGGAACAAATTCATCAACGTTGATGGACATTATTGCCGCAAAATATGCCCTCTTCCTTACCAACAAATGGGTAATCTCATGGTTTCTCGGAAAGAAGTGGAGAAATTTGACAAATTGTCGTGCCGGGACCGCTATAATCAAATCAAAGGCGAGCTCACAGCCGAAGAGTCTACCATGCTTCTTTCTCAGCTTCTAATGATATCGGGTGGTGACTTGGCAGAGTCAAGCCTATGGGATATGATCCGAGTACAAGCACTTGGTGGCCACAATATTGACAATTTTGAAGATATATGGCTCTTGTACAAACTGAAAGATGGTCAATCTCATTTAGCAAAGATGATATTTGACGACGCAGCTGAAAATGGTCTTGATTATCTCTTTCAAACACCAGTTGGACGCATTACAGACACCTCCCATCATCATGGAACTGTTGAAGTTGAAGTGGCTGATGGTCGCATTTTCTACGCACGCCGTGTCATCTGCACTGTACCCCTCAATGTTCTGAAAGATATTCAGTTCAGTCCTGCGTTGACTACAAAGCGCCAGGCGGCAATTAATCAAGGCCACATATGTTTCATGACCAAGATCCATGCAGAAGCCAATGGTTCTGGACTCGCCTCGTGGCAAGGCACTGCGTACCCTAATGACCTGCTCCTAGGGTTTGGTGATGGGGTCACTACCCAAGGAAACAGCCATATTACAGCTTTTGGAGGTAAAGAGCACACTCTCTTTAATCCAAATCCTGACCTGGGAAATATCCATAAAGCATTTCAAAGTCTTCATTCCATGGATATCCAGAGACTCGTAAGTCCTCTTGCTTCTTGCTTTTCTCTGACCTTCAAGGCTCATCTCAAGGTCTAACTTCTACGACACAGGTATTTCACGACTGGAACTCAGATCGATTTTCGCAAGGAGGGCCTTGTTGGTGGATACCTGGATTCATGACTCAGTATCAAGAAGAGTTACAAGCCCGTCATGGGAATGTATTTTTTGCTTCTGCTGACTGGGCTGATGGATGGCGTGCATTTATCGATGGGGCTCTGGAGCAAGGGTGGAAGGCTGCCCAAGAGGTGGCTAGAGAGCTACAGTCCATTAAGCCGCGAACCGCAAAAATTTAGCCGTGGCCCTCACAACTTGAATCAACTAGTTTTCCGATCCATCTACGTTTACTCCGAGAACCTTGAAATTGAGTCAAAACTAAATTGAAACTTCATTTTTTCAAACCTAGCAGCCTGTCACTAACATGGGCTAACTTAGAAGTAACATGGTATTTGCAAGGCTGCCCATCATATACATTGATTGATTGACTTATATTCAACGCTAGAAAACATCTCTTGTCACTTCATCCTTGCGAGTTCATACTTAAGTGGCAAAGGCAGTGGTAATGTAGAAGCTAACATCATCATTAAATGAGGCAGTGGCGTCAAAGACCTGTAGGCCACCATTGCTACCAGCGTAGAGGACATCGTCGTAGTGGCGGAAAAAGCGGGTAGGGTAGCTCCAAGATCGAAGTGTGCTGTCAGAAGTATCACCATTCAGGGCAGTCTCAGGGCAGAAAGTGGCGTCTTGGGCGAAAAGTGTTGTGCCATCATCCTCATTCAGCAGCAACACAAAGTTGTCGTGACGAATATAACTGCCGGGGGTGTCAACAGACTCAAATGAGAAGCAACCGGAGTATCCAAGACCCTCGACAACTGTCCAGCTAGCCTCCTCCTTGAGAGTAGTGCTGCTGGAAGATGTCACAACTTGAGTGTTGACAACAGTGCCAGTGTGGGCAATCCAGCGAGTTGTGTAGCCTGGAGTGGTGACCTGGAGCGAGACCACGTCACCGGCAGTGAGGGTCGGCCCGCTAGTCAGAGATGTGACAGCGTATTTAGCGGCAACAATATTGGCTTGGACAGAGTTTTCGGTGTCAGTGGAGGGGTAACCGGATGTCATGACTCCCTCGTAGAATGTTCCTTGAGCACCGTTGCTGTTATCACCACCAATACCGAGGATAATAGCACCCTCCTTTGACATAGTAGTGTATCCAGATGGACGCACACCACTGTAGTATGTCGTCAAAGATCCAGACGCGGCATTACCACCGCGTAGTGCCCATTTATCAGCCTCTCCCTTCACAATACCAGTGAAGAATCGGTAGGTAATTGAGGGATCCGCCGCATTCTCACCACTGTCGTAACCAGAGAACAGGTTGTTCTCCATATCGGCCATAAGCCAAGGTCCACTACCCTCACCATAGCCCCAGGAAGTTGAAGTGCCCAAGTAGACAGCCTCCATGTGGCCAGCACCTGTATCAGTGTTACTGGTTTCAGCGTTGCCGTAATCGAAGCAGCATGCATCATTGTAGTGGGTTCCGTCAAGAACTGCATACATGCCTTCCGACTCATCGCCTGTAGCCGTGCCGACGGCATCGTCGTTACGGTATCCACAACCCGGTGACATGAAAACACCGTACGCCTTCTGGCCATTCAGTGTGACTGGGGCACCGACAGCACTAGCCAGGTTGTCGTATCCATCCTCGTCTGGGCCATCAAAGCCACCGGGTGGTGCCTGAGTAAGATGGTTTCCATTGCCCGACTGATCATAGATGATCGAGATGAGGCAAGTTGTGAGAGAGCAGAAACTGTCTTGAGCGTCGGCATCTGCCACACCACCAGCAGAAAGTGGTGCGATATTGATGGTGGTATTGTCAGATCCACGCTTTACTTGGTAAAGAGACCCAGAGTAAGCAGCATATAAGGCGCGAGTCGTACTATGGGCGGCAACACAAGGAGTATCACCCTCGGCATAAATGTCGCAGGGTGCAGCATTGACGAGAGAGGCTGCAAGGCCTAGAGCAATCGCGCATGCGCGCTCAAAGCTGAATTGTGAAGGCATCTTATATCACTTTGGATCATGCAAGTGAATCAAGGCCTGTGTGCTAGAAAGTCACTATACGCAAGTCTATCTGGGTCAAGTCCATCCTTTTATATCCCTTGTCTCAGTTTCAAGGTTTCGGTATTTGAGGTCAGACTCTGATCTCGTATGCGTCATTCGAGTTGGGCAGTGAAGATTTTCCTCCAATGGGTCTAGATGGAGTACGACGGTTTTTTCGTCAAGCTTGAAATGTTTAGAAGCTCGGTTAATATTACAAGGTGAATAATTTAAGCGAGATACTTCTAAGGTTTCAAGTGGCTTGGTGCATACATTCGTCAGGGGATTAGGGAAAACTTTAGATCTTCCCCTGGAGTTAGAATTTTGGAAAATGCATATACTATATTTAAAATGGTAAAATAAGGGACTATCAGTATCTGATTTGACGGTGAAGACGAATTTACATGCACCCCTGATCTTCAAGCATAGGTAAGTAACGAGCATCATGATTTTCATCAAGCTCGAACTCTTGACTTTCCTACTGTGCCGAGTATGTCAAAAAGTGGGACATTCAAGTTATTTGGCCAAGATGTCCAGTGCTGAGTGCTGAATACCGACGGGCAGCGATTTAGTTCAAAATATGGATCCCTTTGTTCCACCTCTGATAATTGCAAAAAGTAGTTCTATGCGCGTCACGGGGGGGTCTGTTCATGCATCAGCATCGGTGGACGACTCCATTTTGAGTGATGATCCAGTATGTTTTGAATGTACCCCGCATAAGCTTGCAGGATGTGCCACCGGGGTTTTTCCCATTCTCCCTCGATCTGAGAGAATGAACTGAGGCAAGTGATGTGCCTCGGCGGTGTTCAGGACTGGAGGCTATGCTCGAAGGAGACAAGTGTTCTCAGTGTAGGATTTGTGGCGCCTGAACAAGGTGAAATCCAGGGGCCTTCCCATGTTTGGGAGTGCGGGGCCCCGGAGGAGAAGTTGACAAAGTGGATAGATTGGGCTATGGGCTGCGGGTAAGAAATCTTCACGAAATCTTCATGATCCTTCATGTGATGTTTGGGATGTTTGGGATGTTTGTGGCGCGGGGGCCGGAAATCTCCTCTCCGAACCCCGCAGACAACATGATACACATCATAACATGTGCATGTAGTGATCTTATATTTCCCTTGAATGCCATATGACATTTCCTTGATATCTTTTTTAGTTATTCAGCTGATCTCATTCATAGAAAATTCAAGTTTATGTGGTCACAATATTTGCATAATTGAGTCTTGTAAAGACGGCTGGGTAGTGAACAGCACAGACCTCCAGGCTGTGTATAATCCACTCTTTTGGGAGTTTAACGTGAACCCTGCATCATATTGGGTTGGATTCTGATTCTAAGCCTTTCTTGGCTCAATTTTCTTGACAACTTCCAGTCACGCTGCTCGCTGTTGGTTTTATCTTAGTCTAGTATTGTCTGTTGCTGTACTACTAGCGATCCATCTGGTTCTTAAACTAGTCGATTTCTATATCCCAAATTCCTCATTATTATTATTATAGTGTGCAGTTTTCACCTATATTCAATTTTTGTGTCAAAGAATTAAGGGAAAGCCTACCTTTATACTCCTGAATTATCCTGAGAATTATCTTTGGCCTTCTGTCTTGACTCGTTTTAATCCAAATTTCTAATTTCGTCCTATTATTTCAATTTTATTCCTGTACTGGAGTGTTTGTGTAGTTTAGCCCTATATCCATGCAACAGTACTGTAGGTAAAATGCAGACATATGAACAACGATTAATTAGTAGCACTAGTATACAGATGAAGCTATGCTCAATACAATGAGCACCATACCCAAAGCCGCCGTGTATCTATCATTATTTTTAGACGAATTGAGCGTATTGGCGACAGAAATTCACGAGCCTTTTTAGAACTCAGCATACTGGAGTCTCGAGGAAGCGGAGTGTCCAAGTATTCCAACATACCCTATAGCCTTGGAAGTTAAGGACATTCAATTAAGCAGCCCCGTGATGCTTTAGCCCCGTGGTACCTTGATAATTGTCCAATAAATGTAGCTCTGATGGAGGCCCATGCCCAAGTGCTGGGTGGCTGGTGAGCCCTGCATTAGTGCACAGTATACACCAATACGAAGAGAAGTACATCATCCGTGGAGATCTCATTGGGTGTCATGACAATCAATTCATGCACATGTGACATTCAATTTCAGCTTCCAGGAACTAACTCATCAACGGGTAGTCGATTCTCCATAATGTCATTAGCGTTCAAAAATTCTGTGCTATCAATCCTGTGTTTTGCTGCCCCCACGTCGGGCACAATACCAGATGCGACATGACGCTTAATCAACCTCTCCCGAGCAATATCACGATCAACATCGATGAACCATGACTCATCCATGAGAGCAGCAGCCAGACTCCACGGCTCCCGGTTAAGCGGCAGATAAAGACCCTCAAAAATAACAATCTTGGATGCAGGTAAGATAGGAATATCATCCGCAACGGGGTCTTTGATCGCATGATCGAAAGACAGTGCATATACAGCGACAGAATCAGCAGTCAAAGGCTCTCGAAGAGATTTGACAAGTCGGTAAAATCCCTCGGCATCAAAAGTGAAAGCTGCGCCCCGGCGATGAATAGCAGTTGCTGGATCATGCATTGCTGCTAGCTGTGCTCTTGATAAATGATACCCGTCCATAGGGATGCATACTGCAAACTGGCCATCAGAACCCTCCAACTCGTTCAGACGAGCGGCGACGGCTTCACCCAGGGTGCTTTTTCCGGAGCCAGGGATCCCCGACACACCAATCAGGATTCTGGATGTGGCATCCTTGGTTTTGTTCAGGGCTGTAGAACGGTGAGGATCTTTTCTCTGACTTTCTACTCTCTTGGTTTCGTCTTACCTTGAATCTTCAGTGCCAATCGATCGATATGGTTGACGTTTTTGGTGGTTGTTGCGATCATTCTGATCAAACTTCAGGGATTCAATAATGAATAATGAAATGAAATCCTTCAAATGGCCTTATAACTCCTCAGTTCAATTTATCACAAATTCCAAGGTTGTTGCATGGTCGTAGTAAGCCGGCGGAAGCGGGAACCCGCCACCTGGGCAGGCCATTCAGCGTACTTTAGAGTGGAGCAACCCTTCCAAGGTTGTGGAGGCCCAGGCGTCGGGTTTGGCGGAACGGCGGAGAGATAGCTCCCAAAAATCACTTGGTTTATTGATTTGTTAAAATGATTACGAGTATTAGAACCTACAAGCAACGGGTATGATATTTGCTATAAGGTGATTTTTGGGGTAGCAACCTTGGAAGGAGTACACAATAGCTGACACAACCCGACCTCGAAAGAGATTCAAGTTATCTTTACATATGACCATGGCTAAGATTATTTTTCGAACAACGCGGATTGTTACTAGTATTTTCATGACCCTAAGACTAAGACTATTTTGGTGTTCTAGAGAAAAAAAGGCTCTATCAATCTACCAAGAGCAGTGTCCCCCATCCACCCGTAGATCAGCACCAGTCATGAAACTACTCCCATCTCCAAGCATATAAAGTACAGGAGCACGGAATTCGTCCACAGTGCTGAGGCGATAAAGCATATTATCACCAACCCACTGAGACTCCATTCCAGGCTTTTGAAGTGCCTCTGCAGTTGCAGCAGTACGGATATAGCCAGGCGAAAGGGAGTTAACTCGAATGAGCGGCATTCCAGTGCGAGATCCCCATTCAGCCGCCAAAGAGCGCGTGAGCTGATGAATAGCAGCCTTGGAAGCGTTGTATCCGGCCGTATCGACACCCTTGTTGGAGACGTATCCGCTCATACTAGCCACCAGCACCATACTTCCAGTCGTATTTGCCTTTAGCAACTCGTTTGCAACTGCCTGTGTGATGAGGAAAGTGCCTGTCACGTTGATATCTAACACGCGTCGAAATGAAGAGACGGGGAATTGAGTGGCTGGTCCGTTTCGCGAGAGACCAGCACATGAGACTAGACCCTTGAGAGGGCATCGCAGCGTTGGCATGAATTTAGCGAATGCGGCCGTGACAGCATTTTCGTCTGTGATATCGAGAGGATAGTATGAGAGTTGGCGCTCATACTTCTTCGCTGCGGCTTCCACTTCATATACGCCAATCTCTCTGTTTAATTTATTGGACTCGATTTTGAGGAAGATTCATAACAGGACTAACCCCAATTTTTAGCTGTGGGAGACGGGTAAGATCGAGAGCGATCACATCGGCACCGCTCTCAAAGATTGCAATTGCGAGTGTTGTACCCAGGAATCCGTTCGCTCCAGTGAAGTGATATTCTAAATGTCAGTTGTAAGTAAACATGTTTTGCAGTCATCAAGATTCCTTACTTATGATTGACCGATTGTCAAGACGGAACAAATCCGCTACTGGCTTTGCGGGATCACCTTGCGAGGACTTTGTCTCGCGACATTCAAGCGCATGAACATTGCCGTCGCTTCGTTGATTCATCGTGGAATTTTCGTGTCGCTTCAAATGGTTTGAAAGAAATTGAATGGCTTCGCGACTTATGAGCTCTCAAATTTTTATGAGGGGGCGTCATCTTTAAGGTGATCATGGGGTAGCTGATGCCATCATACAGCATCCCACATCGACCCTCTGAGACCCCGCATAGGAACTTCATGCTGTAATTCAATCGGGCCGCCCGTCCGCGTCGTCACGGGATCGATCAAAACTTGCAAGGTTGAGGAGGTGTTGTGGTGAACTTGGCGGCGGAAGTATAGGCGGGAGTCAGCGTCATGCTAGGACTTGAAATTATTCAGACGCATTTCTCCTAGTAGTTGTAGATACACACATGGGCAGTCACAATTAATGACTACTAGTAATGGTGGCACTTGAGCTGTGACCTCTCAATCCCCTGAAAGATATTCACCACCCCTAACTTTCTTATTCAGCTTTCAGCCTATTGATGAAGCCCCATCCTATGTCAACTCTCTTTTGAGGCAGGATTCCTTTAAGCTAATAAGTGAAAAACCTTCTTATAGGCAGTACTTAGGTTTCCCCTATTGGGGGCAGGCCGTCTATTATAATACTTCTTATCTGGTCTCGGTGTTACTCCGAGAGCTATGGAGCTAATCATCTGTTCCATTAATGGGGTGAACGCGGTTTTTTGACTTCATGGCGTCTGACAAAAGAGTAAAAAATAGAAAATGAGTCCAGCTGTCTACGAGAAGAATCGGTCAATCAAGAGACCAAGGTTCAATCAATATTTTTAACAGGCAATAGAAGTTTGGTCATGCGTGTCAATTATCAACATTTGAAACTAGTTCTCTCTCTTTCTATTTTTTCTATCAATGTTCTATAGTCTATCCAACTTATACAATCTGAGGAAATGCCCGTCGAATAGGGGAGATCACAGTCTGCTTCTTGACTGTAGATGTTCCTCCGTAAAATGAGATGGTTGCAAGGGCTCGTTTGGAAATTCCCTCCGGTGTCAACTCAAACATCTTGAACAACTCATCAGGAGGAGCCGAAGCTCCAAATCGGTTAATACCAAACTGTTGGTGAGAATAGCGCTCCCAGCCAACAGTAGACGCAGCCTCAACCGAAAGAATAGGGACATCGTCAGGAAGTACCTGGAGACGGTAGGATTCATCCTGCTGATCAAATACTTCAAAACAAGGGATCGATACCACTCGAGCTGGCACGCCTTGTTTCTCCAGATGAGAAACAGCTTGAAGACAAACTCCAACCTCGGATCCAGTGGAAACAAGAGTTATGGCAGCATTTTGCGATTCACGAACATAGCCACCCATGATTGCTTTTTGGATTGAGGATCCCTCGAGCTGTGGTAGATTTTGACGAGTAAGGGCAAGAATGCTGGGTGTTCCCTTGGTCTGGAGCGCGACGAGGTACGCAGCATTTGTTTCATTCCCATCCGCAGGGCGCCAAACCATGCAATTTGGCAGAGCACGGAAGTGACTAAGAACTTCAATGGGTTGATGGGTTGGACCGTCTTGGCCAAGTGCAATAGAATCATGAGTGGCGATGTGAATCACTTGTAGCTTACTGAGCGCTGCAAGGCGAATAGCAGGCGCACTGTAAGACACGAAATTGAGAAACCCGCCACTCAGTGGAATTACCATTCCATATGCTGCTAGGCCGTTCATAATAGCAGCCATGGCATATTCATGGACTCCATAGCGAAGGAACCGACCAGACCAGTCTCCGATACCGTATTGAGGTGGTTGGAAATCGACGGCATTTTTCCAGCGTGTGTTGTTGGAACTTGTGAGGTCTGCAGACCCCGACAAAAGCTCTGGAACACTACCGTGTATTTTCTCCAGGACTGTCTCCGAGAGCTTTCTAGAGGCAATTGCTGCATCTTGGGCTGTGTAAATTGGAAGCTGAGCCTCAAGATCGTCTATAAGTCGGCCTTCAAATCGTCGAATAAACTCGGTATGCTCTGCTGGGTATTCCTTGGCATATCTCTTCAGCTGCTCGTTCCACTCATTTTCTTTGCTTTTGTCATCGTTTGCATGCTGTCCGTAATAGTCATAGACTTGTTGTGGAACCGCAAATGTCTGACTAGGATCGAATCCAAATCGTTTCTTCACTTCTTGAACATCATCCGGTTTGAGTGGATTTCCGTGAACACTGCTCGTTCCCTGAAGCTGAGATCCCAGTCCAATGGTGGTGGCTACCTTTATCATCGATGGTCTATCGGTGACAGCAATACAGTCAGCAATTGCTTTCTCGATCGCGACCAGATCGTTGTCTCCATCGGCCACAACTTCAACGTGCCATCCGTATGCCTCGAACCGCTTTTGCACATCCTCGGTAAATGTACATTTTATGTCGCCATCTAATTTATCATACCAATGAGTCAGTTATCACACACTCATGCTTTCATTCTCCTTGTACTTACCAATGGAAATTTTGTTGTCGTCATAAATGCAGATCAGATTCTGGAGTTTCAAGTGTCCTGCAAGCGAAGCTGCCTCGCTGGCGATTCCTTCCATGGCGCAACCATCACCGAAGAAGCAAAAAGTGCGATTGGTGATCAAGTCGAATCCAGGTTTATTGAAAACACTTGCCAGATGCGCTTGGGCGATTGCGAGACCCACAGCATTAGCAAATCCCTGGCCCAGGGGACCTGTTGTGACTTCAATGCCGGGGGTTTCGTGCGACTCTGGGTGTCCTGGCGTCTTGCTATGAAGTTGCTATCTCTCAGTCAGCATCTTAAATAAACCCAGGTCTTCTGTATGCCATACTCGAAAATTCTTGAGATCGTCGATGCTCAGATCATATCCATACAGATGGAGGAGTGCATACTGAAGCATACAGCCATGGCCATTCCTATATGAACCTGTTAACAAAGTTCTCAAGGCGACTTGTTAGCTCACTTACGAAAGCACAAAGCGGTCTCTGTTAGCCCAGTTAGGATTCTGGGGGTTGAATGACATGAATTTGTTGAAAAGGACGTGAGCTGCAGGTGCCATGCCCATCGGGGCTCCTGGGTGACCTGAGTTTGCTTTGCAGCTTGCATCGATGGCGAGGGTGCGAATTGTGTTGATCGCAAGACGATCGACTTCCGAAAACACCATGACTTAATCCTTATCCTGGTCTCTGAAAAAATTGTTAAGGTGTTTTAGCGGTTATCAAACACAGGTTCTGGGCAATCTTCAAGTATATCTACTATTATACATGCTACCAAGTCTTATCAGGCTCCTATACAACCATTGGCACCGTCTCCACATCTTCATAGCCAGTCTAACGCAGGAACCGGCAATAGTCCGAGGATTGAATACAAAATACATACTGAGAATATTTTGATACTATACAGCGGTGACACGGCCCGAGGCGGCAATCCCGCACTTTGGACTTATGTTCTTGGGGCTGGAGAGGCGGGATGCGGCCCGCCGGTAGACATAGAGATGTTCGAGTTGTGACTTCAGTGCAACACTCTTGCGACTACGAGAAGTGCATGGAGAGGTAAATCGAGGGATCCATATCAATTCAGCCCGATGACGTGGTTTGAATAAAGAAACAACTAGTTATAAATGGCAATGGTTCATCAAGGAATTCTGATTGTTACTCAATTATCTTTTTTTTTGTTATACAAAAGGTGAAATATCAAAATGACTGTCTCTACTGTTCGATCCCTTGAGGGAAAGTTTGCCATTGTCACTGGTGGATCACGAGGTAAGCAACTCACCCTTTACTATAACACAACAAAATTCTCACGGCTAATAACATATTCGAAAAGGAATTGGTGCTGCTATTGCCCGCGATCTCGCATCCAAGGGCTGCTCTGTCCTTGCTACCTATACCTCTGATTCGTCGACAAAGCCTACCGAAGAGCTCTGCGCGGAGCTTGTCGCGCAACACGGCATCAAGGCCCACGGAGTCAAGGCAGACTTACAGTTGGAGGAGGCTGGGCCCGCTATCATTAAGGCTGCCCAGGAGCGCTTCAGCGAGAACGGCAAACTGGTCATCGATATCCTAGTCAACAATGCCGGTGTGGGAAGCGACTATCCTCTTGGAAAGGTTCCCGTATCCGAATTTCACCGTATCTACGCCGTAAACGTCCTCGCACCTATTCTCGTCACCCAGGCCGCGCTGCCTTACCTCCCTCATGACCGCTCCGGTCGAATCATCAATATCAGCAGCGTTGCTTCCAGCATAGGTTTTGCCACGCATACTCTCTTCGGAGGTACCAAGGCTGCACTGGAAGCAATGACCCGTACTTGGGCTCGGGAGCTTGCTGAGCGTGCGACTGTGAATGCTGTCAACCCGGGTCCTGTTGAGGGTGGTATGTATTTTGCTACTGGTGAGAAGTTCTGGAAACAGATGGAGCCTTTCCAGTTGAACTGCCTACTATCTGCGGTCCGAGAGGGTGTCGATGACCCTTCGCTGGTTAAGTTGGCAGTCGAGGAGATGGGCGGTCGGCGCCCTGCTTACTGGAAGGAAATCGCGACTGTTGTCGGTATGCTGTGTGGATCTGATTCTGCTTGGACAACTGGGAGTTTTATTTCTTGCAATGGCGGTTTCAAGTTCCAGACCTAAGGATGGCTGCAGTTTGAGTCGGAAACCCTCCAGGGGTTATGAATTTATTTAACGATGAAAATTCAAAGAATTTATCTAGTATATCCAAATACCGCCTCCTTTAAGAGTTTTCAATTGATCGGAAGTTTCAAGACTCAAGTGTAGGTTATGGATTGGATTGTAACTAATAGTAGTGGTGGTTTAGTGCCACTGGCAGTATGCACAAGCATATATACCCGAGCCCAACATGGAACACCGTGACTTCAAAACCTTGGAATTCTAAGGTTGATATTGAGTGGTTAAGCCAGGGTAAGATCTATGAGAAATGAACTTGAAATTGATTCTGTATCATCATGATATGAGTCATATCAATCAATGCTTGATGTTTGATGTGTTCAAGTTGCACAAAACGGTCAAACAAATATTGATGAAGATGGGTAGATCTGCCAAGGGATCATAGATTCAAAAGTTGCCAAACCGACATCAACCACCCCAAGTGGTCGAGTGGAACTCGATCATCTCATCTTCCTTGGTCTAGTGGTCATGATTTCCGCTTGTCATTAACACCGATAAGCGCGGGAGACCGGGGTTCGATTCCCCGAGGGAGAGTTTCTTTTTGCATCTTTTATTTTTCTTTTTGAAAATATTATTTTGTTACCATTCCAAGAATTACTTCAATCATCTTATGCAAAGCAACATTGTTATACCCAAGTGCTTAAAATTTCATCACTATTAGAGACTGTCCAACGTGGACAACAAACCCTTCGCTCAGCATCTTGAGAAATCGAAACACACTTCTTCTCACTCAATACTAGGATCTTCATCCTCGTTCTCATCGAAAAGTCCTTCATCACACACCCTGACAAATATCTCGCGCATATTAACAAGATTCGCCACCAGTATCTCCACTTCGAAACTACATCTTGACTAATATCCAATTATCACGCCACACAATTGACCAACGCATGCTCCATATCGATTGAACCATGATGGCGACCTCTTTCCATTAACCAGGCAAAAGTATGCTGAGAATCTATTGTTGCAATTTCAACATCATTATCGGTGATGACACAGGTTGTTTCTGCAGACAGCTGACCAGTGAGTTGTGCCGAAGTAACTAGGTTTGGGCCACCTCCTCCTGGTCTTGTGTGTGAGAGGGTATGGATACGATGAAACTCATGGTCGGCAGGAACATGGACCTCGAAATTGTGGCCGCTCTTCTCGTTTGCGAAGGTGATTGTCACTGAATGAGGACGCTTATGCCCGGCATGAGGGATGGTTGCAGCACCTGCCAGAGCACAGAAGGCGAGTAAGGCTTTCATTTTTAATTGGCTTCAAGGAGGTGAAAACTGAAATTTTTTCTGATTTGATTCTGATTGATCAAGGTATGGGGACTTGGGAATGTGTATTCTTATATCTCAATACTCGCTTGCCTCTGTTGTCCATTGATGTGGACAGTATATTTGACCTTCTCAGACCTCTGATCCTTCCTATTTTTGGCGTGTCTGATGAGCTAGGATACAATATTCCAAGTCAATCCTACTGGGCAAGACCGTGTGAGAAGAATTTTGATGAGAGCAATGTCTCAGACATCTGGAAGAAGCTATGTGCCTCCTTAGGCTGAACAACAATGCCTCAGGTCCGTATACCCGGGATTCTGACACCCCACCAAGGATTTGATACAGCCGGGATAATTGGAGGCTATGTGGAGGCGATTAAACATTTGATATAGTTCCGTGCGGCTCTGAGAGTGATTACATGCATAAATCCACCTCAGCCATAGCGACAAACTCATACATAGATGGCGATTGTCTTCCGGTGGTGCTCAAATGTCAAATCGCGGGGTAAATAATCCCCATCTCGCCCAATGACCTGGATTTTGTTATCGACACGAAAAATTTCGATCTTGTCTTGTCACACTGCCAGAACTGGTTCAGTCGACGCTTCCGTCACCGGCAATTGAGCATCTGTCTGGTCCAAGCAGGGATTCCAGATTTCTTCAAGACCTCCACCTGACTTCCTGGCTAAATAACGAGTTTCTATATTAACACTAGGTAGGACTGGAATTCAAGTGTTCCTTTTCATCGGATTCGCTGGAAGTCAGACTACACAAAACGAAGTTGACTGATGCGTTAATCCTAATCTGCTATCATCAGTGGACACTGTTGTGAAACATCCACTCGGTAATATACGGAGAGTCAAACACTGAGCCGTTGCAAACGTGTTATTATATATCATAGCGGAGATTCAGCCGTTAAATTCTCGTTTGGATACTGGCCGAGGTTGTGTAGTGACACTTGTTGGGGTACATTCTGCTGGTTTCGGGACTCGGACGCGTTTGGTATATTTATTCGCCACAGAATCTATTCGCATATCATTGATGCTTGATGATAGGCGCCTGAACATTCTGGGGTTGACTTAAATTCCAATAAGGTTCATATGGACTACCACCAGTAACACCGAAGATCCTGTCTTCCTCCTTCCAAGGCTCTGATTCCTTCTGCAAGATCATCAGCCACCTGGGCAAGTAGTTGATTGAACTATGAAGTTGAAGTGATATTTTCAATCAGCTTCCTAGATGATTGCCATCTAGTAGCCTGGAAAACTTCAGTTTCGGATTCCTTCTCACCGGGTGCGTGGATTAAGAGCTTCAAAGATTGATACAGAAAATTATCTACAGGCAGGCTCATAATATTAGTGGAAGCAGAAACTGCCTGAGAAACACTTCAAACATTTGTTCTGACTCGGAGTAATGACACGACCAGGTATGTGCAATGCTCAATGGGCTATATGATATTACAGATCCCAGAACGAACGTGAATCAACCAGCACCGGGCACGCTCCATGCATAAACGTCATTGAATTAAATCCTAAACAACTCTCAAAAAAGTACAACAAACCTTGACGTGAGAGGCTGACCGCAGATGCAAGGACAACAAGATGCTTACCTTAGGCATAATACCGATACTCATGCAAGTCCCCGTGGAATGGATACTCTTCCGATCACGTCGATCCTATCAGGAAAGGTACTTGGGCGGAGCCCTTGGTCCCTGGATCGACAAGCTTCCGTCCCAGCATACGGAGGCTTGGGCACTGAGCCGATCGCAACCTCCATTCCGATGTAGATCTGTCACCCTTACTGGTCTGGTCTCATTTTCATATCACCAATTGTCTTGATGTGATGGCCTGTGTCTGTGCGTTGTTGATGCAGGGACTGGTTTATGAGATGTGTGATGTGATCAGTGGCTTACGGTCTCAGAATATGTGTCTCTGCATGATCGAACGTGGGCATCTGGAGGGTCACTGATATAGAGTATCAAACAAAGGGCTGTGAAGCTGGTTACGGATGTCTATCATTCTCGGGAGAGGCAGGAAGAAGGACCAGAAAGTACTAGTATGGTTTCCTGGTGGACCATGACGATATTCATCTGAAGATGGTACTATGAGGACCTCCTGAGGTTGTGTGTATTATGAATGGGAAACATGAATGTGAAATGTTTAAATATTTGCATGTTGCCTGATCGCTCTCCATGAAATCACATACCGCTTGCATCTCTACCATGACCATTCAAATATTACTGTCTATCGCACCAGGACGAGACCACGACCAACTTTGTAATGTTGGGATGAAAAGTTAGGAAAGTAAATATTTCCTTTTTTATCAGAAAAATAGCAGGGTTGTCTTATAAGGAACCCAAGGAGATAGGTGCCAGTGACTTCTACGGTTTTTGGTAGAATCAGATAGCCGTGTTAAAATCAGGTGAATAGGCGGCACGCATAATCACCCCCCTGATTAATTACCCAAGCGAATATTACAAGAAACTCCACAGATCAAACACGAGGTTTGCTACTCGTGGGGATTATCAGATGCCTCAATACCTTACTCAATTTAAAATCAGGGCCTGGCTTGAAGATTCAGGGAATTCAAAGATATTAGCCAAGTTTTTTCTCGGCACATTCAGGGGTTCTAGAGGTTCTAGCGTGCTGGGGTTCGGAATTTCTACTCCGGCACAACTAATCCTCCGTACGCAAGGTAATTATTAATATTAATCTTACAGGGAAAATTGAAGAAGATGACAAAGTGGCGCTTTGAAAGTGGCATTTGACATCCAAGCCACCCAATTATGATTGGAAAAATTCAAGTCGGAAATTGTGGAAGATCAGCTTCCACGCTGACCAGCCACAGTTAAGCCCAATGAGGGCAAGGGAGATCGGATGTGCCCAGGTATTGAAAAGGAGGCGGGTCATTACAATAAACTTGCAACGCTAGGTGAGTCCACCGATGAGTGATCGCTGACTAGACCCTTTGCGTGTCCCCTGGACAGGTTATTTTTGGATTTTGTGAACCCCAGCCGAAGAAATTCGTAAATCTTAGTTTATATTATGGGGGAGAAAAGAATAGGATGTCTCCATAAACTATGAATGTAGCTCCGGGGTTTAGGAAGGCCCCGGAAGTGTACAACGGAGTTGTACAAATTCAGGGGGATGTGGGAGCCCTATCACGAACAATCAGGCTGAGAGAAAGTGGGTGATCAGCTCCGTCTTCCTGCATTTGATGTATCGTTCCTGCGTATGTAATCCTTCGAAGAGGCGTCTTTGCGACCGGGGGGATGTGCACCGACAACACCGACAGCGTTGGTTGAACTCTGATTCTATGTAAAAAAACTGGAAGGCGAATATGATGATTATTTTAGACACAGATCTGCGAGTTCGATGCACCATCCGTATCGAACGATCTCTCAACTCGGAGATAGCGCTTCATGCAGAGGATTCGCAGGCCGTTGCGTACGCAGCAGCCTCGACCGCCGGCTAGACCGGGGTGGTCCCCCCGAGGCTCCAAATCATAGAATAAAAGCATTGCATGATCCACTTGGGAAGTGGAACAGGGCCAGTTGACGCAAAAGGCTGGAACCAATGGTGGGGATTGCCTGCGACGCTTCAATACGGGCGTTACTAGTCGCTTGTACAGCCCTTAGTGTTTCATACAGCGCGAACTGCACGGGTGGAGATCAATACAGGTCGAATAGATTGTGTGAAATCAGATTTGAATCCATGGATTTGAAAATATCCAACACATTCAAAGGTTTGAATTTTAGGATGAATAGAATTTGACATCTGGGACATGATCGGATTAAAAGGTTCCAAATTTAGAGTAAAACCCATCACTCGAGGGAATGGTGCCGGATACATATCCAAATCATGTCTGAGCTTATGTGGTGTGTGTACTGAACTTTTGAAGTCCGAGCCCTCGAGACATGTGCATGCGCAAGTCTTACATGGAAACCTTGGAATAGCACATTCAAGTTCAAGTACATAGTACCTAGGTATTCAAATGTTCAAATGTTAGAACGATTTTGTTGAGGATTCCAACTTGAAGATTTGAGTACCTAGGTACTGCCAGTGGGATGTGTACAGTACCATGGTTCAAGTTTATATCTGCACATAGTACCTACCGGGTACATGTATAGTAGTGCGATGTAAATATTTATAGTAGCTATATCTCATCTAATGTTTTAACATTTTAACCACGAGAACCTTAAAGTTCGGGATTAGGATATCAGAATCGGAGTGATCGATTCATAGTATATACATATTCATTCCCCGGGGATAGTATACCTATAAACAGGCGACTGTAAATATTGATATTTACTGGGGCAGTGTACAGACTTCAGTACTACTAGTACCTAGTAAGTTGATTAACCATATACTACAAGTCCAAGTGGTCCCTATCACTATTTCATACTATCTCTGTATAATATATACTATCGGTTGCCTGCACAAAGCAAAACCAAGCATGAGATCAAGATCAAACCGGTTTTTGGATACTATACAAAAGTGGAGAGTCGTGTACGTACCAGGGCTTATTATAGGACCGCGCTGTTCTGAGTCTGGGATAGCGCACCGGTAGAAAGTCAAACCATGCAATTCTGTACATTTTGAGACGCGTGTGTGTATCGAAGTGGCAAATCGAATCAAATTGAGTTTGTAAGCGGGTAAGAATTCAGTCCCTGAGCGATCCCTTTGGCCCAAAAAAGCCCAACGACGATCAACGGAGTTTCTAGAATTTTTTTTTCTCTTAAATCTAATTGACGTGTAATTAGGTTCCAGAATGGCTGATTACAGAAAAAAGAGGGTGAGGGAGTGATATTGTGTGTGGATGTGGGTTTCTTATCGCTTGGGAGCCATGGATCCCTAATATGGACGCGAGTCTTTGACCAAGTTGACAAGTTATGCACCAATAATTTCAATTTCTTTTTTCTTCTGCGATAATCATGCAGCTCATGGCAAAAGATACCAGTGGGACATAGAAACGGGAGGAATGAAAAACAAAAACCTGCGCGTGCAACACTATCCCTGCATGCCGGGTGGTAACAATAACAAGGCACCAACAAATCAGCGACTTTGATGAGTGTAGGCATCGTATTCAAAGGTTGGTATTTCGGAAAGATAATACCCACTCTGACCAAATTATTTCCGATTATTTGTTACCAATTTTTCTTACTATGAGGGTACAGGTGGAGACAAGTCTCAGGGGCCGTCGCATTTCCCTTGGAATCCGAGCTGTTCTATTCAAAATGATTGGATAGACAATGAAGTTCTTTGTATGTAGTGATTGGTTCAGATTCTCTTCCAAGGTTGTATATTAATTCCTTTTTTTGATCTGTTTGTAATTTATGGTAATATAGGTACAGGTATAATAAAAACAAGGTGGGACAACAACGGTATCATGAACCAGACTGGATCCCCTGAAGAGAGGGAGAGAGTGATTGTTAATGTAGTGGGGTACTCAACTAGAATAGGGGTGACCCATACTTAACAGAAGTACCTATTTACCCACGGTGAACATACGTGTACCTGTAAACTGTTACAGTGACCGTAAATTAGCCAACTCGCTCTTTCCCTTTCCCTGCCCCCTCTCAAACCCCAAAAATAACAGTAACTGGATCTTCCCTTCCCTTTCCTTCTAACCTTCCCTTCCCTTCGTTTTTCCATCTTTCTTCATTTCCCTGTTGACTTTCGTTTTCAAGGAAGGAATCGGGAGTTTTTGGATTTCCCAGCTCCTGCCCATTGGGAATTTTTCTTTTTCTTTTTTTGGCTTTACTCGTTTACCAGTCCATTCGTTCAAGAAAAAAAAATTCCCGAATTTGACATTCGGTTGACATTTGCTCGGCATCCCCTTCAACCAACGCCCTTACGTTTAACTCATTCTTTCCCGTGCCGATGCGGCAATAATCTTGGAATACCGACTTATCAACAATTAATACGGTGTATGGGTCGTTGTTGAGGTGAGATTTTGAAGATCAATCGGGGTTGACACGTTTCGGGATCGTGTAGAATGGGTGATCCGAAATAAGGACCGGGAATTACAATATTAACCTATCCATCTTTCAGACTATCAATAAGTGATCGACCACGACTCCTCCATCATGTCTGGCTACGCAGCAGGGGGCCAATACGATGATGGCTACGGCCACGCGGCTCATGGCGACTCCTATTATCAGGATGAGCATGCCCAGGGCGGATACTATGACAATCAAGAATATGGTGATGGATACTACGACCGAGGGTATGTCAATCAAATACACGAACAGGAAGAGAGAGATCAGTCGGGGATAAAGGAGCTGACTTGTGATGGAATAGTACCTACCAAGAGGGTGGTGCCCAACACCCACAACAACCAGCGGCTGGTTACGCCGAAGGTGGATACTACGAAGGTGGTGGCAACCACGACGAGTACTACGGCGACCAGTACTATGACCAAGCTCAGTACGATCAGGGTCATGAGCAGGGCCATGAACAGGGCCGTGGCCGTCGGGGTGACTCCGAGGAGGACTCCGAAACCTTCAGTGATTTCACCATGAGATCCGAGACTGCCCGTGCTGCGGACATGGATTACTACGGTCGTGGTGATGAGCGATACAACAGTTACGCTGATAGCCAGTACGGTCGTGGTGGATACGGTGGCTACCGTCCCCCATCCTCTCAGGTTTCGTATGGCGGCAATCGCTCATCCGGGGCCTCGACCCCTGTCTACGGTATGGATTACGGAAACGCGTTGCCGGCTGGCCAGCGTTCGCGAGAGCCTTACCCAGCCTGGACTTCCGACGCCCAGATTCCTCTCTCTAAGGAGGAGCTGGAAGACATCTTCCTAGACTTGGTCAACAAATTCGGTTTCCAGCGTGACAGTATGCGTAACATGTACGACCATATGATGACCCTGCTCGACTCGCGTGCGTCTCGTATGACCCCCAACCAAGCTCTTCTGTCATTACACGCCGACTACATCGGTGGACACAACGCCAACTACCGCCGATGGTACTTTGCGGCTCACCTGGATCTCGACGACGCTGTTGGCTTCGCGAACATGAAGCTCGGCAAGGCTGACCGAAAGACCCGGAAAGCTCGCAAGGCTGCTCAGAAGGCTGCAAAGGAGAACCCCGAGAATGAGGAGGAGGTCCTCGAGGCTCTGGAAGGTGACAACAGTCTGGAGGCCGCGGAATACCGCTGGAAATCGCGTATGAACCGCATGTCTCAGCATGACCGCGCCCGTCAGATCGCTCTCTACCTTTTGATCTGGGGTGAAGCGAACCAGGTTCGATTCTTACCTGAGTGCATCTGTTTCATCTTCAAGTGTGCCGATGACTACTACTCATCACCTGAATGTCAGGCTCGAGTTGAGCCCGTTGAGGAGTTTACCTACCTTAACGACATCGTTACTCCGCTGTATCAGTACTGTCGTGACCAGGGATATGAAATCCTGGATGGCAAGTACGTGCGTCGCGAGCGAGACCACGCTCAGATCATTGGTTATGATGACATGAATCAATTGTTCTGGTACCCAGAGGGTATTGAGCGCATTGGTTTCGAAGACAAGACTCGCCTGGTCGACTGCCCTCCAGCTGAGCGTTGGCCTAAGTTGAAGGACGTCGTCTGGAGCAAGGCTTTCTTCAAGACTTACAAGGAGACCCGTTCCTGGTTCCACATGGTCACCAACTTCAACCGTATCTGGGTTATCCACTTGTGTACTTTCTGGATGTTCACAGCCTACAATGCTCCAACTCTCTACACCAAGCACTTTACCCAACAAGCAGACAACAAGCCCACTACAGCGAGGTACTTGGCGGCTGTTGGCTTTGGTGGTGCGGTCGGTGCTGCTATTCAAGTTTTCGCCACCATTTGCGAGTGGCTCTATGTTCCTCGACGCTGGGCGGGTGCTCAGCATCTGCGTAAGCGTTTCATGTTCCTTTTGGCTGTCTTGGTTGTGAACTTGGTTCCCGGTGTCATTGTTTTTGGTTTCATCGACAAGTTCGGCAGCGCTTCAAAGACCGTTGGTTTGATTCTTGGAATTGTTTCCTTCGTCATTGCGCTGTTCACAGTTGCTTTCTTCGCCGTTCAACCTCTTGGTGCTCTCTTCGGCAGCTATCTGAACAAGAAGGGTCGCAAGTATGTGGCCAGTCAGACTTTCACGGCTAGTTTCCCTCATCTGAAAGGAAATGACATGTGGATGTCTTACGGCCTCTGGGTTTGTGTCTTTGGCGCAAAGCTGGCTGAATCCTACTTCTTCTTGTCTCTGTCTTTGAAGGATCCCATCCGTATCCTGTCACCCATGAGCATCTGGCAATGTACTGGTGTCCAATGGGCTGGTAACGTGCTGTGCCACAAGCAGCCTCAGATTCTGCTTGGTCTGATGTTCTTCATGGACTTGACTCTCTTCTTCCTGGATAGTTACCTGTGGTACATTATTTGCAACACCATCTTCTCCGTTGCTAGATCTTTCTACTTGGGTGTTTCCATCTGGTCGCCCTGGAGAAACATCTTCTCTCGCCTGCCCAAGCGTATCTACTCCAAGGTTCTTGCGACTACTGATATGGAGATCAAGTATAAGCCCAAGGTGCTCATCTCTCAGGTCTGGAATGCTATCATCATTTCCATGTACCGTGAACATCTCTTGGCTATCGACCATGTCCAGAAGCTGCTTTACCACCAGGTCCCCTCGGAACAAGAGGGCAAGCGTACCCTCCGTGCTCCTACTTTCTTCGTCTCTCAGGAGGATCAGTCTTTCAAGACCGAGTTCTTCCCCCAGGGTAGTGAGGCGGAGCGTCGTATCTCTTTCTTCGCTCAGTCCCTGTCGACCCCGATGCCAGAGCCTCTCCCCGTTGACAACATGCCCACTTTCACTGTTCTGATTCCCCACTACGGAGAGAAGATTCTCCTGTCTCTGCGTGAAATCATTCGTGAGGATGAACCTTACTCTCGTGTTACTCTCCTGGAATACCTCAAGCAGCTGCACCCTCACGAGTGGGACTGCTTCGTCAAGGACACCAAGATTCTGGCTGATGAGACCTCTCAATTTAACGGTGAATACAGTGAGAAGGGCGAGAAGGATGCCCAGAAGAGCAAGATCGACGATTTGCCCTTCTACTGCATTGGTTTCAAGTCTGCTGCTCCTGAATACACTCTTCGCACACGTATCTGGGCTTCTCTGCGCTCCCAGACTTTGTACAGAACTGTTTCCGGTTTCATGAACTACAGCCGTGCTATCAAGCTGCTCTACCGTGTTGAAAACCCCGAGGTTGTTCAGATGTTCGGTGGCAACTCCGAGAAGCTGGAGCGTGAGCTCGAGCGTATGGCTCGTCGCAAGTTCCGCATTTGTGTTTCCATGCAGCGTTATGCCAAGTTCAGCAAGGATGAGCGTGAGAACACCGAGTTCCTCCTGCGTGCCTACCCCGACCTCCAGATTGCCTACCTTGATGAGGAGCCTCCCGCCACCGAGGAAGAGGAGCCCCGCCTGTACTCTTCCCTCATTGACGGTCACTGTGAACTCCTCGAAAATGGAATGCGCAAGCCTAAGTTCCGTATTCAGCTCTCCGGTAACCCCATTCTGGGTGATGGAAAGTCCGACAACCAGAACCACGCCATCATCTTCTACCGCGGTGAATACATCCAGCTGATTGACGCTAACCAGGACAACTACCTGGAGGAATGTCTCAAGATCCGTAGTGTCCTGGCCGAGTTCGAGGAATTGACCACCGACAACGTTTCCCCCCTACACCCCTGGAATTGCCTCACCTGAGAACGACCCTGTCGCCATTCTTGGAGCCCGTGAATACATTTTCTCCGAGAACATTGGTATTCTTGGTGACTTGGCTGCATCTAAGGAACAAACGTTCGGTACCCTGTTCGCTCGTACTTTGGCCCAGATCGGTGGTAAGCTGCATTATGGTCACCCTGATTTCCTGAATGCAACCTTCATGACCACTCGTGGTGGTGTTTCCAAAGCTCAAAAGGGTCTTCACCTGAACGAGGATATTTACGCCGGTATGAACGCTCTGCTCCGTGGCGGCCGTATCAAGCACTGTGAGTACTTCCAGTGTGGTAAGGGTCGTGATTTGGGTTTCGGTTCCGTCTTGAACTTTACCACCAAGATTGGTACTGGTATGGGTGAACAGATGCTGTCTCGCGAGTACTACTACCTCGGTACCCAATTGCCTCTTGATCGATTCTTGTCTTTCTACTATGCTCACCCTGGTTTCCACATCAACAACATGTTCATTATGTTGTCTGTGCAGCTGTTCATGATTGTATTGATTAACCTGGGTGCTCTCCACCACGAGAACATCATTTGCCGTTACAACTCCAACCTCCCCGTTACCGATCCTCTGTTGCCCACCTACTGCACTGACTTGGTTCCTATTGTCAACTGGGTGAACCGTTGCGTTATCTCCATTTTCATTGTGTTCTTCATTTCCTTGGTTCCCCTCGGAGTCCAGGAATTGACCGAGCGTGGTGTTTGGCGCATGGCCACTCGTCTTGCTAAGCACTTTGGTTCCTTCTCATTCATGTTCGAGGTGTTCGTTTGTCAAATCTACGCTCATTCCGTTCACCAGAATTTGTCTTTCGGTGGTGCCCGTTACATTGGTACCGGTCGTGGTTTCGCCACTGCCCGTATTCCATTCGGTGTCTTGTACTCGCGATTCGCTGGCCCTTCAATCTACGCCGGTTCTCGTCTCCTGCTGATGTTGCTGTTCTCCACTTCAACCGTGTGGACCGCGGCTCTCATCTGGTTCTGGGTTTCACTGTTGGCCATGATTATCTCGCCCTTCCTTTTCAACCCTCACCAGTTCGCATGGAACGATTTCTTCATTGATTACCGTGACTACCTGCGCTGGCTGTCTCGTGGTAACTCTCGCTCTCACGCTTCCTCTTGGATTGGTTTCTGCCGTCTGTCTCGTACCCGTCTCACCGGTTACAAGCGCAAGCTCCTCGGTGTTCCTTCTGAGAAAGCCTCTGGCGATATTCCCCGTGCCCGTATCACCAACATCTTCTTCAGTGAGATTATTGCGCCCCTCTGGATGGTTGCTGTAACCCTCATCCCCTACCTTTACATCAACTCCCGTACCCAGTACAGCAACAGTGTTGACTATGCCCCCAACGCAATCCTGCGCATTGCTCTCATTGCCCTGGCTCCCATTGGTGTCAACGCTGGTGTTTCCATGATGTTCTTCGCTATGGCTTGTTGTATGGGTCCTGTCTTCAGCATGTGCTGCAAGAAGTTTGGGTCCGTCCTGGCAGCTATTGCCCACGCTATCGCGGTCATTGCACTCCTGGTCTTCTACCTCGTCCTGTTCGTTCTGGAGTCCTTCAACTGGTCGCGTACGGTGTCTGGTCTCATTGCCATGATGGCCATCCAGCGTTTCGTCTACAAGTTGATCATCTCTCTCTGTCTCACTCGTGAGTTCAAGCATGACCAGTCGAACATCGCTTGGTGGACTGGTAAATGGTACAACATGGGTTGGCACTCAATGTCTCAGCCTGGTCGTGAGTTCTTGTGTAAGATCACTGAGCTTGGCTACTTCGCCGCCGATTTCGTCCTTGGTCACATTATCCTCTTCTTCATGCTGCCTATTCTGGCCGTGCCCTACGCCGACAAGTTCCACTCTGTCATTCTGTTTTGGCTGCGTCCCAGGTCCGTTCATCTCCCCTCCTTCAAATGTCGTCTCAAACACTAACTTTTCCTCTTTAGTCGCCAAATCCGACCCCCTATTTACTCTCTCAAGCAGTCGAAGCTCCGCAAGAGACGTGTTGTCCGTTTTGCCATCCTGTACTTCTCGATGCTTCTGCTCTTCATTATCCTAGTCGCAGCACCCCTCATTGTTCACAACCTGGGTCTGGACAAGTCGATACTGAAGACCCTTTTCAGCAGCATTGGTATCAATGGCAAGAACAGCATGATGTATCTTCTCCAGCCCATGGATATCGGCCTCAATGACACCGTGTCCTACTATACCGGTTACGATCTGCCGGAAGGCTACTCTCCGGTTGATAACAGTGCCACTCCCTACGAGAGCGGTGTTTACACCTTCGTGCGGAAGCTCATTTAAGCCGCTTCGTCTCATATTGTATGAAAATGGCATGTACAAAGTTCTGTCTTTTCTTTTTCTTTTTTTGTTTCACTGCGATTCGCTGCATTCTTTTTAAATCATCGGCGTACCTGTTGATCTTAATGGCTTCTGTTGGATGACCTGTATTTTGAGTTTTGTCATTGCCCTGGGGGGGGTTTCACCTACGTTCTTTGCCGCTCTCATAGCTTCGTTCTTCTTTCTTGACACACTCAAACAGAATACAAACTGCATTGCTTCAATCATCCTATATCAAGTTTCTCGTAAAATTCCCATCTCTGTCTTCTAATTAATTATTCTATAAATTTTCCTCATATGTGTCCTTGGTAGCCTAGTTTCACAACGTCGCGTACGCTCAAGTTAACCAATCACGTGACCTATATGACCCAACCGTGCCGTGGCCCCCCGGACGATCCTAGCATTCCCCAAGTCTTGAAATCTGACACTCCTTATCATTTCCTTGTCTTCTCTTCTCTCTCTGATTCTCAATTGTGTGGTAATTTTGTCGCGCGACGAGCGCAAGCCAGACCCCCGCCATGGACCTCGCGGAGACGCAACGTCTCCTATCCGAGTACCTACACGAACTCGCGAACCTTTTCCACCGAGTACCAGGCTCCGCCATTTTCCTGCGATATGTAAAATCGAGTTATCAAGATGACCCAATTCGATCCGCAGTAGAACTTTTCCTCTTTCTCTTTGCTGTTCGGTACCTTCTCGCGCCCAAATACTCCACCAAACCTGGTGTGGTGCCCTTGACCGAGGATGAGATTGATGATTTGGTCGATGAGTGGACTCCTGAGCCACTTGTCGGGGAGCCGACAGCATTGGAGGAGATGGAAATTGATAGGCGCACCGTGATTGTGGGGTAAGTCATTGTTCTCGTTGTCGTTCCCCGTGCAGAGATGCGCCTGGGTTGCGACATCCTTGTTTGTGGTCTAAAAGAGACTCAGTTGCTGACTCTCGTCCAGACCTGTCGGTCCCAAGTCGAAACTCACCAGCGGTCGTACCGTCACGAACCTCAGCTCCTTCAATTACTACAACTTCAACACAAATGAGCAGCTCAAGGAACAGGCCATTCAGACCTTGCGGAACTATGGTGTTGGCCCCTGTGGTCCTCGTGGATTCTACGGTACCCAGGATGTCCACCTGAAGACCGAGGCCGATATCGCGTCGTACCTGGGCACCGCAGCTTGCATCATGTATTCCCAGGCGTTCTCTACTATTTCCAGTGTCATCCCTGCGTTCTCGAAGCGTGGTGATATCATCGTTGCGGACAAGGGTGTTAGCTTTGCGATTCGGAAGGGTATTCAGATTTCGCGCAGTATCGTTCGGTGGTACGAGCACAATGATATGGAGGATCTTGAACGTGTCCTCGCCAAGGTCACCAAAGAGCAGGCTCGCAAGCCATTGACCCGACGATTTATTATTACAGAGGGATTGTTTGAGTCGTACGGTGACATGGTGAATCTGCCGAAGATTGTAAGTTGCATACATTGGATAAATCGGTTCCTAGTTACGGGGCTAACGTCATGTTAGATAGAGTTGAGACTCAAGTACAAGTTCCGTCTCATTCTTGACGAGACCTGGTCTTTCGGAGTTTTGGGCCGTACTGGTCGTGGTGTTACTGAGCACCAGAATGTTGACGCAGCGGAGGTTGACATGATTGTCGGCTCATTAGCTGGCTGTCTTGTTGGAGGTGGTGGTTTCTGTGCTGGATCCGAGGAGATTGTTCATCACCAACGGATCTCTGCCTCAGCCTACACCTTCTCCGCAGCCCTCCCGGCTCTTCTGTCAACTACTGCTAGTGCCACTATCAATCTCCTCCAGAACACCCCCGAACTGGTATCTCAGCTTCGCGATCACACGAAGGCCATGCGTGCTCAACTTGATCCCCGCAGTGACTGGGTCTACTGCTCAAGCGCACCCGAGAATCCTGTCCTCATTCTGGTGATCAAGCCCGAGGTTGTTACTTCCAAGAAGTTGACATATAACGACCAGCAATTTCTGCTCCAGGATATCGTTGATGAGGTATGTACCGCTCCAGCTAAGTACAATGTCATTACAAGTCATTACAAGTCATGCTAATTCTATAACAGTGCCTTGCCAACAGTGTTCTTATTTCCCGTCTCAAGACCCTCGAGGACGACTTTGAGCCCAGACAAGTTGTCCCCGCCGGACTGAAGGTGTGCGTGACAACCGGCCTCACAAAGAAAGAGATCGAAAAGGCTGGCACAATAATTCGACACGCCATTACTAAGGTGATGAGCAAGAAGAAGTAAAATCTCTTCCTCTTGTTGACACATGGCTGGTACCCATCATCAAATGACTGCTCATGCCTCAACGACCTTCGGCATTCCCCTGGTTTTCCCTCTATTCTCTTTCTCCTACGCCCTAATGCCTCCCATATTCATTCCGTGTATTGTTAAGCTGTTTGTTCATATGCATCTTGCTATCGCTACCCTGTACAGCACTACCCTTCTCACTCGCTTTTCTTCTTTTTTTCGACAAGGGCGGTATGATACTTTACCGGTGCATAGTTTTAGATTGTTTAATACTATTTTTCCTCAGTTCCAGCCTAGTGCTGGGCTGAATTGCATAAAATAATTCATGCATTATTTTTAATTCCCAAGTCTCCATTTCCATACATCGATCATCCGGCCGGATCGGCACCGAGTAGAGAGAAGTCAGTTCAAATTCCCATAATCATCTCCGGCTTACCGAATGTGATATGACTTCCAAGGTTCCCGGTCTCCTTTTCAGGGCTAAGTGTGAATCTGTTGCGGAATACAGGTACCAAGGGACCACGCGGAATGAGCCTAGCATTCCACAAACTTCCAAGACCCCTCAATTGCCAGGGGCATTCCTTATCTCGTTTGGCGAGAAGTCTCGCCCATCCGAAAACCTGGAACAAGCCCTACTGCTCAAAAAAGGGCCTAAAGTATAACCTTGGCGAGGCTCGAGGCCTAAATGCCCTTCACTTCTATCCAAGGGGAACACTATGGCAGACGTTGACCTCCATCCCATTCCATCCCACCCCACAGTGAATAACGATGACTGGATATCCCTTCTTTCACTAGCATGCGACTAATTTCTACTAGTGAATTCTCAGCAATTTCCTTTCATGATGGATATAATCCGCTTGATCTGCACGAGGACCTTCCCTTGTGCGAGAAGATCTTGAGGTCACTTTCATGGTTATGTCTACGATCTACTAACACTTGGTTCTGGTTCCAGTTTTGAGGGGTTGAAAGCTCTACGAAGAAATTTTCTTTTCTGATTTGTGCAATGAAGCACTTTACGCGGGCTCTCTTTGCCTGGTCTCTTGCATCTATGGCCCATGCAGCAATCCAAGGTAAGTTGTGGAGTTGGAGTTGGACCTGTGAATATGCACTGATAATGTGTAGATCCTAACCATTGTCTCGCAAACCTCGATGATGCTTCTACGGCTCGAGTATCGGAGGTAGTTGTCTGGGTTGATGAAAATGGAGATCCAATTCATACGGAAACGAACCATGTCCCAGCCGTCACATCTACGACCCAGAAGACTGTGAGTAGACATCTCACAGACCATAAGAAACACTGGTAGAACGTATACGAGTTGATACTAACATACTACAGTCCTTTGAGACCTTACCTATTCCGCAACCTACATCATCAACGACCAGCGATTCAACCCACGCTCTCTTGACACAAACAAAACCGCAAGATGAAAGCAAATCAACTAATGACGCTGAATCTCCAAAAAGACTACAAGATAAAACAGCTACTGACGAAGCTCACCATCAAAATCATGGCTCCCAGCACCCTTCAACTCACAAAGACCGCCGCCAATTCGGCATCTCATACTCCCCATACGCCGCTGACCGAAGCTGCAAGAACCAAGACCAAATCAGCAAGGATCTTGACGCTCTCTCCACACACAACCTCATCAGAATCTACGGCACAGACTGCGATCAAACCCGACTCGTCGCGACCGCAGCCCGGCAGCACAAAATGCAAGTCTTCGCCGGAATCTACGACCTAACGAACTTCCCCCCAAAGTCTCGATGCATTCAGAGAAGCTGCAACCGACGACTCGGGTAAAACAGACTGGTCAGTCTACCATACCATCGCCATCGGAAACGAACTGGTAAACGGTGGCCATAACGCTCCTGGAGAGGTAACTGGCGCCGTTACACAAGCGCGCTCTTATCTTCGTGCACAGGGGTACGACGGTCCCGTTGTGACGGTGGACACATTCTCCGTTCTTCTCCAGCATCCAGAGCTATGTCGAGTATCGGATTACTGTGCGGCGAACTGTCATGCTTTCTTCGATGCTACGCAGCAACCACATGATGCGGGTGCTTATGCGCTGGAACAGATGCATAGTGTTTCTGCTGCGGCCGGTGGTAAACGAACTATGATTACGGAGTCTGGGTGGCCGCATGCTGGACAGGCTAATGGGGCTGCTATTCCATCACCGGAGAATCAACGTGTTGCTGTGGAGAGTCTGAGGAAGAGCTTTGCGCATCAGCCGGATGATTTGGTGCTCTTTACGGCATTTGATGATTTGTGGAAGGATGATAATCGGTACACGTTTAACGCGGAGCGGTTTTGGGGCATCTATGATCGGTAGTTCAGGCGTTTGGGATATTCATTTCTTCAAGTTTCTTTTCTCTTCTTCCATTTTCTTCAATGGGTCGTGTGAAATATGATAAGACCTGTGAACCTTCAATATTCGTGCTATTGTCGCTGTGTCGTATTACGTATTCGTATTCAGTTGTATCTCTGTTAGGATCTTAGTAAGCTTATGTCTAGGAACTGAATTCTAGCTAAGTTGAAGTCCACTTGATATTTACGAATACGGATTGTGCTCTATTCAGTCTCTACTATGTAGGAGGCGAGACGCGGAGTAATCCGTCTATACTCCGTAGTATAACAGGGGTAAATCAGATCATGGTAGTATCAACAAATCAAATAAAAACCTCGTGTAGGAAGCAAAAGCCACCACATACACTAATGCAACTACAGACCCCAACCTTGTGGCTAGCCACTAGCTGGCCCACACCACTACGACGTCCGGCCCGCGCCCCATTGATGGAACCGGACGGAGGAGATTGGCCCCATTATGGAATGTGGGAAAAACCTTGGCCAAATGATTAAGACTAAGTCCAGAACCACTGGGAATTTAGAACACTTCTTTCCACCCCTGCAACTTGAACATTGAAAGTACTCGTGTGTCCCTGTACCTAGTCCTCATCAGTTAATACTGTTTCAAGTGACCATGGCGCCCCTCACTCTCAAACCCGTCACAGTCGACGACATCCCATCCATTGCCGAGCTCTGGTACACAGCCTTCAGCATCCCGGTTAATCTTCACATGTTCCCCAATACCCCCGGGGTCCGAGAATGGTGGGACAACGCTAATCGCCACGACTTGCTCCACAACCCACACCGGAAGTACCTCAAAATTATTGATCCCTCTGCATGTGATTTCCTGGTTGGGTACGCCAAATGGGATTTGGATCCCCTGGAAAGTGGCGAAAGGTTTCCAGCCTGGCATAAAGAATCAGACGTTGAGCTTTGTGACTTAGTTTTTACCGGTTGCGGTGAGAAACGAGAGGAGTTTATGAACGGTCGGAAACATTACTGTATGTGGTTTATCATTGGGTTATGCCCAGGTGGATTATCTTAACTAACCTATCATTTTTTCTGTTTAGATCTGGATATGCTGGTTGTTCATCCGCATTATCGTAGACAGGGTGCTGCGTCTCAGTTGGTGAAATGGGGATGTGATCTTGCAGATCAGAATGGGCTACCAGTTTATCTAGATGCTCATATAGATGCATCTCCTTTGTATCGGAATTTCGGATTCAAAGACCAAGAGGAGGCTACACCTGAAGGGGCGGTTTCGATGATTCGAGAGCCTCAAACTTAACATAGCTATGTGTAACAAATTATGCATTATTCATGAATTTCATCCATGATGGCTTCCTGGGTGTGTCTAGATCACCCTCCTTACTTTAAGTGATAATTGTTTTTATAACCCCGGTTAATCCATACAAATCATAGAAAAAGAAACAGAAAACATCTGCCCAACGCCTTCCAATCCCTTATATCTGAACTTGATCTTTTACACTATTCATCTCATACTCCTCTTCTAACTTCCACTCTTGTGTGTGACGTATAATCAACTGCTGAGAGTGGTGACTCTCTTCTGATGGTCGAATCGTCAAATCGACCTCGTCCTCCTCGGCGCGACTAGCATAGGCTCGAGACTGATTGGAACTCTGCCCGGTGGGTGTGAAGTATGAGTTTCCACTGCTACCATTCACGCCTTGTCCCCAGCCTGTATTGAATGAGATCACAAATGGCCTGAGACATGGCACGGTGGCAATCATGATTCTGGTATGCAAGAGGACGGCGGTTGCGATCACGGCGTTGGATAGAGTGAGTGAGGGATCGGGGTGGTGAAATGCGTTGTTAAGGTAGGTTTGTCGGAGGATGATCAGGATTATCAATCTGCGTAGAAATCAATTAGCTGCTGAATTCTTTTTGTGGATCATTTCCTGTAGATACGTACGGAAGTCTAGTTCCAAAGGCAAATATCACTGTAAACTTCTCCTTCAAACGCATCTGGATACCCCAGACCAGGAAGATACACAACCCAAAGGAGAGTACATCTGTGAAGACATCGAATGCGGGTGATGGCCTTCCACGCAGTGTCCTGGATTGAATTGTCAGTATAATTGGGAAGGCTAGGGTCATAGTGTACGCACGATATTACTGCAATGCTTTTCGAGGGCCACGAAATCCAACTGGTATTGAGAATAGCAGCTGAGAGCAACTGCAAAAATTGAAGCGAACATCCAGGCTATGACCATTCCCAGTATGATCTTCGAATACAGCAAGTAATTCCTTTGTTGTCCCAGTCGTTTAAGAATTAGGCATACAGAGATTTTTGCGGTACCATGGCCGATCAAGAACAGAAGATTCCCTGCATAGAGGTCCTAAATCCGAATCTGTCAGAATTAAAACGTCGATATTTCCATACAGACTGGACTTACCTCTCCAGCTCGCTTTAAACTCGATGGCGAGGTTTGATCCTGTTTTTGACCAAAACCGTTTTCAACTGCGTCCATGATGATTTCCTACATGGACGACGGTTATTGCCTAATGAAGAAATTCCAATTAGTCTCATTTTTCAGCTGTACTAGATATGCTGGCTTATTGAATGGGCTACATATAGAGATCATACTCACACTTCCGACAAATATCGTCAATTCATCCATCTGCACAGGCCCATTGATGGTAATACGCATGTACAGACGAATCAGACTGACTATTACTATCCATGACATGAAAAGTGTCTCAACTATAACAATCAATCTAGTTCGATCTGTCGGGGTGATCGCATAAGGAGCAGCGTACTCCATGATGAGTGACCGAGATAGAAAAGAAGCTACAACTTGAGGGTAGGGCGGTTGTTTTTCGGGACATTGTTATAATGGAACAGAGTACAATCCCTATTTTCACTGAGATCAAAGGATCAAAGAATAACATGGGTCTGATAATTTGTTAGGCCGAACTGTATATCAATTTGAGAATTCCAGCCTGATCCTGCTAGTAGAGTTATCCATGCTACTAAGTTAGTGACTCCACACTATTGTTCCCAAGTAATTATAGGAGGAATGAAGGAGTCAATGTAGTGTGTATTAAAAGATTCTCATTTTTTCACTCAATCTTCAGAACCTGCTTGATTTTTCCTCCAACTGCATTACGAATTGCATGTTAATTGCACCAATAATAGGTAAATATCAGCAAATATCAGCAAAGATGAGGGTGTGCAGGATCATGATCCTTGTATAGTGCAGATAACAGAACTAATATCGAACCAATTACACTAATACTAGAAACAACTAAATAACTCCACTAAGCACTCTAAGCCAAGTGGCTTGTTCTTGTTTAGTTCGGGGACTAAGTGGAGATTAATATCGCATCCTTGAATCCTACTACGCGGCTACTACTGCCACTCTAATGCATTGTCTTTTGGCCTGTAACCAACCATTGACTTTCTAACTGACAAGGATTGTAAAATGCTGAAACAGGAGTTCCCATTTTTCTTTTTCTATCTAAGAATGTACTAACAAGTAGCGCCACCTTTAGTCTTTGTTTCCGTGTTTTACTCCACACTTCAAGCACTTCAGTGCTTAGACTCGGAGGTTTTGATTATTCTTGTTATGAGCATGTTGGATATTTTTGGTTGCACTATAACTTAGTTTTATACTGATGACTGATTATTCTTAACTTTTCTTTCTCCTTTTTCTCCCTTTTCTCCTTCTTTCTTCTTCCTTATTTTCTTTCTTTTCTTCCGGAGTACCGGTTTCCCCTTGTTTATACTAGTATTCTTGGCATTGAATTGCAGAATCAACATGGGTCAAGAGGATGGAGTCACGCTAAGCGTGCAAAAGTCCTTCGAGGGGCCAACAACCGAGAAGGCAGGTACCGTGCAGGACAAGCAGGATATGTGGCGTGTCGGTCGGGACCAGGAATTGAACGTACGTATATTCCATTTATTCTAGAAGAAAATGAGAAAAAGAAAAAGCAATAATTAACTATGCCTGCAGAGAAACTTCCGCTTTCTTTCCGTTTTGGGATTTACCGCGGTACTTATGTGCACATGGGAGGCTGTTCTCTTGTATGTTGATCTATCACATTGTCAGTGAATCTATGTGATTAGATTGTGATATACTAACTTGAACCTATCACAGTGGTTCATCTTATGGCTTGGTTGATGGCGGCAAAGGAGGTATGATCTATACCTACCTAGGTGGCTTGGCAGGGTTCAGCTTTGTTATTCTGTCTATGGCTGAGATGGCTTCTATGTATGTGGATCCCATGAACAAGGATTAACTGTCTTATACTAACATCCACTCTAGGGCCCCTACCTCTGGTGGTCAGTACCACTGGGTGTCGGAATTTGCACCTCCTAGCTCCCAGGCCATACTGAGCTACATCACAGGCTGGATCTGTGTACTGGGCTGGCATACTGGTATTGCAGGATGTTGCTACACAGTTGCTAACATGATTGTTGGCTTGCTTGCTATCAACTACCCTGACTCGTATGACTATAAACCGTGGCATGTCACCCTGCTGGTCATTGCAGTGGCAGTGATCGCCATATTGTTCAATACCTTCCTGGCACAGAAGCTTCCCTTAATCGAGGGTATCATTCTCATCGTCCACGTGTTCGGGTTCTTTGGTATTTTGATCCCTCTGTGGGTACTTTCACCCAAGGTCCCGAACTCTGAAGTATGGGGATCCATCGAAGATCGAGGTGGATGGGGTAACAATGGATTATCTTGCTTGGTTGGATTAATTGGTCCTATCTACGCTCTCATCGGACCTGATTCTGCTGTTCATATGGGTACGCATACACCTGACTCAATTTATGGCAAAGATCCTAACTTGAAAATTTACAGCTGAGGAAATCCGAGATGCATCTCGCGTTCTTCCTAAGGGCATGCTCTGGACTTTAATTCTCAATGGATCTACTGGTTTTGTCATGATCGTCACCTTCGCCTACTGCGTTGGTGAAATTGACCAAATTCTCGAGACTGAGACCGGCTTTCCCTTCATCCAAGTCTTCCTCAATGCAACTGGATCAACCAGAGCCGCGACCGGTATGACAGTCATTATTATGATTATGCAGTTCTGTGCAGCAATCAGTAACGTTGCTACTACATCTCGTCAAATCTATTCTTTTGCTCGAGACCGTGGTGTTCCCTTTTCGGACTTCTTTTCACGGGTGAGTTTGACACAATCAATAGTCCCGGGCTCCTTCTTCAACCATTAACATATACTATTCCAGGTCAACAAAACCTTTACAGTCCCCCTTAATGCCCTCTGCGTCAGTTTTGTCATTGTCTCTCTCCTCTCCCTAATCAATATCGGATCCTCAGTAGCTTTCAACGCTATCATGGCACTCGGCACCGCCGCCCTGCTCTCATCCTATATTATCTCAATCTCCTGTGTCCGTCTTCGACGCTGGCGTAATCAGCCTTTACCTCCCGCACGGTGGAGTATGGGCAAGTTCACTCCGATCTGTGACACCATCTCTATCCTCGTTCTGCTGGTTATCTTTGTTTTCAGTTTCTTCCCCACGAATAATCACCCCAATGCCTCTGAGATGAACTTTGCTATCGCCATATATGGAGGTGTTATTATTATTGCCATGGGTTACTATGGGATTCATGGTAGGAAGACATATAAGGGACCGGTGACTCGAGTGCGGACTATGCAGTAGTAGACTTACCAAGTCGTTGAGACTTCAAGCCAGACTTACTATGTTATTACGGAGTACAATAATGGGTGGAAAAGTGTTTGAATACGTGATTGAAGCACATAAATCGCTAATTCGGATCAATAAGATATGGAATTTTCAAACTTATTTCAGGCTACCATAGATTCAAATTGACAAAATCACATAACTGGTTTAAAGATGTGTCAGAAGGTTTAACAGAGGCCTAAGAAGATGTCGATGTCGGCGCAGACGGATTCTGGAACTCAGGCAAGATAATTTCACAGTGATCCTGATAAGGTAAAGACGAGACCTTAGGACCAGGATACTGCAAAGAAGCAATACTAGGCCTGTTAATCTTGAACTGCGGCCACTCAAACCCATAAAAGAAATCAATAGTCGAGTAATAGTTAAGACCTAGCCCTTAATTAAGCAGGCTCAACATTCGGATTCCCCGTTCGAGCAAATGATCCCCACATGTCCTGCACCGCATTCGTATAGTAAATATCCTCAGGCACGCGAACAGGTTGATCGAAGATATAGTAAGTGCCAAAGACTGCGTATAGATCTCCACTGTGACACCGGTAGTACGGTATCTCAGGCTTACTAGCGGGGAATGTACCCAGATTGTAGAAATCATAGTAACTGAGAGCATATCCACGGTTATGAACATAGAACCAGTGAGACTTGAAAGCCCACGAAGCGGCAGCAATCCACTGAAGAAGTGTTCCAGCATAGTATAACTGACCCTCTGTGCCGAGATGGACAGAGGCATTGTACACGGATGTATAAGCCGTGCTACCATTGTAGACAGTCTCATTAGTCACGGCGTACAAGCCAGACTTGAGAACTGCATCAGCTTGGCCTTGATTAAGTGCATTATCACCGATGAAGATCTCGACCGCTTCGGTGAAATTGTCCATGCTGGGCCATAGTGATGTTGTAGCTAGTGATTGAAACTCTTCAAGCATGTTCCCGGCTATGACATTCACCGAGTTAATGTATTGGGCTCCGAGTCCAAGAATTGCTTGTGTATAGTCCATTGAGTAGACTCCATCCATCACTGTGTACCAACTAGCGGTGTTGTTGCTGATATCTAGGAGTGTTTCTGCTGGGAGTGAGCGGAGACATGAGGCACGTTCTGTAGCCGTTCCGTTGCAGTATGGTTCGATATAAGGATTGATTATCGCAGCGGCTACCTCCTGCGTGGCGGTATTTGACTTTCCAGATTGGATAATGCCATTCTGAAATAGATTCTCACCAAATATAGCAGGGCAGGTTATTAGATCGTAGGCTGCTTCTGCACCAGCAGATTGCCCGAAGACGGTGACGTTGTTAGGATTTCCTCCGAATCCTGCAATGTTTTGCTTGACCCAGCGTAAGGCTGAGATGTAGTCTGAGATATGGTAGTTGCCGGATATCTCTTCATCATCCAGAGAAAGGAGACCGAATATGTTGACACGGTACTGTCATCTTCAGATTAATATTTCGAGTGCCAATATAAACCACTATAAATTGAATGCTCACGTTGAAAGTGACGACAACAACGTCAGATCTAGACGCGAGACCCGCACCATCAAATGTCAAGTCTGCACCAGACCCTTGTGTACCTCCACCACCATAGATCCGGAACATTACAGGCTTTTCTTTGTTCGGGGTCGGGAGTGGTGGCCGACGACGGGATATGTGGTGTATAGACGTTGATATACAGGCAGTCCTCACTATTGCCCCACGGGTCTATTCCGATGCAAAATAAAATTAGCACATTGATCTAATATCATAATATTTTGATCCCAAGGTTAGGAACTCACTGAGTCCATACGAGTTCCCTTCAAAATATCCAAACTGTAAACAAGCAGGTCCATACTGTGTAGCATTCACATAGGACTCTGTTTTGTTCAACGGCTGTGAAGGCTTAAAGCGAAGTTCATCCAATGGCGGCTGTGCAAAGCGAATACCAGCAAATCGGAATGCCATCTGATCTCTCAATCCCTCAAAGGTCGTAGCATTCGAAGTGGCATTTACTCGAGGAAACACCGAGTAATCAGTATCAACTTTATTCACCAGCGGTGCACTATTAGTGCAAAGATAGGGCAAGCAAGTAGAGCTCGACGTCGAGTTATGCTTGTCAAGGACACCTCTCCACGATGAGGGATAACTCGACGAACAAGATGACCAAAGGAGTTGATCACTTGTAATGGCGCCGAGATACTGTTGATAGCTGAATAGGTTGGCATACTCTATGTACTTCTCACAGCTCAGGAGGGTCTCATTCTGGGCTTTGCAAGCTGCGGTAGCACTAGGTCTGGTACCATGAGAGGACTAGTTGCCATTATTCTCGAAGAATATCTTCTTGTCATTGTTTCCACTCGCAACAACAGAGCCCGCAAGGGCAACTACCACTCCAATTACCAAGATTGAGGATAGCATGAAGTCGTGTGCCACTTATTGCGCTTGTGCTTAAGAAGGCCCTGGGAGCTTTCAAAACAGAGATCGAGCAATACTTTCATCTTTATTTATACATATTGAGAAGCATGGCGGATATGGTCTGCCCAGGTGTATCTTGCTGATTCGTGCCCGCGTATCATCATTCATTGCGGAGACTAAACCCTGAGGGTACGAAAGGTTTGACTAGCGGCCTGATTCCGAATACATGCAGATTGCATGATTTGTTTGTGAGTGATGTCAATGCTTTCGGCCGCAGAGATTGAGTACAAAACTAGAATTGAGTGCGGGGAAATGTGGAGTACAAGGACTTAAGCGTGGGGGTGTTCGGAGCTATTGTCCATATGTGCATGCTAGGGTCCGGGTTTCCACGGGATGAACGTCCTTTTACAGAAGTAGATGCACATTGGCTCGGCCTTCCAAAGAATTACCGAGTCTTGGTATGTCGTTTCTTAATCCTATTTCCTACAGAGATCCTTAGCACTCAGTTTACTGATGAACCAGGCCAAGAGTCAAAAGCCCAATCCGTCTATTCGGGAACATATCAGGAGTATTTACATGCTGGCCATGAGACCGCTTAGACAGAAACAAGAAAGGAAAAAGCCATCCCAGAACAATAAACCTCGACCCAGCAAAAAAAAACCCAGGAGAACAGACATGGTATGCTTTTGTATAAACCGAGGGCCCAGTCGCCCAATCCTGTATAAGTTTTGAGTCTTTTTCTCAATTGCCATTGTAAGCGCTGGGTCGAGGTGCCCCTGGGGAGCATCAGGGAGGACGTAGCCTAGAACAAATAACATAAGATCAAATGAGGGGGAAGGGTATCAACACCGTGACACATGCTGGGGTGACATGGAGAAGGGACAAGAGGAGAATGGAAGAATCCGAGAACAGAAAGAAAAGGAGGAGCGTGGACTTCATGAGCACATAGAGAGTTAAAGAGTCAAGAGATCAACAAGGAAAAGGGGAGATGGGTGTAAAGGAACACGGGGTTTTTATCGATCAGAATTCGTTTCTGAGATCCTCGTGGGAGTGGTGGCTGGATTGATCACGTTCCTTGGCCTTGCGGCGAGAGGGAGCAGGTACAAAATCGAAGAAGCGGTATTTACTGGAGCTTTCCTTTGTCACACTAGATCTGCGCATCTTCGCGTTCTCGGAGTATTCGAGGGAATAAGTGGAGGAATTCTTAGAGCTACCGGTGCTATCACGAGCATCAGACCAACGGGGTAGTGTGAACGGCATACGGGATTGGTCCCAGGTTGCAGATGATGAACTGGGCGGGGTGTCATCCTCTTCCGGAGCATAGTCTGTTGACCGACGAGGCATAGCAGGTCGAGGGGCGAAGAAACCAATTGAACCGCGGTGACCTGGAGTATTCGAAGCAGAGGAACCTGGAGCAATGGCGGCAGTGGCGGCAGCGACAGCAGCTGATTCTGGGGCTGAGGCCGGAGCCGGAGTGGTTGGCTTGCTTGTGCCTTCCTCATAAAAGGTTACAGCGCGCTCCATCGAGTCGACTAACTCTTCCCACTTGACCTCGAGTGTACCGTTTGGGCGCTCAGCCTGTTCCGCCTCATCGAGACAATCTTCGGTGCGCTCTTGTAGGTGCAATGCCAGTTCATGAAATTTAGAAAGGAACGGGTCAATCTCTTCCAATTCGGAGAGTCGTTCTGGGACAACTTCGAGCCATATATGGATCAAGTTGGCAAAACATCGAGATTGATCAACCAAGAATGGAAGACTGGGGAAACCCTCGCGTGAAGTAAGAGGCAATCGGCCAAGGATTTGTAGCGGAGTAGTGTAGGAAGGAGTGAGGACAGGGGCCGCTGCATTTGCTGGGATATCGCAGATGAGATCCACGAATTGCTTAAATTCAGCACGATTGCCGACGAGAAACCTGTTCATCGGCTCCATCCATGGTTCTTTGTTACCGAAAGTTGTCATGTTAGCTAATCCCTGAAGAGCTTTGGCAATCAGAGTCAGAGTACGTTGAGCACGGGGACGAGGATGATCTGCAAATACAAGTTAGTATGACGAGATCCAATCAAGAGACTACCGCAGAGTGGGTATCGGTATTCTTACCCTTCAAAAGTCCGAACAGCTTAGGATTCAGAATAGCCGGACAGAAGAACCGTAGGAACAGGAAACCGGAAACACTGCTGTAGGTCACAGAACGCAAGAAATCGCCATAGCGATCTTCAGCACAGGCTCTAACGTGTCGAAAGATACGCCTTAGCTCGGACGGACATCGGGACCAAGAAATCGCAATGGACTTCCACACCGTGGTAGTTAAATTGATCAGGTTTCGCCAATTACGATCAAGGTCTTCAGCGCGGGGGACTCGAGCTGGGTCCACCTCGCATTCAGGATCACTTTCATCGATTTCGCGTAGTCGATCGCCAATTGTCTCTTCCAGGTACTCCTTACCCAACCGACGCATATGCTGATCAAGTGCCTTTGTCAACAGTGAATTGCCACGGAAAAGAAGGTTCGCTTCAACAGTAGCAGTTCTCCCCATATCTCTCACTAGAACATTGCGGTCATGACCGGAGGAGTCCCGAGAATCATTCGAATGGATCCTTGTCGTGTAACGTATGTGACTGCTCGTAGACTCCTTATGTAGACCGTCAATCTCATCTTCGACCAGCGCTGAGATCCAGTCCACAGTAGCTCCCGATACTTGGTAAATATTCAGGAGCATCTCAGAAAGCTGAGTCAATTCCGATGACATAACCTGGGCCATGTTGATCGTCAAGCCATTAGTGAACTTGTGAAGAAGCTCCTTCATCGGGGCATATTCCTCAGACATCAATACTACAGTTTCCTCCATTCGAGCTCTCATGAACATCTCACCAACTGCCTGGTCGTGATCATCTAAAACGGGCCACCACTTTTCAGAGTCTACACCGGGGTCCAATTCATCCAACCGTAGGTCTACTCGTCCAAAAACTGCGTCATTGGTCGAGATCTCAATCTCATCGAGCATGTTGACTGCATTGACATCTTGGTTGGATGGATATGTCCCCTGTGCAATGAGAGTCCAGTCCCTTTGTGCGTTCAGAGTTTTGATGAGGATTGAAGCCTGTGAGAGTACTGGTGGTAAATCATTGAAGGTGAAGTCTTCTCGCCAAAATGGAGTTGTAGTGCGATATTTAACAGCAGTCTTTGCTCGAATCTCCCCATCTAGAAGGACTTCAGTGTAGAAATCGCTGATCTTGGGAGATGATGGGGCAGAGTGACCGTGGGACCTGGATGGTTTTCGACTCCGTGGTGCGTCTTCTTCCTTGGGGCGAAACAGCTTTGCCTCTGTGACACGCAAATGAAGAATCCTTTCGATTCGGAACATACCCTTGGTAGGAGATGAGTCGGCCTCAGGGGTTTTATTGGGGTCTTCCGGCTCACTTGATATTTCAGGACCGTATAACTCTGGAATGGTGAAAGCGCGGAGCAGCACGAACCAGACTTCAAAGAGGACACGGGTTTCAAGGGCGAGGTAAATGGGGCGCATTGCGGGGTCTGGAACTGGATGTGCGGTGTACTGGGGGTAAATGGCGACGCAGAACTCATCGTCAAGCACTGATGAGTCGAGTTGTTGAATGGCACAGCGCGATAATTGAGAAAGTTTGATACAAGCGACCAGTGTGACATCAGACTCAGTGTAGAGCTTGAAAGCACCATTTTCTTGTAGTGTACAGCTAACACGTTGCCATGAGGCAGAAAGAGCTCTAGACTGTCTATATGTGGAGACGCGGCGGGCAGAAGCCGGTCGTATTCCAGCCGCGGAAGATTCATTCCAAAGAAGCATTTTACCAACCTTGATGATGGTGGCGTCCTTTTGAGTTGTGCTCTCTGAGTTTCTTCGACGCTCGGGAATGCGCCGTTCTCCAATCACAACTGATTGAGGCTTGGTCATTTTATTTTGAACACCCTTGGGGCGTATGGGTTGCCAGCAGAGTAGGGCTGCGAGCCAGGAGTCGAATGTTTCGTTGACATGAGGTCGTAGTTGAATTCCGAGACCGGAGGTGAAGGTTTGAACGCTGAGGTAGGTTGTCGAAAGCTCCGGGTCGAACAATGTTCGGACCCGACAGCCACGGAGATCAGGAATAAGGGTCTTTGCTAACGCTGGTTCTCCCTTGGCTTGGTATATAAGACTTCCGGTGGCGACATTAATGGCACAATACCCTGATGTCCACGAGCTTGAGGCCCATGTGTTGTTCGATGTCGTTCTGAATGACAGGATTCCATGCATTCTTCCACATGTGGTCTTCATCAATTGAAGAATCTTGGCAGAGTCGGTATTCGATAGAGGGGATGCGAATTGATTGTGTGCGATTGTGGTGGGCCGGCCACTACCAGAAGCGTTATTCAGTCGATGACGGCTGACCGCTTGGTCAATGTAATTTGGCGATTGTATTGAAGGAAAACCGATGGAGGTGGAATCTTCTGGAGACTTGCCGTCTGCTGTCTTGGGCTGAGGCGTGGACGCGGGGACGGGTGCGGGCGCACTTGTAGCAGTGACGGATCCGATCCGGCTTCGTCCTTTGAAGGTCCCGGAGACAATGTCGCTCCTTTGTTGTTCCTCCAAGGTTGCAGTTCGCGATCGTGTACGCACGGTCCTTCCCTCCATTGAGGGTTCCTCCTCGCCTCGTTCGATAGTTCGCGATCGCATGGTAGTCCGGGGAGAGGGCGCGCTCTGGGCAACGTGTTCGGGTTCGGATAAAGGGGAATGGGATTCCGGGGTCACGGTACGGATGCCTGTGTCTCGAAAATTGTCGGGATAGACCATGCCGTGACGGTCTCGAGATGAAGATTTCTTGCTGGCACGACGCTCCACGGGGCGGCTATACAATGCCTGGTGCATCGAACTCCGTTTACCGTGGCCATTGGGATTTTCTGGTTCCATTCTGCCCGGTCGTCACTCTCTCTCGAGCGGACGTGAGCGTAATGGGGAGAAAGTCCGCAACGGGGAGAAGCGCTCGGGGATAACCTCAAAACCAAATATGCCGAATGGGGATATATGCTTCGGCGCAGGAGAATAAATGAAAGTCGGGAATTTGTGCAAGGCGTGGTTATGAGAACACATGGAGTTCAAGGGGAGGAAGGAGGTCGGAGTCGTACATTCGGTCGAGACGAGCGGGTCGACAGGGACAAAGGGGAATTAGGCGGGTCACCGTCGTTTGTCTGAGAGATGCAGGATCTACCAATCGGATAAGTGTGTCAATTTTGATGCTTTTATCTCATATAAATCCGTTTGATTGCAATTATATCGCAATCGCGGTGGGTGTTTGAGGGAAAAGGAACACTATGCGTGTCCGCTTCAAGGCCCGAGGAAGACCGAAAGAGTGGTAGTCCGGGGCGGCGTGATATCATTATTATTGAGGGGGAGGGGAAGAACACCCAAAGGGTCCATGGGAAAGGGAATAGAGCCCATCAAAAGCACACAACACGTACCTTCATCAGTCGCCTTTGAAATTGGAATATCCTGAATATGCCTGGGGAGCCGACTTCAGAGAAGAGAGGGGCCCTTTCGTTTGGGTGTGGGTTTGTGTGTTGTGTGCGTCCGTGTTTTGCAGATCCCCCAGTCAAAAAGTCATAGGTTCGACAAGCCTTTAAAGGCGACCGGAATGACGGGGAGAACCAGATATTTTCGAAATTGATGATGAACTTCGAATCTGGGGATCTTTTTTTCCCTCCTCTTTTTGGGTTCAGTGTGTGATCTTTGAGGATGTAAGAGAAGAAGGGGAGAGGGGCGGAGAGAGGAGAGAGAGAGAGGGGGGGGTGGATAACGGGAAGCTGTGCTCTGTGTATAAAGGGGACAAATCTACACAACTTTAACTTGGATGCTTATAGGTTTTCCATTGACCGCAAGATTGATATATAAGATTGTTAGGCTGATATTTTTATCCCATTTACTAGTATGTGTTGATGCGTTGTCCTTTTTCTTTTATCTATTCTAGTCTACTATGTCTCTCATACCCGTCCTATACCCGTCCTATATTTCTCTCCTTCTTCCCTCTCTGATGCCTCAATATCCTAGTCAATAATGTCAGGTACCAAATCCCGACCTTCTTCAAGCCTTTAACCGAAACTTCCGAGTTTAGACCAATGCCAATCGGGAGTATCTCATCAAAACTAGGCTCACACGGCAGTAAGTCTCTAGTTTCCGTTAGTTCTGGCTGCTTAAGTTCCCATCCAAGGTTAGCGTCGGCGGGGCTTCTCTTTTTTTCCAAGACCCTAGAATATAAGGGAGAAGGGGGAAAATATTGAACATAAAAAAGACTTCATAAAATTAAAAAGAAGAAAAAAAAAGGTACCATCTTAGTAGAAGGAGTAGAGGAAATTGCGTGGCATCCATTTTGGGAGAGGTACTTTAGTGCGATGGGACTGGGGAGGAATCAAGCCTGAATCATGCGCGGCCATACTGGACATTATGATCCGGGTTGTCGATCGGACCCTCTTTCTGGAGCTGTTTAGCCCCAATACCACTGTAAGAAATCTCCCGTTATTCGTAGGTTGAGGTTGCGCCCCCCCTGGGTTCCATGCACAAGGCCACTAGCTACATCATTAGGTGCAGCATGACCACCAGGAATATTATGGGCCCTGGAAGCATGTTTGTGGCTTATAACATTTGAACTTAGTACTATTGTTCAAGTTGTTGGGACCGTGACCTATATAAGTCCCCGGATCTCTTTCTACACCGACTTCCTCTCTAATGAAATTTCCAAAAAAAAAAACCTGTTGATTACCCAGATAAATGAGACGGGAAATTTTGGGAAATTTTGGGACAACTTGGGCAAAGCTCGCGGGGGACTAAAATGTAAAGTGGATTCGCCGGACTGGGGCCGTGTCATCAGGTCAACTCCCGTCATTCTCCCGCTATTCTTTGAGTTCTTTGGTTTTTCTTTCATATTCCCTGGAGATAGAGAATAAAAGAAGATTCGATGAAACAACGCACACAAATCTAAATCAAAGTTTTTCTATGCATCAATGTAGCCCATATGCATGTGTGTAATATCCAAATTCCAAATCCATGTTCTAGAAGAACTTCTAGTTATACGAAGCTGGGCGGATCATCCGTGACCGTGACGGGTTCTCCGATAAGTCTTCTACATTGAGGCAGAAAAGTGCTCTTTATTCTGATCGGTACTTGGTTATAATTGCTAGTAAACACTTGAAGGAGGATTTATGTTGAAAAGCATGATGATCAAACATTGAATGGAATGAAAATAAAAGTAACTGAATGGAGAAGGTTCAAGTTCTTCTATTGATAGTATGTTTCTTGAAATCATGTTAACCTAGATGCTGGATTTTAGTTAAGATGTTCTGACACCTGGGCATTTTGCCTCTGATTTCAGGGTTTCTTTTTCCACCCTCATCCTTCTATATAGCCGTTGAGGTCTTCCAATGACCTCGGGATGGATGTACTACAGTAGTAAGAGGTAGGCGGTATGAAAGGCGGTAAGCATTGTGTGTTATTAGACCAGTTGACTGCTGCCAGTGTTATATCTACTATGGATATACGTCCAGGACCTTCCAAGGTTGGGACGCCGGAATCTTCCCAGACCTACAATCCACAACGTCCGAGTCCAGATGTCCAAACTTGGAAACTTGGAATGTGATTCCTCGTACTTAATCCATTTAGAACTCCGAGTCCATATTCTGTCACAATGAACACCTCTCTTTACCATACTTTCAACCTCTCCTCACCCCGCCTCTTATTACAAGAACCTGCACTGGCAGCAATCATCGAAGTATTCACTATTTAATCATGTGTGACCTACATGAGCTGTTGAATCGAAAGCGGCCCGGGCCATGGCAAAAATTCTGTGCCAAACCTTGCGTCTTCCTCGCGCAACAACTTTACACTTGGCGGCAATACATTCCAGCCGCGCCACTCAAAGATCCTGTTTCGATCGTCTGTATCTCCGATACTCACGATGCCCAAGTTCATGTCCCCGATGGAGACATTCTGATTCATGCTGGTGACCTCACACAATCCGGATCCTTCAAGGAGCTTCAGGAGGCACTGAGTTGGTTACGCTCACAACCTCATCACATAAAAATCATTGTTGCTGGGAATCATGAGCTATTGCTAGACATAGAATGTGATGATTCTTCTGGCCAAGCGGCTTCTGAAAGAACTCAACTTGACTGGGGTGATCTGATATACCTTGAAAATGAGAAAAGGGAAGTTGTCTGTGCTAATGGCCGTCATCTGAACGTATATGGGAGCCCTTATTCTACTCGCCATGGGAACTGGGTGTTCCAATATCCCAAAAGTAAAGATGTATGGGCTGATTCAGTACCAGAAGGGATCGATGTGCTCATTACACATACTCCACCCAATGCGCACCTTGACTTACTCAAATTTGGTTGTGTTCAACTCCTGAAGTCATTATGGAGAGTTCAGCCACGACCTCATGTGTTTGGGCATATACACGAGGATGCTGGTACGGAATGGATCTCATTTGATAAGCTTCAGCTTGCATACGAGCATACCGTTGCTGATGGAGGAGGCGTAAAAAATCTTCTAAGGACGGCATGGGAATTCGGAATGGCATGGCTTTCCCCAGTTACAGAGTCTAGGTGTCTACTGGTCAATCCGTCAATTGTTGGCGGATTACGGGATGATGAACGGAGAGAGCCTGTGAAGGTCGTCATCTAGGTTCAATTTGTTTTTCGAGGTTAATAAGCCAAGTTGTACTAGTACGCCTAAAACAATATGGGAGGAAAATCAGGCTGAGAGTGGTCCTACCTTGGGCCCTGGAGGTCTACTTTAATATTATGTAAACCAGAAAACATTCCAATTGAAGTGCATCATGTACTCCGTATAGACAGTATTGACAGTATAGTACATAGAAGAATAATTTTTCCATTCCGAACCCCCGCACTGACTCAGCACCACATGACTCGTGTCAGAAGAGGTAACGTGATTCCCAAGCGAGTGGGCCACCCAAGCGAGTGGGCCACCCAACCAAAAAATCGCGTCGCGACCGCGTTCTTTTATCTTCAACCACCCATCATGCCACCAAAACGTACTGTTTCGGCCGAAAAAAATGGTAATCAAGAGGGTCGAATCCTACTTGCTATACAGGCTATTAAAGCTGAACAAATAAGCTCTATCCGTGAAGCTGCACGCTGTTTTGATATACCTCGTACTACACTACAGCGTCGGCTCACTGGCTATACCAATCGCTCTGAGACTCGCGCCAACAGCCATAAATTAACTGAGAATGAAGAGAAATCACTTCTTCAGTGGGTGATCTCTATGGATATACGTGGAGCTGCCCCCCGGCCTGCTACTGTTCAAGAAATGGCCAATATTCTCCTCTTAGCACGTGGCCAGACCCCTTCTCAAACTGTTGGCAAAAATTGGGTCACAAACTTTGTTAAACGACATTCAGAGCTTACTACACGTTTCTCTCGACGATATAATTATGAACGTGCGAGGATGGAGGATCCAAAAGTTGTTCAAGAATGGTTTAATCTTGTTTTTCAAACAATTCAAGAGAATGGTATTCTATCAGAGGATATCTATAACTTTGATGAGACTGGATTTGCAATGGGACTTACAGCAACTGCTAAGGTTGTTACTCGTTCTCGATATTATGGTCGACGATCACTTTTACAGCCTGGAAATCGTGAATGGGTAACTGCTATTGAAACAATTAATGTATCTGGATGGGCCCTTCCACCAGTGATTATTTTCAAAGGCAAAGTTTTAATTGAAGGATGGTTTACAAACCTTCCACTTGACTGGCGATTTGAAACTAGTCCAAATGGATGGACAACTGATGAAATTGGACTTCGATGGCTTCAAAAACACTTTATTCCAGCAACAACTGAACGTACGCTTGGAAAATATCGACTTTTGATTCTTGATGGTCATGGGAGTCATTTAACTCCCCAATTTGATCAGATTTGCAAAGAGAATAATATTATTCCAATTTGCATGCCAGCTCATTCTTCACATCTTCATCAGCCACTTGATGTTGGATGTTTTGGGCCTTTAAAACGGGCCTATGGTCGGCTTGTTGAGAATCAAATGCGGCTTGGTTTTAACCATGTTGATAAATTTGATTTTCTTGAAGCCTACCCAATCGCTCGTAAAGAGGCTTTTCAAACCCAAACTATTCAAAACAGCTTTACGGCAGCTGGTTTAGTACCATTTGACCCAGATCGAGTACTTTCTAAGTTAAATATTCTTCTTCGAACACCTACACCCCCAGCTAGCCGCCCTACTAGTCGATCAAGCCAATTTTCACCTAAAACACCTCAGAATCTTATTCAGCTTCAACGGCAAGCTAGTTCAATCAAAGCTCTTCTAAAACAACGTTCAAAGAGCCCTCCAAGTCCACTCAAACAGCAAATCGATCAAGTTCTCAAGGCCTGCGAAATTCAGATGCATTCAACAGCTTTATTAGAGGTTGAAACACGCAAATTACGCGCTGCACATGAAAAGCAAAAGCAAAAGCGCAAGCGGTCTACTAGGCAGATACCTAACGAGGGTGGTATGACTGTTCAGGAGGGCCAGGAGGCTATACAGCGTGCTATACAGGTGGTTGAGGCGCCAGTGATCCCTCCCGTACCACGGCCTAGGGCGCCTTATTTACCCCCTCAGCCAGCTAGGAGAAAGCTACCGACATGTAAGAAGTGTGGAGAAGAAGGCCATCGATCAGATCACTGTGATATTTAGTTAATTATTTTAATAAATTGGCGTTCTGGTGGTAATATTTATGATTAAAACTGTAGGGTAGGCGGTGGGTGGCCCACTCGCTTGGGTGGCCCACTCGCTTGGGTGGCCCACTCGCTTGGGAATCACGTTAATTATTTGTGCCTGAAGGGCTGGGGTGGATTTAAGGCATTAATATTATGTCATACCCATCATCTGAGCTCCAGGCTAGGATAAGCTAAACCTAGTGAGCAGCTGGTGCCGCGGACGTGATCAGATGCATTTGATTGTATGGCATCATCTGCCTACCTTAAGTACTTTGCCTTGCTCAAACATTTCAATAACAGGAGAAATCCAAAACCTGAACTCTGCCTCGTCTCATCCATCTATGCTCCTACATTTACAGGGCAAAAGGACCTTGGTTTATGGAGAGAGGCGTTCATCTCCACAGGTTCCCCGTTGACCTTATTGCCCTAATCACCCACCTTAATCGTCCTTAACCTAGCACCCTCATGGCGATAGGACTCTGAGGACTCCAGAGTCTCAGAGCCATCCCTATCGGAAGATGATGTCCTCAAACATTCTTTCACGTTTCTTACCACCCGCCGATTCCCCCTCCGTATATGATACAATCCGAGAACACGATGCCGGCTCCGATTCCTCTGATGTCGAAGAGCGTGCGGGGATGGCCCCGATAGGCGACCAGGACAACTTGAGCGATGGAGAACTCCAAGATGCATTGGCAGATGCACGAGGCATCGAGCTGTCAAGTTCAACTGCAGGTTTGCTCAGTCGGCCCTCGCAGCAGCCACATTCCCAGGGCTCTCCATCATTCTCGAGGCGTCGGAACCTTTCCAGGCGCCGAGGTGACTCTCAGGGATATGATGATAACGATGTACCCCAATACCTGTTAGTAGAAGAGAATGACGATGAGGATTTGAAGTCACGTCTGCCTCCTCCGCCTCAGATGATGCCCAGTCGCTCTCAAACACCGAGCCCTCAACCGTCCCCACTCCCGCAACAACCACGCTGGGGACTTCCACGTAACGAAGTAACGTCAGAACTGAACACTCGTCATCCGTGGACTCAGTGGTTAGCCAGGCAGCATCTGAGTCTTGCGAATATCGATCCTAAAAAGAAAGCCATGTGGCGCTGGGCGAACGTTGATGATCTGGATAATTTCCTGAAAGATGTTTATACCTATTTTCTCGGTAACGGCTTCTGGTCGATTCTTTTAAGTCGTGTCTTGAATCTTTCAACGTTTGCCTTTGTGGTAGGCTTCTCTACTTTTCTCACCAACTGTGTTGACTACCACAAGGTGAGAGGGAGCAAATCACTAGACGAGATCCTGGTGCCCCAATGCACATCCAATATGTCTGGCTCGTCGCTATTCCTGCTGTGGCTGTTTAGTTTCTTCTGGATTGGGAAACTGTTCCAGTACATGCTAGACATTCGTCGACTTCACCATATGCATGACTTTTATCTGCACTTGCTTGGGGTTTCTGACGCAGAGGTTCAAACTATCTCATGGCAAGAAGTAGTCAGCCGACTGATGGCATTACGAGATTCCAATCCGTCTACGGCGGCAGCTGTATCTGCTAAACACCGACGGTTCATGGGAAGCCAGTCGAAACAGCGGATGGATGCTCACGACATTGCGAATCGTCTTATGCGCAAGGAAAACTTCATGATCGCCCTGATTAACAAGGATATCCTGGACCTCACACTTCCCATCCCATTCCTCAGGAACCGACAACTCTTTTCTCGCACACTGGAGTGGAACCTCAATCTATGCATCATGGACTACGTATTCAATCAGCAAGGTCAGCTTCGAACCTTGTTTCTCAAGGACACCCACCGAAAAACACTCAGCGATGGCTTACGGCGACGCTTCATATTTGCTGGCATTATGAATATATTTGTCGCTCCGTTTATAGTTATCTACTTTCTGATGCATTACTTTTTTCGATACTTTAACGAGTTCAAGAAGAATCCATCGCAGATTGGATCTCGTCAATATACGCCGCTGGCGGAGTGGAAGTTTCGAGAGTTCAATGAGCTGTGGCACATGTTTGAGCGGCGAACCAATATGTCCTATCCATTCGCTAGCCGTTACATTGACCAGTTTCCAAAGGACAAAACGGCGCAGGTGGGTCGATTTGTCGCCTTTGTATCCGGTGCATTAGCTTCGGTGCTGGCGCTTGCTTCGGTGGTGGATCCAGAGTTATTCCTCGGTTTTGAGATTACCCCGGATCGCACCGTGTTGTTCTACCTGGGTATATTCGGTACGATATGGGCAGTTGCACGAGGGGTGGCCCCTGAAGAAACCGACGTCTTTGACCCCGAGTATGCACTCCTGGAGCTGATCGACTTTACCCATTACTTCCCATCATCCTGGAAAGGTCGTCTACACAGTGATGACGTGCGTAAAGAATTTGCCGTCCTCTACCAGATGAAGATCGTCGTCTTCCTTGAAGAAATCCTCAGCATGATTTTTACTCCCTTTGTACTGTGGTTCAGTCTCCCTAAATGCAGTGACCGACTGATCGACTTCTTCCGGGAGTTCACTGTTCATGTGGATGGGATGGGCTATCTTTGCTCCTTTGCAGTCTTTGATTTCAAGAAAGGCACGAATGAAATGTCTCAAGGTCGGGAGGCTGGTAAACAAGATCTACGAGCCGATTACTTCTCCACCAAGGATGGAAAGATGCTTGCTTCATACTATGGATTTTTAGACCATTACGGGGCTCACAATCACCCGGCGGGCCGGCGACAATTCCATCCACCTCCGAACTTACCCACTCTAGCCACTCCCGAGACGGGTGGACTCCACGATCGAACGGATTATTATCACCCTCGACCGGGTCCGGGAGGTGGAGCCTTTGGCCAGTCCATTGTCGCATCACGGTTTAGACCCATGGCGATCGGTGATACCCGCTCTCCTGCTCATTCCGTACTTCTTGATCCACATAACCAGCCATCGTCATCTGGGTTCCGTCCCGGTCGAAATCTATCTCACCAGCGTCCTCGTCCCGCCTATTCACAGCATCCTATGATGGGACCTGTTGAAGACGATGATGTACCTTCTGAATTTGCACGTTATTCTTCAGGGCGGCCCACGGGTGCAGCTGGAGCCTCGAGTGGTGGTCTCGGTAGCGAGGGTGAGATCGGAGAATCCTGGCGAATGAATTCATTGGGCAGAGATGATGACGCTGGGGAGGGCAACGATGGCGAAAATTTGGAGGCCATTGCTGGTGGAGGCGGGGTGCTGGGTCTCATTCAGCAATTTCAGAAGGCTAATACAGATGGGCGACGGACTGCAGTGGGGATCTAGAGTATAGATTTACGAAGCGAATGCTACTTTCTAGTATAATGAATTTTTGTTATGAAGTCATATGGAGTACAGAGCACGAGCAGAGCGGAGTAGATCCATTTGACGCGGAGTCCTTATGATTTCCACTGTCAATCCACTGTACATTCATCACGGAGTACTCCGTACTTGATATCCCGTGTGTGCATATGAGGCTAACGGATATTCTTCCAAAATCTACTCATCTCCGGTTCACCTAACCCAAATGACCACAGAGCCTGGAGTACAACACATAATACATAATATCTCAGCTCGGCACACTCGGAACCAAGGAACAAAAACCCCGCATGAAGATCCACAAAAGACCCTTGCTGATCCCTCCCGCAAATCCAGAATCAGAATCCAGGGGGGAAAAAGAGACATGAGAAACATGAGAAACATGAGGAGTAAGGGAGATGAAATGGAATATGATGATTGGATTCTATATAACTTGAACTCCATTTAACCCTCTCTATCTGTCCATTTGTCTCTTTCTGATTTGAACTGCCCAGAAATACTAATACTACTAGTTATTCTAGTTTTGGCTTGGCTGATGGTCGAGAACATTAGTTCCCTCGGCTCGACTCTCTCTCGTATTCATTTCCAAGGTTTGCACAGTAATAGTTAGTAGTACTGAGTACTGAATGCACATGTGCTTACATTTAGTTCTTATATTCTACTAGGATTCCATTTTCTTTTTTTCTTTTTTTCTTTTCTTCTTCTTTTCTTCTTGTACTAGGGTTCTCCTTGAATTAAAAATAGAAAGGGGTAATTTCCGACTTTATCCTATTCTAGTTAAGTGGGAGATCTCAGTTCCAATTGGATTCATAATTTTTGGACCCATCACCTTAGTACTACGGAGTAGTGCTCTTAGCACTGGAGCCTTCAGGTACAAGGAGTCAGTGGATCCCCTTGAAAGTCCGAGTCTCGTGACAGTTCATTCTTCTTACATCTCATATTACACACTTCAATTTTTTTTTGCCTTGTATTTGCTTCTTATTCTTCCAATTATTAGGACCTCTATTTTACTCCCCCGAAACGGGGTGATCCGTCATGTTTCGCGCCCGTCGCTATAGAGCTCTTCTTGTCTTTGCTGCCGTCTTTCTTCTCGCCTTTTTACATTTTGCCCGATCGCGCGACTGGTCCGACGCGACTCCCATCGAGGCACCCCAGCTCGCTCGTCCCATTTCACCAGTAACCCCAAATACAACCCCTCAAGGAAGTGACAGGTTTGCGCCTGCTGTGCCAGACTATAATTCCCATGGATCAAGACCAGATCAACTCAGTGCGCCAAGTATTGAGAAGTTACCCTTGAAGGAGGAGACCACGGGGAGTGGGACGGGATCCACGTCTAACCTCAATTCCAATTCTAATTATATCAACAATAACAAGGATGTGGATACCAGCAAGGGCTCCACTACATCGGAGGGAAAGACCTCGAAAATTATCACTCCAGAGTCTGGAAGTAAAGCACTGACATCTGATAAGGATGTGGATTATTTACTGGAAGAGATCGATACCGGTGGTACAGGCAAGATGTCTGTCCTCCATCATGAAACAGATGCACCTCCAGCACATTGGAGGAAATTCCCCGAACGATTCCCTGTCTCCGCAGCTGAGCTCATCAAGCTTCCGAAAGAGCGCGCAAAGTCCATGCCCAAGTTACAGGCGAAACTTAAAGATGAAACCACGCCCGATAAGCAGGAACGCCTGCAGCGGCTCAGCACGATCCGGGCGGAGTTTAAGCGTGCGTGGCTTGGATACAAGGAACTTGCAATGGGACATGATGAACTCAAGCCGTTGTCTGCTGCGTTCGAGGATCCGTTCAATGGATGGGGTGCGACGTTGGTTGATTCGCTTGATACGTTGTGGATCATGGATATGAAAGATGAGTTCTCTGAGGCGGTGGATGCTGTGAAAAAGATTGATTTCACGACATCTCCCCGTGAGGATATTCCTCTTTTCGAGACAGTCATTCGATACCTTGGTGGTCTGATTGGTGCTTATGATATCTCGGGACAACGATATGGTGAGCTTTTGGAAAAAGCGGAGGAACTCGCTGAGGTCTTGATCGGGGCATTTGATACCCCTAACCGTATGCCTGTGTTGTACTACCGCTGGACCCCGTGAGTATTTACTCTCCCAGTCACTATGGTTGATGATGAACTAACACTCTTTCAGGGACCATGTTACTCGCCCCCATCGGGCTTCAAAGGCAGCCGGACTTGCAGAGATCGGTTCTTTGTCTTTGGAATTTACTCGATTGGCTCAGTTGACCCAGCAAGACAAGTACTATGATGCCATTGCACGGATCACGAATGAGCTTGAGAAGCTACAGGATGAGACGACCATTCCAGGTCTGTGGCCCATGCGCGTCAATGCCCAGGGTTGCGCCAAGTACAAGCCTCAGCAGGTCAACCACAACTCAAAAGAGGAACCTCGCTCAGAGCCGCAGGTCCCTCTGGCGCCTACGGAACCAGAGAACACTACCACAACTAGTGCTACTACCACACTCCACAAACATTATACCGCACCTACGGATGTGGAGAGCTATCTAAATCTAATCTCCCGGGACTTTTCCGATATAGACCTCTCAGAGGCTGAGCCTGCCAACTACCACCACACCTCCGTTGCAGCAGATGCGGAAGACCAGCTTGACCACGAATACAAGTGTGACGGCGGACTGCTACTGCCCACCGCAATCCGTGAGAACAAATACACCATGGGAGGAATGGCCGACTCCACATACGAGTACCTACCAAAGCAGTATCTTCTACTAGGAGGTGCAAACGACCAATACAAGCAGATGTACAAGAAAGCTATTGACGCAGCTCGCAAGAACCTTCTCTTCCGACCCATGATCAAGGGCCAACGCGACATCCGGTTCATGGCATCAACTTCCAACCTCGATCCCTCCAAGAAGAATGTCGACATGGCTACCAACTTGATATACGAGACTCACCATCTGACTTGTTTTGTCGGCGGAATGGTCGCAGTCGGAGCCAAGGCCTTCGGAATCGAAGGAGACCTCGATCTCGCATCAAAGCTAACAGATGGTTGTGTATGGGGATACGAGTCCACAACCACAGGCATTATGCCCGAGCGATTCCGCGTTCTACCCTGTAGCAAGGAAGCATCCTGTGAATGGGACCAAGCGCGGTACGACGAGGAAATCAAAAAGTTTGGCCATGTGCGCGATTCCGCCGCTGAGGCTCAATTCCGAAGTGGCGAGAGTTCGTATGGTCAGCGCGTTAAGATGGGCACTGATTCCAAGAGCCCGGAACCCAGTGGAAGCATGGCTGTTCCATTACCCATGCCCGGCTCAGTAAATCCACATGATGTTGATCCATACCGCAAGCGTGATACATTTTCCATTGGCCGCGCAGCTTCTTCTTCTATCCCCAAACCTGCCTCGCCAACCGGAGACCTGGAAGATAGAGACGCACCTCGTGTCTCTTCGCCAGGTGCTTTATCACAAACAGACCGGGATTATCATCTCCCAGCGGGGATGGTGAACATCGGATCATCGGAATACTATCTCCGACCTGAAGCCATCGAGTCCGTTTTCATCATGTTCAGACTGACAGGTGACGATATCTGGCGGGAGAAGGGTTGGAAGATGTATGAGGCGGTTTCAAGATACACTCGAACGGAGTTGGCTAATGCGGCCATCACGGATGTGATGTCGCAGAGACCTGCACAGAAAGATTCAATGGAGTCGTTTTGGCTAGCGGAGACATTGAAGTATTTCTATCTGCTCTTTAGTGAGACCGATGTTGTGGATTTGGATAGATATGTTCTGTGAGTATTCCCAATTCCCCTGCTTGATATCGTTGGTGATCGATGCTAATATGACTACAGGAACACCGAGGCGCATCCTTTTCAACGTCCGGTTTGATTTATTTAATGCTAGTGCTTGTTTTGATTTTTTGCATAATGATACCAGCGAAATGCATATATTGTTTTCTGTGACCTGTTTCTTTGTAACATTGAAATTTTGAGGCGCTTAAGAACTTCCAATGGAGGCTCAAAGTGTCATTTGCAGGTTGTTGTGTATCAAGGTCCATCCTGGGTAGCTCCATCCCCACATCATCATACTTTATATCTCACTCATTCTTCCCTTCCTTTTGATACTTTTATTATGATTTTTGATCGGTCTAAACACCAGATTCGCGTCTCATTTTAGGACTATTAATAAAATCACACCGGTCAAAGAGCTTTTCCCAATTCATAGCCCTTTCCAACTGGTTCACAGGTTCCACACCACGAGAAATAGTAACCGCTCCATCCAAGTCTTCCTCCAGCCCAAAAACCTGGACCGACATTTTCTCAGGATTGTTCTTCCCTTTTCGAATTTCCTTTTCATCAAACGCAACAGGCCATGCATCTGTCCCCGACTCGGAGTCCTCAGGACTCCCAGTATACGCAAACGCGATTACTCTCCGACTGACTTTCCGAGCTAACTCGAGTTGCTCGACTGAGTTATCTGCTCCGGCATTTACTTCCTTGCTGTTGAATACGTATGGGATATCGCTCAGATGCGCAACACCCCACATTGGTACGCCCATGAATTTGTATACAGGTGCATATCGGGTAGCGTTGTGCTCGTACAGCCAGGCCTTGGGAGAGTCAGAGCCACCGGAAGATTCCTTTTCCTCGTCTTTGCTGTGCTGCTGCTTTTGAACACAATTCCATGTAAAATCGAGGACTGGACATGTGAACCAGATATCTCGATTTATTTGCGCTGCGCGATAATACTGTGGTGAGATATCCAATCCAGCCTCTACGTGACGCTGGATATATGTGAAATCTTCAAGAGGATAGAGGCCAAGGAGAGTATTTTGCGTTGACTCAGAGAGACCAGATAGCCAGAGACCGAAACTGGCGAGAACATCTTTATCTGTGGCTGTTGTTGGAGGTGCGTACCAGGCTCCGTCATTCGTAGCCCAGGACGCCATCAATGGGATATTCGTGGTCACTTTCCCTGCGCGGAGGAGCTCGGAGGGTCGTCCTGGGAGGATGTCACCGTCGATGGTAGGGTAAAAGAATCCTTCGCCGAACGGGGGTCGGGCTGTACGGGAGGCCGTTACGGAGAGGTTGGTTAAAACCTCGAAAGGAATCCGTTGGAGACATTCCAAGGTCTCGAGAGACTCAGCGTCTTCGTTCGAGACACAGTTGGCTTCTTTAGCGATGGAGGCGGTGTTTTCGGTGACATGGGCTGGATCACTATTGAAGTTTAGACCTGGGGCACCAGACATCATCCTGAGATTCATGTTAGCTTAGAATTATGTGGGCGATTATGAAGACTGACATGGCTTGTTGAAAGGGAACGCCGCGTGTGCCATTGTAAGAGACCAAGTGGAGGGCCAATGTCACTGGCTCCAACACTTTGACCGATAGCAGTCACTAAGAGTGTAAGTTGTTGTCCGTAAAGTTAGGGTTGAGAACGAACCTCTGTTTGGATCTCCTCCAAAGGCTTCGATATTATCTCTAATCCCTATTGCAGATATACCATTAGTATGTGAATGGGAATCGATTACTCAGAGTAACTCACACTCTAATGCAGCACGCTGGTCTCGCAAGCCGGCATTGGTCTGCTTCTTCTCGATCATGGTTTTGCTGGTTGCGAATCCAAATACTTGAGCACATTAGCGTCGCTCAAAGTAACAGGAGGGATGCATATTACAGCCTAGTCGATAATTGATTCCAACGTAAATCAACGGTTTCCCACTCGCAGAAGCCTCTTCGATGAGCCCATTGGGAGTGTACAGAATCTCCAAAGCAGACCCTAATGCATGACCACCTATAACTTATTATTAGAAAGAGCCCTCCAGGAGTCCTCGTACTGGAGCTTGCATGCGCACCTCCATGTAAATAAACAACCACAGGCAATTTCCGGTCTGAAGTTGAGCCCCTCGATCGGGCAATCCGCAAGCTCAGGCAGTTCTCACTAATGTTGGTTATTCGACTAGTAAAAGGTAGAATATCCCCAGTGCCTTGAGGACACCAAGCCCCAGCCTTCGTAGCATCGAGAATGGATCCCCTGGGTGGGTTCACGGGAACGGGAGGCGCGAATCGTCGCGGGCCAGTGGGTTCTTCCCCGTAGAAGATATTCTGGAAGTGCTCAACATCACCCAACACGCTACCAACATATGTGATGTCACGAGATGAGTCGTGGACAGTTGGCGATCGTTTTATTTGATCATTGGCCGGGTAGAGGTGGTTTGCGAGAAGGGCTATGGCCACGGCCAATGCTGCTATTGTCAAAGCAGCTCGAGGGGTGCCCATGATGGAGTGTAATAGAGGGAGAATACATGGAAAGGGGGGAATCAATTTTGAATCGGAGATGAGGGGAAGGCGTATACCCGATATCTGGTAATTGCGTTCGGGGACCACAAAGATCGGCGGAGAGGTAGACTGGGATGCTGATCCTTTGGGGCCTCAATGCTTCTTTGACCACGGTCCCAATAGTGGATCCATGTCTCGGGCACTAGCATATGTACAAGCGTAGCACGCTTGGCCCAAGAGTTGTCACCCCACGTATGACCAGGTGATACTAGTAATGCATAAGCATGCATCCCAGAAAGGAGGTTTGCCCGTCTGCAGAGTAATAATATTGGGACTCACATGTGCTAACGTCCATTCTCAGTGTTACTACTCCGTACGCATCATGATAAGCCCGAGGTGACATGGCCGGGTCATCCCTTGTGTGTATATTAAGCCTCCTAAGAACCTTGGAACTGCTCGCTTAGGTCAGTGAGCTCTATTTGATTGATTGACTGATATGTATATTTCAATGTTTGATGTTCTGTAACTTCAACCTTGGAAGGTTCTAAGGTTGGAATGTTTACATATAAAAAGTTCACCAGCTTCCAATTTTCAACTAAAATTAACCTTGATGGCAAAAAGTTGTATTTAGTACAAGTAATGAAAAGATTGAATGATATACATAGATAACCTTGGAAGAATCCGAAATAAATACTAGGAAGATTTCCAAGTATTGGAAAACTGGGTACGAACAACGATAGCAGCAGGAGTTTCTAGCTGACATTCGATATCTTCAGGGTCCAAAGGATGTCGGGTGGCGATAGCTGTGCGATAAGTTCCCATCTCATATGAAGCACTTGACTTATTGAAGCTCTTTGATCTTTCTGTGAGACAATCCTCCTCCCTCCCATAGGAAGGATAGCTGGCATTCTTGTGTCCAAGTCCCTTAAAGCTGTCTCGGATCTTGGCAATCACGGGTCCGCAAACTGGCATGCAGCAGACAATCATCGCCACATTCAGTTCGATAGCCGACCAGAGTATAAATAGAGTGAAGCCAGCAATGAAGTCGGGATTGTCCTTTTTATCATATGAAGTCACCAGATAGATGTACATCCTGGCAATACCAGCTCCGATTGTGCTGAAGAAGCTAGTCAGCTTAACAATGACATGGAGTATGGAAACCTGAGCAGTATGAGAAAAGGAAACGTACAAAAGACCTAACATGAATATACCTAGCAAGCCAACCTTTTTTTCTAAAGGTAGCTGCAGCCTCCAGATAACAGCAATAGGCATAATCATGATCACAACATCGGTGGCAATATCGGTGACCGTAAAGACCGTGAGCATATTGAGTGTATTGGTACATTGGGTCAAAAACAGGGTAATAGGTGCCCAATTCCAGCTCCAGTGAAGGTAACACTGGAAAATTGTAGCGAAGAGAAAGGCTACCGACCAAGCTACCACAATACAAATCATGATGTGACAGCTCACTTGAAACGAGCGGATAGGGGTGATCATACGTTTCCAAAGAAGTAAGATAGATACTTTGATCAGCCCAAATGCTATCTTCTCCATGATCTGAAAGGCATATTTGTATTTCTCAACCAGATGCTCCAATAAGCTGGTAAGAGGCCAATCGTCCACAACTTTAGAGTGCCCAGTGACTGCCCCTTGAACAGTAGCTGCCAGAAAGATGCTGTTGAGTCCCAAAACAAGAATCTTCTCACGTTAGAGCCAGCTGTACATAACTCATGGAAATTTAGAGCAGTGATAGTGAGAGATCATACTTACAAACGAAGCCAGGGCGACCCTGTCATCAGCGGCCAACGGTGCGTGTTTCAGCTTTCTTGCTTAGAACCGTGATATGATGAAGAAAATTTGGATAATATAGAAGATCGATATCATCACGAATAATCCGGTTCTGTTATTGACCTTTTCCAGTTTTTTATGATAGACCACGGTGATGTATGATAGAATATCTCCATGGCTATGTAACTTAAAATGTCAATTAAAGTGAATAAAGTAGGTATTGGCTTCAAGTTCTGAGTATGTAATAATATGTTGTTGCACTGGCAGAATTGTTAATGATAATCAAGTGAACATTTTATTCTATCTTAAATAAAACAAGAATTTTTTTATACAAATGCAGTACATACTACTCTGAATCTTTGCGGATTTTGGTTCAGCTCGAAGAGCTAAAGGCTATAGGACAACAGACATGGAGACAATCAACTGTCAGCAATAACAACACCGTTCAAACTGTAATTTGGCCCCAAAATATTATAGGTGTCAGAGAATTGGGTTTTACAGGCCACGGGTCTTGGTTGCACATATGTTATCATCTGGGCCAGCTAGATACTAGTCACAGTGTAATTGACCCACTAAACTTTGTCGATCCTAGATACCTGCTCTTTGGAGGCCTGAGAAAACTTGAATTGTTTGATCTCATTAGCTTCTTTTGCTGTCAGACTGCAACTCATATGCCCAGGCTGTATGTGTTAGTGGTTGCTTTTTCACAGCAAAATTCTGAGCTCAGGTTCGTGATTCGACTGAACGGGCTGACGATCTTCGTCACAATAATCATGTGCATGCATTACTAGCCACATAAAGGTGGGGTTTACTACCTGTCCAATGTTGAAAGTACATTGAAGGTTTCGGAATGCCCGTTTGACAGGGATTTGAGGGAATTTTGTCGACACTTGAACAGGGGCATTGGCAGTAGACATGACTAGTAGAAATATTTTTGAAAATAACCATTAGAACCACAGGGGTTTCAATTAGCTGATGTAACTAGTAATTCAGGAAGTTTCAACTGAAAATGGCCCCCTCTTTCTGAGATTTTCTAGATACTGTAGTACATAGCATTTCTGGGTGGAGTCCATATGGCAGATAGTATCCAAGAGCATCATACAGATGTCCATTCATCCCTAGTATCATCGCTCCAGACCTCTTCTGAATTCACCCTAGACACATGGGTAGCAGCCTCAAGTTAGAATTTAGCCTTTCACTATGCATCTGCTTCCAGAAAGCAACGAAAGTGCTGGCCTTCTTGAGCTTGATAACTCGGAGTATGCCGGGGAGCCTCAAGTTGAAGACACACAGCTAAGAAAAAAAATCAGATTGGGGCTTTATCAACGAATGCTTCATATATCATTTCTTCATCTTCATCTTGATTCTTACCAATCTGGTCACGCTTCGAATCGCTGTTCGAGATCGCCCATTATCATCATCGATCCACGAAATCCAGTCAACGTCAGAGTTCGCTGCACTTAAGAGAACTCATGAGGAACCTTTTGTCCTACTGACCAACTATGCATCAGAGAATGAGACTCTTCGCAATAGTCTATGGTAAAATATCAACATTGATGATGGTATGGTGGCACTCTCGGACGAATGGGCTTACCAACATGGCCTTCGTACAGCGCAGAGATTTCCCTGGGACAATAGCAAGGGGATTTATTTGCTACACGGATTTCACACTTTACATTGCGTGAAAATCGTTTATATCGCTCTGAATGAATACCAGTCAGGACAGCCCCAGTCTCGCGCTTGGCACCATGTTATACATTGCATGGATGCTCTACGGAGACAAGTCTTATGTGATGCAGATGACACACCAAGAGCTACTGAGAGACGTGCGGAGGTGGTCACTGGAGTTGGTCAGCATCGTATGTGTCGTCGATGGGATGAGCTGGTGGATTTTGCTAAGCAACATACCGCGTGTTACAAGCGTCCTGAGAGGCCAGATGAAAGCCCAAATATTTTGGACCGATACAGGAACTGTCCCCCGAACAGTGGCTATATTACAACGGATAATTATGTACCTAGTGATGAGTTCTTGGTCGGATTGCCAGAGGATCGATTGAACCGTGATGTTGCTTTGCTCATAGTGTGCTACCTAAATCATTCATGATGTAGACTCGGAGTTCTACAGATAAACGTGCCAGTGGTCTACTACTAGTAGCACTTGAATATTTCCAAACCATGCAGAACAAGCCCAAATAATAATCAATGGGTCTGGCGGAGCTTGAGAACAGGCACGTGCTATTGATATATTGAATAAAATGTTGAATGTTGAGACTCGAATTCTGGGGTCAACAGATCCTAATGTTGCTATCGGACTAAGTGCTTGAGAGCTACCTATACAACATCCATCAATTGAATCTTGAACATTCAGTTAGACCTGTAGCGCATAGGTATCCATACGGCCAGGGATATTCTTCTAAAATCCATCCGCCATCGCGACACTGGCCTCTTCGTCATCATTGCGTCGTAACTTCTTGAATCCATCAGCGACTTCAACACTGGCCGCTTCGTCATCCTCGCGCCGGAGCTTCTTGAAGCCGTCAGCGACGTTAACTTGAGAAGACTCATCGGTGTCTCGTCTGATCTTGAAGCCGTCATCGACTTCAGCACTGGCAGTACTAGGCACTGGCATCGAGTCTGTAGCTTGGAGAATAGCTTAGCATACTAGTACAGCACTTGAGTGGCCACATATCTGTAAAATGTAAAGTTGGAGACTCATCCTTGACTGTGGGAGCAGGAGCGCCTAGAGCCAAAACTCCAAGAAGGCCCAGAATAACAAAAGCGCTGCGCATTTTGAGTGTGGATTTTAGGTTGAAGTTTGAAACTTGAAATGATTTGTGAATAGTTTGGGAGTTGTAGTGTGGTAACTTCCGGTGTTAATCTTGGAAGGACAGACTCTAGGAGGGGTTTAAAAGAAAATGCATTCAAATCATGATGTTGACTCAGGTGCTCCAGCCCTGGAGCCGCACATATTTCCAGGGTTCCTTTCTTGCGGGGCGCATCTATCATTGCCCCAACACTGAGTGAAGTTTGAGTATTACTTTGCGTTTTCAGAAGACAGCCTCAGCTCTTACCCTGGATACAATGCAGGTAAGAATCGTCTAGCTTCTTCTCTGCATTGCAGAATGTAACCAAAAAACAAGGAGTATTCCCTGCTAGTGCTGAAGATCTGGGGGTGATGGATGTTCGATGGGGCGACGCACCTCCAGGGCTGTGGAGTGTGACGTGGCTGAGCCCCGGAGAAGATGCCTTCATCTGTTTAGTGCCAATATTGCGAGTAACCTTGGAAGCATCTGATTGGAGACCACTGGGCAACAATCTGCAACTAATTTAACGCACGAGCAAACTTTTGGCAACTTGAAGCCTTGTATTTGGCCCCTATAAATTCAATGCAATACCTCGATCTACATATTGATCACAACGCTTGAGGAGAGCACGCAACATTTGGATATGAAATGTACTGGGAATTATTTCCACCTAAACGACCAGTAGCCCCTAACGGCCCCCAATCTGTACGACGTGGCATGTATAGCAGTTATGTGATTATTGAAGGGATCGATGAATTCCAAGGTTGACGAGTTTTATCTGGGAAAGAAATGACTAGAATTACAAGGATATGATGTAAAGCATCTGAAAGCGCTCCACATTTGAAAATGAACGTTTGAAGTGACAAATAGTGAAGACAGCGAAGAGCACTTGAGTTCATGCGAGTGCACAGAGTATGAGCTTAACCGGTCCAAAGATAGGTTCAATCCAGATGTCTGAAGTTGTTGGGTTCGACTCGGACCTTGGAAGTTCTAAGACCAGTGTTAGAATCCATACCCCACTACAGTAGTAGGACACAAGTAGTAGGACAGAAGATCCTTGGACATTCTTCCAGGGTTGAAATGACTCTGTCTGACGGGTGGTCATAGTAGAAAGGTCTCCATAGTATTGCTACTTTCACTCCATTATCCCCTCCCCAAAACTATTTCCTTCATCCATTATGTTTTCAAAAATCATGGGAAGGAGCACCAGATATGCACGTATCAATCCTGATGTGCCTGATAAACTTGAATATTGTTAAGACAAGAGCCCAGAAGAAGAACAGTTTCCAACAATCGTCGAACGACTCAGGGCCACGAAAACAAGGCTTATTATACTTCTTGTCTTAGCACTCTTTACGGCGTTTTTAGGCGGCGCAGTTACTGTCTACTTCTTGATAAGACCAAGACCAGTATTGCAGAATGTTGCTCCTCGCATTGAAATCCCTTTCATTGCACGAGAGTTTGTACACTGGTCAGAGTTCTCTGAAATCCCTCCATCTCTCTAGGGTCTATGTCAGAGCCCATTTGGGACTCACTGATTCCAAGTCAGTCAATATTTCCAAGGTTCTTAGGAAATCATGGCGGGTCTACATCGATGAGGAATGCTAATTTGAATTAAATGACCAGATGGCCTGGGTTACTTCCAAGATGCATCTCTTGCTCCAAGTCCCTCTATCCCCACCGTTTTCCACCAACTTCATTGCTTCTACACAATCCGACGGGCCTATTACACGGACAGCGAGACCTTAGAAAATTTTGATTTCGGCAAGAATCGTTCTGTGCATGTTGCGCACTGCTTCGACTATCTGCAACAAGGCCTTACTTGTTCAGCGGATACCACAGTGGAGCCAGCAGTGGATGAGGAACGAGGATTTTTGGGTACAGGATTTAAGCGACAGTGTCGCGACTTTGAAGGACTGAAAGAATTCGTTACAGAGGGAAGGAATTTTGATAAGACTGGCTTTTTGGCTTTATCACATCATCATTCTGGTTGAACTTGGAAGAATTTGGGGGTTTGACGGTCAGCTTGGGGGCACTGCCAGTGGGTTTCATAGTACTCATGTTACATATACAACCTCTACTACCTAGTAGGGCTTCCATGATAAACTTGACACTTGAAAGATACACCTGGGCATACCTAGGTAGTGCCCGTACACTACTACTACCTACTACAAGTACAAAGGTATTTTGATTCATGAACTTCCAAGGTTCAAGTTATTAATTCATAAATACTATCCATGAAAATCCAATGCCCACTGGCAGGTGGCGTAGCGTTGAATACTAGTAGGCTGGACCAGATGTTTCAACCTGGTACATATGACTGAGGCTGAGAATCAACACCGTAAAATTATATTCGATTAGACTAGATCATGCACATGTGTGTTCATATTAGAAAAAAAAGCAGCTCCAAATACATTTCGAACAAGCAATAATGCCAAGTAGAGTAGTCCAAGCTTGAGAGTAAGCTTTTCATTGGCCCTGTAGTAGGCTAGTACGGAGTAAAAACTTGAAGCAATGAAAAAATTACACACAACACAGCATTCCATTTTAAATCTTTTATGAATTGGAAGTCAAAATAAATTATCCGAGGACTAATAAAGAACAATAGGCATGGTAATACCATAAATTGGTTGTTTATTACGCTACTCAATGCCCCACTGGAACGCGCTACGTATATGGGGCCTGGAGGTAATTGCGTAAAGTGGTTTAGCCCGAGCACTTGCGCCCCGCAACACTAACATTCCGCATCTCCAACCTCCCAGGGAAACCGGGATGAGTGCTCTGGACAACCCCCGAAGAAGTAGATTTCGCTCGGGAAATGGAGCCTGAGGCCTTGGAGCCCGAACAGTTCTGGAATGGTACGTTCTAATACCCGGTCCATTGTGCGAGCTCGGTGTGCTTGCGAGTTGCCTTCAACTCGGACTTCTCGACGATCCTCAAACCATGCCACCGAGGTCCCAATTAACATTCTGCAGAACTCGAAGCAATCGTTTCTAAGCCGGCTGAAACCGAAGACCTTATCGACGATGCCCTGAGAGCCTACCTGAGCCTCACGACACTGCACAAAGGTAACCATTCCTGTGCTTTCACCCTCGCTCCGAACCCCACCCCCTCCTCTCGTTCCTCAACAGCGTATATATGGAACTGTCGTGCGAGGAATTGTCTGGACTGAACTGAAGACTGACTGGTATCCTGTGTGGTGGTTTAGATGAACTCCTTCCGTCTGAGTGGGACATTTCGCAATGCTCGTATAAATTATTTGCCTCGAGCATCTTCGGTGGACATGCGGATTACGTTCGTCGACAGATCATTTACGGTCTTTTACAGGTATGGCAAGGCATTTCCTCGAATATCACCCCTTGGACCTATTTAGCGGTGGGCTAATCCCTTTTTTCTCGCTCTTTGCTACAGGATGACGACCCAAATACCCTACATATGATCGCGTCGTTCTTACTCTTCGATGGTCGGCAAAATGAGGAGGCGCTGCAGATGATGAATGAGGAGGGCGTCTTTGCGAGGTTGCTCGAACTCATTCAGGCGTTGAGGAGGGATGAGATGGACGGCGGGGCGGGTCTCCACCGACTTTTAATGGACTTATTATATGAGATGTCGAGAATACAAAGGATCAAGATCGAGGATTTGGGTATGTACTTCGCCAAGTGATTGTGTCGAATTGGCCTGAAACTGATAATCAACCTCCCTACAGTCTTGGTGAATGATGACTTTATTCGGTGTCTCTTCGATATTATTGAGGATTTGTCGTATGATGTCACAGATCCATATCATTATCCTGTCATTCGAGTTTTGGTGAGTGGATCCCCTGGGAATGGAACTATGGTATGATGTGAATATGCATACTAATCTGTATACTAATCTGTATCAGCTTGTGCTCAATGAACAATTCATGATCTCCGCCCATGACCCCGTGGATGGCCCGTCGTTGTCGAGCAAGTTGACTAACAAGGTTATCAAGATTCTGTCTGCATATGGCAGTCTATATAAGACCTTTGGAGAGAATATCATCCTGCTTATCAACCGAGAAGGTACGTGGGTGGATCCCTTTTGGCGCATCCTCATGGCTAATGATAAACAGCGGAAACATCTCTTCAACTCCTTACATTGAAGCTGCTATATCTTATCTTTACTACGCCCAGCACATATGAGTACTTCTTTACTAATGATCTTCATGTGCTGGTGGATATTTTGATCCGGAACTTGCTTGATCTTCCAGAGGAAGCGTCGGCATTGCGGCATACCTATCTGCGCGTTTTATACCCACTCTTAGCACACACTCAGCTGAGACTGCCGCCATTTTACAAACGGGATGAGCTAAGGAAGCTACTTAATATTCTGGTACGAGGCCAAGTCTCGTATGGAAATGAGACTGAGCGAGAGACAATCCTGCATTTTGAGGAAGTCGATGAAACCACAAGACGGCTTGTCTCTCGCTGTGCGACGGTGGATTGGTTGCGTGATGTAGAATCTGAATCTGCAACCGCACGGGAAATGCCCGCTCAGACGGTGACAACCACCATTGATACAGTACTGGAAGAGACCTCTCAACAAGATTCACCGATTGACATTGGGGAGCCACTCGACATGACTCGCACCTTGTCCCGTGCGAGTACCATCCCAGACTCGCCCGGTGCGGCTTCTCCAACAAGAATAGACTCGCGCGGCTCATCCGAGGCGCCAGAGTCTCGTCGCAAACTCAGTGCAGTTGCTAGACTCGGCATGAATCTTGAACCAGCTACTTCTTCTTCACTCAGCGTGCAAGCGGTTGCAGCCCAGCATGAGAAGCCTGGTATCATCACGCCTAGTCGAAAAGACGGGCCAGTGATTCGGCCACCAAAGATCAAGCCTGAACCACCTAAAGCCCGCCGCTGGCGTGGCCGTCGTCTCGCAGGAGACGAAGACGAGCAGCAGCAACAGCAGCAGCATTCTGCCGGCACAAGCAGTGAGCGCAATAGTACCATCATCCCTGAAGATGCGGAGGTGGAGGTGGAGATGGAAGTTAGTCCCACGTCAACTCACACTGCCCCATCGCCAACACCCACTCCCTCTGGATCTGCGTGCGCATCTCCTTCAACGTCCCACAATGTACCAGCTGATCGCCGTAATTCCACCTCATCCCACCTCATTCCCCCAATACCTACTCATGCCCGTCGCTCTGCATCAAACCCACCACCTGCTCTACCTCCACCACGTCGCTCCACAACCTCCACCCCATCATCAAGTCAACACCGCCCTCTCCCACCTCCGGTACCAGTCCCGACGCCGTCACCAACTGCGGTAGCCATAAACAAACATGGCGCAAAGCCATTGCCACCGAAAACGCGGCGCTGGGGCCGTGGCAAGACACACGCAGCCACTGATTCCGTGGAGAGCGGTATCAGCACAGGGAGTACGCAGAAAGATGACGAGGCCGAGATGGCGATCGTTACGGAAACCGTCATTCCACCCCTGAAGGCCGATCCGGAATTTCAACATGGAGATAATGGTTTTCTTGAGGGTGATGTCAATGGTAACCATCGTGATCCATTCTCTCCCACATCGCCTACATCGCCCACTCTCCTTGTGTCCCCTTCCTCTCCTCCGGCTGAGCTTGAAAGTCGTCTAGCTGACAAGGAGGAAAGTAATGGATCTTCTGTGCCTATCAGTGTGGAAGAAGCGGTGCATAATGTTTCTCTCCACTAGAGACCTTTCTCGAGGAGACGTAGTAGCTTCAACTTAGCTAAAGCTTGCATTTGGATTGTAGCTATGCATTTGATAAATGAGATCATGACCTGACCTAATTGGAGTTATATTACATACTAGGTAAATTAAGCTATATCAAAAGCTACATTATATATGGCCCGAATTAAAATCAATAGGCATTCCATAGAATAAACCACTAAAAATACACAAGAACTTGAACAACAGTTCTTCATAGCTTGAAGATTAGATCAAATCTTCAACCCATAGCTTCTGCCAACACCAACAATAGTATTGCCCCAAAAAGAGAAACACTGTCCAATAATCTCAACCTTCTTCGCCAATATATCCTTATCCTCAAACCTCCTCTCCACAAAGCTAGCCGTCTCACTCATATCCGCCGACGGATCCCGCGTCATAACCACCTCCGCACTAGCGTAGATAGCACCCACAGCCGCACGGCGTGTATACCAGCTCGAATCGACGGAGGCATCACCAGCTAAGGAGAGGATATCATTTGAAAGGGCATGGAGTTCAGCGAGGGAGATGGGGATATTTCCCAATAAGGACATTTGCGCCAAAGCCTAGAAATCATTAGCATTTACCCCATACTTGTCACCAAGAAGAATCTATGTAATGAGTTAAAAACTCACATCTTGCCATTGATCCCAAACACTCTGATTCATCTTCAATCGTTCCAGAATCAATAACTTGATTTTTCCATTCACGTCCAGATCTCCGGTCTTGAAGAAGTCCACATCACTTTCAACCTTTGCGCGCAGAAGACCGCGACGACTAGCGAGCCAGAAGAGGATGAGGTCGAATTCGCCCCGCGGGAAGAGCTGGACGCTCACATCTAGGAAACCTGCGTCGCGGGCGCCGAGGGTTAGGGATGTGTTTGTGAAGCCGTGGGTTGGGACGTGTGATAAGGCGGCTTCGAGGATAGCTGTTTGGCTGTTTGTGTAGCTATGTGGTGGCAAAGAGGGGTGGAGATCTGAGTGGTATGATCTTTTTTGAGAGGATTGTTTGAGTTGAGTGTTGAAGTGGGAGGTGTTGGGTTGGAGGACTGGTTGTCGGGATGCGCGGATGCAGGTTGTAAGAGGGCGGGAAAATCGCAATGGTTTTATGGAAGGGATTGAACCCCGTGGGATTGAACGGGCTAGAGATGCCATGGTGGGAGTTTGGAGGTATGGAATACAGAGTAGAATTTACTGATTACGGGGAAGAAGTTCAGGTAAAGTTGCTTGTTCGGTGGATCGGGATCTGCACGTGCTCGAGCACAGACATTTTGCCATTCTAACGCAGATCGGGCATTTTAATAACAACGAACTTGGTGGGAATAGGGAATCATCGGACAAAGCAAGAATCAATAGGGGGCAAAAACAAGCGACGGAGGGAAAGAAAAAAATATAGCCCCGGAGATTCTCCCATAAAAGAAACACAAATCATGTCACAGAGCTACGTGAGCAAAAAGAGGTCGTTACATGATTTGGTCCTGGGTGAGACCTCCAGTGGGCTCGGCGCCATCCATCGCCTCGGGGCCAGGGCCTGCATTGAGATACTTGACAAAGGTGATTCCCAAGGGACGGCCGCCATACTGGTAGCCAGTGAACTTGGCTGTACAGGAATTAGTATATAAACTTCAGCTTAGAGTCACTTATAAAGATATCAACTCACCAATAGAAGTCTCGGCAGTGTCAGAAGTATCAAACTCGACGACACCAGTGCCACGAGAACGGCCATTGGGCTCGTACTGGATCTCGGCCTTCTCAACCTTACCGATGGTCGAGAACAGGTCGACTAGATCCTCATTGCAAGTGGACCAAGGAAGCTGCTTTTTATTAGCTCGTGATCGTACATATGTGGACCACTTGTAATACTTACGTTGCGCACATAGATAGTCGAGGTCTTGTCGCCGCCAGAGGTGGCATAGTCCGTGAAGGGGTTGGGAGGACCAGAGGGAGCGGGAGGAGCGCCCTGGTCGAATCCACCACCATGACCACCACCGAAGCCAGGAGCGCCGCCAAAGCCACCACGGCCGCCGAAGCCACCGCCGTAACCGCCACGACCACCAAAGCCTCCACGACCACCAAAACCACCACCACGGCCGCCAAAAGCGGGGTTGAAACCACCACGGGCACCACCAGAGTAACCGGCGTTGGCACCGGCGAATCGATCCTCACGAACCTCCAAAGGACGGCCCTGCCACTCGTATCCGTTGAACTGGGCGATAGCATTGCGCGCATCATCTGGCGACTCGAAAGCGACGATACCGGATCCCTTGGGACGGCCGGTGGGATCTGTGTGCACATCGGCGCGGATGACAGTACCCTGCTGAGCTAAAGAAGGGGAGTTCAAGTCAATTCACTAAGCGCTCATAAGGAGAAATGATGAATAAAGAAATTGTTAGCCGAAAAGGACAAGCCAGCTCGGTACTTACCCGCTTGGCGGAAAAGATCCTTCAAATCTTGCCAACCCACGTTGAAAGGAAGCTAGAATTATGGTATGTTAACAACTAATTTTCCACGATTAGTATCTCAGGAGCGCAAGGGACAACAAACGTTGGACACATAGAGCTGACGGCCTGGAGCACCTCCACCACCAGGAGGACCGCCAGGACCGCCAAATCCACCACCAAATCCACCACGACCACCTCCAAAGTCGGCGCCACGGGGAGGGCCACCGACGAACCGGGGCTCGGCCTCACGGTCCTATAATGATAATTAGCAGACCCTCCTATTATAAGCCCACATGTCTTTGACGGATTCATACCTCGCGAACGTAAACAAGACGACCCATCAAGTTTTGGTTGCTGAGCGAGTTGACTGCATTTTGTGCTTGGTCCCTCGTTGCGTATTCCACAATCCTATAGCGTATATTAGCTCCCGAATCCCCTCATTGAATACTCAGTTGGAAAACTCACCCGCATCCCTACAATATCCGGACGGCCAGGCCCAGCCCGTCAACCCAACAGTCCATGCAAGGAAACCAGAAAAAAAGCAAAAAAAACCACGAAAAATCAGGGAGTAGAAAAGGAACCAGCCACTCTACACATTGGCGCCCACCTTCGACATTCCATTCGGAAGAAGTAAAACATCGGCAAAGAGAACTTCTCCAGCTATATCGCGAAAATCCAAGGAAACCACCGGTCAGTCATCCAAACTTTCATTTTTTTCACCAAAAACTATCTTGAAACCACGCGCATCGATGCTCACCCTGTCTCATAAAATCTTTGAGGTGATGCCACTTGACATCATAGGAAAGGTTTCCTACATAGACCCGGCGGTCTTGTTGGGAAGAATCGCGAACCGATTGCATCATGTTCTCTTTGTTGACGGAGCGATCCTCGAACGGTCTGCCCGGCGCGTAACCACTGCGTCCACCGTAAGGAGAACCCGAACCAGGTGCACCAGCTGCACTCAAAGGAGATCGCGAACGACGGTCACTGCGACGGTAATCGTCACGACTGCGAGAGCGACTGCGCGGGGTGTAAGAGCGACGGGTACGACGAGGACTGCGAGAAGAACGACGACGAGGTGAACGAGACCTCTCACGCTGCTGCATGCGGTCAGAGTCAGGATATCCAGACATCGTGGAATATTAAATTGTCGCGTCGCAAGAAAATAAGGCGGGGAAATTTAGGGGGGTTAAAAAAGGTTAGAGGTTAGAAGGAATGTGGGAACACAAGGAAAAGTAGGATGGGGGGAGGTTTGACGGGAACCAGATTATGTTGGTGGAGTAGGAAGAAGGGGAGTTTCGGGGCGATCGGAGGTGGGTCAGGTGACTGAGCGGCTGAAACAATGCGAATCGAGGACCCCGGGGAAACGGGATAGGACATCCAGTTTTTGGCTTTGTCCAGAGAGAAGAATGTTTGTGTGTTGAATTTTTTTTTTCTTTTTCTCTGTTTCCTTTGCGACTATACCCAAACTCTCCTCTTTGACCTCTTATATGAAGGTTTCAAGTATGAATGGGGAGCTCGTTTTCGATAGACAGCTTCCGCCCCCGCACTGACCCCCATCATAATAGTCCAGGAAAGATGGGAAGGACAGAAGTATGAAAAGGAGAAAAGACAAGAGAGTATAAAACCAAACAAATATAAAAATATAAAATAAAAACAACATATAGAAAAGAAAAGACAATCAACTTACTTGGGGACGATAAACGTCAGCTAAACAAGTCAGTGAACAAGAAAAAAAAAACGATAAAGGGGGAAGAGGAGAAAGAAGAGAAGAAAGCGGGGGGAAAGAAGAGAAAGAAGGATCAGGCGTCAAGGTTCACTTTCGGGGGGTGATCCAGACGATGATTGGATGAGGGGGCGAGAGAATGTACCAAGGGGACAAGACAGATGAGGAGAGAGGGAGTAAAGAAGTATCGAGTAATACAGAAAATACACGGGGGGGGGGGGGGTTAAAGAGAGATGAACTTACCCATGATCGGATAACACGGGTGTCAACTTTTGGTTTCAAGTGGTACGAGAGTGGGGAGAAAAATAAAATAAAAAGAGGATGAGGGAAAGGGAAAGAGATTCAAGTTCGGAAAAGGGAAGATTTCAAGTTGAGGTTCAATTCTTGATACTGTAAACAACTTGCCCCACCGCCCCATTCGCGGGGACTTGATGATAACATCCTTGGATGTATATACTCATCTCCAGTACTTCCAAGGTTCCAAAAAAGTTGGAGTCGGAGACTCGCAGAGTCATGCCACTAGTACTCCATACTACATACGAGGTAATCAATATTCGTCCTAAGAACACGGTATATGATACAATACATTTTTCCTCCAATTGTCAATCCAGCCTTCTATCACGTTCTGGACTACTCCATACTTCAGGTACATGGTGTCACCATAACGGGTGCGTATTTCCTGTACTGGACTTAATTGTCATGGATGTGATTCGTTTGCACATCTGACTCGTCTCGTCTTACGCGCCCTTAATCAAAACTAGTGCCGGGATTTGATATACATCAACCGAAACGATCGTCATATGCTACTCTATTTCAACGAATGCGCGAGTATACAAGACTCGGGATATCAAAAAAAGAAAGAAATCACCTCCCAAAAATAAAGATACAGAAAAAAAGAATGCGGGAGATCCAAACGAAATTTGACCGGAGATAAAATCCACGTTGCGCCTTACCCGGGAACGAACGCCTGCGGGCCGATGCGCGGGACCACTTGAGCGAGAGGACCAAAACGCCTAAAAGCAAGCTAGGCCGCGTTGAAAAGTAAATGGGGGGAATGTCTGTACATGTGTCACGGACAATACCAGGGAATAAAGCCCCACTGCGATAGATATAGATGGCAGAAAAGACAAGAAAGTGGGAAATGATAAATGGAAAATGGAAAATGAAAATTCAAGAAATCTCGAAAAAAAAAGAGAAGAAAAGATGAGTTCGAAATGTTCGAACGTAGAGAAAGTAATTGAAATTGTTAAAAGACTCATGCGGCTACATTGGTGTGAGGCCAGTGGCCAGGGATCTTTTCCTCGTATTTTAGCGCACTGTCCTGGCTGACCCGGTTAGGATTCATCAGGTTAGGAACAGAGCTGTTTCTGACGCCAGCACCGCGTGGAATAGGAACAACGAATCCCACACCGGATGAGCCCGGGATTTCATCGACAGAGGTGGCCAGGGTGTTGTTTGTATAATCCGTTTGGTTGGTGTTGGTTGGGGCCGTGGAGACACTCTCACGGCGGGCTACATTCGGGGGTGCGGAGCTTTCTCGGCGGGGGTCTGTAACAGCAATCACCCCGGGTACCGCCGTAATTGAGGCAGCACCATCGGATCGGATCTCTCGATCATCGACTATGTTCTGTGTAGGTTGTTGACTCTCCTGATTGTTGTAGTGCGAGTAACTGTCCATCGTGTTCCCATCAGCATACACTGCTGCCCCATTTACATCGATGCCTCCGGAACTGGCTCTGCTCGAGGGTGAAAGAGGTTCTTGCAGGTGTCGATCGATCTGAACATCACTGGAGAAAGCACCGCCAGCTTGACGTGTGGCAGACATAGGTCGCTCAGGCTCCTGATATATGGCAGATTGGGAAGAGAATGGACGCTCGTCGGCCTCATCGTCGTCAAAAATGTCGCTATTTGTAGACATTACGCTCTCGCGCTTATTTCGCTTAACGGAGGCAGATCGGACAAACGCATTACGTGCCTCACCCGTCTTGTTGCTCAAGTTTTCAATATCCTCACGCCACGCCTCCATGGTCTCGTGAGACTCGGCGCGGAAAACCCATGAGTGACCTCGGTGCATGGCACCGGTTTGGCGACCCTTGAGCATGAACTTATGGGAGCTTGAGCCTTCATTTGAATGAGATCCCAGCCTCTGCTCGGGTAGATATAAGGACATAACTGGGGTCTGGAACTCTACCCGATCTGCGGACTTAAACTCGTGCAAATGTGTCGGCGATAAGACATACCACCCAGGAGTATAGCTCTTAAGGTACTTGCTCTTGCGCTCTAGCATGCCGGCGCGGACCTCAGCTGCGGCAGGATGATCCTTTCCGGGGTATGTGATGTTCTCCACGTGTCGCAGAGGGATGTGAGGGTCAACCAGTTCGTCTGTGTGTGCCACAAAGGCATTCCACTCGTGGTCATGAGGCATTGAGATTGGGCCCATGCGAAGCTTCTCCGCAGTATCATAGGCTTCATCAGCCTCTCGCTTCAGGATGCTGGCGTATGCATTGTAGGCCTTTTGAATCTCGCTGACCACAATGGATTCTAGCTCGCGACCCGAGTTTTCCAAGTTCAGATAGGCGTTGTGCAGGTAATTCTCCTCCACTATCTGCTTCTCAACTTGACGATCCACACTTAGGCGCAAAAGGAACGGATCTCCTTTGCCAGATGTCGCAGATGGATCAGTATCCACCAGGCCTAGAGACTCGTGCAGATTCCGAACTGCTTTGCGCGTGGCATCAATCTCCTTGTCGACTGTGTTCTTGAAATCGCCCGATAGATTCTTAATCTCTTTAGTCTTCTTCTGCAAATCGCTGCGAAGCCCCGTCAATTGGCTGATCACTTCCGTCTCCACCTCCACGGCCTTGTTGGCTTCGGCGTATCCTTGTCGGTGGAAATCGCGCAGAATCTCAGTCGCATCGGCAAGACCACCGGACTGTAAGAATGCGGCAGGGATAGTCTGGTTGTTGATAACATTCGAGGCAGAAAGGAAAAGCTTCGATCGAGCCTCGTAGGACTTCTGTACTTCCTTGAAGAAAACAATCAAGTCTTTCAAGATCTTGCGCCAAGCTAGTTGAAGTAGAAAAAAAAATCATGTTAGCATATATTGCTCTATCTCCTCCTCTCATTTCTCACCCACATACCTTGAAAACGGGTTGACAACACCTCAGTTGGGTTCCCATTCGTGGGAATAGGCACCAACAAGGCACTGTTCACATCTTCTGGTCCGTCGAGATACCTTTCGCGATTATCGATTTGACTTAACCTCCCCGCGTCCAAGCTTTTCGAGCTTCGGCTCCTTGACAACTTGCTAATCTTTTTAGATCCCTTTCGGCTCAAGCTTCCCTGGGACGGGGTAATAGAAGTAGCATGCGAGGCCCTGGAGACTGATCGCCGCGGGTCCGCGCCATTGACACCAAGCGCGATCGAGTTAGGCTGACTGAGGCCATCTTCAAGCGCACTATGATTGGAGGTATTGTCGGCGTAGGAGTTCCGGTAGGAAGGATTTTGTAGCGAGCTGTATCTGAGACTTGGGGCGCGGTTCAAATTCGAGTATGGATCCTGCCCGGGCATCTGTGGCGGCGCGGCCATCGCCAAGAATTGAATGTAAAAAAGGTGGGATTGAGGATGATTGAGAGTGTAAAAGGAATGTAAGGGGGTTGATGGGAACAAAGAGAGTGTTCGGAGAGATAAATTCGGAGGAAATGATCTGAGAGTACCCTGTAAATCTTCCACAAAGACAAATGTGAAAGGGGGTTGAAGATCGCGGGAAAACAGTGAATCTTCGAAAGATGGCGTGGGATTTTGGTTACCAGGCGAACGGGCTTAGTACTATACTAGTACGAAGTTCTCCAAGGCTTGAGCTGATTCTGGCCCGAAATAAGTGGGGGAGTTCGAACGGGAACCTTTTGGAGTTTTCCTTTAAATTTAAAGTAGGAACAAGTTTAGATTCGCTTGAAAACTTATTTTAGGAGGGGCCCAATATAATATGAAGCTTGGATTAAGAGATGACGTCTACGAAGTTAAGAGGGGTGCGCGATCGGGTAGGATGACGAGCCACAAAAACCAGTTCATTCCGGGAACCCCGGCATTTTACTATTACAGAGAGAGAGGGGAATTGGAATACTGGAAATATGAATTCAAAGATTAAAACCCTATTTTCATGATGGTTGACGTCGAGGATTTTCGGAAGTCCCGGCCGATATAGTTCCTGAATACTATACAGAAAGTACTAGTACGGAGACCAGAATGACAAGATTCCAAAAACCTTCTACTGATATATTAGGGGGTAAATAGGGGGAGAGAATAGTTATTATACATCAATCAATTCATCTGCACGGGAAGCATATTCCTTCAAGCTAAACTGCAGCTATGGAGAGCGCCCAGAGGTCAATTTGGCTGCCTATCGTGGCTGACGGAGCTAGTGATGCGATCTGTGGCTGAGTTCAAAGTTCAAAAAGGGGGGCGTTCGATAGAACCCCCCCCTGATCGGCTAGTGATGAACATTGCATGACGTCGAAAGAGGGGGAAGGCGACAAAAAAAAAAGGAGATCAATCTCTTGATGGAGACACATGGAGAAGGTCTCCTTGGCAGCATGATAAGGTAGTCCTCCCCGAAGGCTTCCGAGTATACGGAGTACGGAGTATTGAATCGCCATGATCTTTGCGATCTCGCTGTAACCTCATCGTCGTCCTGCCAGAATTGCCGCTTTGAGGAAATCCAGGCGATATCACATCGTGGCCGGGCGTTGTTCCATGGTGGACTGCCATGCGCATCCACAAGGCGATAAACGATACCTCGTGGAGACTAACTCCATCGGGCCAGAGAAATGCTGGTTGGCAGAGAAGCGCGATCATAGCCCATGGTTATCCACCGTCAAGAGGACCTGCATTCAGTGGGTTGCGTCAGGTAGAAATCCCCCAGCCATGGAATTCAGCCGGAATCTAGGATCCGAGGCCCTATGGTGGGATTTTTGATATCACTCGATTCATATTCAAATATTCCTCGATATCAGGTTGAGTATAGACTGATTCATATATCATAGCCTGGGGGGGGGGGGGGTTGGGGAGGGTTTGATATACCCGCACCATCATTGGCTCCTCCCCAGCATCCCCTCCGCATCCTGTACCGCAACCTCCACGGCTATCATTGACAGAATTGAATCCACATTGCAGCCCATAATTTCAATTAGTCTAAAATGGCGGAATATGCTATGAAGTAAGGCTACTAATCGATTTTCTTATGGATATCTGATATTTGACGAGACTCGGAAAGCTATTGTTGACCAGGATGGTCCAACCTATCTACGTCACAGACATTATTGAGACTATCGACACAAGGAAACTGAATGAGATTGACGTGCCCGGCATGCTAGAGAGGCAACCATGATAAAGGGGGGGTAATTTACACAACGCAACGGAGGAAACAATGGCAGAATCAAGGAAAGGAAAGAAACGGTTTTTATGAAGCAGGAACCTTGCCTGTGGGGACCTCAATTCCGTATGTCTCCTTGATGCGCTCAGCCCGGCGCTCCTCGTAGTTAGCACCGTAGATGCCTGTGAAATCATTTAATCATTAGTATCATCGATCTCATATAATTCAATTATCGTCATATCGATATTGGGGGTTCGTACCGCGTCCCTCGCCGAGCTCGGCGAATGTCTGCTCAGCCGGAGTCTGGAAGTTCTTGCGGATCTTCTGGCGACGCTCAAACTCGTCTTCAGATCGATCCTTCTGGTATCCAAACAGGGATCCACCAGTGTACTCGAAAGCGACCATGGCGGTGGAGAGGGCAACGCCGTAGCCGAGAACAGCGGGGAAGGAGCGGGCTAAAACATATGTGAGTATACCGGGATTGTCGGATTCATAAGAATTGAAACATATGGGTTCATTACTGACCTCGGAAACCCAGAAGAGAACCGGAGAAGAATGCACCCAATGCGGTGTTGTAGGTGTCCTCGGTTTCACGCAAGTTCGCGGAGGCAGTTCGCACAAATTCATAAGTACCACCCATTGCGGCTAGAATGATAGTCTGATTAGCATTGATCACCGTATTTTGCATGAATATGGGAGCTCTTACCAAAGATACCGATGGTACCCCCGCTGCGCGTCAGAACACCCAGGGCTCCGACGTTGCGGCGGGCCAAGGTGTTCTGGACAGCGGATGCCATGAGACCAACAGTACCTGTCAGTAATGTGGTCTTTGTGGCTGCTGAGATAGCATCCTTGGGGTGGTAGCTGTGGTCCTCCTCGTGGTGCGCCATTGTGTGTGCTGAGAGGGATGGAGCTGCGGGTTGGATGAAGTTCAAGAGGGAAGTTTTGAGATTATGTGATTATGTAATCGATATATACACCTCCGAGGTCAGCCCTTGGAGGACTGCAGACAATGGAGACATAAACATTTGAACATAAAACAAGATATAGTTTCAGCTAAAGCTGCAGGTTGATTCCTGTGAATTAAATGTTAAATTCATTATTAGATAGAATATTGGAGGAGAGAAATAGATAAGACATAGTTCATTTCACCTAAATAGTTAGCCCTTCGTACAAGTTCAAAGGCTAAACTGCTATCAATTATAATAGCACCAATTGCACAATGAAGACCATGGCGATAGCTTTTTCATTTATTAAGAGCAAATCATGGCTTTGGGATCAATTGATATAGACTAATGCGTGAAAAAAGCACATACAAAGACCAGAATAATATGCGGGCATTAACCGAATCTAAATCCAGGGCTAAATATGGGCAGATATTAATACATGTAGGATAATTAGGGCTACGAATACTTTGATACCTAGCTATTCTTTCCATATTGAAAATACCCGATCTCTTCTCCTGATAATATCAAAATTGTATACTTCACGAGTTTGCACCAGCCTCGCTGTTGAATTACCCCATGTATACTCACCGCCTACGCTATTTGAACATGAATGCCTCGCGGGCGGTCAATATCAATTCTGCCGGTCTACTATTCATTTGAGGCGAAGCTATCCAACTGACTTAACGAAACACCTCTCATCCTCCATTCCTTTTCTTTTCCATTTTTGAATCTATTCCTTTTCCCTATTGGAAAAATCCTAGCTGCTTCAACAGTCATTGTTTAAGACTCTTTCCAAGCACCTAGATTCTTTGTTTCAAGCTTCCCGGCCCGCTGGCGCCCAGTGCGGTGGGCTCCCCGCTGTATCTCCGTTAGTGATAATTCCGTCACTTAACCAAACCGCGAAGGACGCTTGCACATTCCGTTCATCGGATCCCTTGGGTTATCTACCCTTGGGGTCTCCCAAATCATCATCAAAAACGACAAAAGTCCATCGAATTTGTTCTAAGCCAAGATTGTGCTGCGGTGTTCCAGCAACACAACCGTCATCATGGCTACGGGTCTCATACAAAAAGCAGGTTAGTAACAGCGCAGCGGAGGCCTACTTTGTGTATCCAAATGTTTGGACTTACCTCCTGATAATATCTAACATTCCTCTCAATATATAGGAAAAACAGCTCCCCGTTTGGCTGAAGATATCCAACTTTACGACTCTGCCTCGCTTGAAAGCACTGGTCGCAACCTGCTCTCTCAAGCCCCTCCAGTGTTTCAGGAACAATACAAAGGTCCCTTGCAGTACATATCAAGCCAAGCATGTCGCCACAATTATGTGATCAAACAAGACCAGACTCATCTGGCCAGCTCAGACAAAGCACGCAAAGAAGCAATGTCCAAGGTGTGCGCCATATGTTCCAAATGCTGTAGCCATCTACAGGTGGTTGCGAATTATGGAAACAACAGAAATAAATCGATCAATGAAGCACGGGATCATATTCACCATCTGGTGTACAAATCTGGACGGCAAAAGAGATCCGGCACAGGTGAAGAGATCATGGAGACAGGGCAGACAGCCGAGACATTTCACTACCAATGTTCCCACCCGTTATGCTCAACAGCAATCTCTCTACGCATTCTGTCACCAATCATCACTCTCATGTATCATGCTCAGCTGACCAATGTGGAAATCTTGCGTCAGCGAGCAGGAGCTGCATTTGCGGCTCAGCCAGAGCGTCTTGAGGGTGTGCCATTTCCATCGCCCATCACTGTTCTGGAGAACTTACGCCTCTACTTGAACAATGCACTTCATTATCCCGACCGCAGTAAGACTATCACGTCGAACAATAAACGATTCATGGTCTCTTTTGGCGTGGGAGGTGCAGCTTGCCGAGAACTGCTAGAGTTTTTAGGGTTTGAATACCGCAAGGTCAGTTTGCCATTGCCCTCTTTATCTCTTCTGGATGGTTCTTTGAAAACAAAGAAATCAACAAGCATATTAATGATAATGATCTTAGGATGATGATACTTGGGATCCGCCTCGTCCTGTCCCTAAGGCAACAATGCCTTATCAAGATGGTGCAAGACTTTTCTTGGATGATGTTATCCACGAATTGATCTGCTTGATCAATAACAGGCCTCCATCAGAGCGACGGGAAATAAGCCCACCTCCTCTGCCTCCATCAGCAAATGATGATATCTTGCATGCCATGGAGGCATTTGACTGTTTGTACAAATCAGTTTGTTCATTACTAGATCCATTGAGCTAACTTTCAAACCAGATCCCAAAGCAAAACGGGTGCATATGTTCAAAATGGCCTCTTCTTCGTTCGTTCATCTTCCCATTCATACTCAACAAAATCATACTGACTTTTTGTGTAGGTACTATGAAGATCTTGGGGCTGTGGAGGACATGTCTTCCCCATTGATCATAGACTCTTATCATCGTCAAGTAGTGGCAGACCCCGGAAATGCGGCACGCTATTTAGCGTGTCTCAAAGAAATAGGCACTCTTCGAGGGGGTGAGGATGGCGAGATCATCGATCAGGCTGTTCAGCAGGCCTATTCAGAGGGTCGATACACCTATGATGATGTGGCTGAAGCTTACAGATTTTTTGGGCTGAATCATGAGGATCGCGAGGTCTCAGATGAGACCATTATTGGAAAATTCTATGCGCTCATTTCAGCTCCTGGCTCTAACGTCCGCCACCGCCGTGACCCTGCCCCATCACCCTCGACACCACCCCTCAATGAAACTTCGTGGGACGCGGAGATCCGGCGCCATCTCTGGCTTATTGGCGACAACATGGGTAATCAGCGTATTAAGGCGACTTCAGAAGACCGTACGTCAACACTCTCCTATCCCACTGGCAGGAACCTTCACTGGCTTACTGACATCACTGAAGGCGTGGAGAATTTTGCGCAAGCGCTTGCCTTCCTGGGAGTCGATGAGCAGACGCCTGATGACTTCATTGTTACAATGTACACCACAAAGGTATCCATTTCTTCCACATACCTTCGCTTTTTATTCTTTATTTTCTACTCATTGCGATTACTGACACTCTCACAAAGATTAGCGACCAGCCCTGGTCCAAGCCCATAGCCGTCAAAGCTCTTGAGCTCATCGCGCAGACACGCAAATCCGAAGGCTTAGAGTGGTTCATTAAAACGGGTGAACTGGTTTCTGGTGATATGGAAATTGCTGATGCTTATCGCATGCTGCAAATCCCAAACAGAACTGTCGACGAAGACGCTGTTATTGCGGCATTCACGATTTGCATTGATGAAAACCCAGGCCAGGCTGATGTTTATGGACGTGCTCTTGGTGTTATTGCCAGAGAAATGGATAGCACCGTGCTCAAGAGCATGGCGGGGATCAGTACAGGGGCTGATGTCAACGCTTCCAACTGGCCTGTTGGTCTCACGAATATCGGCAACACCTGCTACCTGAACAGCCTTCTTCAGTTTTATTTCACTATTAAGCCATTTAGAGACTTGGTAGGCAACATTGACAAGTATCAAATGGATGTCACAAGTGAGACAAGCTTAGTGGCGAAGAAGGTGGGATCTCGCCTGGTCACAGTGAAAGAAGTCAATCGGTCTTTGCGATGTGAGTCAGATTTCTTGTCTTACACCTGCTTTCATGCAGCACACTAACTGATTTTATAGTTGTTTATGAACTTCGATTACTTTTCGCAAACATGGCTACTTCACCAAACTCTTCAGTCACGCCCAGCCAAGAGCTTGCGCGGTTGACCCTCATCGCTGAAGGCAGTGAAGCCGCTATTAATCAGCGGTCCATCACCAGAGAACATGGCCTTGGCGACATTAATGGTGCTCCTGTCTTGGGTCCACTTGGGGATCCCCAGTCCATTGAGGAAAAGCCCATGACCACTGAGACCAATGTCAACGATGCTAGTAGCGAAGCAACTCTGGTAGCCCAGCCAGAAGGTCCTAATTCAGCCACAGCTATTCAAGCGGTGGCCACCTTACCCGACTCCTCTGCTCAACCTCCACCTGTACCATCTCGTCCAGATTTCGATAATCGAGAATTTTCGCTGGAAAACGTCGATTTTGGCATGCAACAAGACGTCACTGAGGTTATCAACAATGTCCTCTTCCAGACCCAGTGTGCCATTCGACCTCGAGAGATCGCTGCTGATGGTGAACAAATTGACCAGGTCAAAGAGTAAGTTTGGCGATCCTTTACCATTGATATCACTTTTCTGACTTTCTCTAGCTTATTCTACGGACAAACACGATCTTACATCACTACGCCTGAAGGCACACGCTCTAAGGAGGAACGTTGGTCAGATATCAAGGTTAACGTGGCTCTCGGACCTCGAGACATCTACGATGCCATCGACGGGGCTTTTGATCCTCAAAGTATCATTGTTGACAAGCAAGAGGCTGAGCAGCATGGCGCCATTACCCGCCCGCCCCCAGTCCTTCAGATCCAGGTGCAGCGTGTGCAGTTTGATCCGGTAAAGAAAACGTCTTACAAGTCGACAAACCATCTTCAGCTTGCGGAGACAATTTACCTTGACCGTTACATGGATTCTTCGAGACCGGAAATCTTGCAAAAGCGATACGATTGTTGGGAATGGAAGAAGAGAATTGTTGCTCTCCAGACCCGCCGAAACGAGTTGCTCAGCTCAGAGGTAGATCAACTCATCTGAATACAAAATGGACCTCCCTCATGCTGACAACATTATATAGGATTCTAAGATGCCTGACCCGATGAACCTTCTGTCTCGAATGGATGAACTAGCCCACCAGCTTGCTGGGCACCAGCAGAACCACTCGACCCATTTACGTGTCGAGCCAACGTTCTCGCAGGAGATCCAGGAAGTCGCAAACGTGGTGGAAAAGGAAATTCAAGGTAAGAATAACATCTAACACATACAGGTTCCAATTTGAAACATGTCTAACAATGATTAGCTATCGACAATGAAATTCAAACCACAAAGAAGCTCATTTCCGAGCAATTTGCCGACTCCCGCGCACTCCCTTACGAGCTTTATGCAGTCTTTATTCACCGAGGAAGTGTCTCATTTGGTCATTACTGGATCTACATTCATGATTTACAGTCAGGAATCTGGCGAAAGTACAATGACGAGTACGTGACCAAGGTTGAGAACCTGGACGAAATTTTCGGAAGCCCTAACGACACCAATCCACCAACTCCTTATTTCCTTGTCTACATCCACAAAGACAAAAAGGATATCTTGACTGGCCCCCTTGAGCGCGTGATTCTCGAGAACAGTGCTACAAACTACTCAAATGACTCAAATGCTATGAATGACTCAACTGCTATGGAGGGATTAATTTCCCCCAACCCCCTGGAGGGCGCTCATGCAGATTACAAGACTTACTATGAACGCCCTGTGACACCCCTCACTGTCACCCCCCGCTCTGCCCAAGAATTTCGAGACATTCCAATGGAGTAAACAGATGGCTGGAGCAGCCGCCGCGCTCTTGGTAGCCGGCTTTGAGTGAGCTCCAGTATTGATGAAATGATTCTTCCGTTACACACAGCACATCTCACGATTTTCTTTTTTTCATATTGCCCATTTTATTCCCCTTTTGTGTCATGGGTTTGCATTTCCGTTCGTGTTTTCTGCATAAACGGCGATTTTTTCTCATGTACATAATGAAGATACCACGAATGAAGAGTCCAATCCCCTAATTTTAACTTGAGCTGCGCTTACACCTGCATAAATTACTATTACTACCAGTTGGAATACGAACTTACATCTGGGCTTCTACTAGAGAAATGCAAAATTGGATAAGACAAGCGAGGGAAAAATGACAATAAGAGACACCGCTACTTACATCCCAAGACAGAAACTTCTGATCTTCTCATAATACTAAGCCACCTAAATAAGAAACCCTGCCAGTGGTGATGGAAATGATATCTGTACGTCCATATACTCCACAGAGAGCCATGGAACCCATAGATGACTCAGTCAGGCGGCCCGCGGATCGGAATCGGATCGGCTGTCATTTCGGCTGCTTCGATCATGGAGTAACATGTTCTGCGTCTAAAATATTATCTCAAAAATAAAAAAAGGTGAAGGAAGTAGTAGAGAGATATTGCGCAGACCAGGGCTCATATGAGTTGACTTAATTATACTTCTCCCATGTTGATCTCAACACTGTCGGATAAAGCCCAGGAGATGGGGCAAGCCATTCTGCGGGGAAAACGTTAGAACTGGGGAACTTGAATGAGTAAGAGCCGGACCCGTGCGGATTATTGCCGCCCCCGGAACTATATAAGATGTCACCCCTCGGACCTCCCTTCACATTATCTTGAATTTCCCTTCTTAAATTTCCCTTCTCAATAATTCCAGACGAGAGGAATTTATCTCTTTTATTTGCATATCACAATAGCCATGTCTTCTCAAGTGGCTACGTGCTTGCGCTTTGCGCGGCAATTCTCGGCCGATCCAGTCAAGGTAAGTTGCACCCCTTCGAAGGAATTACGTCCAGCACATGACAGCCACTGAGATTTGGGATTCAATTTCTGACTGTCCTCGCCGTCACAGCACCAAAGATTCCTGGCTCGCACATTCTCTAGCACCGTTCGCCGCGGCGCAATCAACAAGGTTATCGCCTCCGCGGAGGAAGCCGTCAAGGACTTGAAGTCAAATTCCACCCTTCTTGCCGGCGGTTTCGGATTATGCGGTGTCCCAGACTCTCTCATCAACGCCGTGCGCGCTAACCCCTCCATCTCCGGTCTCACAGTCGTCAGTAATAATGCCGGTGTCGACGGCTCGGGTCTCGGTCTCCTCCTGCAGTCCAAGCAAATCAAAAAGATGATCGCCAGTTATGTCGGCGAGAACAAGACCTTCGAGCGCATGTATCTCACTGGTGAAATTGAGCTCGAATTGACCCCACAAGGAACTCTCGCAGAGCGGTGTCGTTCTGGTGGCGCAGGAATTCCCGCATTCTACACGCCCGCAGCTGTTGGAACTGTCGTGCAAACAGGTGAATTACCCTTGAAGCATAATGCCGATGGCACAGTTGGGCTATATAGCCAGCCACGGGATGTGAAGGTCTTCGATGGGAAGAGCTATGTCATGGAGGAGGCGATTAAGGGCGACTACGCGTTTGTGAAAGCGTGGAAGGCGGATAAGCTGGGTAACTGCCAGTTCCGATATGCGGCGGCGAATTTCAATGGCGCAATGGGTCGCAATGCCAAAATGACTATTGTTGAGGCAGAACATATCGTTGAGCCCGGCGATATTGATCCCGCTGCTATTCACCTGCCTGGTATCTATGTTAAGCGTGTGATCCAGAGCACAACTGAGAAGAAGATTGAGAAATACACCTTCGCCAAGGAGGAGGGTGCCGATACATCTGCCTTGGGTAGCGGTGATACCGCCAACAAGCGCGAGCGTATTGTTCGTCGTGCGGCCAAGGAGTTCAAGAACGGCATGTATGCTAACTTAGGCATTGGAATGCCTATGTTGGCGCCAAACTTTGTCGACCCCTCCGTGGAGGTTACTTTGCAGTCTGAGAACGGTATCTTGGGCTTGGGTCCTTACCCTAAGAAGGGTGATGAAGATGCTGATCTCATCAATGCTGGCAAGGAGACTGTGACTCTTAACCCTGGTGCTGCGTGCTTCGGTAGCGACGAGTCCTTCGGCATGATCCGCTCTGGTCGCATTGATCTGACCATTCTCGGTGCTATGCAGGTTAGCGCCAAGGGTGATCTCGCCAACTGGATGCTGCCTGGCAAGATCAAGGGTTTTGGCGGTGCCATGGATCTTGTCTCTAACCCATCTGCTACAAAGGTTGTGGTCACCATGGAGCACACTGACAAGAAGGGCAACCCCAAGATTGTCAAGCAGTGCGAGTTCCCCTTGACTGGCCCTGCTTGTGTCAGCCGTATCATCACAGATCTTTGCGTCTTTGACGTGGACTTTACCGACGGGCTGACTCTGATTGAGATTGCCGATGGTGTAACCGTCGAGGAGGTCACGGCTAAGACCGAGGCTCCATTCAAGGTTGCCGATGACCTTAAGCCTATGCTGTAAAAAGTCATATGCACTGTCAATGTTCAATTGGCTATTGTTTTTGGATTTGGTCTTTCTGGCAAAGCATTGCATTTCCAAAGGCATTTGTACATACGCAATCTGACGTTTTCCTGGAGTTAGTCTATACGGTTGAATCCATTCTGTTTATACATTTTTTGTGGTCCATCTTGGGAGAATAGCTTGAAGTAATCTCAAATTAGATAGTCTTTTTCATGCATATTGAGTGGCGAACATCTCGAGATGTCGTTCCGCAGAAATAGTGGTACAAGTACTAGTACATGCAATGCAATCCGATAACACCCCCAAAGGACCAATATAGATATCAAAACAAACCCCATTTATACATATAAAGCACACCCATTGGGATGTCAGAAGAACTAAATTCTTAATCCAAATCTCAGTCTCAATCATTAAGTCAGGCGGAACAATCCACCCAAGCGCTTGCGTATCCGGCCAACCCAGTCGCGGTTCGGGGCTTCCTCAAATTCGCGTACAACGTTGTCATAATGATCGGGATCACTCGCAGGGTAACGGATATTCTTTGCCATTGGATAGGAGGAAGCGAACCGGTTTTCGAGGAGAGCTTGAAGGGCGCTAGCAGAGGCATTGGAGATCACAGGTTGTCTGGCTGGTGGAGCATCTTCGGACTTGGACTTTTTGGGTTCGACCTCAGGCTTTTGGCCTAGAGCAGCTTGCAAATAGGCTTGCACAGAGACAGAGGCAGGGCGAACGGGGTCTGCCGGCCAGTGTCTTAGGAGGTGTGTGAGGCGTGTTTGGAGAGTGCGCTGGGGTGTATTAGCAATCAAAGGACCAATTAAATTTATCAACAGATAATAATATCCGAATCAAGCTCGCAGGGTCATTTACCGGAGGGTTAGCCATGTTGAGCGTATTAAGAAAAGGCGTTTAAATAATGAAGACTGAAACCGGAGATCAGCATAAAATCATATCAAATCCGCAATCGTGATTCATTTGTAATCTTGAGTGCCTGAGGCACCGGGGGGCGAGTGACTCCCTGTTGCCTTAAACGATTACGATTCCCGGCGCTTCCATCACTCCCCTTCCTGCTCTTATCGCCTTCCTTAATTTCTTATTTTCTTTCTACCTAAATAGTCTTCCTTTTCTCTCTTTAATACTGTTTTCATCTTATTCGTTCCCGCTCAGCTCGTCATGAGCTCGCAGCGCTATACCCCGGTTCGTCAATCTCCCCGCTGATCTCATTGTCTGAGGGAACTTCGACACAGACATCCTCGGATAACAACCATGATCTAAGCTAACATTTGACGTTAGGTGAACGGCCATGATGAGTACGAAAACACACAATCCTATCCGTTAAATCCGACTCGGTCCAATCTCACTCCAACTTCTCCTCCACCCTCTTTCCATTCCCGGTCTCGGTCCCCTTCGCCGTCTTCAAGACTATTGCACGGCGACCACGGGCGCGATGAAGAACAAACATTAGCCGATGCGTTTGGGAGCGAGGACGAATCCGAGGATGAATGTGACGCTCGTCAAGGGCTGATGCGTGCTAATCCGGATCCCTATGCGTCCTCGGAAAACGGCCAGACCGCCACTGCCGCAGCATCATCGTCGGAATCTAGAACCAATAGCCAAAGTCAAACGCCGACATCTGCGATGTCCCGACGGCCAACCATTCTTCCTAGCTTCACTACTCCGACGTCCGGTAACAGTCGATCGATTGCCCCTTCTAATGATGGTGTCTTTGCCAACCTGGCAGCCAAACCGGAGCGGGGCGAAAAGAACGAGGATCTGCCTCCTGTGAGTTTATCCTTGGTTGTTACAGTTATGAGTTTCAGATTGCTAATTAACCGTTTTAATAGTCATACGAAGAAGCAGCCGCGGACGCAACTCCCCCATACTGGGAGACTACAATCGTGGCACCCGGCCTGTCTTCCGATGAAGTCTACGTCGATGGTCTCCCTGTGGGATCTATCTTTTCATTTATCTGGAACGCAATGATTTCCATGTCGTTCCAGCTAGTCGGTTTCCTACTGACTTACCTTCTCCACACCACACACGCCGCAAAGAATGGCAGCCGAGCCGGTCTCGGCCTCACCCTGGTGCAATACGGTTTTTACATGAAGGGTGGTAGCGAGTCTTCTGGCTCAGATGGAGGCGGGGGCTCTGATTCATACGTGCCTCCGCCAGACCCCAATAGCCATAATTTCGACCCCAACACAGTGGGCGATAACGGTGGGGGCGATGGTGGTGCAATGTCAGGCATTAGCACCAGTGAATGGATTTCATACATCTTGATGATTGTTGGCTGGTTTATTCTCATTCGGGCTGTCAGCGATTACTTGCGAGCTCGTCGTCACGAACAGCTGGTGCTACAAAGCCCAGATCGTGGACTTGGTGTACCTATCATCGCGGAGGGAGAACGGTCGGAAACCGTTGTCTAATGTTCATGGAATTGGTTTTGGGTAACTTTGGGATTGGGACTGTCATCACAGGCGTTAAAACTGGATAGGAGTTCTTCTATTTCTTATGGACGAACTCATCTTTTGCGGAGAAAGCCTCTCTTTTATCATTTTTCCTTACTTCGGTATGCATCAAGCATCTCGTTACTTTTTCTACAGCCTTGTAGCTATGCGGGAGATACCAACTGTTGAATACGACTACCTATTTTTTCTGTCATTCTTTTCTTTTTTCTGATCCATTTAAAATGGCAAATTTACTCCATCTTTCAATCTATCAATATATCCAGGTACCAGGCACCAAACATACTACGCCCGGATGATAGTTTAAACAAGCGCCGTAGATCTTCCGTAATAAGTGGCCGCCTGCGCAAGCTGGCCGCGTACTGCGCCACCATTAGGCTCGAGTATTAGTCTTTTGTCGTACCTAAACCCTTGCTTCTTAAAATGTTGGCTTTCAGGCCAGAGTGTTACGTCGGTGACACTTCATTACTTTTACCAGTAAATGTCTCCAGGCCCCAGCGATTGACCACAGGGCCCACTACCGAACCGGACCCGCTGTTTACCTACGAGTTCCGGCTTCTTCAAACCTTGAGATCTTCTTAACTTCAACCTCTACTTCCATACTATTGATTACCGCTTCCTCGCAACGGCCGGCGCATCGCAGCCGTGCCCCGCCATGTCTACCAGCGCTGCGACCCAAGGCCCCGTCGAGGCTCGTTCCCTCTCATCTATCACAGCCATCGCATCGAATCCCCCCCGCCTACCCACGCAATCCTACACACGAGAAGCTCGACCCGTTGGTACTGTATATTGTGCGCGTTCCTGGGAGTCAAGGTGGGTGAACATTCTCAATAGTCCAAGTTCCGGTTTCACCTGGGCGTTTTCCTCCTCCCCTCCTGCGCTAGGATGTCCATAGATCTTATCGGCTCCTTGCTTCAAGATAAGCTAGTAGACTGACCCGTTGTCTGCATGACGCACGAAATAAACAGACATATTCCTCTCGCCCGTTAAACCGCCTACCAAATCTAGCGTCTCTGCAGAGGCTATTAATGCTTCTTTGTACTATCTTCATGTCTCGACGCCTGACGATGATGCATTGCTTCAGGAAGTCGAGCAGCAGCGCGAGGAGGAAGCACAGCGCCGGAGGAAAGCCCTCGAGGATGATCCCTCCCAACAAGAGTTCGCTCGCATGAATCATGTGCGAAGGAAACCTGTGGGTGGCGCTGAGGCAGGCCAGGAGCATGCGGGCCAGGAGCACCATGCGCCTGCATTGGACCTGGAAACTACCGCTCCCTTGCTAAATCCTCCTTCGCTGCCGAATCGGCCGGTGGCTATGCCGCGCGTCTCCGCGGAGAATATGTCGTTCTCTGGGACTCCGGTTGCAAATGCGTCGCCGTTGCCGTCACCGACATACCCTCATGTAGATGCAGTGACGGGAAGCGCATCGCAGAGCCCTGTCACGCAGAGTCCGATCTCGCGCCGACCGCTACCTCCTCTACCCCCGCATGAAGCGCCATTTGGCCAAGGTGCAGCTGGAGATGCTTGTGAACCCCAGCCCACTAGGCCCAACCGGTGGAGTGCCTTCGCGGGAGAGGATCAGCCTGTCCAGGGACAAGAACCATGGCGAAGTGGCCATGACGCCGTGCCAACCGGCCGTTATAGCCTTGATGCAAGTAAACCGCCATTGCCACCTCGTCCGACACAGATCCCAGACCGGTCTTCAAGAAGTCCTGGACAGTCGCCGTCTCGACAGAGGAAGACGCACCAGCATCCTCCTTCTAGTAACGCAGGCTTCAATATCACACTTATCCGACGCGATCCCACATCTGGTACTCAATGGAACGTCGCGACGATCTCTACCCCACGAAGAGACCATAACATCATTGATCTTGACATTGCAACACCTGGATACAACAGGTTCGCCAGGTCGGATGAGCCCCTCACACTTGCTAGCCTAGCTGCCAATCTCCCCGCTGGTATGATGCGTACCGCCGCTCCACCATCACTGCCTGTCGAACAGCCCAGAGAACAGCAACAGGCCACCGGCCCTCGCAAATTCCACCGCCAACTCTGCGTATCAAAACCCTTCGATGACTCCGGCGTAAGTTCCTCTGAATTTGCCAACGGTCTTGACAGTTCCTCCAAGTTGAAAAGCGGATACTACGTTTTCAACTCTCCATGGAACGGCACCTGCACATTCTCCAGCAGCGTCAATGGGCGCAGTCTAAAATGCAAACACATGGTACAAGGACCAAGTGGAGGAGCAGCCTTCCCAGCAGGTGACATCGACCCCAATCCAGCCGTGACAGTTGCCGAAATCCGCTTCAACACACCTTTCCAAGCCGCAAATCTACGTTATCACGCCGCACCACGCCCAACACACCACTCCCACCCTTTCTTCCCAACTTCATCCTCAATACCCGATCCTCCTACTTCAGATTCCTCAAAACGGGGCTCTCTTTCTCAATTTCTAAACCCAAATACCTACGCCCGTCCACGTGCTCACTCGGGCCCTAATTCTTCTTCTACTACTCAATCCTCTGATCCTGCACGCCCTCCTTTCAATCCTGCCGCTCTACTCCGCCGTACATCACTTCGTGCTGGTCGGTTTGCGCATCAGCAAACTAACCGCTTCGGCCACCAGCCTTTTCATCGGCGGACGCGGAGTGGAAGTACGAGTAGTGGGGGTCCGGACTCAGATGATGAGCGATTGGATTTTTCGCTTGCGAGGGAACTTGCAGGTGGTGGTATGAGAGGGAAGAGTGCTAAGTTAGGGAAATTGATTATTGAGGATGAGGGGATTAAGATGTTGGATTTGGTTGTTGCGGCTTGTATGGCTGTTTGGTGGCGAGGATATTATCATTGATGATTTGGGCTGATATTAATATCTCATTCTTGCTTCGATGATTTACGGGTAAAGTGTCACTTTGATGGTTCATTAGCCCTTTTTTTTGTCTTCATCTTGACATGTTGTCTCTTTTCTGGCTTCTCTTTTGCTCCCGTTTCCATATTTTCTTCGGTTTCTTGTGATGTTGACATAACCTTTGGGGATTTCTTTTGTCATGATTTAGCATATCATACCATCTAGCATATTAAGAGCGTTTTGTCTATTCTTTATCAATCATCTGAACATGATTTTTTCCTTGGATGCTATAAGACTGAAATTGCAACCGAGTCTCCATTCTGGCATTTTAATATGTGGACCACCGACGACCCATCTATCTATCTGATCCAACAAGAAAAGGAGGGTAAGAGCAGAGTATAACTTTCAATCGTGAGAACTCAATAAGACTCAACATCAATAACCCCGTAGTGCACATAACCATAACCAAGGATTAGGAAGAATCTCCGGTTCTGATGGACAGTGCACACAATCAAATCCAAATAACACGTCGAGTGCAGACCAGAGAATCAGGAACGCAATGAAGGACAAGAAATCGCAGAAATACGAAAATTCAGGGCCAAATAGGAGTCAGGGAAAAGGAAGTCAAAAAAGGGAAACAAATCATGCAATCGTCCGGCCATTCTCTCGGAGGTATCTCTTTGCTAATTTCATTATATCGACATGCATGGATGGGGGAAAACCGAGTGCAATTGGCATAGGCGAATCGAACCAAGCCGAATACAAAGAAAACACACCAGAAAGTGTCACAAAATGAAGAAAAGACTGGGTAAATTGGCACCGCCAAGAAAAAAAGAAATGATCAAATGATCAGTGGTGCACATCCATACCACGCTGCAGCGATGACTCCAGGTCGTTCAGGTGTCCACCGCCGGCGGCAGCCTCCTGAGGTCTAGGTTCCTCGGTCTTCCAGGCTCCTTGCTGGTTATCCGGGATTGGGACGTTAGTCTGCTGTTGAGCCATCTGCTGCTGTTGAGCTGCTTGATGGGACTGCTGGCGGACGGTAGCGCGGAAGCGGATGACCTCATCGAGGATCATCTTGCGCATATCCTGGACATCGTCGACGACCTCGAAGTGGAAGTCAAAGGTTGTGGGGCATGTGGGCTCATCGGAGGCATCGTGCCAGATGTGCAGGTAAGGGTGCTCGAGAGCTTCCTCAACGGAGATACGGGAAGAGGGGTCAAATGCCAACATGCGGTCCAAGAGGTCCAGAGCGTCAGGATTGGCGTTGGGGAATAGACGCTGGAAGGGAACCTTCGGCATGAAGGGGAGGTTGCGCACATATTCTTGGGCGCGAGGAGAACCGATGCGGGAGAGGGTCTCTTCGTTGGGTGTACCCAAGTAGTGCAAGATCTGGTTCAGCTGGTCGACATAGTCGCGACCCTTGAAGAATGGGCGTCCACCCAGGAGCTCAGCAAGAATACAACCCACTGACCAGACGTCAACTGTGATGGCATTTATTAGTCTCTTGCTTGTTCTACTCATCACCTATCTGCGGGGACGGGACAGAAGCCGGTTTTAGTTTGTTTCACATACTAGCTTTGGTGTAGCTCTGGAAGCTCAACATGATCTCTGGAGCACGGTACCATCTTGTGGCAACGTACTCAGTCATGTAACCAGCATTCTCTTCTGGGTCGATGGAGAAACCACGAGCCAGACCGAAGTCACAAATCTTAAGCTCGCAGTCGGCGTTGACGAGAAGGTTTCCGGGTTTCAAATCACGGTGGAGAACGTTGGCGGAATGAATGTACTTCAGACCACACAAGATCTGATAGATGAAGGATTGGAAGTGCGCGTCGGTCAAGGGCTGTCCAGAGCGGATGATGGCGGCCAGATCACATTCCATCAACTCTACAACATAATCAGAACAAATTCTTTTTTTTCATTAGATGGATGGTGTTTAGGGTGTGAAATCACTGACCCTCGTAAAGGTATGTCTCGTTGAAGTTATCCGGTCGGGGGATGTCCATATCGTAGAGGCATGTAATCTAAGGCGGGGTTGCGGGTCAACGTTCAGCTAGGATCCTTTATTCTTCGGCGTTGGGCACAGGGTGCAGGGTTGTGACATACGTTGCGATGACCCCGGAAATGTTGGAGCAACTTGATCTCTCTCAGAGCTCGCTTGGCGAGGATCTTCTTGCTGAACACGTTGGTGACCTTCTTGACGGCGACGCCCTCGCCGGTCTGGGCGTTGGTCGCGGCACTGATTAAATGGAGGTTGTTAGTTTCTGTCCACTATCCAACGAATAAATTGGAAATTCGATATATATATGAAGACACGTAAGCTTCCATAAAGCTAAAGAAAAGCATACCAGACGATACCATATGCTCCCTGACCCAGCTCCTTGGTGACAGTGTATTGTTCATTCACGATGAAGTCCTGGTTGAAGACCTTAAAGACCTTGCGGCCTTGTAATTCAGCCATGGCGAAGGATGTAGAAAGAGAATAAAGATGAAAGGCGACAATAACGAGTGGAGGAAAGAACTTGAAGCTGGCACAATTGCGCAGGTGGAAAAGGGGAACTCGACGTGTGATGAGAAACAAGAGCCCCGCAGTCCCCGCGAGTGATCGGTTGGATAACGGCCATAAGGCCACAAAGATACAGATTTATCAGTTTCAAGTTTCAAGTTTCAAGTTTTAAGTTTCTTTTTATTTTATTATTCTAAAATATCAATTTATTATTTCACTGGTATTCATTAAACCATATTTCAAGTTTTTACATTTTATATCCTACAAGCTTAATGTGACCTTGGTGCCACGCATGGACTTTAATGTTGTTTTCCAGCCTTACCACCTGGGCACATTCCATACCCTGGCATCGATTCCACCTGAGCACGTCAACATTCCGAACTCGAAACTAAAACATCATCTACTCTAGACTTTACCAAGCCAACGAAAAATTGAAAACCAAAGAAAGCAGAAATGACCAGCATATCTCCCAACAAGGAACAAACGGGTTGAAAGCAACAGCTATGTCTGGAAACATTGGTTTAAGCGCCGAGAACGAGGCAGTCCATACTATCTTCATGACAACCAGATCTTCTTTTACCACTGGCATGACTCGCACTGGCATGACTCGAAGTGAAGCGATTCCCGATTCCAGCACTATCATGCTCGATTCCTCTCAACGAACCCGCTCACCAGGGATTCTCCGCAGATCAAATAAAAAGCCTCGCCATTAAGTACTAGTAGTAGCCGTCGATGATTGCATACTGGTAATGGGTTTTTTCCTGCCATTTTATCCTTCTCAAATCTGAGAGCACATCACGATACCCTTCAGTAGCCTGCTAGTCTCGTCAATGAGCTAGATCAAATCTCCAAGATGCCCATGACAGGATGATGGTGTCTTTCGAAATTTCTGCATTTTCAATCCATCTCGCCTACCACATTCCCCAAATTGAGGGTTTTATCAGACTAGATTGAGCCTTCTGTCCCGAATTCTTCTATTGCCAATTGGCCTTTGCAGAGGGAGTTGATGACTTCGATTATTGCTTCCAAGCTCAGACTGTTCACCAGGGCTCAATCTTCAATGATGTAAATAGCTGAGTATCAGAAGATGAGCAAGTACAGAAGAGGATCCAGTATGCCTAGGAAGAGAGAAGGCCTAGAAAGAGCTCTATGCATTTCAAGGTTGTCTAGGTAGTTTCTGACGAGGATGGATGGTCAGTCTCATGGAGCATGGGGCCCAACCACTAGGCCTCAGACCACTTAGCTCATAGCAGTCTGATTCGATAATTTCTAGCTGTAAACCGGAATTTTTTCAACTCTAGTTTCTTCCTGTTTAACATAAAGGGACCTAGGTTGATCATTCAAATGTTAGTGCCCAGGTGATGGTAAAGCTGTAGGGCTGCTCACGGACCAGTCTACTCGGGGCTCATCGCTGTATATGCATAGATCAGGTACCAACAGACTGATCAGTTCCTTGTTCATAGAGGCTTATGTGTCACTGATTTTTCACTGCTCCGTCCACTCAGGCTCGCGTAGCGGCGCATACTACATAATAGGTCAAAAGTCTGGTTACACTCCATATAAAAAGTTTTCGGCCGAAAAAACTAACCACTACACTAAAGAAATTCTTAAAAATCCAGTTTTTGATATTTTAATTCAATATTCTATGGTAATGCAGTTGAATAGATATTCCTTCCATCCATACACTAATATTTAGTGTAATATCCCCGTACGTTATAGACCGCCTTACAACGCTTAGTAAATGACCGGATTAAGCTATCGATGGTTTCTTGTGGAATATTCCACCAAGCACGCTTTAATAAAGCATGAAATTCAGTCCAGGCCACTAAAAAACGTCCAGTGTGACGTAGGTCAGGGCGTAATTTAAAAACCTCGCGTTTTAGCAGGAACCAGCAGACCTCAATTGGGTTTAAATCCGGTGAACAGGCAGGCCAATCCATGACGTGTATTCCATGAGCCATAAAAAATTCTTGTGTAGTCTCCGCGGTATGAGACCTGGCATTAGCTTGCTGAAAGATCATATCTGGTGTATAGTGATGTAAAAAAGCTTCTTCGAGAGCCCATTGGTAAGATCTAGCCGAGTATCCACCACGAGGGGCTTCAGAATCACGCTTCATAATCACTAGATCAGTACGGCCACCAATTCAAATAGCACCCCAAACCATTTGCGCAATATCATGGCCATGATTAGTCAGATTCACTAAATCACGTCGTTAAGCCTCTGAAGCAAGCCGAAACACCCATTGAGTTGTTGAATTTGAGCGTCTTTGAACGGAGCATTCGTCGCTGAATGCTAATCGCTCTAATTCATTGAAATGTTGCCATTGGCGTGTAAAATTTAGTCTTTGACGAACATCTTCTTTCTTTAATGGGATTCGACGGCGGGATTTCCATTTATGGATTTTGTATTGGCGTAAACATCGATAGACAGTTGACCTTGAGATGCTTATACCTGTCTCGGCAATTAAGGCCGCCCAGCTTAACCTAGGGAACCTGCGAAACATCCGATAAACATAACGCGTAGTTCGATCGTTAATTGAGCGGGGGCGCCCTGAACGAGGACGCGACTTCATGTTGTTGACTTCCTCGAACCGTTTCATCGTGCGATACACGGTCATGCGACTGACCTGAAGATCACGCGCAATATGAGCTGGTTTTTGACCTAATTTCACAGCGGTAATAATTGCACACCGAGTTTCAGTCGAAAGCTCTGTATTTCGTGGTCAATTTCCACTAATAACGGTGCCGAAAGCTCTCATTTTGGCGGTGTTATGAATTTTTGAAGTTGGTGGGTTGGAAAATTAAAGTTCTACGCAAAAAGTGTAACCAGACTTTTGAACAGGCATGTAGTACCGATTGCGTTTATATCTGGAACTTCACTGTATAATGACTCACTGGCATCGCGATTAAAGCCATAGAGCATGGAATTCAAGTTGTTAAGCGGTGCGGCACTGGTATAGTTTCTTTCTTGGCTTTCATTATCAAGCTTCAAGTTGTGGCGTCCGGCAGTATGAGCTCTTGGAAAATGGGTGTTTTGTATCGATATGTTTTACTAGTCCTTCGTTCAGCTCAGTTTGAAGTCTAGAGTCTTTTTTGGCTTTGGCTGGTTTTTTAGTAATTGAATTTCGTCCGTGTCAATCACTCCCCCTCCGTGAAGTAATATCAACTACTCCCATTTCCTGTTTGCCTGTCTCATCGAGCCTTCAGTTAATCTCTCCATCTTTCTGTCTCTCACTCTCACCTCTATGGTTCGACTGTTCTTCCTCATTATCAATCTCACCCTCACCTCTGTAGTCTCGACAGTTCTCCCTCAATATCGATCTCACCCTCACCTCACTTTTCTCTCGAGCTCTTGATTTTATCTGTACTCCTTAAGTATCGACACACAGTTTTGACAGAGACTTCAGAATGGGAAAGGACCGATTTCCCTGTCCGCAGGCAAAGAAGTTTAAATGCAATAAAACATATGCTCAAAAAACTGACGCACGTCACCATTTGGAACGAGATCACTTGGGATTGACATATCCCTGCCCATCAGCTCTGGAAGAAGACTGTAATAGGTTATTTGGCTCACAAAGGGGAGCAAATCATCATGCCAAAGCAGTGCATGATGGAGTAAGATGGCCTTGCCCAGGCGCTGAAGAGTACGAGTTTGCCATGGGCGATATATGTTTAATGAGTTCTTGAGAACTCATGGCTTGGAAGCAGCAGCTGACCAAGAAAACTGCAGCGAAGAGACATGTGTAGAGCCTTTATGGGCGGGCTCGTCTCGCTGTCGCAATCACTTCCTCTCTTTGGCGCTACCCCCTATCGCGTTCAATGTAGCCGCAATGAATGAGCTGAGAAGTTTGTTTGAGAAGGCCGCTTCTCGCCAGTGGTCTTCCGGGGGGGGAACTGATGGCTAATCTGACCCAACTGGACTCTAGCGAGGCTGATGTTCTGGCTTCCCAAGCCGTGTGCATCGATCTGGAGTTCTATCCTCAATCTAGGAAGGTGATCCAGGTTGGTATTGTAGACACAAAAGGCGAAAGGATCCTCGACTGTTTTACCAAATACAGCGAGAAAGGAAAAGCCAATCTACATTCCACATCATGTTGGCAGGCACCAAAGTCTTCGGCACATGATAAGATACGAGAGGAGCAGATCCGAAGGTTTTACAGCAAGGACGGAACACTGAGTGCTGAAGAGATTGCTGATAGGCTCCAAAAAACTGGCATCTCAAGGGAAACGATCTTCCTTGCTTGGGCAACACGGCCATTTGGCCTTTATTATCTGAGAGATTGGCTAGATGCAGAGGGGTTTCAGAACATTCTCCCGCCGGATGAGAAGGTATGCCTAATTCTCATGGAATTTCGCCAAAATCTGAGGGAATTTCTTGGGTCAAGCTGCTTCCGAGGAGGTGTTTTCCCCGCTACCCTGCCGGTAATATTCATGGTGGCCTTCGGAGAAGACCATCCCTTGGCAGGGAAAAACCATCATGCCTTGGTTGATGCTAAACAATTGGCCCTCTTGACGCAGCTTTTCATCGACCTCTGCAAGCCCCCCTAACCAGCGAAGACTTTGGCAAAAATCCGGAGTTCAGGGACTTGATCCCTACAAGAGACAAGCGCGGATTGATGACTTATTTCCCCAGTCAAGTACACGGAAGAAACCTAGACTTGCCTAAGGTAGTCTAAATATCTTCTGAGGCCCTTCTCGAGCCCTGGAGCATAGCCATGTTTTTCGAATCTTTCTTCTTTGGTAGCGCCTCAGCGTTCAAGAGCTCGTCCAGGGCCTGATCCTGTGAGATGCTTGTTTTTCCTGCCGACCCACCGCATCAGCTCCTCGGTCTGTCTTGGTGAATCAGAGCCAGCAATCCATCCCTATCGACCCGCCATATCGGTAGCTTAATCTGGTGAATCGGAATCACTTCAAAAGAAGCCTTCTTAAACTCGTCTCCATCAACCAGTCACATTGATACTTGGAATTTCATGGTCATGAATCATCTCGGCTATTGAGCACTATGCACTCCTCCCTGTCGACTTGTCACATCGACATCTTGGTCTTGGTGAGCCGGGCCATCTCAGAAGAAGCCTGTTCAAATTCGTCCTTGCCGACCTTTAGTGCACATGTGGTCATGCTTGATTTAAGCTGCTGAGTCCTATGTCGCGATTTTGAGGGATAATGATGCCTTGGATATCCAGTTCATACTCCGTTTTCTTTCTTTTTTTGATTTCCGAAGAATGATGTTGAGACCGGTGTGATCTATCAGCTGATCTGGCGTAGATATTGCATCGCACATTCTACTAGTACTCATTTCTTCTCCTCCTTAGCGCATTCCACTCAACAAGGAAATAACAGATGTTTGAAAGGTTTGAAAATTCACGTATAAACTCAACTGTACTCGAGTGAAGTGAGTCTATACTACGGCCATCCCTAGGTATAAGGTACATGTAGTATTGATGTAGTGATCAAGGCGTAATCAGGATTGGGTAATATTGCTTCCAAGGATCAAATGCCCAGGTGTTAGGTCACAGGTGCCTCATATGGACTCGAAGTAGCAAGAGTGCAACTTGAAGGGGCTCGCAAGTTTACCATACATGCCCAGGTGTGCCTGCACATGTGTTTATGTAAGCCTTGTAGTCGTTCCAAGGTTGATAGTATGTATCTTGCGTAGGTAACCCTCTGAAGCTAGATTTTTTAGTACGATGTATGTATGACTACTACCTACTACTATGCACATGTCAATGGTACATAATAGGTAGTAGTGCTGGAATTTGACAAAAGAGCTGACGTAGGTAATCTGGATATACGTGTCTCTCCGATTCCTTGGAGTCCTGAAGAAAAATTCAACATTGATCTATGCAGGTGATTGGTCAAAATGACCTCGAGAACCTTCCACCTGGACAACCTTGGAATATGGCGGGCCATATCCATCAATTGATGTCTCTGCAATAGCCCTAAATTGAGGCTAACCTCGAGACTCGAGGGAATCCATTCAATGTTGAACGCAATGCATGTAAATACCCCTCAAACTCTTTCGGTGGTAATCTGTCACGGAATTGCGAAATACGAACTTGAAGAACTGGACTTCTTAAATACCCCCGGCATAGCATCTGCCACATGTTCCTAAAATAGTCTAGAAAAATAACGAAAAATAACGATCAAAACGTGATCCTTAGAGCCGGACAGTACTATGATCCACCGGGGATAAAATCCAATACGGCAGTGAAGATAGCCCTGTCTTAGCTGAAAAGAAAATATATCAATGCCGGCGGGTGACATTGGACGTATCTGCATATTTGTCATCAACTTGAAGTCGAAGAAGACATTTCAAAAAGTGTTTTTTTCCGGGCCCTCGCAATTAGACCGTACAAACATTTTGAAAGCCCAATGAGAGTCCATGGATCGAAGGAGCCAGATGACACAACCCTGCCACTAAAGATTGCCAGTGACCAATTGCATGTGGGCTCCGAGTTGACATAGCCGACTCAGCATTCGAATGTTATCTTATAAATTGACCAAATTTGAAGCTCCCTGCAACTTCAGATCAATAGTATGTTGACCCTCATCGACAATGAGAATGTCTTTCATCTTTTCCTTCTCCCTCTAAGCCCTAAGGTTTTCTGCCTCTAGGCTGTCTGCTAACTAGCGTGCCTTTTCCCCTTTCATTAAATACTGGTAGATTTATTGGCTTTTAACTCCAAAGCTTCAAGCTGTAATGTTTATGGGAGTACCTTCAAGTTCCAAGGCTAGAGTTTCAAGTTCTTAAACCGTGACGCATACCTACAGCGCTGACAGCCTGAGGCTGGCACTGGGCATAACTCTTAACTTAAACCCAAGGTTGGAATGCTACTAGTACCTAGGTAGTACATATGTAGTAGGCATTCAAATCAATGTTGAATCTAACTTGAATTGATCCCAATGTCTACCAATTGACCTATGTAGATTTATATCCTATGATTGGGATTTCTCAGGTAATATATTGCAGTGGCACTGGCAGTTGATATCTGCATAAACTTCATTTGACTTTTCATAAATCGATTACACATCTCGACGTTTCTCCTCAACTACCTTCAAGTTACAGAGTGCTCTCCAAGCGGCGCTCCTTGCGCAAAGACTTGAACTTGGCGCGTGCCTCGTCAAGGGGAATCATGACACCCTGCTTCTGGGTCGCTGGATCATCACGGTTTCGGACATTGACTGCACGTTCAGCCTTCTCATTGGCTCCCACCACTATAATATAGTTAGTCGCAGGGAACCATAGATCACAAAGAATAGAAAACAGAACTAAACATACCCAGAATAAAGTTGTACTGGGCCAACTGTCCATTTCGGATCTTCTTCTGAAGAGTGTTGGGGCCGATGTCGATGTCCTAGTTGATATCAGTTAGACTGTATATAATTCAAGGTGCACACTTGCGACATACCACGCTCAACTTGTCAGCCTGGAAGATCTTCCGTAGTTCCTCGACGTAGTCGTTAACTGCAGGCATTACGGGCACGATAAGAACTTGCTTAGGCGAAATCCAAAACCTAAAGAAAAGTGAGTCTCAGGCAAAATTAAATACTTAATCATAGTTGGTAAACATACGGCCACCGGCCCCCAAAATGCTCGATCAAAATTCCCAGGAAGCGTTCATATGAGCCAATAATGGCTCTGTGAATGACCACTGGTCGAGCTCGGCCGAAAGGAAGGCCATCAGCCTTGGTCTTCTCTGCTTCACCATCCTTCGGCGCCTCACTCTTAGCCTCGTTTGTAATGTACTGAAGGTTAAAGTTGATTGGGGCCTGGTAGTCCAGCTGGATAGTAGCACACTGGAATTCACGCTGCAGAGCATCGGCAATGGTGATATCGATCTTAGGACCGTAGAATGCACCGTCACCTTCATCAATGACCCAGTCATCGCCCTTGAACTTAGTCATACACTGCTTAAGTTGCTCCTCGGCGTAGTTCCAGGTCTCCAATTCACCCATGTACTTGTCAGGGCGAGTAGACAGCTTCAGCTTGAAGGTAAAACCAAACAAGCCGTAGATTTTGTCCAAGAAATCAAAAAGTCCGTCAATTTCTGAGGAAATTTGATCTTGCGTGCAGAAAATATGGGTATCATCCTGCTGAAACTTGCGAACACGAGTTAGACCACTTAAAGCACCAGATGCCTCGTTTCTGTGAGAGTACACCGAAGTCTAGAGAGTTAGTTATAAGAATCTAACCATCCAAGATAGAAAATGACATACCTGCTATGCGCATTGGCAGCTCACGGTAGCTACGATCGCGGTGTCCAAACATGGTAAAGTGGGCAGGACAATTCATAGGCTTAAGAGCCCATTCACCCTTCTCCACGTTCAATTTGAACATATCGTCCTTGTCTGTATAAGTGCGAATATATTAGTCAGTATTAATAAAGGATTTTGGTCACTGTCTAGCTTACAGTGAGCCCAATGACCACTCTAGAGTTTTAACTCATTAGCAAAATTCCTAGCTTTGTTTCAATAACACAGAATTCTCACCTTCTTCCAAAGCTCGGTGGAGAACATGTTAGGGGTTTGAACTTCTTGATATCCACGCTTGCGATATTCCTCTCGCAGAAGTTTTTGGATGGCGTTAAAGATGATTACCCCGTTTGGAAGGAGGAAGGGCGAACCCGGCGACACATCATCAAAGAAGAACAGTTCCTGATAGTTGAGAATAAGGTTAATACCCCAAACCCTAATTGATATAATTTTTGGGCTTATGCATACCTGTTCCTTGCCGATTTTCAGGTGGTTTCTTTTCTCGGCCTCCTCGAGGAATTTCATATGGTCCGCAAGGCCCTTCTTGTCCGGGAATGCAACACCACGAATTCGCTGCAGAGAATCGTTGGTCTGATCACCTAAAAAGTAGGCAGACGAGTTCTGAAGGATACGAGATGCCTTAATGCGGCCCGTTTGAGCAATGTGAGGACCTAATCACGTCTTAGTTCTTTTAATTCTAATTTCTTTGGAAGATTCAAGGCGCTTCAAGCATACCTCCACAGAGATCGACTAATGTACCATTCGACAGGGGTGTTAATAATCACTGCTGGAAGCATTTGAGGTGGGTGAATATAAGTACTTACTCTGTAGACAGTGGTAGATTCACCAGTAACCAGCTTATCAATGTAGTGGAGCTTGTATTTGCTGTATGCAAACATCTTCTTCAAGTCAATCTTGGATACGACTAGACGATCAAACGATTGTTTTTCCTTATAGACTCGGTTCAAGCGCTTTTCAAGCCCAGGCCAATCCGCGTGTGTAACGACACGGCTATAAAACCCTGAGTTAACAACTGATTATCGAAATCGACGCAGACATCAAGATACATACCCGCCAGGAAGGCTCATGTCGTAAAAATAGCCCTGTAAAAGGATCAGCAGAGCAGACTTTGGCGCCTAGGTGATGAAACACAAACCTGATTAGTTGGAGGTCCGTGAGAAAGCAATGCTCCCCAGCATTCCTCACAAACTTCTCCCAGGCAGTGCGCACTTGAATGCCAGAAGACTTGACGGCCTTCTGGCTGGGAGAATGAGATCATTTGGACATTGCTGTCGCTCTCGAGAGGTCTGCTGAGATCCCATAATTCACCGTTGACTTTAGCAACAATGACTTCGGCGCTGAATTCCTTTGGGACATCTCGAAGCAGAGATCCCGGAGTGGTCTCAAATGCCTTAGCGGAGACAGAGTAGGGTTTACCGTCGCCGATATCGAGAGTGACATTGATATCAGGGTGAGGACGGTTCTTCGTTTCTTCGAGGTGCCGTTGCCACAGCTCTTCGAAGAGCCGGTTACGTTCGATCATCCACTCAGGGAGAACGTCAGGCTCGGGAGCTTTGGATTTCGCATTTGGCGGGGCAGCCTGAGATTCGGCGGCAGGTCGGACGGGCAGGTCCTTGGGAGCCTCGGAAGCCATGGCTGGATCACTCGAGCAGTAGGAGCTACGAGAGAATGATAGCAAAATCAATAAGCAAATCAGGCGGTAGGGATCTATCCTGACGCAAGCGGTGCCTGGGGTCGAAGGATGTGATCGAGGTGGTAAAAAAAGGAGGGGCTCTGGCACAATTGTTTAGATCAATACGGAAAAATATAATATGTATGACTCTTTTGGGGAGGGGCAGGCGGTGAGTCATGTGACAGAAAACTGCCCTGCCGCTAGCGACGCTTTACCGTATGAAGTTTCCACCATCCGAAAACTTCTTCGCCCAAACCATCCCAATCTTTAATCCAACACAACAATGTCTTTCCGTGGCCGTGGATCCGCCACCGGTGCGAACCGGGGCGGTTTTGGTAACCGTGGTGGTGGTGAGTTTTGTCGCCGTGACCCGAGTTCGAGTTCCAGTGAAGCTAATGAAATTTTTTCCGGGTAATAGGTCGCGGCGGTTTCCAGCAATCTTTCGGCCCTCCGGCCCAGGTTCTGGGTAATTATATTCTTACGAAGTCGACGAATCACCTGGCGCAATGCTGATATTTTAATAGAGATGGGAACTGTGATGCACGCTTGCGAGGGTGAGATGGTCTGCGAGTCCATCAACCCCAAGGTTCCTTACTTCAACGCCCCGATCTACCTTGAGAACAAGGTACGCTCTCGATCACACCAGCGATACTATCGGCCATTCGAAGTTCATTGAGCTAACAAATCCCCACAATAGACTCCCATTGGTAAGGTCGACGAGGTTCTGGGCCCCATCAACCAGGTGTACTTCACCGTCAAGCCCCAGGACGGAATTGTCGCAACCTCGTTCAAGCCCGGTGACAAGGTCTACATCGGTGGCGACAAGCTGCTTCCCCTCGAGAAGTAAGGCTTCCCCTTTTGTTATTCGTGATATCTTCAACTTTTCTGAATTGGATCACTAACTGTTTGTCTCAGGTTCCTTCCCAAGCCCAAGGCTCCTCCAGGTGCCAAGCCCAAGCGCCTTGGTGGTGCCCGCGGTGGTGCTCCCCGTGGTCGTGGTGGTTTCGGCGGCGGTCGCGGCGGTAGCTTCGGCGGCCGTGGTGGTGGCCGTGGTGGCAGCTTCGGTGGCCGCGGTGGTGGTAGCTTCGGTGGTCGCGGTGGTGGCAGCTTCGGTGGCCGTGGCGGTGGTCGCGGAGGTGGCTTCGGTGGTTCCGGTGGTTTCTCCCGTGGTGGTGGTGGCCGTGGTGGTCCCCGGTGGTGGTGGTGGCTTCCGTGGTAGTCGGTAAAGGTATTCTTCACCGAATATTGTGTCTTCTTACGGCGTTTGGGGGATTCGGGAGCTCTTTGCAGGAATATTTCCTTTTTTCTTGTGCATCCTGACACAATTGCTGCTTGTCTGCTGCAGCGACTGTAGAATATATCCAGTCATAAAACAAGTTTGATTTTCTGCTCAATATTTTACTTACTTCTATATACTACATACTTCCCTGTTCTGATCTTATATCTGCATGGTCGATCCTATATCTCAGGTAATCTTCATATTTCTAAGTGCTGGACCAGTAAGACCAGCACGTGGCTTATGTGTGGCGCAGTTCTCACCGCCCCCATTATTTTGGCCCGATCTTGAGGAATGACGTTCGTTGACCGCTTTACGACTGTGCGTCCGTAATCACCAGACTTAAAAAGCAGGATTGCCATTCTTATTTCCCCAGTGCACGCCTTGGATTTCTGTCGCCTGGAATCTTTTGAATTCGGTTTCCGCTTTTTCTTCCTAGCTTCCTTTTGAGCATGTCCCGCAGAACATCCTCCATGGCATCAAGCAATTCCAAAAATGTCCCACCTTCAAACGACGGAGGTCAGTTTGCGATCGGCAGCACCCCCTCGTGAGCGTCGCTAATACATCCCAGGGCAGGAAAGGCAGAAAATGCTACTTGGTGAAGAAAATGGCCACTTCAGCATGGTGAAGTCAGTACCCAAAACTCAGCGCTTGCTGTCTGCTTGTGAAAGCCTCCCCTAATGCCATTTTTAGAGCTCTCCACCTTGCCGACTTTGTTACTCTGCTTAATGGTAAGTACCTGATTCCTCGCCATATACATGGATTTTTGTGTCAGAAGATCAAATGGCTAACTCAAGCATTATTACCAGGGTTCTCCGGAGGCAAGTCTTATTATTACCAATATCCAACTTAATGCTAACCGCCGGAGCAGTCATGTCCGTGTTCTCGTCTATACGCTATTGTCTCGGAGACCCCTCGGATGTCGGAAACGTATATGCTGCTATTGGCCTCAGCTGGCTTGGTGGTTGGTTCGACCTCATGGATGGAAAGATTGCGCGCTGGCGTAAGAAGTCCTCCCTCATGGGTCAGGAGCTAGACTCACTTGCAGACCTGGTAGGAGAATGATTCCGCGCATCTCACAAATCTCCGCACAGCCGCTGACAAGTTCATCTTTCTTTCTGTACAGATTTCCTTCGGTCTCGCCCCCGCAGTAGTTGCGTTTGCGCTCGGTCTTCGCACGAATGTTGATCATATCCTTTTGACTTTCTTCGTTCTGTGCGGCCTGACTCGTCTGGCCCGATTCAACGTTACTGTTGCAATGCTACCAAAGGATAAGACTGGCAAGTCCAAGTACTTTGAAGGAACACCTATCCCCACGTCTCTGTCTATAACCATGTTTATGGCTTACTGGGCCTACAACGGCTGGACCCACGAGAACCTGCCCTTGGGAGTTTTCGCCGAAGGCACTCTTTTGGAGTTCCACCCCATTGCCTTGCTTTTTGTTGTGCAAGGTTGTTTGATGGTCAGCAAGACTCTGCGTGTCCCCAAGCTTTGAGATTCTGGCAGGATCTGGTCCACGATCTACTTTCCATTTCTTTTTTTCTATTCTTTTGGAAGAATTGCCCAGGATTAGATTGGCCTGGCATTACGAAAAACGACCATGATAGTCAAGACTAAGAGAAAATTCTTCTCTGTATAAGCAAGTTCAAAGATCCCAATATACCCAATTGAGGATGATTTAGTGAGAAGTCCCCATTTTCTAGTAACTTGGCCGCGCCCACCTGGGCAAGTAACGTAGTTCATGTTTATTCCCGAATTCGGCGATCTATATCTGCAGCAAATAATGGCCCCCGCGCCATGCAATCGGCATGGTAATCCTTCGACCCACATATCTCAAACACCGCCACCAGATGTAGATCAAATCGAAACCTGGCTCTAGTAAGCTTAAGATCTAGCTCTGATCAATTGGCAGTGGTGAAAAGGGACCCCAGGGGTGATTATGTGCCAAGTCTGCTTAGTGATTACGAACCTTGGAATGCATCTGAATTGCTGACTATGACAATGTATACCGTGCCGTCGATAGAAACCTATTTTGAGAGTGAGGGTAGTTAAGGTGGAGAACTTAAAAGCTTGGAAATTTATGCTAGCTTCAAGTTGAAATGGACTTTATGTCGATACTAGACAGACGGGTATACCGAGACCAGCCCGTCATATCGAGGACTTAATGGCGGGCTGGTCTTGGGATGGACTTTTTCAGAGTGCACCCCTGTGACATGGATCTTGGAGAGCATGTCGGGAGCATCTCTATCTTTGAATCAAGAGTGGATGGAAACCCTTTGAGATATCTAGATATTTCCCATGCATCTCTCACTTTGATTATTGGAGACAGTAATAGAGGTATCTCACGTGTGACTTGCTATTTTGGCTCTTAAGTTTTCAAGTAAACACACATCAAATGTTTGATATTTGATATTCCTTCACATCTAACTTGAGGCAATCCCCTTCTAATTTATCCATTGTATAGATGCCCTCGGCGATTCTCGACATCCCTTGCCAGGTTAAGGTACTTAGCTACCTGGGTGTAGCCCTTGGCAATTTGGGGGTAGGCTGCCGATCATGCTTCGACTGACTCGGTGAGTTGGCTGAGTAGGTATTTTCCTTTGTCGCAAGTTGCTCTGATGATCAGCGTCGTCAGGCGCTTGTCCGGGTCAAGGCTTTGGGACACGTCTGGTTTGGCCTATCTCTGATGTATCCACCGTATATATGCTCTCGGCGATTTCTCTCGAACTCCAATCCAGATTTGATGCTTTATTGGTTACTTGGTCATGGCTTTGGGTGGTTTGATGAATATGACCTCAATGAAACGGCGATATTATGTTGTCACCATCTGTTTCCAAGGTTACTGCTGGAAACCAAAAAGTAACATTTCATAATGTGACTGCTGATCTGCACAAATCGTTCATGCTGTAATTTGATCGTTTTGCTGCGCTTAGGAGAGCAGATTGCTGAGACCATTAGGCATTTTACCATTAAGGTGTCCAGATATCGTTGAACACCTCCTAGCCTGGCCAGCATAGGTACTGTCTAGCCCCGCATGTTGCGAGGCTTCCCATAAGCCATTTTAGAAACTCCTCTTGAAATAGAGAGAATAGATAGCGAGTCTCAAAGAAGGAACGATGGCGTACTTGCGGAAAGGTCAGTGGATTTTCAAATGAGATGAATAGAGTAGCACACGGACAAGTACTCACCGGTCCTCCATCTCAAAGTCGGAGAGAGAAGTAAGTAATAGATATGTCAAACGTGGGTGTGACGACATGAATTGGTTTGTCCGAGTCTTCGATCAGGGAGATCTGCTTAAGCACTTCAGGTCCGGCAACAAGATTGAGCAATATGTAGCTGAAGGAGTCCAATAAGATAGTTGGTCATCCATTTCTTTTAGCAGTTGAGGTTGGCATGAAAGATAGTTGTTGATGGGGTTAAAAGAGGTAGATGATATGAACGAAACATTTGAATAAAGTAGTATGTAAGTTTGAGAATTTGAAATTTAGGATGTACTATGTAGTTCAACTTGAAGTTGATCAATCAATGTCTTGAACTTCTTATAATCAAGCTGCAGTTTCTCCTCATAGTAAAGTATGTATATGCTTCATGTTTGTCAAACATCCAAGTCAAGCCAATACTAGTACAATATGGATCTAGGCCACTTCTAGATCTCGGGGTCGGCCATGATCCTTATCTATCACAGAAATGGTTACATGTAGGTTATTCGAATAGTAGGTGCCAGTGAGAGAAGGAGTAAAAAGAATTGATAGGTAATAGAGACAGGTAAAGCGATAAAAAAAGATCCCGAAATATCATTATGTTGTGTTTGAAGCCTGAGGATAATTACTTTGATAGCCTGGAGATCAGGCGGTTCCATCATTAAAAGCGCGAAGGATTTGAAAATCAAAAGCCTCTCTCGAACTCATCATAAACAAAAAATCAGCATGCTCAGAAAACAACAACAACAACCATGCAGGCGCAAAGCCCGCCAAGCCCCCTGCAGTATCCAATCTCCCTCCAGGCTGTCCTGACAGCCGGATACTCAAACAGTAGTGTCCTCATGATTAGAAATTCTCAGTCAAAGCCAGTCTGTCTCGGAGATCGCTGTTCTCCACTTTGAGTCTTTCAATCTCCTGTTCATATTGTTCGAGTGAATCCTCACTTGCAGAGCTCAGCTCTTCGATGATCTGAAACACGCGCCAGAGACGCAAGACAATGACCAGGGATCCCAGTTCTTCACCTATTCCACGAAGAGAAACCTCAATGGTGAAGGCGACAATAATAACCAGAGAATCGAAAACATGGAACCAGTCCGAGAAGTACCTAGCGTATAGTTAGCAGCCAGTTCTGCACACCCACTCGCAGGCCAAAGGAAATTAAGATAGAACTTACTTCATTCCAAAACTGAGAGCGGCAACAACCAACTCCCCCATGAACAGGCATGAGATCACCAAGCTCGAGATACTCAGAACCTCTTGGGTGACTTCCCACCCATTATCGGCACCAAAACTAGTCTGCTTTAATTCACAGACATGGAGCTGAATGAGAAAATCGGCGAAAGTACAGCAGACATCGACTGCGACCAGCAAGAGAATGAGGTAATGACCCCATCGCGAACTGAGAAAATTGCGGGCGGATCTTCTGCACTGCTCGATGCGGGGTTCGTCTACCTCAGGCAAAGTGAAGTACCGCTGGAAGATGCGAGTAGATCTAGTACGCGGCTGTCCGCCGAGTAGAGGTCGCTGAACAGAAGAGGACATATTGAGCTGTTGTACGATATTGTGTGATGTATTTCTGTGTTTCACCCGACTGTAGGAATGTGTAATTGTCTTCGTTCACGAGAACTCGTGCTGACAGGAGTACGTAACTCACCGATGCGCAGCTCGAAGATCAGCCAGCCTCCGCCATCACGTGCCGAGCTAACGAGCTGAACATATGCATTGAAGAGTTAGAACAATATGAGACCGTGAAATATTGCAGCAATGAACTATATGGTAAATGTATTCCAGTGCCAAGAATCTGGAGTCGGGATCCCAGGATTTCCGATCACCGAGATTATGTTATCGTTGCCAAGATCTCGAAATGATCTGCGGATTGGAGCTTAACGGCTATCCCAGTGTCACCAACTGACAGCCCTGGAGCTCTTCATAAGGCCACTTCAAGTTTCATTCAACAGTTCATAAATTCATATTTAGCCCTTTCAAAATGCTCCCAGTCTCAAATTTGAATTACAGTCAAGTTGAACAGGCCCGGGCCGAACCCCCACTTGGAGTCCTTAGTTATCAATAACTATTTGACAGACTTTTATGCCTAAGAAATAAGGCATTACAAATCATTCTCCTCACCTGGGCAAAAGTTATCTCGTGCCCACGTGCATGTAATGATATCACGCAAAAAGAGGGGTTACATTCAGCCCTGGAGCCATGTGGCCAGCTGCAGGGCCAAGTGAGACAAAAAGAAATTAGGGGCATTAATCTCTACAGTAGTCCTAGGCAACTAATTCTTGCAAACGTCCAGCTCGAAGGATTTCCATTATCTCAATCGAGTAAAAGGGAGGAACCCGTGGCAATCTTGCAGAACTCCATCAACCCCTGAACTGCGCCCGAGCTGCATTTTCCAGTGACCATTTCCTAGAATGATCACTATGAAAATTTCCCAAAACGAGAACGGTTGACGAACTCGTCAAATGCCCACTCCGTATAGGTTATAGGGGTGAAGGAATCGCTTAGTAGCGAAGCCAAGAACTCCAGACCATCTCGAATCTATGCGGATCTCGTTTAGTTGGCACGCCTCCCGTCAAATCCTCCCCACGTCTCCATCAAACCCCCTACAAACAAGGCAACTCTAGTAAAAATCCATCCAGGGGTAAAATGGAGAAAAGAATGAAAAACAAATAACGAATATCCATATACATAATTATTATAACGGACTTCTCCGTCTATACGCACTTAATAACGATATGCAAGAACTACCCATCAATCTGTTAACGTATCCGTACTTCGTTCCCGCGTGCACCCACCCACAAGACACACTACATATCGATTACCCACTAAAAATCCCAAGCAGGAATGCTCTCCGTCCCCAACGCGCAAACCCTCCAATCCAGTTGCTCATCAGGAGTTCTTCTTAGGCAAGAAAATTTTTTTTTCACAAAGCCCCGTATCCTACATCTAGTATTTCCTCCGAAGAGCCTCGTTAACACTCGAGCCACCCCTGAGTCTTTTACCCCCCTGATCGACACGGCTCCTCCACCCAGGTTAAATGAGCCTGATCGATTTCACCCAAGCGGTCCGGGCCTTTACGATTTTTACGGACTGACCTATCAATTTACCGGAATACCCGAGCTCTATGTCGCGAGATGGACCCAATGGAGTTTAGCTGTTGTGTTCGGGGTTTGCATATCACTATGTACAAAAGTTTGTACAAAAAAAAATTAACTTGAACTAATTAATATCATATTACAGGATTATTAAATGAAAAAAATTGAAATGAAGAGATCCGAGTCAATGGTTCACCCATGTCTCTGTTAATCTTTCCTAACTCGACTCGTTTTAACCCTTACCCAACACCCGGGTCAAAATCACCGTGACGCAGGTGAGGAATGAGGGTGACAGTGTGGATCTTAACCGGTGTATGCAATTGTAAATTTAATAACCAGGGTTATGATCCAGACCCAATAGACAGGATACCTGCACGGTGATGAGCTGGACATGTAGCAACGGAGATGTACCTATAACGGGTCGCCTAAACGTCCGGGGAAGACGGAATCATCCAATGGAAACCATGTGGCAGGGGAATATGATTTCAAGGATCTTCATTAGGCAGATACGCGCACTACTAACCTTTCTCGACATCGTTTGCTGTCAACTTTATGATCCAGGATTAATTGGTCCGCCCTACGGAGTGCAGTAGCAGCTGAGATCCAGTACTTAGGCAACGACAACATTTGAACTCAACCAACAATAATCCCTGTTCATGACATAGAGGCGTAGACTAGTTTGTATTTTGTCTAGTCTGCGAACATTTGATCTAGTCCGAGAAATTCGTTTCATTTTCCGTTCTTCGGAGCCTATCATTTACCCATACAAAAGTACAGAGATTAAAGCGTGTGTGGACCAGACTAAGGAGCCCGAGGCGCACAGTGCCGCCATAGGCTTCATTGGAATGAATTATCACGTTCAAATGTTGGTTCTTTTTTCCTCTTTGTTCAAAAAATTCTTATCCTTATCTTAAATTCTAACGGCGGTACATTTGAACTGTGCTCAAATTCAAGAAACATCACCTGGGCATCAAAATGATCTGATTCTGTTGAGTCCTCACAACGATTCTTTCAAACCCCGGTTCCTCGGAGCCGAGTAGTTAGTCCGTTCGATAAGATCCAATGTAAGCACGTAGTTATGGATAACCGTTCTTAAGTGTCTTAAGTGGAGGTCTGTATACGTTGACGGATCCATGATAGGGTAGAAATTGGAAATGATTTCCATAATGACAAAGCCGTTGGTGGATTCTAGTTCGGCTTCGGACTCGGATTCGTCTCCGTTTACTCCGTAGTCCATAGTCTACCGCGAACTCGACCATGGTAGATTCGTTGAACACTTCCTTTCTCCGTAGAAACGATGAAGTCTTCACGCGTGCGGTGGATATCGCGGAAAGTTCTCAGGTGACTGATTTCAAATGTATGCGGGTCGATGGGTCGTGCACGGTGTGAAGGCGGCAACGCGGGAGAGACCCCTAGCCAAGAGGATTTGTATAGCTTAGCTTTTTGGTGTAGGTTTAAGTTAACAAGGGGTGAACTGATTAGAAGAAAAAGTCAAAAACGGGGTAACTTGGGATTGAGATTATAAATCGGAAATTTACTGGAAAGGGACATCTGGAGAGTTCAAGTTTTTGCCGAGTCTACTTTGTATGGGTTCGCGATATCGCATCTCGCCCGGGGATCGACCGATCGGAGTACATCGGCGATGCGAAATTAATCTATGGATTATGGAATCGGGGATGACGCGCTTTTTCAACTTGTAGGATTCTAGAAGATTAAAGATTCAGGGATTTTTCTAGATAGATCATTCTGGATCTTCTTTATTCAATGTTATTCTTTGTTAACTAATTTTATGCTTTTGGAATAATTGCTTTTGCAACTGTGTTCATATAATAAGTCGAAATTCGTAGCGAGATTTCCACTCATTACTCGCGACTCCATATTGTAAAGTCGGATTTATCCGCAAGGTTCCCCATTACGTCGTCGGGAAGCAAGCGAGATTCTCCGCGATTTGGAATGATCTGTGCCGAACCAAGGGTTAGCCGACCATGGCACACGACGATCATGAGTACCATGGAAACTAAGGAGACCAGACAAGTACAGACTAGGAGTAAAAGGTTCAGGCACATCAGGTTCGTATGTGTATTGTGAATTATGTACAAGCGAGAGTCGTTTCTCAAGGGTATACAGCCAGCAGGAGACGCGTTGAAAATCATGAGATCGTCATCCAATCAAACAGAAAAAAAACAGTGTAAAAACAGACAGAAAAAGCAAGTCTATAAGCCCAAGTCCGTTCCTTTATTGTAAAAAAGGGTACACCCAAACCAACAAATGAAAAAAACCAACAAAAGAAACAAAGAAACAAATGAAATAAGAAAAAAAACAAAAAAGGCATTTCCTTTGTCATTTTCTTTTCTCCCTTCGGTCCACCGCTGGGAAGTTTTGGACCTAAAGTGGAGCTTTCTCCACAGTAAAGGTTGCTCCGCGGTCGCGCCTTTTTGCGCTCGAGGGCCGGGATTATTCGCGCCCCGCGAACTGAGGCAATTTCGAACACCGATGGTTTCGTGGATCCCAAGTCTCAGTGGAGTGGGGTGGAGAGTTGAGAAAATGGCGCGCTTTTTTGCCTGGCGCCGCCAATCTCGGAGTTCAAGGGAGATTAGATGCGGTGATGCCGCCCACGCCCCGAGAAATGGGAGGAAATCGTGAGGGCCAGCCCCACGTGGCAGCTGGTGTAGATGTATCATGAACAGTCGTGAAATAAAAGCATTCAGGTAAAAGGCGGGAACGCTATCAAATAGAAATCAAGACCCGTTGAGGGGGGGGCTTTACATGGTCCATTGCTTCCAGCTGATGGGCTGGAAGTGGGCCAATGACTGAACATGATCATCGTAGGGCAGGCAATCGTTAGACCAAGAAGGAGAAGGGTAGTGGCACTGAACAGGCGGTTGGATCAGGTCCTCTCCCATAGTCATTGGAACCAGATGTGAAGTAGGAACAACATCTGAGGGGTCCCAGCGCAGAGGAGAGTGCATTTGAAGGGGAGAGGCAGTCAGATCAGTCTTCATCAGACCCTTGGGGTACTGGTCCATCATTGAAACGGAGCCGGAAGAGATCGAGCTGGTGTGGGTGGGGAGAGAGAAAGCGGTATCGGAAAGAGGCGAGGGGCAAGTCTCGGCGGGTGAAGAGTAAAATGGGCTGTCATCGACATTTTCGGGGAGCTGGTGGTGGAACAAGTTGGTGGAAGGGCGAGGCTGCTGCAGAGGCAGATCCATACCACTCCACACCAGAGAGCAGTCGTTGGCCAGATCCGGGTGAATACCAGGCGCAACCAGAGCGCCAATAGACATAGAGTTGGGCTGAGAAGTACCAGAGAGCAGAGAACCAGTATCCATCGAAACACAGCGGGGAATTGAAGTTGAGTCCTGGGTCATCTGAGTCTGAGTATGAGGAGCCCATTGAGTCTGCTCGGATTGCGACTCGAGTTCACTGGGAAATTGTTAGCTTCTTGAGAAAGCTTTGTAGGTTCGCGCATCCAACTCACTGTCGCTCCATGTGTCGCGCAAGCAAATCCGGACGGTGGAAAGCCTTCTTGCATCCGGGGTGTGAGCATCGGTAAGAAGCTTCTGGGTTGTGGTTCAATTCATGGCGTCTGCGGTGTTCGGCACGAGTGAAGACCTGAGCGCGAAATCGATGTCAGTTGGATTGCGATTTTTTTGGTGGATTGTAACTTGAATCGAAGGTGCGCATACCTTGTTGCAACCGGGGTACTCGCAAGCATGAACGCGCTTGCCCTTCTTTGCCTTGCTAATGCGGTGGGTGGTGGGAGTGTAGGTGATAGGCATAGGGATCTCGGCCTGGGGACTTGGGCGCATGTTGTTCTTGCGGCCAACCATGTTGGGAGATTGAGACTGAGAGAGTCGTGGAGAAGGAGAAGAAGAAGAAGTGGGAGAGTTGAGAACTGAGATGATGTTCGAAGATACAGTAGTTGTCTTTCGCTCAGTCGAAGAAGCACTGATCATCCTGTGAATGGGATGAGAGGAGGGGGGAGGATGGGAAGCTATATAGATGAGAAGCTTGGGAGGGAGGGTGATGTAATTGTAGGAGAGGAAGGTGCGTGAGATCTGAAACTGCAGAAGAGGTGAAGAAGCGGAGGAAGGAGTGGACTGATATAGAGGAGCGATGAGACTAGCAAGGCTGTTCCTACAGTGGTACAGCGATCTACCGGCGGATTATTAGGCTTTCTAAAATCAAATAAAATAAGATAATAAAAATAATAAAATGAGAATAATGAAATAATCAGAATAATCAAAAATAATTAAATAATTATAATAAAATAAATGATCAATAATATAATTAAAAAAATAATCCAAAAATACCCATAATTTCCAGGGAACCCAGCACGGGCGTGGAGGCGAAGATCAGGCGGGAAGATCAAGCAATCCTAAAATTACACCACGTTGTCAAGGGGTGCGGCTGAGGCGTGCAGGATTAATTCAGACTAATTGATGTTATTATGATTTATTATTCATGATTTAATTTTTACAAGATTTTATAATATTTTATTATATTTATTATGATTATAATTATTCCGTGCCGATCCCTCTTAATTACCACATTGAGCGAAGGATTGTTAATGCGCCAAAACGGCGTTCTGGGCCATTGAGATAGTGGAGGTGAACTCATCCTGTATGGCTCGCTCGCTACCGATATCTCGGGAAACTAAGCAAATTTACTTCCTCTTAATTATTACCTAGATATTATTATAGGATATTCTGTTGTGTTCAAGCTTCTCAATAACTATTTCTATAACTACTATACAATTTATTATCAATACTACCTAGGTAAACTAACTCAAGTAACACAAAGTGATGCAGCAGAGCTCAAGTCCAAGCTCCCACGGAACATAACGGGTTTGCCCCACTAAACACAGAGAGGTTAGGTGGATCCAACATGGTTCCCATAGGGCCATTTTGGGCGATACGAAGGATCGCACACGATGCCTATTTAGGTATAAGACTGGCCCTGGCCCCAACAGGTAATCCCCCTTGCGATTGGTTACCGACAGGCATGATCCTGGAGGAATGTAACACGTCTAGAGGGAAGAAAAAAAAACATGGCATTCCTTTCAAATTGGAATGACATTGTAATCCATCCCCAGATTGTACGACCACACCCTCGATCTTTCTTTCAACCTCATAATTCTTTGTATCATATCCTTTGTTCAAATAGTACATAGATCAGATATTTGTTACCAACTCGGAAGACCCGAGTTGTGGAGTAATTGGCCCGTGATCGAAATGCCTTGGATTCAGCCTAGTGGGGTCAGTGGTCCGCCTTAAGACGGGCGTGGGTGAGCCCTGCCCACCAAGGTGCAGTTCTACTTCTGCGGTAGCTTGTTTCATGCTGCCGATCCTTTACTCTATAGGGTGAATGGACACCCGGGTCATAGGTCCCCACCCTCCCCTTCGGCCCCGAGTCCAAACACCTAGATCTTGGCCCCGATCAACGTCACTGGGGTTCAAGAAATTTGATCATCACGGTCAATGTGTTCATAATCTTAATTTGTATCTATATTTGGATTATTTTGTTACTGCCCTAGAACAAGATCAACTTAACCTTCTAATAGCATGAACAAGCGAGATACTAGTACAATTCTATGAGGCTCGGATTAGACGGGAATTAGAATCACCCTTGATTTCAATGTAAGGATTAAAAATAGGCGATGGTTTACCTAGTAAATGGTCCGCATTCCGCATGTCCATGTGTAGGTACATGTGTATGTAGCATGGCGCACACTCCTCCCTTAGTCATGACTCTCATGCCACGCGGCATAATCCCGGGGAATAGCTTCTCCCTGTAGTACTAGTACTATGTACTAGTAGTACAATGTACTATATCGTGCCACGAGGGAATTGGTCCTTTTGTCAGTAAGGGTGGAACATTCCCAAATTCCTGAAACAGTGAGGAACATGCATGCTTGTTCCCATCTCCAAAAATTTAGGAACATTCTTGAAACACGCGATCTGAATGATCGCTCGACATTCTGGAATGAATCCTTCGTTCTGCACAGGATTCCTTGCCACCGTCATTCGCGTGGTTGGGGATCATAGTAATGGGTCCTTCTCACCATGCAGGGGCTATTTGTTTCATGTCTAATTTTTTTCTTGGGTTTCTACTATTCTTCTCTACATGAGAGATGCAGATGATATGCTTCTCCCGGGCGCCGATCTGACAGTAAGGAGCAAATCAGCAGGGTGAGAATTCCGAAGGGAGCATATCATGTACTCCATATTCGTGGGGGATAAAACATAATTAAAAAAAGAAACATCTAAAAGCTCGCACGCTCCACTATCTAGTCAAGTTATTCTTAGAGATTCATAGGTTAGCCGCAGTGAAGATTACATTTTGACAAGGCTCATCAATAAGCTTTCACCGCAGCACTTGCAGAGGGATAATATCTTCAAGTTTGATGATGACAGGTCAAATCCTCCTGCAAAATAAGCAGGATTTGAAACTTGAATCATCATTGCCCTGAAGCTTGACTCAAACTTGAATTAACGAATAAACTGAAATGAACGCCAAGCAGATTGAAATTCCAAGTATAGATTTGAGATTCGAACTACTCCGTACAAGGGGGATCGTCTCTGTTCCCTGTGCAACCCGTTCATTTACACATCTCGCGTGGTCAAAGTTGAATATGCTTGGTCCATTCGGATAAATCACACCTGACTCCACTCGCACATGTCGCGCTCCTACCAACATTTAGTCCCTGTTTAGTCCACTTTAGTCCCTTTTTAGTCCCTTTTTAGTCTACTTTTAGCCTACTTTGGTCCGCTTGGGTCCACTTTCGCCATTTTAGTCTCATTTAGTGCAGAAGAATTCCGGTTAAGTCACTGTACTCCATAGGTCTCCTTGAATCGCAGTCTCTACCATTCTGGGGTATAATCGACACTTCTCTCCACTCCAACACTTGAATCATTTTAACTGGTCAATACTACGGTTCGCGCCAATCCTCGTCTGTCTTCTCTTTTTCTTCCTTTTCCCCCATTTTCCCTCACGTGGAAAAAATTAAACCAGGGTGAGATTCCTCCAGCTTCAACCCGTGGATCATGACGAAATTATTCGTGATGAATTAGTGACGGACAATGTCGTACCCAAGTTTTACATCAATTTTTTTTCACTACTAAAATTTTATCTACTCCATCTCAGGATGAGTCTCCATCGCGTGGATTAAGTGATCGACAACAATCGCGATGACAGCAAAATGCACGCGGGTCCCGGAACAGCTGTCCGCACTAAATGCATGGAGAAAGCCCACTGTTGGTTTTTAGTAGCGCACTGTATGCCCTTATCGGTATAGTGGGATACACGTAAGGGAGTTCAAAATTATTATTATTTTCCCATACCATGCAAAAAAAAGAAAAGATAGCAAAAAAAGAAGGGACTTCTCGCCAAGCAATCACATTCCCCATGTCTCACTGATAATTTTTTATTGCTTGTTACGGCCTGAAGAAAGGACTATGGGCCTACAACTGATAGTAATAGCGTCATAGGCCAGATGACTCTGACTTTGCAGAAAGGCTTTAAAGCTAGTAAATTGCACGAGTCAGAATCGAGGATTCAATGTTGGTTCTTTTTTTAGGTGTCGAGGCCGATCCGACCAGTGTAAAGTCCAGTAGACACGGCTGGAGTGGGTGCTACTGTAGACGCCATGGCGTCTCTTCATGCATTAACCGGGGAGAAAGGACTCGCATAACACGAGGGCCCATAGTGAATGGAGTCAGTTTTTTCTGTTGTTTTTTTTTCTCTCGATCCTCATCTTGCATATTTGTCCATTTACAGTCTAGTAATAGGGAAGTTTTATTTTTATTCTTAGTTGTTCGCTGACTTCCCGTTTCCCTTATCCCGAGCTCTCCACTTTGAAAATTTAGAGGCTGGCATTAATCTCAATCGAGATATCATATTCCACTTTTTCGCTTCCGGTGATATGGGTCCTAGCCGCAAGCGAGGAATATTTGTCAAAAATAGAGACTGCACATGGGAAAGGGAGAGAGATGTCGATCTGCATCGCGGAATCTTGCCGGACGTTATCGGGTATTGACTCCTGGAGTAGAGAGTGCGAGCTTGAGTATGCGCGATCAAACCGCTCCACTGTGTACTCTTCCGAACCCGCCAATAATATCACGCTATCTATATGAATGTCTCCACTACGAGGCTCTTCAGAGAGAGAAAAGAGAAGAAAAACAATTTTGAAAAGAGAAGAAAAACAAAATTGTTCTCGCCCTTGTTCCCACCCCCGGCCGATCGGTGAACTGAATGTCTTTTGGCACTGTAGACTTGAGCTTCATACTAGTGGGTCTTTTTATCCCAACGAGAGATTCAAGTTAAATGTTGGGGCGAAAAATAGAAACATGAATATAGAAATCGTCCAAGAAACAAAATGTGTTTATCCACTTATTCCAAATTGATTCTTCATGAAAAAAGGCCTGGAGCGATAGAACCTTGGAAGTCTATAATGGAACTTGTTTGTTTACGGTCTAGGGCTCAGTCATCCACGGGATGTGACCTCCAGAGGGCTCTGATGTAATCTCTGCAGGAAATCTTACCTCAGATTTTACTTAAACTTCCGATATAGTGTATTCAATTTAGGATCAAAAAAGTGGCATGATCATACTATGATAATAATATGAGGCCGGTGATAATGTTGCTTGGCTCGCGAATACTCCCCCCAAAGAGATGCTCCACCATCCCGACTCTCTGGTGAGGTTTTACTTTGCAACACGGCGAATCTCCTTGTGGTCCTGACTTCTCACTAGAAGAGTGGATTTTGAATTCTCAAAGAAGCAAGTTAACATTATCCAAATCTGGTTGCAGGTTGCAGGAAGGGGGGCACAGAAATGGTGATCTACTCTAAATTTCTTTTCCCTCCTCCGTGTCCCCGATGACCCGTTCCGCTCCCGTGCCCTAGAGTCCTTTGAGTCCTTCGCGCTCTAGGCTCTATTTGCGATATTGTTGAGAT